CGATGGATCGAAAATTTCGTCAGATTTGATTTTAGTCCAGTAAAGGTCCCTCATCCCCTCCTCACTTCTTCACTCCCCTCCCCTCCCCTCCCCGGTCGTGAATTGGTTTCTACCTGCAGAAGCGAGATCAACGCTTGGCAGCAGCTTTTCAGCAGCCTTCAGCGTCGCATTTCGCGACGATCTTTACCGCATTCTGAGCTACCTCACCGCCCCGCGCTCCGCTATAGCGCATTTTTATTCCTCTATACAACTCTACCCACTATAATCTGTATTCCGTGCCGGCTCTGCGCGGGCGACGCATAATCGAGATGGACCAGACGGAGACAGTTCAGCAGCATTGGTCAACTGTAACAACCATAACACTCATAACAAACCGAGTTGGGACCGCCGTCGACAGCGTCGAGTCGACGGAATACCCGGTCAATGCATCCTCATTCGTGGAACCGTACACTTAAACGTGGTGGAACTTTTGGGGCCACGTACGTACCTAACACCCTAATACCCCTAATATCCCTAATATCCCCAATACCTATGACATCGCCGACCTCATTTCTTTATATCCTATCGCTCACGGTATCACTATCATCCGGGAGCTCGCCACTTACTTTTCAGCCAACCCGGGGCATGCTCGATGTCTTGCAGATAGTCGGGGATGCCATGCGCGCGGCTCCTGCAATGAGCTACATACCTATCTGGGAGATGGTAGATGGGAGATGGGGCATTTAGCGCAGCTACCTAGGCAGCTTTCAGGTTGACAGGTAGACAAGTCTATCCCATTTGAGCAATGATGTTTCTTTGCTCATGCTGAAGAGCCTCAATATTTCCCTTAGGCTTCTCTCAGGCGAGCTTGTTATGCTGATGATTGCTAATCAAGACCTCTTTCGTCCGTCGGGCTCCAAGTAATAGTAGCATTCCGATGCTCGAACGACCATGTGACTGCTGACTGGACTGTGCTTTTCATGCTTCGCCCGACGGCGTCACTCCGGGGTGGATAGCGTACAAGACGTCGTTTCTGAGCATCTCGACGAGTTGAATTCGAGAACTCTAGACCGACGTTCTTACTGCTTCTCTTTTTCTCTCCTCTCTCTCTCTCTTTGTTGCTTTTTTTCCTTCTTACTGCTTCCTATTCCCTACTTCCTTACTGCCGACTGCATACGACACTGCACTCGCACTCGCTGTGATCGTGACCGGCGAACCGGTCAGTAAGTACCTAAGTAATGCGCGATGTCATAGCCTAGACCGCTTGCCCATACTATGAGGGGTGACCGAGGTGGTGTAACTGCGTTGCAGTGCCTTTACATGACATGAACTGTATGCTACGCCATGCCTCGCATCTACAGTATCTTAGACAAGTGTGTGTGAATCTATCTCAACGGGAAAGAAAACTCCCTTCCCCGTCGGAAATTAATCTTGTTTTTCCCTCTCCCTCTTTCTCTTATTCTTTCTTACTCCGTCTCTCACACTCTCACACTCTCACTCTCTGCCTCTCCCTGTGTGTGTGTCTCTCTCTTTCTCTATACCCCCCCCTCTCTGCACCAATGCCTTCCTAGGTAAGATTTGCTGTGATATGTAGTAGCTATCTGAGTCACCCTGTCTCAATGTGTACTTCGCGACAATATGACCAGAAGCGTTGACCGTGGTCCGTAAGCCACTCGGTCGGCGCATGCGTGCAACCACCTCAGACAGCGGGATGCTTGCCGGCCGTCTACGTAATCTACTAAGACGCAGGTCCGTTCCTTCGAGGAATTCTTAATACAACAACGATATACTCGCCATCGGTCTTTCTGCGCGCCATAGATAACTTCACATCGACGGGGCTTTTTACATGTGTAACGCGCCCGCGGCGTGGCGTGCCGTATCCCGATGTAGGAGGTCAGACGGTCTCGTATTCGCCATACTTGTGAGGGGATAGCGTTTTTTTTCTCCGACGCGAAGATGCCGCGACGAAGAAGTCGCTCTGAATAATCTGGTACATATCTGTACAGCGAAACCCTCTGGTCTAACCGCATTCGTCGGGGGCAGAACGTACAGCGGGTTAGATGAGCTACCTAGGTATGTATGTATACAGCAAATAGACAGATGGTGAAAGCATCACCATAGGACCACCCAGCCAAGCCCCCCGGAGGTATCCGACGTAGTCCTATCGGGCGATAATGGTGAGCCTCCTTCGGTATGTCCAGAGGTTTAGGTATTTAGGGGGGCTGTGGGAAGCACTACTAGATACGGGGTTCCCTTGCAGAATATGGCAGCTTTTAGTTCGTATGTGACTAGGTATTTATGTAGGTAAGTATGATTATGCAGGATATTACTGAGAACTCCGGCGGCATCAGTGGTAAACTCAAGGTTGGGTTATCCAAGTCATTCCCATTGAACTATTTGATGTCGCTTGCCTATTCTAGGTACTAGATAGGCACCTGGTAGATAGACAAGAGCGCTTCTCATTCCTTGATGAAACAAATGTTAGTTAGGTATGGTATATTACTGGTCGAACCGTCCATGACTAGAGCCAGAGGGATGTGTTGGTCGTGGGGATGGTCGGATCCACAGTCTAGTATTAGTCTGTGAGGCCTCTTCTAGGTATTGAGAAACAGTTTGTATACCGAGTCTACTCCGTTGTGTTCATGTCCCCATACACAATCCTCCCGCGACAAGCCCGATTACTGCGAGATTTTCATAATAATTTTCATAGAAAGGATCTTTAAGTAAACAACTGACGATGCCCCAAAATCCACTTCTATATCACTTGCTAGACTTAAGGGGGAACCTGTAGCGTTCGAGTCGCGTGGAGTTTTTGACGCTACCCGTACATGATGCAGCTACGGCTATAATGACAGCATGTAGGGCTAAGCGAGTAGGTTTACATCAAATAGGTAGGTACTAGGTAGGTAAGTATTCAATTCTCCTGTCCTTGCCCACTACCTAGTTACAGTAGACTAATGGATTGCGATAGAGATATAGATGACCGACACCTATTACTTGGGTAGGTAGCCATGTTCGTGTCTTTCTTCCCTCACGATATATATCTGTTTGTTCGGGGGTCTGCTAGAACCAAAAGATGGTCATCCGCACACTCCCCTCTACCTACCTATGCTGAGTAGGGAGTTGAATGACTACAATTGTTAGAAGGAGTCACCTATGATACCGAAAGGAGGATCTAGCGATCATTGAAACTCTTAAGGCTGACTACCAGTATATAGGTAATTATAGATTATGTTCTGAAAAATACCTAGTATACCTATTTCACCACCTAGTCTTGTGGGTTCGGACTCGTTGAAGATTCATGATATGGTCTTAACAAGGAACCGATAACAGTACTATCACGTAGGCAAATTTGCCAAGGATCGTAGTATATCTTCTAGCTACCTACCTAGTGCCCATAAATGCATTTACAAGATTACCTAGTTACATGTTTACTCCCGAGAGGTTAAGCTTCGATCCAACCTGACTTCATACAGACCAAAGTTCTGATTGTCGATCGCTCGGCAGTCTCTATCTCAAGCTGGGCCTTCTATAAACACGCGCGACTAATTAAGATATGAATCGATAGTTATATAAAGTTTATAAGTTGTATAATACCTAGGTACTTAGATTTATTTCAACATTGCTAGGGATGCTAGTGTAGTGGTCTTAGGTTTCTAAAAAGGAGGACGACGATAGCGAGGTCGGCGAAGCAAGGCCATGTAACACTCTTTAGGTCCATCACATAATACCCAAACAACTTCCCTACCAAACCTTGGAACCCATTCAAAACAAGTGGAATAATTAATTATGAGACGATCCTTCTATTCGTGCCATGCTGCCTATGCTGCTTTTCCCACTGGGCCATCTACTTTGCGGCTGGTGTATTTCTATTTCTCACGCAGTAGATACGCGCCCGAGAACATGACAGAAAGGAAAGAGGGAGCACAAATTTGTTGGTTCCAGTCACTATCGAGCCATCCCTTGCGGCGCTGGAGATTACCGCGGCGATAACACTTTGGCTATATCACCAACCCAAGGGTATCGTGGTTGAGTCTTCCATACCTTCATTCCTGCCCTCGGCCATCCTATGAAATGGTTGCTCATAACGAACTGCCTGACTTTCCGCAGCTTTTCGACTAGGGCCCTGGACAATTTGCCCGAGATGCTACCAGGTAATGAAGCCTAGTATGGGTTTTATACTAGAATTAGATATGTTAACATGATTCGTTTTGATAGGGGTCGATGCGGTATATCGTGATGAAGCACTTTTTCTACAGCTAGGTCTACGATTACATAGCTTCGAAGTAACCTTCATCGTGGCGACGGGCAGCTCAAGGATAGCTGCTCTAATACTGATAGATGGCGGTGGTGGAAGTACCCAGTAGACAGCCTCTACCTAGCATGGAATTCGATCTTTCACTTCTACGTTTTAGTATGTGATAATTCAAATAGAGAGATGCTTTCTTCAACTGGTACACAGCACTGAGACTGAATTCATACGAGGGCGGAGAGAAACGGACGACAGAGCCCTTAAGCAACCAACTTTGATACGACCATCTTTCGTGATTGCGCTTCTTATCGGTATATTACTGAGCTTGAAGAGCTTGGCGATACTGGAAATAGTACCTATATCCTATGTTACTATGTTATTAATCTTCATGGTTAATTATCAGAGCTATGCGACGGTACAGATATTCGTATACAGCGGCGAAAACACCAAACATCTTGGTCGATGTCTTTCAGACTCTTTCTGAAAATATTATGTGTAGGTGGCGTGTCTTACATACTATGTAGTATGAATTTGATGTTGCTAGGTAGCTCGGGGACTTTGGATGTTAATCTGATAAATCGGATGAAATGGAGGCAATAGCAGGTGAAACCATCGGTCCGGGTGGAGCCGAATAATCCGTGTGACCAATCAAATTTAGCAAAATCGGCCAGGTCGCGTCATATCCTAGGTACCTATGTACTGTAGCTCTTAGCTAAATGCACGCTTAATTGTATTAAGTTGGAACTCCAATAGGTGGCATTAACGATCCGCCGCCGGGTCTTTGAAGTTACAAACCTTCATCTACGAACAAACGAAGTCGGAATGATGGGCACCTAGGAATATTCATGAAATTTTCTTAAAATTTCAATCATTCTCTACATTTCCTAATTATCCCCGAGAACTGCCACGATGCGACTTCTTTGGTACGCAGGGGTAAGTGAGCTCTTTTACTTACCTAGTACCTACCTAGTAGTATACATTGTCATGTCATGTCATGGCCCGGCATGACATCTTCAAGCTCTTGTCATTGCTAACATCAATGCGCAGTCTTCGACGGCCCTGGCGGCCGGCGTTGTCGCTTATGCTTTCAACCAACGTGCCAACTTCTATTCCGCCATGGTCTACCTATCGCAAAATAATCTTAGTCTTATGGTACGATTACCTTCCTAAGCCCCGTCGCCGATTTTGCTCTCGTGCCGAATTACTGACCTTGGTCGTTTCGTTATAGATCCTCATAAACCTTGTTCTCTTAGTCTATGGCTCTTTCGTCTGGGGCCTTCAGCGATTATGTTATGGCCCTCTCCGACCCGTCGAGATCGAACAACTGTACGAGAAGGCCTGGTTTGCCGTGACCGAGACTTGTCTTGCCATGACTATCTTCCGCGAAGAAGTTGGAGCTTGGTTCCTGGTTATGTTTACGGCTTTGGTTACCGGCAAGGTGTGGGAATGGATAGGCGAAGGTCGCGTCGAGGTCCTCGAACAGCAACCTCCCGTTAACCCACGACTTTTCCATACGAGACTCAGCATTTCCCTCCTGCTTAGCGTCATTTACGATACCTGGCTATTTACATACACTGTAAATGCCGTCATCCAACAGGCTCGCCCTAATATGATGGTTATGTTCTTGTTCGAGTTTGCTATTTTGGCTGCTTGCTCGTTCCGCACCGGTTTCCGATATGTCCTGTCGCTGGTCGAAGCCGATATAGTTAAGAAGCAGACTCGCCAGAGACTGGAAGAACGGCGTAGGCAGGTCCGGGAACAGCGTGCCGAGATCATGAGGCGCCGCGAATCTGGTGACGCTGCAGAGGCCGAAGCCGCGGCGCAAGAAGAGCTGCCTCCTAACGAAGCGGATATCGACGAGACAGATATCGAAGTGCAAGGATGGGAATCTAAAGGGCAATGGGTCTTAAGTCTGGACCTGTTCACTGGTAAGCATATCACTTACTGCATCGTAGCTCTTGGTAGCTTCGAATGACTCTTATCTAACGTACGTCTAGACTTCGTCAAGCTCGGCATATATTCCGCATTCTTCGCCATCTTGATGATGTTCTATGGTCTACCTATCCACATTATGCGCGATCTCTTCCTGACAGCGCGATCATTTGTTAAGCGCCTCAGCGCCCTGATGCAGTATCGCAAGGCTTTGCAGGTGATGAACAATTATCCCGATGCTACTGTGGAGGAGTTAACACGCGAGGATACATGCATCATCTGCAGAGAAGATATGAGACCGTGGGACCCATCTGCCGTGGGCGCGGTAGAACGGTTTCGTCCAAAGAGACTACCATGTGGTCATATCTTACATTTTGGATGTCTCAGGAGTTGGTTAGAGAGACAACAAGTGTGCCCAACCTGTCGACGTCCAGTTACTATCGAAGGAGCCGCATCTAACGGTGGTGCGGCTCCCCCAGGTGCGAATCCTGGCGGTCAGCCTAACGCTCCAGGTCAACAGGCGCCAGGCAATAGAGCTGCTAATGGCGGACAACCTGCGCAGGCGCGTGGGGCCGGCAACATGAGAGTATTCCAGTTTGGCCCCATTCGATTAGGATTTGCTCAGGGCAACGCCCAAAATATCCATGAGATGGCTCAACGGCTACGTTTTCCTCTCGACGCTCCCAACGGCCCCGCAGTACCACCGACACCTACCCAAGCACCTCCCACTGGTACTGCTACTCACCTTGGCAATAACGCTAGTATTATGGAGATCCAGGGACAGCTCCAAAGCCTATCACAACGAATCCAACAGGAGATGCAAGCTTTACAGACGAGCCAAGTCGAACTTCAGACTCTATATGCTCTAACGGCAGAGCTAAACCGCCTCCGTCAGATCCAACAAGAACCCCAACCTGCACCGGTCGTCCAACTTGGACAACCAGGTGTTGGCGTTCATCTCGGTCCTTACCAACCGCCTATGCCACAAAATCCCCTACCCCCATTCCAGCCTTTACCACAACTTCAACCACAACAATTCCCACCTATGACACAAATACCCCAGTTTCCAAGCTTTCCTCCTCGCGTGTCAACGCCGACTATGGTTCGACATGGAGGTGCGCCTTACTCTGCATCTGTCCCTGCAGGTAGCCCAGACTTGCCCGAAGGAGTCGTCATCCCACCTGGCTGGTCTTTATTGCCTCTCCAACGCCTTGACGGCCAACCATCACAAGCTCCCCATCAATCCGTTCAGCAGGTCGACTTCAATGGCCAGCAATCACAGCCAGCTGATACGGTGAATAGGAATGTCGTGACTGGTAGCGCTACTGGAATTCCTCGTTCATCAAGCTCCAGAGCTGGCGAGTCCAATACTAGAAGTTTCGGGATTCCTAGTGGATTCCCAGAGGATGGCCCCAGCCAGGCGACTTCTCAAGTACAAAGAGAAACGCCAGAAGTAGCGGCGCCAACGCCAGTGATGCCTAACTGGGGTGGCCGTGCACAGCTCTTCACAAATAACAATTCGGCCGCGACAAACGAGGCCGAGGCCCGAACGGAAGAGCCGTCGACATCGGAAGCTCCTCAACGCCAGAACTCAGGTGATGAGCAAGAAACAGCAGCGGGCGGCGATACAAAGGGCAAGGCGAAAGCTGTGACGATCGAGGACGTGGAGGAGGCAGAGGATGAATAAAAATAGGTGGTCATTTCTCGAGCCACGTCCCCGGCTCTGTATTCACAAAGGGGAAATTGCATCAGGGGCAAGGCGTTGGTGGCGTTGGGATTTCAGTTCCTAAAACAAAATACTTGAATGGTATGCGTATCTGGTATGATGACAGGTTTTGTACCATGAATGATTAGGAACAATTCCTGCATTGGTCATGTTTGCTGAATATTGTAGGCATTAATAGCGGGTTGCCGTTACGAACTCTGCTTCGGACGTGATGGATGAATAAACGCTAAACGTACCTAGTGCCTAAGACGATAGAAAGAAAAAAAGAGAGAAAAGCGAAACATGTTACGTCGGATGATATTACCTATTACCTACCTACCTACTAGGTATCTAGTAACCATTATTACACTTACTAATCCACGGGAATAATGTTCCCTAAATGGGCTTTAAAACTGGTGGTCGTACTAATGAGAGCTAGTCGAGAGGTCTAGAATGTTTGAGGTTTTTGATGTTTGAGCAATACGAGTTATTAAAATTGCATACCGTACCTATACAGAGCTCTGACATCGGACCATAATTGCCGAGCTTTCTAGCGCGTCAAGGAGATAGGTGAAATCGGTGAATATCTACCGCTTGCTCTCAATCGTCGTCGACAATTGGTGTTCGCCGGGGCACCTATGTCGGATGTGAGCTGTCTAGGTATGATACGTTGACCGTTGACACCTAGGTAGGTAGGTAGTATCCCGTGTCCGACGTTGGACAATCTCACTCATACGCATCCATAGGATCTGAGGAGGATCGGATCGTCTACGAACTTCAGACGTGTAACATCTGACAGCAATTTTCTGAAGTTGGTCGTACAATGTTTCACGGCATACCTAAGGTACTAGGTAGGTATACATGTTGAAGTTTGAATTTTGAAGTTTGAAATTTGGAGACAGAAGTCAGAAGTCAGAAGTTAGAAGCTAGAGGATTAAGTGCTTGCATCTCGTAGGACTAACTCCGCACATATAGATGTGCTATCCATCCATAGGGCTAACTGCCTGAACGCCACCTATTTTTAGCTTATAAGAGACATTATATCTCCATTCCTAGTACCTAATGTACGGTGCCTAATCCTAAGGATCCATCCTCTTCCTCACGATGGGGGCGGAGTGGTAAGCAGACTGCGCCTCGTACCATTGGCATTACATATTAAGCCCAAGATCCCCTCCCAATACCGTCTTACGGTTGGACACGAAGTAATTTCTTCGACATTCCCGCCCTTTAAATTCGGTAAAAAAGGAAAGAAAAAAAAGATATATACTACACGCCACCATGCAGCTATTCATCATCGTCGCGATATTTCTAGGTCTTGTCTACGGTGCCGTGGTCGACATAGTCGGAGTAAGTTCTGTCTCGTATTTCTCGTATTTTCCTCGCACCGTCGCCAAGATAGATACCTAATTTCGCGCTTTTTCTGTTTCACTTTTTTTTTTCTTCATTATTTCTCGTTTGTTCTCGGTTTTTTTTCTCTTTGCTGACCAGAAGTCGTAGGGCTGCAACGTGGCCACCAACGTATGCTATGCAAACGTAGACAATTCGGAGCAAGCATCTTGTTCGTCCAAAGCACCCGTAAGTTTAACTAAACCACATCCCGGTTCTCCCGCGGATACAACGGCATATCAAGGAACGAGCTATCGCTGACGCGTCTGAGCAGTGCACTGATAACGCGAAAGCTTGCACGATACAGATTGTTGCGCCTATAGGCTTCCCAGAACGAGGAAAGGCAACATGTTCATAGCGGGATGCTACGTATGAACTTATTTCTTGGTTACAAAATGAAAAAGCGTTGATTAAACCTATGAAGTCCGGGCTCTCCGTGAAAGCATATAGTTCTTGATATGACGTGCTAGTGTAGTATGCCCTCCATGATCCAAAGCTCGGAAGACGACACAGTGTATTCCCTCTTAAAAAGCCAGGTCTCGCTGTTGAACTTGCTTTTTCGCCACTATGTAGGTATGTCTCGGGACGTTACCGGCTTTCGTTGAAAGGTCAACTGAGGGGCCGCTCGATAAATGCTGTGTCACCGACATAGTACTGGCCAGCTAGCCAGTATCTCCAGAATCAGTGATCTCAACTAATGATTCTTCAAAAGGTACCTAGGTAGAGAGTTTTATAGAATCCAATGCTCTTGGTCTTTCATGGGAACACAAGTCCATAGTGGATGAAGAAGACTACTATATACCTAAACAACCAACATTATTTTCCATCAACGTCGTCTCGAGTTAGCTACTACACATTGTACACTAAGTCCGATGCCCCCTAACCTACTGAGCCGATAACTACCTAGTGGTAATTCGCAACTCTTCTGACGACATAGTATGTGGCAAAGGTAATTCTCAACGTCAATCCTGGAAACTGTTCCCGTCCATTCACCCAATACCATAATCGCGTTCATAATCTCGCGGGCATCTGGTCTTCAAGTGAGTAGGCGTGATAATCAAAGGGGATGTGCTGACCTCGTGGGGATACCATACAGCCCCTATACTTTGTTGCGGCCACGTACAAAATGGCTTTCCTACCTGAAACGAGCATACCTCAGACGGGTGTAAACGGACGTATTCGCCAACCTTGAATTGTCTAGGGCTATAGTTGGCGCCAGATAGAAATGTCCGGGATGACATACCAGCACTTACTAAGAGAGTTGCTACCGTGGTTCTAGGTATTCTAGATCTCTCTTGCTCTTGTAGCTTCTAGCTTCTAGCTTCTAGCTTCTAGTCGCACAAATGTAAAGCATGAACTACAAGCTATGTGGAGTTTCACTGCCCGTGGTCGGGATTTTCTCTCTATGCCAACTGTCATCATGCTTCTTTAGCCGAATAGGAGTTCATGATACCTCCGATATATCTAGGATCTCGCCGTAGGATGTGATCGATATAATCCGGAGAGGTATCTAAGATTCCAAAGCCTTAAGCAATGATGGTGGACTATTGCTGACTTATGTACTGTGAGAGCGTGGCTATTGTAGAAACTAAGGCTGTTCAAGTTGACCGATTACCCCGAAGATAGGAGGCAGAGATAGTAGAAAAAACGAGAGGAGTAGCTTAAATAGGTACTCAATATATTCTCATTTAAGTTTCCATAATACACAAATATAAATTCTAGTGAAGAGCATGACTTTCTTCTATTAGAATAGAGTATCAATCTACGTAGGTAACAGTATTCAGGGGTAATATTCTAACAGAAAGCCACGACATGCAGCATGCGAGCTCTCTCTCAGTATAGGTAGCTAGCTCAACCTCCAACCTCATCCTTGACTTCTAAGGTCGTGTGTAAGATAAAAGGCGATGCATTCTCTCTTTTAAGGAGCTTTTGGGGAGGGGAGGGCTTGTTTAAAATGGGATACCGACAGACCATATCATGTCATACTAGGTGAGAAAGCTCTCTGAACAAGTAGGTAATTACGAGAACATGTTCTCAAAGTTATACTAGTATGCTTCTCACTAACATTCAAAAGGGATGACATAGAGTCGTCAAGGAATCTAAATAACCTTGTTACTTGCTACGTAATATACTAGGCAGGTAGCTACATAGCGGTATTGCCGTATGTGAATTCTATTTTTATTTTTCCTATCATCGAAGTTAGCTGTAAAGGTAACGTGGCGATAGGGCGTTGATACGAGTTGAGAACGATTTTGCTTCCGACGTAAGGGGGGGAGGCGAACGAAAAGTATTCCTGGAGTACGGCTTATGCCTCAAATATCGACTAATTTGCGTTTGTAATCAAACTGTCTTAAGATATCTTTAACCAAGTAGAACTAAGGGCCATGACCACGATATTGTGGCGACGACCTGTGTGTTAAGATGGATTGGGATAAGTATCTACTCGTCCAAGATGAAGTCAGATATTAGCCATGACTCGACGACGCTAATGTCAACGCAAAAGAACCTGGAACCTATCGACTTCTATCGTGCATCGGGTTCGGAGCCGATCACACAAATCGAGTAGAGCTTTCTAACATCCCACGCGTGTCTTATATAAGTCCTCTCGATTAGTGCTCACCCACCACGCTCACGTAAACGAGTCCAACGACCCAGCAGCCCGGGTCGTCCGAAATAACACACGCAACCCACGTGCAGAATCCCATGCCCCCATGTACTGTAGGATGAGCGGTCAAGCCATCAAAGACCATCGATTATATCCAACCATCTTATACCCGTCCTCGACCTCGAATTCCGCGCCATTGGCTTATCGCTGTTCCTTTCATCCACATTGGGAATTCGACATATCCAGAAGCGTGGAACGTGCTGACGCCGGCATCCCTCTATGGGAATTGCAGTTCTCGCCTACGTGCACACGCCGCATTACGCGGACCCGAGCGTCGTGTGACATTGGGCTGCGTACGTGCATCGGGGAATAAGCATAGGGCTGGGCTGGAGAAGCACAGCCTCCGGGGAGGTGTACTCGCTAAACTGGCCTCTAAACGATTTGGGATATCCCACACTTCTTTTTTTTTTCCCTCTTGCCGGAAAGGCTCGATCCGAGAAGAGGAAAGGTGCGCCCGGTTGGCTAGGGTAATTTTTCAATTTTATTGGGTGGCTCATACGATTACCTAGATACAGATTTTAATATCTGAATAGATGAGACGTGGGATGAAGGCGAGCACATAGACGTACTCTGCGCCTTGCTCGTCACTTTCACATGCGTCAGCGAGACGTGATAGTGATGAGATGATTGACCAGTACATATGTCAAATCATGAGGGTGGTAGAATACTACATGATCGGCGCTGATTTACGTTGCAGCATGCGTAAGCAAGATGAGGAGATCCTGATTTCGCGCTCACGACTACCATGCAGCTAAAAACTGATTGAGAATCTTAGAAATCTATTCACGCGAAGAAGGAAGGGGAAATTTTGAATAGTATGTAGGTAGGTAGTGAGGTAAATTAGTTTGAGTTTGTCATCTGCTTGAATCTCCTTACGAGCTTCCATCCCTAAGCAACACCCCCTAAGACCCAAAATAATCCGAAAAGCCAATGCTAGATATGCCCAACACCTTAGATATGCAACCATGATTGTAACGGAAATGAAGAAAATGCAAGAAACCACGACGCCATTTGTATGCATGTATGCTCGTATGCTGATTTGATCCTCCCGCTTTCCCCCTTGAGACGATGTAGATTCGAATGAAATATGCTATTAATCCTTAACCGGTAACACGAACCTAACCTTCTTCCTTGGCTTTGCAGCCGGTATATCTATTGGTTGCGTCTTTCCATCGTGACCATCAATAAGGTCTTCGACGCTTAAGCCCATCTCACTCATCGTTTCCTTTTCCGGCTCCTCCTCGATGGAGTATACATCGGGGCTTGGTTCACGCCATGAATGACGTCGTTGAAGCGATTGGGTGGTCGATCTCCCTCGGAGAGATCGCCGCGGTGGTGCGAAACGCCTCGATGGACGCCCGCTTGGTGATCCGACGTGAAATGAGGCGGGTGATAGTAAAGCCTCCGTAGTTTGAGATGTTATTGTAGAAGTAGGTCTCGTCTGGTCAAAGAACTTTTCAAACCCGAACGGCAGAGACGTGTGACCGTGAGGGTGAAATCGGATATAGTCCTCCTCGTCATCGCTATCATCTTCGTCATCTAGGACAGCGCAGTCTGCTAATTTGTCCTTGGGTTTGTATTTCCTAAGACCATCAAGAGTGGACGGGGAAACGGTACGAATGATCTCTCTAGGCCGATTTGAGTCTTCGATCCCGGCGTCAAACTCGAAATCGAATTCAAGTTCCTCCTCTTTCGGGGTCGGCGGCGTAAGAAAATACATCATAGGATTTTCATGAGACCAATGAGCGTCAAATTCATCCTCGTCTGTTGAGTTGGTGTCATAGTTTGTATCATCCTCCAACGACGGGGGGAGGCGACTCGGGCTTGGCGGCCAAGTCGTCTCCGGTTGTCCCCGGGTGGGAATGTTAGTCGGCAACAAAGGCATAGTAGTAAATTATTAGAGGTGTTGAGGTTGAAGAATAAAGGATGTAGAGATAAAGATCGGATCCTACGGCGCGATCATTCCTAGAGAATCACGTTGACAACTTGAAGGAAACTAAAGAGAAAGCCTTATGTTATCAACGAACGTTGCCAGGCTCGAGCCGGCCCAGATACTAATTTATCCTAGAGGTGGAAATAATGAAGCCAGCCAGCCATCCACCTCGAAACGAGAAAAGCGACAGATCGTGAAACACAAAAGAGGGCACGAGAGGAGAGAAAAGCGCAAGGGCGGCGAAATGGTAATATATATATATACTACCACTAGGCAGAAGGTGGGCAGAAGGTGTGCAGCAATATGTTAGTCACCGGTCGGATTAGAAGGTTGCCTTGTGGATCGGTTAAGCAAGCGAAGATGGTGGTCATGCTTAAGAGGGGGACCCAGCGGGAAAGGTATGTATGTAGCTCTTAGGAACCTTGATCGAGCTCGTGAGCGGAGGCGCTCTCTTCCAAATTCCAAGCCATCCAAGGGCTAAGGCTAAGCCGTGGAAGGCTCAGACTACAATCATCTCCAAGCTGATTTCCATAAAGAGCATCACGCGTCAGTAGTGGTCGTAGTGGTCGTGGTGGTGTGTGGATTGGTTTAAAGGCTGGCTCGGTGAGTGGGGGTCACCCAAAGCTGATAGAGAGCATAAGCCGGGTTTCTAAGACATCCTAGGCCACCATTACCAACCCTTTCTCGGTCAAATAGGCATCTGACAGTACTGTATGCAATTTACAACCCGACACACCCGCCATTCGAGTGTGTCTATATTCCGTAATTGCGACGTCTTGAGGCTCGTGAAGCTCATGAGTCTCCTTGTGATTTGATGATGCCGAAGCTTGATCGAATTGACTCGCTTTCAGATCAGCGAATACGTATGCGTCGTACCTTGCATGAAGTTCGATTGCGGCACAGCTAACAAACACGGGTTTGTATGATGTCGAAGATGCGAAGTTCCAAGTTGACGAATGTTGGTTCGCGATAAACCAAGATTATTCGACGATGCACCCCACGATTCTGGGGCGACGATCCCTAGCACCTACCTAGGTACCTAATATCTATACCCACCTGTGTACCGCGCCTATTAGGTAGGTGCATATGTATCTTTGGATCGCGAGTACATATTGAAGTCGGGCTAAAGCTGAGATTAATGTCGTAAGGAAGAGCTCATCCTTAATCCCGACCTTAGGGAGTCTATCTTTAGAGGATCTATCCATGAGAGAGGGTAGGGAGGTACTCCGAAATACGGAGAGTACACCTAGGTAAGTACGTTATCAAACCAGAGATCTATTAAAATAAAGTAAAAGAATAGTAAAAAAGTCGAAGGGGTCTCCTTTGGGAAGGGATGTGGCTGATTCTTGGTTTGGAGTAGCACTAACAGCCAAACACGAAATAGCGTTGGTGTTTCTGCAAGTGTTCAATGTGTCAGATGACGGAAGACTTATCAACTGAAGGGGCATTGTCTTGATTATGGTAGTGATAGAGTCGCAAAGCATAACCATGCCGGCATCTGAAAATTAATTCAATGTAACCCTAGCCAATGCCGGCAAAAGCCATCAACGGTCATCTCCTGCTTGTCGCATTTTGCACGTCGTGAAAAGCAGCATCATTGGAGATGGTCAAGAGTTGGTAGTCAATGATACACTAGATCCGGATCTTTTGACAGCTCCAACTAGATATGTAGCTAACGATGCAATAATTAGTTTTGGTGTGATCGGAACTCGCCTCAGGGAGAGGGTGTCCAAGACGTTGCGCTAGATCTGGATTTAATCCAAAATGTCTTTGGCACTGGACCCCATGTGATCGATCCCATGGATGGAGTATGGATGGGGTAGAAGAACTGTCCACGAATCCAATGATGTCACCGATTCCCATTATCGACGGCCAAATGCGCATGAGAGATGAAATTCAATATGACAGCATTTGACGAAGGGAGAAGGGAAAGGGGAGAAGGGAGATAAGAACTCGATCTAGACTGTCTGACAATTCGATATCCTGGATATCCTATGTAGAGGCAGATCTATTAGTAGCAATTGAAGCTAATGCGTCCCTGTAGATCATCCCTTGAATATGCATATGATAGCAGGGAATGGATTCGAGTTCAAATTAACATCATACATAGGGTCGACATGACTGGTGATTGACTTGTAAAGATCTCGATTGATGAAATTGTAGGGCTGAAAGAAGGTTAAAAGCAAGCTACTGGGTACCTAACTGCCTAAGTACAGGTAGACAGGTACCTAGCATGTTTCCCAGAACTTGGAACTTGTGGCTAACAAATAGGGCTTGTGGTTTGTGGCTCAGATACCCGACTTAGCTAATTTAAATATTATCACGTGTATATGTTAAGAAAACATTATAATACCTAATCAAACTCACCTAACTAACCTAGATTCTATTCCCCTAACTATATGACGAAAAACCTGTTCTTATCGCCACGTTGTTGACACTTTCTTGAACTTGAATCCCGAACAAGTCGAGAATGAGGCAATGAGACCCGTTATTAAATCCCAAGTCTTGCCGATGGAGACCAACCAACTAACGTTGACCCTCCTCCCAAACAATATCTACTTGAATAGAGGCGACCTGATGCATCTAAGAGATCATTCGCGACAGTATGTTACGGTGATCTATTGACATTTCATAGTAGGTAGTCTATAAAAACAACGCATATTATACCCTACAAGACCGCTACCTTCCCTTCGAGATGGCTGATGTGTCGTCGAGCTCCCCCTGACGTGGAAAATCTTAGTCGAAAGATCTCCTAAGCTTTATGTCTTCATGGGTTGAGTCGAAATCCAATATTTTCTGCCTGACCGGTTATCCCTAGTTTACGACAATGCCGATTCCAAACAGTGCGCCATTTAGAAATGGTTGGGCATCCATCCCCTTGATGGCCACAAGGCCGCAACCATAACAGAATCTGACTGAGTGCGTCTAAATTCTTGCATTTGTTCGTCACGACAGCGCAAGATGTCCGGGCAACCCCCGATGACAGCACAATTCTGAAGAAAGTGGATAGACATTACGAGACAACTTAGCTGTATACGCCCCTATGCGATAATATGGAGATAGACCGGTCATACTCGTCTGTAGAAAATTCATGCCTAAAGTTGGTCGGGGGTTTGGGTCGGACTTGAAAGTGAGATGAGATTTGAGGAAAATTCTCATCCGTTCCATTAATTGCGAAGCATGAGCTAAGCAATGAGCTTACTCGGTGACACTCAGCGAGACTCTACCAAAACGGCCTAGGTGGTAGATGAGATGGGGCGTTGAGCTGAATAGACGTCGCGAAAACTACTCACCAAGCGATGGATCATCGCGTTCTCTCAAGGCAATAAGCTTTAGAGGGAGCTATTTCTGCAACTCCTCTGTAAGCTGTCTTTTCATCGTGCCCCCACCCTCCTGGTTGGCGATTTCAGTAACTGAAGAAAGTTTCCTCATATAGGCACTACATGGTTGTACGTGTAGCTCAAGCATCGATACTCTCTCTAAAGAGGATCTAAAGGCGTCGCTAAGTAGTAAGTTATGGCACAAGTGTATTTCTTATTAGGGATTGAGATGTCGTCCGATGCTTTGCGTCTAACCTCTTTGACTAGAGCGAAAGATTTAAGATTATTTCGCCGTTTTAAAGGCCTCACCAGATAAGTCGCTTGCCCGGTCTCATTTTGAAATCTCCCATAACCAGTCTCATCCTAATTACCTGGGGCTTGTGAGATTGATGAGGAAACTCACTTTGCTGCTGGCATCGACCTCAAGCCTGATCGTTGGAATTCGACGACTCGGAATTCAGGGGTGATCCATTCGGCTTTTGTGGGTTGGTCCTATTGGAAGAGCTCATATAGACTCTCATCTCTCACTGCATGCTACGTGCCCTGTTTATGTATTCTCGTCGAAACCCCCCAGACACTAATTGGATAAACCACATCGACACTTCTAACTGGTATCGCCTATCCGAGAGAAAACCAGAAATTCTTGCGCCGGTGTACTGTTCAATTCCCGCAGCTAGAATGATATTGAAATCGCACATGGTGCTGAATTGGAGAGGAAAGCTCATAAGCCGATCCGAAGATCGTGGCGGGAGGACCTATGAGTTGTATTGGTAATTTTAGTTGGAAAGACAACTTCGTACCGACAGTATGTCGAATATGGTATATCCGGCATCCACAGATAGCAATCGGAATTGGCTATTCAATATTGAGGCGTGGCGAGCAATTGTACAACATGACTGACATGTGTCCGCGTCCTTACGGCTCATCTCGAAGACGAAGCACGTCGGGTTCTCTCATCAACTTCAATGGGCAGTGCTCTTTCGGCGTATCGGGAAATAGGACAATAGCCCATAATGTCGACCTCAGTGGCGTTATCCTCCTTCATATTTCTGAGCAGTGACGTGAGGTCCTTGATTTAAAAAAAGAAAAGAGAAGAAAAAGAAAAGCGGTGAAGTTCGTGGTGATGTCTCAGTTGAGCAAAGAAACTCTATCACTCCAATAGCATTCGCCCAATTGCCAAGGAAGGCCCACTATATGGTCAACTTGGATTTGTCGTGAGAATTTTGCCGGTCCACAGTATCAATTGTGTTCGACTTGGCGACGAATGCCAGTCCAGATTTTCACCGAAAGACTGCTGTGCTGTGCTGCCGGCCGGCTTACAGTATAAGCTCAGTAGAGGCACGCGTCTCTCCTAGTGGTGTGCTGTCGTGTATGTGAGCCTCACAATTGCATTGTACCACGCTTGTCACATTCTGATTCTTATTTGCTTAGGTGTGGCAGCTACCTAGTAGTTTAAAGTCTTCGACGATCCAGCTCTGCCTAGCTCGTAACCGACAACTACTACCCATGGGAGGATCACGCATCTACCCGTATAAGTGATAGAAGTTGTCGTGCTGTATTCGGAACCTTGTGCTTGCATCAATGCTTTGTTCAATGTAATGAGTGGCTAAGTACATACCTCCTCTGTGTCCTCCAGAGCCGAGCCGAGCGAGCCACGGCTCCTATAGCGGGGAGTTTTTGGGGTGACTCACATGTAATGTGCTGCGTGATGGCCTCGTCACGCTATGATAGCACGATGCATTTCAGTGCTATGTGTACCTGTTGTAGATAACTACCTACCTAGTAGCATCCGTATGTATGTATAAATCCTGAATGATACCATATCTTTACTGGTAGTTAGTCGATACCGATTTTCTAGAATAATCGGAAAATCTACCTACCCATATGTAAGTGATGGTTAAGAATTGATAATTAAAATCGTTTATAGCGGGAAATCATTGGCGATTACATATGTAAATAATAACTGCCTACTAGGCAGGTGGATGTTTAGCGGATACGCTCACGAAGTATAGAAATACAAGAAGAAACATCAAAGATTAGCGTCCATAGTACACACTTGTATGTACAGATAGGGGTTGGTTTGGGTGGATGACAATGCATCGCTGGCACGGTCCCCCAGGCAGGATAGATTCACGAAGAAGGAGGTCCAGAATACCTCTCAGGACTATCCAGAACCAATCAACTTGCATACACTGAACGGACATGAAATTTTTTCGCCCCCTTTCAAGCCTAGATCTGAAAAAGATCATCGTTCTCATTGAACGGTGTTCCCTACCGAAGAACCGTATCGTCCCGAGACCGTCCATTCTCGCGATACTTGGAGTGGTAGTTGATATGTATTAGCGAACTTATCGCCCGTCAATCTGAGGTCGTCTAATAAGATGATGAGAGAGATATCAGTGAGACATCAAGTGACGCTGCAGCTTTTTATCCTCGCCTGCCAGGATTATGCAACCTATCTAGGTACGTACACTTGAGGAAAAGACGCATACCCATCAGCCCGAACGCGTTAATCGCGAGATATATTGCAATATAATTACCTACCTAGGTAGTTTATATCTTTAGAAATGTCTAACTACCAAGTAAATGTAGCATTCATGAAGAGCATGATACGGCACAAAAGCGGGAGCTACTCGGTGATAAGAACCTCGGATCCCGGGAGAGGGCCGATTTCTCTGGTGAAAGCACCGGGTGAGAAATTCATCTAGCTTTCGAAGTAAAAAGTTGTATGCCGAATGGTGTAATCTTACATATCTTGATTCGGTAATGTCGTATCAAAACTCGAGACTCAAGAGCAAGTATACAATCGGAGTCCAGAAAGGACTAGGCGGCAAGTGAGGGATACCGAACGCCTGCATGGCATCTAGAGGAAGAAGGTAGACGATGGTTCCCCCGCGTCGCGGAAGATGGATAGGATGCTATCGTCCAAACCCGATTAGTCGTATGAGAGAACGATGCTGGCTCTGAACTTATGCATGCATGCTGCAGACCCTTGCCGGGGCAGCCCAATAGCGTCTATAATCGCTAGGGAATGGCACGAGCTGGAAGAGATGTGCGTTGGCGTCCCGTTTCTGCCTGTAACTCTGCCATCTGCCTGCTAGCAAATGGTATTCGACGGGACGCAGAAAATGGACGCCATCGTCATCATCATTGCTACCCGTTGTCCTAGAGATCTCTTCAAAATTCTATCCTTCGGCGTTTATTGGGTTCGTTGTTCTATTCCCAAGCCTGTTTCAAAGAATTACGGACGAACATAGTAATAAAAGCCACAGCGAAAATATAACCCAATCTGGACACGGTTTGCCCGTTGAGAGATATTTCTTCTTATTTCCCGACGCCTTATTGGTACCCAAAGTAAGAGATATGTAATCGGGCATTAAACCCGATACCTGATTAGATGGATTAGCAGCACTATATCTCAACTTTTGTTAGTGGATCTTCCTTCGTCGATTGCTCTTTTTGCCTCTGAAGACGCGAAGACGGCAGGACGGGACATAATCTTTTCCCCTCTACTCTTCTGTCCTTCTGCCCCTCGGCACGGATTCTCTACCATATCTTCTTGCGCCCACTTACGCCCACAACGTCGCCACCGAACCAGTTGTCAGTTGACTTGGGAACATCGGTGTCCAACGAAAGACCATCGTGGAATGCTAAGATCTGCGTTTCCCAGACCAACGAATTCGCAACATTGGCCATAGCCAATCGATCTATGACGCTAGACGCTTCATCGTCTTTGAAGAAACTAGCTGATAGAGAGGAACGTTGAAAAGGTTCAACAGGGTTCGCCTTGCCTTGAACGTCATTTATAATAAAACATAATAAAAGTGAAATAATAACGATAAAATAATGAAACTAAAAAAATAGCGGATGAACGGGGCGAACGGTGACCAGCGATTTGGCGAGGCGGATATCTCGATAGGCCATTATCGTTCAGGAACATGCTCGATTAAAGAGAGATTTTTGTGGAATCCTTCTCTGTCGCTTTGCGGACTAGCGGGCTTGCGGGACCTATCTATTAGAGCTTGTCTGCCTGTGACAACCCACAGGACCCCGTGACCCACCGTTGGGTACCGTTACCGTCTCTTTCTTTTCCCTGGATCTGTGGAAACATTGAAAATTTCAACTTCCACAGCCTCCAAGGCTTGAGGCATCTGAAGCACTAAACTCCGTACCCGCTTAGACGTTCTCTTCCTGATGGGCTAAGGTGAGCTTTAATTCGCCAAGACTATTTTTTATCCTTTCCCTTTTCTGCGAGCACTTAATAATTAAGTGAAAAAAAAAACAAGAGGGATTACAGCGTAGGTTGTGGGAAAGGGAAGAAGAGTTAACCACCTAAGTACCAAAGTACCTTTAGACATAGGTGGAAGGAATTAAAAAAAAAGAGAGACAAAAAAGAAAAAAAGAGTTCATTCCCCATTTTTGCCTATCGATTATGTATTTACCATATTATCGCATATCGATAGAAGCGTCGCAACCTTAAACCGGGAGACCCCTCGTTTAGTCATTGCTCGTTGCTCGAGGAGACAGCGATCTTCCCTGCTCGATCACCAATCCCCAAATTCCCAATCCTCAAGTGCTACGACGTTCGATGCCACCTTACAACAACCAAGCACCCAAGTTACATACATCGGCTTAAACAACATTAAACATACCATTCGTCTCTAACTCATCTCCCGATTCCTAGCTATCTCTTTTCTCGCCTGCCGCCTGTTACTGTACTATCAGCCGGTTACCATAGCTACATATTACGAGTAAGCAGTTACGTATATATTAACCGTCACAACAACATCAATTCATTACCCCGGTGAACATTGGATGTTGAGGTCGGTACCTACTTCCGTCAGGTCAGTTTGTGGCTTTGCTATAATATCATCATATATCCATCTACGCATTCATACTCGCATACATACACATAATACGTACATACGTACATATCTGCAGCTATCCACCTGCCGACCTGAACGTACATTCGGATAGGTACCTAGAGGTATGTACTTGAATTGTGCGACAGTATAATACGTACACGTATTGTATTGGATGTATAGGACAGTACTCTTACAGCAAATCACTGGAGCAGGTGCAGGAGAGACAGGGTAGCCAGTGGTTACCTTACTTACAGATACATCCCCAGGGTTAGAGGTACAACACATTAACAAAAGGAAGCCGCCCCTTAAGTACCTGCGAGTCTCCTCTATCAACCCGGCAACACCCTTCTTTTCCGTTTCCTACCTATGCATCATCCCCGATTCTTCTTCAACCCCCAATCATAAAAAAAATAATAATGAATAACATTAAGGGATAAGGGAAGAGGAATGAGATAAAAACAAATATATCAGAATAAGAAAAGAAGGAAACAAGGCAACCTTGAAGTCGACAGACATACTATCTCCATATATCCATCCATACCTATCTATCTATTTATCTCTCTATTCTTAGCCTAGCCCTTTGATCCTCTTTTTTTTTCTTCTTCTAATACTGCGGAACATTTTTGCAGTTCCTTAAAAACTGCATCTCTCAGTCGAAGACCCAAGTTTTCATAACTTTCTATTGATTTTCCAACGAACGTTGATCGAATCCATCATCCCGACTTTCTAACGCTACAAGTCTCGCCCACAAACGTCTGTTCGCGCGGATCCCCACTTGACCAAACTTGGGTGACAGACTGGGTCTACTGCTTCTGGGTCCATACAAATCCATACAAATCCATACAACCCATACAATCTAGTCTCCTTGCCTTTGCCTACATTGGATCCTACATCCTACCTACATACACAGTATTACTTTTTCCTTTTCTGACTCCTCGAACATTACTAGGTTGTCCACACTATCAGCACTGTACAAGTAGTAGGACACACATCTGCCACGCATTCGCGCATTTGGAAACCCACTTCGTTGGGTACCAGGACAGCTCCGCCCTTCCTGATCCAGTGACTGGATTCACTTATCAGGCACATAAGCCCTCGCCCTCCGGCATGGCGAAGAGGTCAGCACCTTCTGTTGCATACTTTGAGGAGGAAGACGACGAGGGTAACCTTATTGGCGAACCTCAATACGCTCGATCCACCGCACACAGCAGTCCCTCTAAGGAGAAGCCCAACACCGGCAAATCACGAAAAGATTCAAATCGTCGAGCATCCAAAGATTTTAAAGAATTCAAGGATTTCAAGGATTTCAAAGACTATAAAGAATTTAAAGAACCTAAATCCCCCATCCTCTCCTCCCTATCCGACTCCGACTCCTCAACCGAACTCACGAGACGAGTTCCAAAACTTAAGATGAAGGGAGACAAGAAGCGACGAGAGGATCCTCTCGTCAACCAGCAGCGTCCTGCTCCCCGTTCCCGCAAGACAGCACCACCGCCTGCATCTCGACTATCCGAAGAATCTTATTACGGAATAAATCCACAACAGTCCGTATCATCTATACCCGCCAGGCCTCGCGCTCGAACTAGACCCGAGTCATACTATGGCCAGCGACCGCCTCTTTCGACATCAGCATATGCTCACCAACCACCACCCCCCTCACATCTTCCTCCTCCTTCATTCCCCCCAGTAGCACCCTACTGGATGGGCGGGCCTCCACCTCCTACTCCAATGGGACATGCACTGGTTCATCAACCCATTCCCTCTCCTTCATCATATGGAGAGCCGTTGCCTCCTAACAGGGATTTGGCTTCACGATTCGGGCGTCCACAATCAGCCATGGGATTCCAACCGCCTCCCAAGGCACTCGATTACGAGCCGGTGAAAGAGAAGGCACTCACGCGGAGAGGTTCGACAGCGAGGAAGATTAGCAAGGACTACGACGACAGGCACCGGATGCCACCGCCTGCCCGACCGGCGTCTACACAGCCAAATCCGAATCGATTGGTGATCCGCCCCACGCAGTCTTCGCACGCAGCTCCGCCCTCCCAAGCAGCTTCGAGGAGGAAATCTGTTGGGTTTACGGAAGGTGGGTTCACAGAAGGTGAATTGCGGGGCGGCGACCCTTCTATGTATAAAGCAGTGACTCGACGCGAGGTGGAATATGGGACCGGTGCTCTCCCTCCCCGACCGAGGCCTCAGAGCTATGACACCGAATCGATCTACGATATGGGCAATTACGAACTTGAGCCAGCAACTCGTGGTCGACGAAGCTCGTTTTACAATTTCGAGGAGAAGGTGCGCGATGCGTCTCGGTATCAGGAAGACGTAAGTGGAGGAAATGCTCCACCTCTGACGGCTGAGGCTCTCCGGCGTGTGAAGAATGGAGGCAGCAGCCGCTCGACCCGTAGCACTGCGAGTCGTGATGAGAGCGATTATAAGCAATCGGCCACCACACGGACCACAAGATCCGGCAGTGGTGACGATGATATTACCATTAAGCTTCCGATGGGTGCCGTCATCGAAGTTGGCAACACTAAAATCCACTGCAAGGATGGTGGCAACATGAATATCGGCCGTGGCAACGGAACTTCTCGTGCCGGAGGCAGCGATCATGCGGCTCCTTCTAACTACAGCGATGAACGAAGCGAACGAAAAAGCCGAGCAGATCGATCGGAAAGGCGAACCAGGACCGGATCATACTCTCGCACACGCTCTACGGGACCGCCTCTATACCCCCGAACCTCTCCTGATTACTCGCATTACGATGACTACGATGATCGCTACGATGTTCCACAGCATGCACCATACATGGGCTACTACGAACGCGAACGCGAACTCGAACGTGAAGACGATGACGACGATAGTTACTTCGACTGTTGAGTCTTCAATTTAGAAGATATCGACCATTTTTTACCACTTCTGTTTTGATTTACCGGACAAGCGATTTATCATTTATGTTTTGAATATTTTAGCATGTCATACTGCCTTGTGTCTTTTTATCTTGTTCTGTCATAGCGTCTTGCCTCTTTATTGATCTGAATGCTTCGTTCTCGAAAAAGAGGCCAAAATGGATACCCCAAAATGGATCAGAAAAGGGCTCACAGGATAGGAACGCACGCATGCTTCCTTCCCTGCCAGATTCTCCGTGGAAGATGGGATTTCAACAGTGTATACGAAGATACGAGTGGACGAGGATACATGAACGATGGTCGGGTTTACGGACTTGGGGACAACTGGAGGGGTGGTGGGCAGGTGGCTGTGTGGATGGTCTCGTCGAGCGCGTGTTGGCTTACGTTCTAATCTTGCACGAACCTTGATCCTCCCGACCCAACTGGGGAAGAAGGGGGGTGGATCGATGTTCTATTTTTGTCTTCTTTTCTACACACGAATTGGCCGTGCCATGCTGTTGTGCGATACCCTTTGAGCTTCGAAGCCGAGCCAACTCGCATTCACATGGCGTAAGAGTTGGACTCATAGAATCTAATCTGCTCGGCAAATGAAGTTCGCACTTCTGTTGGCAGCGGCATGTTCATGCTTTTTCGCACGCAAAGGAAGGAGACACTTTTTACCGTCGTCCTTCGGTACGGAGTTATTTCAATTGGATAGTTTGTACCTTAATTAGTTGGACTGGTCTACTATCACTTGGAGGTTTGGCTCGAGGAGAACTAAGGGCGGTCGATCCGCCTTAGTATTCAAGCTAAAGCTCACCTGGTTTGGGGTGTGACTGGTGGAAGGCCAACACGCGGAGGAATTCGTCATGATGGCACGGCATTTTTGGATAGCATATGGGTTTTTCTTTGGTTAAAGCGTCTGTTTATCATCGATCTATAGTTAAATACGTACCCAGGTACTGATGTATGTGGACAACTATGTAGTATCTATCCCGACTACAATATCCCCTTTTTGAAAATCAAGGAATCGTATCGAAGATGGTGATTATCGTATGTGAATAATGGGTCTCCTTTAGATATGTCTTGCTATAGCCCATCTTTAAGCATCCTGAAGATATCCTACTATGTAGGCCATGTAATCTACTGCAAGGGAGAGCGAATCTTATCCTCGATCAGTCCATCCTACTCGTCTCGAAGTCCTCTGGTCCTTCTGCCGTGGAATGCAGGTCGGCAAGCAGGCAGGGTATCCCGGCTTCCCCACGTAGATCGTGCCACGTCTTTCCGCGTCCCTGTATGAAACTTACTAACTGGGCGTTTCTCGCCACCTAGACAACGCACTGGCTGTATGTATTCACGTACATATTATATACATATTACTGTCAGACAATAATCGAAATGGCGCCTTGTCATATGCGGTAACTTGTAGCGCGATATTTTTTTAAACAAGATCTCGACTGACTGACTTACGGCTGATTATCTTCAGACTTTACTTATCCACCGACGTTCCCGTTGGATGGATTTTTTTGGGATCGGGGCTGGCTTGTTTCATCGATTGCCTTAGTCCGGGCTGTCGATCCGGGGTTTGGGATATCTCGTGGACGTCCGTAGCCTTTCCTCTTTTCTACACTCTTACCTATCTAGGTATCCATGGCTTGGAGACGACGTACTACTGGTACGTAGGCAAGTTAAGTGCTTATACGCATTTATGGAGGAATATTGGGGGATCCTATCCGGTGGTGGATACGGAGACTCTGGAGTTTGATATCGTCATGCATGCTAATGCTATATTTAATATGTACTTCTCAAAACGGTAGTCTGAATGTGCCGTAACTGAACACCGTATGATCTATTGATGTATGCGATGTACGTGAAGGTATTCAGACCCTGTCATAGGCGAAGGGAAACTATACAATACTTATCAATACCGCAGTCTAAGCAAGCTTCGTGTCCTCGCTAAAGGGCTGAGTTTCCGCTGGTTCCGAACTGTCGGTACATTTATCCAGGCTGGTGGTAATAGAAGGATTTCAGCGGTTGGGATATTAATTGACTGATGTATCGATGTATTGATGTACCGATTTATGTACTGGTAGGTATTCAATGTTGTATCCTTGGATATGAAACAGGAATATATCGGTTTCTGCCCACTACGCACGTAGTCAGGTAGTGTCATCTCATGCTGACTTATTATTGCCTAATAGTGAGAGTGACAGCAGAAGCAGCGGTACGCAGCCCATTCGCTAATTGTTGCAGCTTGCAAGCGGTTAGCGATACCGTGAGCGTGTCGTAGATTCTATCTCGGAAAGGATCGGTATATTGGACGGTTCGCTTCGCATGAATGAAATCCTTTAATCAAATGAGCCATTACGAGTCGCGGTACCTGCTTAGGCTGGGCGCTAAGAAGCTACGCTGATGAAGCAGTGAAGCAATCGGCAATGTGGTTCACCAATGGAGGAGCTAAATCGCCTCACATTTCTGGACTTGGTAATTGCAGTAAGATGGAAACGTTCAAACGTTGCAAGCCTCACCTGATACTGAACTTAAACCAAGTGCCAAGTTCGAGATAGGGGCTAGTAAAGATGGCCATTCTTGGGACCCGCACCTGCTGAACGGTTAGTAGGACGGGCAGGACGGGAAGCTTACAAACCTAAAGATGGATGCTCCACTAATGCGTCTTGTTTCGGACGCATTAAAATATATATGTACCTATGTACTCTACATCGGTACTTTGCTATGTCGGGTTCAATTATCGATACCGTTGTAGTGGGGCTTTTCATGTTGCCGGGTCGATATGGACTTGTTGACTTTTGACATCATTTTCGGCTTTCCCAACCACCCCAGCCACAAATTTCCAAGGCCACACACACTGTGACCCATAGAAACTACCGGACAACCAACTGGTTCCAACAGATCATTACTCCCCTTCTTTCATCTCAATCAAAACAAATCTCGGTTTGCATCGTAACATTCCCAAGGTGCATCATCGAAGCACCTACCAATATCGACTGAATCAATTCCAGTCTCCATCTCTCATGCACTCCGAATTGTAAAAGGAGTGACATTGATCAGATACTTGTCCAACGCCCGCTTGGCTGGGGTTTCCAGCGGAATACCAGCCTAGTCGAAATTTAAATCGATAATTACAGTTTCCATTCCAGACGAACAGACAATTACAAGTACAACGCCATTGTACTCGCCATCAATATGGCACCTGTACTCCCTAACCTCGAAGCACACGCCCGCAACCTTATCACCGCCGCCCGCGATGCAGCTCATCACATCGCCGGTCGCACCGCCTCCAGTACCCTCACCCCATCAACCGAAGCCCTCCGACAAGCCGGGCCTCTAGTAGCTCGCTCGATCTTACTCTCCCGCGATGACTCCACCGACACGAACAAAGTAGACCCTCACAAAGGCGTTGTGAGCCCACAAAACATCAACAACACCTTCGTATTCGTACTCTTTGGTCTGATCGGCGCCGCCTTCGTCTGTGCGGGGATCTGGTTTTTCTTCTGGGCTAAGAACGGAGGATTCCATTTCAAAGAGAACGATTGGGACGACTACAAATCAACTGTGCTCCGCCGCAAGGGTCCAAATGGCACCATCCTATCCGGCGCCACGCCCAGCACTCAGCTCGGTGGCGGGTCCGTGTATAAGGACGTGGACGACGGCATGACTGAGTACACGGGCGGGCTAACCCAGATGACCGGTGACACCGGCGACACAGGCAGCACTCTCACGGGCATCACAGGCGGCGCATCAGACGTAACAGGCCGCGAGCGACGGCGCCAGAAGCGCGAACGCAAAGAGCGCGAGCGCGAGAAGAAAAAGGACCGCCGCAACCGAGAAAAGTCCGGACGCCGCGTCGGCGAAGACGGCGTCCTCGTCGACGAGGACGCCGAAGCCGCGGCCAAGGACCACCTACGCGCGTACCGACACGAGAAAGCCGCTAGAGTCGGCGGCATCAACAAGGAGGCCGAGAGCAGCCAATGGGAAGGAAGCACGAACCGCGACGACTCGACCACGGCTGGCAGCGAGCTGCTGAGCAACCGCCAGAGCACGCCGACGAATACCCCGACGAAGAGCGAGATGAAGGAGACGAAGAACCGTACTGGTGGTGGAATTAGGAAGGTGTACAGTACTGCTGACCGTAACGCAGACCGCGAGGAACGCCGCGAGGCGCGACGGCTGCGAGAGGAACAGCGTAAGGCGGGAAGCAGCAGTGGAATCAAGCGTGATTTCAGCTTCCAGCGCGCGAAGGTGGCGCCGCATACCGCGGCCAGCGCGGTTTCTTCTTCGGTCCAGGCCAGCACTATACAAGAGGAAGGCGAGAGTGCGGTGGGTGAGAGCTCCGGCGCGAACAGGTACCTGCCTCCCCCGCCTGGCGGCTGGGCCAGCGAAGTCGGCACCGAGAGCGAGGTGGGAACGAAGTCATACCACCACGTCATCCCGGGTATCTCGCCCAGCACGGTCAGTGGCAGCGCGAGCGGCGTCGGCAGCAGTGTCACGGGTACCGATGTCAGGGACTACGCGGACGAGAAGAGGAAGAAGCGATCGCAACGCCATCGTCGGGAGTAAAGGGGGTTCATGGGCAGGAGAAACGGAAAGGATGGGTATCGGGAAGAGATGGGAAAATGCGGTTTCTAGGCCGTCTTATCTTCCCACCCCCATACCCCTTTTTTTCCTACATGTCACGTAATACGGAGTTCTTACGCACGAGGAGGAACGGGTCCTCATCAACGATTTGGTTTTGCTCTTTTTCTTCTCACTCGTCTAACGTCTATGGGTCCCACGGTTACGGTTTGCTTGTTGTCGCTTCGGCTCTAGAGAAATGAATGCTAGCATGGATGACGGGTGGGCGGATGGACGATACGAAACACGCATGTATGTAAAATGACCGATGAGGTAAATCAAGGCTACTCAATTACTTGACTTTCATGTTGCCTACTATGTGATATACGATGTAAGGAAATATGCAGTACTTTTGCTTTAAAAGGCTTGGTATCCTTTGAGATCTACTACTTTAGCCATAATAAGATAAAGCTCTAGAGAGGGGATTGAGCTTTACTAGACGTCTCTGACATCGGCCCTACTTTATGCTTACACGACTAGCCGCGGAGTTCTATGTGAGGCAAAGTCCCACTACTCCGCTTCTTATTGTAGTTTGCCCAGTATTAGAAAACAATAGAGTAGAAAGTGAAGAGAAAACGCCGTCACCTGTGAAGAAATCCTCGATTAAGATACACCATGATAATTGTATCTGAGCACAACATTATGATATGTAGGTAGTTTTGGGTAAAATGAGGAGTCGCATTTTTTCTCGGGGTGCTAGATTACTAGATGATGTAAAGTACTAGGTAGGATAGTATGAAGTATGGTCCATATAAACTATTTAGTCGAACGATTGACGCCGAAACCAATAAGGAAAGTGAAATGTCAGCCTAGATAGATAATCAAAGATCGTCTTTTGATTTGTTCCTCAACTGCTCATGTAAGATATAATCGTAGCATCGTTATGATCGGTAAAATTCGTGCGTCATTCTTGTCCTTTTGTTTTTTGGTAGCCGTCCTGTATACCAGATTGTATGCCCTGTTCTGCCCCGAACCAATATACCATTTTTTGATGCTGATCGGCTCTTGCGTACCTGTGTGCTGTTTCCCAGGTCTCTATAACGTGCAAAGGTCGCTAAGGGGTGTAAGGGTAACGGTGCGCTGTTAGAAATAAAACGTGGTTGGTTGAAAAGGATAATATACTACCCGGTCTCCTAGTTAATAACCACCAGTGATAGGGAGTATAACCGTGGGTAGAATCTTTTTAACGTATATATATGTATAGAGTGGGTGTCTTTCGACACCATCCATGAGTGGCCTTCGGCCGTGGAAGAACGTGTGACATGTAGACCGAAAATTAGTTAGGGCAAGGATGGCCTATCTCCTTGACTTTCTTGATGACCGGTGTAATTTCTTGTTCCAGCATTCGTTGACCGCGTATCGGACGTGGTCGAAGTCGTCTTGGGCAATTGAACCGATGAAAAAGACCTTAACGTTGTGCTCGATAGTGACTAATTTAGAGTAATTAACTCTAGATTCTTTGGCGAGTGTTTCGCCCTCCGCATAAACCTGAAGAGCAACTGGAGAGAATCCGAGTTCAGGTTCGTTCTTTAATAGCCTTGGTTTGTGACCAGCCATATAGATAATACCATGCTTGTTAGGCCTCACGCCCCTTTTCAGACATCCTCTTCGATCGTAGGTCAAGATTGGCCTGTACATAGTATTAAAAATCTCCTCTAGAAAAAAAAGCGAGGATCTCACTTACACGCATGTACTATGGTGACTCTCGTCCGTAGTCACGATAATAAATCGGCGAAACCCAACATAGAATTTACTACCGGCCGCAGTTCTCCTTTTAGTGACATCGGAGATTGGGTCATCAGGACCGATTTGTCCGACTTGACCGAGAGGTTCTGACCACAGTATCTTGAATACCTAGTTATCCTAATTAGCACCTGGCAATCTGATAATCTGGTTAATGGCATGGAAAGTCGGCGCTACTTACCTCGCCTGGTTGAAACCTTGCTGAGTGCTCTACCCTGTATCCTACCTATTCCTCAGTAAATTACGGAGGCTTAGATGGGCAAAGATATTACTTACGATTATCTAGTACTTCCTCCTCTCCTGGGGTCCCTTGGATATAGTTGGGATAGGCCGGTGCTGTTGGCACTGGACCTCCTAGAATTGGGGAGCCACCGCGAGGTGTTGGAATATCATCTCCGTTCGCTAACGGTGGGTCTATTAAAAACATTAGCATTGGATAGTTTATAAGATCGATGATGCGCTTACTTAGTTCGTATGCATTAGGATCAACAGTGGGAGGCCAGGAGGAAGATGTGCCTGCGTCTGTTAGAGGCGTAGAATACGATGTTGACTCGCCGGCCTTGTGAGCCCCGTAATACTCATCACGACTTCTACGGACGGCCTCCTCATATTCGGCATCGGCAGAGGCTTCTACGGGTTCATAGCTGTTCACAGGCGGTTCCATAGCATGTATTGGCGAACTAGCTGCAGGATTCTCGACATTCGTGTATTCGGAACCGAGATAACCAGAGTTAGGATCTAGAATCATTAGCTCAAATTACATTGGGAAATAACTGTCATGTCTTACATTGGGTATGTGCCCCTTGGCGATAGTCTGACGCCGCTGAAAACTCGCTTCCGGCTCCGGCTCCGGTCAAGGTGTTGCCGAGCGACTGGTTACCGTATGGATCGATGTGTTCAACACCAAGTGATTTCCCTTTTCCTTTGTCGCTGTGCTGCTGTGGGTGCGTATGGTCAAGATAAGCTGGATCCTGAGATTGATGAGCGTCATGCGTATAGCTAGCTTGATCAACAGCAGTGGCATGCTGGCCTCCATAATCATTAAACTGGCCAGAGTCGTAGGCATCTTGGCCGATATTAATGTTCTGGACCTGCTCCGTTAAACCATCAATGGCATGATCGGACCGCGGAACCCTCTGATCGGGAGCATTGGAGGGGGTTGGAGCAATCCAGTCATATTCTATAGTACCTGATAATGGCCAGTCAGTACGAGCCAGCCGGAATTTTCGGAGTATTAAGGAACATACCATTCCGACCTACTCGTTCTATATACCACTGCTGATATTGCTCGTGCCACTTGGGTTCGCTCCAAGGGCGCGCCGAGGACTTTTGCTTATGTTTCGATTTGTGCATCGTGACATTTTGTAACCATCTCTCTCATTAGGAATACCAGCGGGCAAGGGAACTCGCGCGGAGTTTAGGCCGTGGAAGACGGCAGCATTCACAAGCGAGAGCAAAGTGAGGTAAGCAAATAGAACTGAAGCGGACCGAGCCTTAAAACAGTTATGCGGCTCTGTCACGGATGTGTTCCCCTCGTTTTTAAAGATATCCCTAAGCTGTCATAAGGACGGCCTTACTCCAGACGATTTCGGAACGGCCAAGAGTGTGGGACAACTTTGCTGCACACTACACCAACGCGGGTCAAAACGTTCCTGGGGGCGCAAGCAATCTATCTAATTTGACGGCTCGAAAGTCACTCTTTATGCCTCGTGATGTAGAAGGTAAAAGATCATTGGCCCTGATAACTTCGCGGCAAAGAAGATATGCAGTGATCTCGTGCGTGAGAAATCAAATGGCGTCCGATAATGTGGGAATGGGAAGACGAACAGGTCAGGGATCGTAGGCGAGCTAGAGAGCTAGAATTGGAAGTTGAAGGCCTAAGCAAGAGGTAGGAAGAGACTATCATGTAGGCTCGAGTTGGACAGCCAATCAGCGGAGAGGACGGTAATGGCTGCAACCTCGGCGTTGTTATAGCTGACGGACGAGATTCTCCCAACTCCCCAGGATTCCCAGATAAGATGAGGAGGGCTTCAAAGTGAAAATTGATCGAGTATGAGAGCCGAAGATACGGAGAAAGCCGGGGAAAAGAGGCAGCAAAGGCGGAAGGGCTGAATTAGCGGTCAATAATCATGGACGGAAACACAGAAGAGAAGCGAGACATGCTGTCGCCACGGAAAGCGACATGAACAACAATAATAATTTCGAAAAAGATACTACTAAGGTTGGAAATGGCATGGTTGAAAATGTAGAGAGGGGGTGTGGTGCGTTCTTATCAACTTTTCGAATTTTTAAAAAATTCCAATACTCACTCCCCCCTGAAGACTCGGCCCACCTCTCTCGTCTCCCATTATACTCACGCTCGAGTTTTCCTCGTTCCTCTGCCGTCGAGGAAGAAAACAGGTAGTGAGAGTGTGAGCGAGAGAGAGTCTGGGTCCTTCAAGGGTCCCATTTTGCTTTTGGACAAGGGGGAACAAGGGGGAGGCAGCTCTAAACCTCTGCAACCCGACAAAAGGGAACAGAAGATCAATCGTGGTCCATCAAGCGGCAGCCACTTGGCGAGGGCTTATGATGTCCACTAAGACTACTGCATAGTACGTTGTAGGGTTTCGTAGGGTTTCGTAGGGTTCTGTAGGCTTGTGTAGGCTTGTAACAGCCGCAAATGGCCTAGCTAACGATGTAGCGAATGCAGCCCATATGCGCCTATATGCATCGACGGATCCCTTCTCCATATTCTAAATCACACACCCCACGGACGCCGACCTGTTGAGGGGTGCGAGGACCGGAGGATGGTACGTGAGGATTCGGCCAGATGCATGTGCGATGACAAGATGCGGCTCTTTCGAATGTATTGATCATCGTGTGTACTTTGTTGTGAGTGTTATGAGGTTGCAAATATTATTGAGAGGTGTGTGGGCAACTGAAGCTGGTTGCCGGACATACTGTAAGTGAATCCTTTGGCTTGGGCGACCTACTAGGGACTGTAAAGGCGTCGTCGGGCTGACTCTTGAGGCCACATCCGAAAATGAAATATTCGCCCACGACCTCTTGAAGCTGTACTACCAGGTACACTGCTGCACTGCTAGGTGCTCTGCTAGTGTATGAGTTCCAAGCTGATCCATTTCATGTATACTTACCGACCTACCTACCTAACTAGGTACTAGGTATGTAGGTGTGTGAATACATAAAACGTAATATAGGGAATCCACTCGACGTACTCGAATATACATCAATGATTGTAAGAAACAGAGACATTGACTACTTTAGGGTATTATTTTAATATTTTCAAAGTGGATCTCACCGAGGCCGGGGGTCACCGGGCTCGGGAGATGCTTCCTGCTTCATAGGTGCTCGTCGCTTCCTGGTAGGTGGCCTTTTTTACTAGGATAAGGTACAGTAAGTTTCCGATCAGGGCGCCACGTGCCCTAGCCCCCCCTAGTTCCCCCAAACCTTACCCAAAATAAAGCGTGGGTAACGTTTTTAGTTACAGCGAAGGTGCAGGCTGTACTGCGCGCGTACAGGGCAGCCGGGGGGTAAAGTTCGTGTAACTTACCTCGAGTCTTGGTAGTTTTTCTTGTCGTCCAGCTAGCCTATCCATAGATAATTCATCTGCGTCAAAACATCGTCTCGCATCACTTCCGCGTCACCTGCTTACCTATCCTATCACATCAATATCTGTCCTTACCTAGGTACCTTAGGTAGAATAGAAAAATAACACCAGCCTTGTTTTTGTTTTCCCATTCAAAAACCATTGACTTTGTCCCCCATTTTCTTTATCTAAGATGCAGTTGCGGAGTTGCCGAATAACACTTCCTGAATGGCTACTACAGTCGATCATCGTCGTGTAAATCTGGCTAGAAATAATAATTTGGCTCTTCCCCTTCCCGAAAGCTTCAAATCCTCCCCTTCCGATCATGCCCGCCATCATGACGTATACGGTCTTTCCACCGAATCTAGTAGTCGAGCTTCCATTATGTCTACCGAGGATATCCCTATGGAATTATCCCGTACGTTAACAACCGGATCCGAAGGCTGGTCCGATTCCGAAGACGACGACGACTCCTCCGTTACATCTGACACCTCTCACGCCCGCATCGCTCGCCGACCGCATTTCCCCCCAGTTCTTCCCTCTGTAAACTCGTCTTCTAGCATATCCAAGAGTCTCCCGCAGAAGCTGGCAGCGACCATCTCTGCCGTTGAAGGGTCCGGTTTAGCTTATCGCCCGCAAACTCCAAGCAAGTCTCAATCACCACCTGCTCGCTTCCGACGCGTGAAGTCACCGCCGCTATCTTCTCAGACTCAAAGAGAGTCGCTTATTTCTAATGCCCTCCAAGCCCAGCACCTACCAGATTCCCACAGCCTACCAAATCCTCTTCACGTACCCCAAAGCTGGCAGACGCGGCAGACACGGCCATTACCACATGGCATCGACGAGGTCGTATCGGGACAGAAAGGCGCCGCCGCCGCCAATACTGAACTCGGGTTCAAACCATATGTCTGGAAAAGCTTTGATATGGAAAGTGAAGTGAGCGACGATGAATATAACCAGTCCGGATTAGTCAGCTTCGACGACGATGAGGATAGCGGCCAGGACGACGCGTCTAGTCGCGTTTCTCGTAGCTTCCAGCGACTAACTACCCAATTCTCTAGACTTAGAGACCAGAGAACCAGTCTCCGGGAAATATTTAACGGTGTACAGCTAAAACGGACGCATGTCCAAGAGATGCGTCACGTTAAAGATGACGCTACTCTCGCATTCATGACTGCTGTACAGGGTCTCCTTCCAGATAACCCGGGACTAGATAAGTTCTTTAAGGATATGCGAGATGCCCAACTTAGATGCCAGGAGGCGGAACAACGCTTTGACGATATGCTGGATGAGCTTCAACACGGCGAGGTTGAGCTGGAGTTGGAAGAGCAAAGATTCTATACCGCTGCCGCGGGCATAGATAGCACTGCGTCCGACGATGAATCCGATGATGATAATTGTCCTCAGGTTTCAGAGAACCCAATGTTGCGAGGAATTACTGGTGATCGCCCGGTAGATATCCATCCTTTATTTGAAGAACTTCGGGAGGCATCTAGAAATATCCAGCTAGCCAGGGAACTTTTGGTGAACACCCAAATGAAGAGAAAAGCCCTGAGTGCAGGGAAGTCTCATTTGTTGTCCCCTGATAGTATTCAACTATTAGAAAGTTACGGTGAGGCCGGGAAGAAACGAGCCCTCGAACTCAAGCGATCAGGGGTTATGTCGCAAGACGACGTAGAGATGTTACAGGACTACGACATCTTGGAGCAGAAAGCCCTTTCTGACATTGATCACTATACCAAGGAGACCATGCGGCTGGAGAATGAATGTCGCGAGAAACGGGTCATGCCCCAAAACACCCCTTTTCAGCAAGAAGGGTTCGGATTTAATCCCGTGTATGCAGACGAGATTCGCCTAGGAGATGATTTATTTGATAGACCTCCTAAAGGGCAACCTAAGACCTTAGCTCACCCTGTGTTCCCGAAACTATTATCTAACCCTATATACCTTCTTGACGAGTTCCCCCAGACAGCTCAGCAGTCACTTCGACAAGCCTTATCGTTGCCCCCGGGGTTGCCATCCCGCCAAATGCACATCGACAATGCAGCTCGCGAGGTCAACATTCACTCACTCCTCAAAGAGGTTGGGGAACAAGATGGCGACAAAAGGGGATACATCAACCGATGGCTGCTTCACAAACTTCATTTATCGTCTATGGAAGCTGAGCTTCTATGGTCAACTTTTCATTCCCGTCTCAAAATCCTCAACATTGACAGATGGCAACAAGATGTACTTCATTTGTGGTGGAAAGACCAAGCTGCCAACTTACCACCGGCTCAATTTGAAGGTGTTTATGAAGATCGCAGCTCGGCCTCAATTAATCCAAGGTTGGATTTGCCTTCGAGATGCTATTCCGACTCTCACCAGTTAGACCGCATGAGACTCTGGGATATTGAAGAAGCCTGGAGTTAAACTCTGCTGTCTTTTTCCTATTATATTACATCCTGATCTTTTTATATACATACCTAGCCATTAATGGTTATTTCTGGCTCCGTTTGCTTGGTTGTTTCAAGGATAGATCAGGCCGGATCTTGGTTTCGTGGAACACAGAAAGGCGGCGAACCGCGTCAGGAAAGATTGATTTACGGACTCATATACCCCATTTGCGATTTTATATCATCATGGAGTTAAGTCATCGGATGGGAATGGTTGAGGCTGGATTACTGTTTTGTGTCTATCAATTCTACCTACCAAGTTTGCGGGAGGAATTCAGTTGTACAACTTCGAGGGCGTTCGATTATACCCCAATGCTCATTGGTCCAGAACATTATTACTCCATGCAAGATACCTAATCACCACGAAACTTATCATCGACCTTGCGTGTCGACATTTAAAGATTTACAATACTAAAATTATCTACCTTCTTCCCAAAACTACCTACATTATCTACAGGTACTAACAGTGCACATACATATATGTAACCTCTTACTGGTATATAAGTTCGTTAAGGTGGTGAGACCTGACTAAACTAAAATAAACTAGTCCGGCGGGCCGTCCCACTCGGATAGAGCACCTAATGCGCTACGTAACCTAACCTTCGTAGGCATAGAGTTAGTAAGGTATCGGCCGGAGTCGAGCCGCTTGGGTAAGGTATCCCACTAATATTTCCCCTCTCCACCAATTGTTCAGATGCGGGGTGGACAGGAAACGATGTATTACGAGGACACAATCACATCGTTTATATGTATGTAGGTAGCAAACCTTGTATCTTTTTCAAGGGATACCTCGATTTTTATTACTATTAAGGTAGGTATGTGATGCTCCACGTTGCACACACTACAGAAGTTGCATTAACACCAATCTCCTAGGTCAAGTCTAGCAAATCAAAAAGGAGTGAATTGGCACGGAGGGCAAGTCAAGGTAGGCTAGGAAACGTCAAAATGCTATAATTTCCATGGTTGAGACGATATGACTCAGGTGGTGGTTCAGGTGGTCGGTCAGCCGGTCTACCGTAAGAAGCATGCCTAAGACGCCGCCGTTCCTTCGAAAGGACGAAGACGATACTGCAGCCCGACTCTTTTCGCAACAGCTCCGTGTCGAGCGTATCAAGCGTATCAAGCGTACCAAGCTATAGCTCCCGAACGGAGATGCCAAGCACCGCAGGATTAATCTACCCATATATCCCTCCAATCCCGCTTAAGCTGCTTGCTAGACATAGGTCACCTGGTCCTAGGACCGGAATGACTCCTCTCCAGGAGGGTCGCGGCGGGATACAATACGTCCATTTCGCCCAACGGAACCCCGAGCCTGCATCCCCTAGTGGAGGGTTGCGACCGGGACTAAAATCTAAGACATAGACATGTATACTATGTTGTTCTCTACCTGTCAGCCTGTCTACCTCTTCACTAGTCTACACGTGTATGTCTTAGACGAAAGGGCAAATATATCTACCTCTTACCCAGTTAAGGTAGACCGATAGCTCCACGCCCCCCTTCAGCCCGTACGACGACGGAAACGCAGCAAGATGCAAGAAAATAATTAGTGGGGGGTCGAATCGGAAAATTCGGCTTTTTGAGAAAATTCGTGATTGGGAAATTTGAAAAGGGTTTAACTCGAGCCACCGACGAGCTGTCCATACCTGGCACGTACCTAGTAGCCGGATCAGGTGTGTTGGGCTGCAACGTCGCGCCTCACCACGGTGTGTGGGGGAAAGGATAAACCACATGAGAGGTGTTCCCAAAGGTTATACGATCCCGCAAACGCTCTAAATTACCCAGATCCAGGCTAGAGTTGGTTGAGGTTTCATCAACAAGCGGTTCCTGCAAGGTACGCGCACCTCGGTAATGTTCGTTGGCCGTTCCGAGCTGCAGAGGTCGCGGACGCCGGTAAGGTTGCCTCAGCAGCCCCCAGAGAGGGCCAAGTCGGCTAGCGATTAATTACTACGCCCGGCCAGAGTGGGAGGCGGCTTTGGCAGATGTGATAGCATCCGGTTTGCTCGAACGTTGGGAATTCTTATAGGAAGGCTTGCCTTGCCGACAATCAACTTGTGGCACGAATGACCGGTGTTTTCGTGGTTTCAACCACAATCGCACCTTGTCGCTATCCCGTCGAATTTCCACATGGATTCTGCGGAAACACGCATCTTTTCGCTCCTCGGTGTCGACTTTCGCTATGATGGCTCACTAGGATGAACTACATCTGCGATCGAGAGCTATATAAGAAGAATAGTGGAAGGCAATTGAGCGATGAACAAGAGATGATAGTACGGCGAGCTGCTAACCTTCACAACCCCCTTTTCCTCTTACGCCAGGTGCTTCCAAGCTTAATTACATAATTCTCGATGAGATTCTGGTAGCACCGCCACGCTATTTGTGATCAATTCACTTAGATTGATATCTGGATTGATACCTGAAGACACTGGCCCGAACAGGAGACTTGTGCGCTCATATGAGAGCTAAGGCTTAACAGCACCATCAGCCAAACACTCATAAACAACACATCATATCAACAATTCAAACCGACTCCTTCACTTCAAGGAGAATACTTTACCTACCTAAGTATCCTGTCATTATCTATACCTTCTAAGCCAGCTTAACTCTTACATCTTACCGTTCAAAGCATCAAGGCCGCTTTGTGTGAAGTTGGAAAGCTAATAGAATCTGAATTCACTACATACATTAAAGCTAATGATGAGATACCAAAATACAATATGGGGTTGTGACGTATTCGTGGTACTTGGAATAAACAAATCTACCCACTGGATGTTTCTTGACGACATCTCTTGGTTGCCCCTTTAGCCGGACCTCTTGCGTGCTATGTGTCTAGTAGGGGCTTTTCAGTATCGACACCGACAACGACATCGCCATCGACTTCGACTCGAATTTCAGACCCGATTCCGATTTCTTCTCCATTGCCTACCTGTTAGAAACTGAACCAGGTTAGCATCTACCACACGCAAAACCCTATCTAATACGTGGACCTTGTAATATCTATCCCTCACGCAAAACATTGGACACCCTAACATCCAACCTCTTCTTCTCACCTACCAAGCAGATAAACACATGCAGCTCATAGGTATCACACAAACCTGAGATTTATCTACAACTCACGAGTAGTATCCTCTGGGAGGATAACACCGACAAGAAAAGCATCTGGGATAGCTGTTGATGGGTCACTTCCAGTCTAAGTATATCGGTATGTTTTGCCCCTTCTTGTTGCTTCCCGATATTGCTTGAGGATTCCCCAGAGAGCACGATATCGTGAAGTTGCCGGTACAGCATTTGCTGTCGTCTTCTCGGAGAATCAGCAGTCCCTTGCCATCTCTATTTAAAACATGAATTGGATGGTCCTTGATTTAATTCTGAACTTCTAAACTTTTCATCTTTCATTTTCTCATCCTTCCCGCTCCAGATTCACTGGTAACTTACAAACCATTGACCTAGCAGCACAACTCCATAGGCATACCACGAGCATCAACGGTACACATCCATCTAAGGGTCTTTGCTTGTAATATCGATCCCTTTATTCATTCTATTTTTCATTTCCACGTACTTCACAACCTCATTACAGAAACCATCCCATACAACAAGGGAACCCAGCAGCTACTAGTGCTAGCCAGCCAGCCAACCTCACTCACTCGCTTGGTATCCAATGGATATTGCTTAGAAAAGCATTCACTCTCATTATCATCATGGCGCTGCAATATTCGCCTACCCTGTCAGGTAAGCAAGTTCCATTTTACCAATACCCACTTCTTCGAAGTCACAGGGTTCATAGTTGACTCCTTTGGCTTTACTCATCATACCCGCCTTCTTACTATATTACGTACCCCCTCCTTCCTTTCATTTCCTTGGGCTGTAGTCCGTGTATGGAATTTTTATATTTCTTTCAGCTTTCCTCGGTCTTGTCTAGGATGTGTCCTTATATGAAAAGGAATAGAATGGCATCATCTTAGATGGGATTTCGTTTCATAATTAGTAACTTGCCAGATGATATAACTACCATTACTAACATTCTTAAATAGGCCCTGGCGGCTGGCCTTCTGGGGCTATACCCACTGAGGTTTTCTGGGTGGTTGCATCATACCTACCAGATCGCGAGGACATCAAATCAATGCGCCTAGTCAACCGAGAATTCAATGGCAAGGTGTTGTGTCACTTCATGAAACAGGTCGTCATTAGCTTCGGTCCTGAACAGGCCATGAAATTCGCCGATGGTGTAGTCGGTGGCAACAACCTATCTTCGTTCGACATGACAGAGAAAGTTCTGAAATCGACCCTATTTCATTACTTAGCCCCGCACATTCAGCGTTTGGGGCTCACGCTCGAGTTAAGCGAAGACGAGCTAGCTTCTCCGAATGTTGACAACTTAGATGAGATATGCCTTCGTTCTTGGGGTGTCTACAGATGGTTTGTACCTTCCGACAAACATCTGACTCCCCTGGAGAAGGTGACGATGGCTCTAGAAAAGTGTCAGGGTGTTGTTCGCCTCTTAAGCAAGGTTACCAATGTCCGCGAATTCGCATTATCTTGCGATGGATGCCTAGGTTATCTCCAAGGCCCTGACGTGAACCCCTTCCAGCCTCCCGGAAGACTGCCGGTATTCGGCAACCACAACGCGGTTCGCGTTACCGAGGATAAATCCCTGCAGGTCAGATTCGACAAGTCGTATAAGCTGGAAGTTATAGAACGCAAGTTAGCTGCCGCTGGGGTTAAAACGGCAGACATCCCTCGCAAGATTTCCCAGCTTCGGAAATCTGAAGGCATTACCCTCAAAAATCTAGTGAAGGAGAAGCGAGATAGAGCTCCCCTTCCTCTCAGCCGTTATCAGCATGAAGTTACACGTGACAAAGTGAATGACGACCAGATCCGCTTGCAGCCAGATCAGCTTACTGAATCGCAAAAGTGGTACATGCATCGTCATTTATCTACACAAGGCGCTATGATTCAATCCTTCATGATCACGATGCTTGATAACAGCACCGCCTTTACAAGGTTGACCAAGCTGAACCTCGCGCGTATTCCGAGCTTTCATCTCGACAGTCTTTGCCGTGATGACTTCTGGTCCTCCTTGCCACAAGTGGAGGATGTCGCTCTGGGCGTTATTCCTGACTGGAGAAGCTTGAAGCAGGAAAGCCAATTCGACATTAGCGTGAGACAGGTATATCCCACGGATGCAATTCCCAAAGTCTTCAACTTATTGAAGAACTACATCGGTAAGCAGCCTAACATCGAGCGGCTCCATTTCGAATGGCACTGTGGTGGAGAGTTCGCCGCTGGAATCGCGCAAAGGGGTAGATACGTCCTACCTGCGCCTTTCATCGCACAGCACCGAATGGTGATAGACTCAAGCCAGGGGAACATTCTCATCCTGCCGTACATCACCCATTTATCTCTGAAGAATTGTTGGTTTGCACCCAACGTATTCTACCGCATTATGAAGACTATGGCTGCGGACCGCTGTCTCGAGTCTCTTGAGCTGGAGTCGGTCTCCCTTAGTGGCTGTCCAATCATCCGTGGACTCATGGCAGACATAGATCCGATGCCTCATCAGGTCACGGTTCACACCTACAGATACGATTATAGTCCGCAGTTATATGTTCTTCGAGCTGGTTGGAATTTCTCTTGGAGTCATGTGATTGACTTGTTATCGCCTATCAAGACTATTTCCGAGACTGTCGGTGAGCTATTAGGCGGAAATGTGCTTCCTCGAACGAAGAAAGGAAACAAGATCCAAAGACTCGTCTTCAAGTCTTGCGGGTACGTCGACGTACCCGACAAACGCTTCATCTCGTATCGACATGATGAATTTATAATATCCGATGGGTCGCTTTTCCTAGAGAAGATGCGGGTCTTCAACGAGAATAACCCAAGGATGCTCCAGATGGAACGATTCGTGCAGGTCTCGACCGACAGACATCTGGCCACCGTTCGTGACTTATTCGATCCGATGGAGGAGTTAGCTTTGGAGAAGGTGTATGGACTACGTACAGGATGGGCCGGTGTCTACGACGAGGCCATGATCAAGGCTGCCAAGCGAGACGGCGCCTTTTCCCCTGGCATAGGACGCTTCTCCGGAACGATCGAGCGCGTCCCGGATGTCGTATCAGCAGATGACGATGACTTACCCGACGTCCAGATGAACACAGCTCCCTTTGAGCATGGCTACGATGACGCGAACGGTCTAAGTCGACTTCTGAAGAATATTGAGCAGCGCCAGAAGTATACAGTCGAAAACTTTGGTCCTCAGTAATGCTGAGGTACCTACCTAGTATGTATACATCAAAAGTCCCGGCGTACTTTCCTCCTTTTTTCCATAACGGCATACTAGGAGGTACCTATGCATCAGGCAGGCGTTATGGAGTCCATGAAGGCAGGCGTCTCTCTATTCTGCAACCATATGGGAAGGACCTTGAAGTGTCTTTCCACGACGTGTTGATTTCCTTACCTCACCACCAAAAGATTCACAGTTATTGCGCACATCTACCACTTCTCTCCGTTCTTAGAGAAAGTGGTAGGACAAGTTTCCACAGCAATGGATGAGATAGGATGTACTATCTCGGGTCTGGAGTATGAGGCACGGGTAAGCCTCAATAGGATAGGCTACTGCTTTGCCTTTGCCATTTGTAATTGAGTCGCGACGCGATGTACTTTAGTTTTCGCCTTTACTGGCATACACCTAATTAAAGGGACTATCGCAATTTTATGAAGAAATCCAACCTGTGACTTTTGTGAATGCGGAACGGTAGGTTGAATTAACTTTTGCTCTATTATTGGAGAAGAGTAGGTCGACAAGTGGAGTATGAAGGTAGCATACTTAGGTATGATGTCGTGTATGAGTAATGGGCCTACACTTAGCACAGCTCCGTATATTGTTAATAGTGAACGTATATCCATATAGGAAAGGGAAGTATCAGTCACAACCGGGAAGAGCAGCGCAACTTGTTCAGTAACTTTTTGGTATTTGGGGAATCACGAAAGTCTTATTCGCGAATTGCATGCCAGAAACCTTGACCCATGCTTTACGACCGCCTTGACACCAGGAGTGAAAAGCACTAAAAACCCCGAACCTTCTCCATTAATCGTCACATCACCCGCCCTGTTCTCCTCTTAAGAGAATCTATGCGGCAGTGATGGCCTGGCGGATACGAGCACCGCGTTGTCGGGAGCTCAAGTGTGTGGGCTCACGTACAACAGCCTCCGACTTCTGGACAACCTCCTCACCCTCGGTTAGGATTAATTCGACGTGGCATGGGTTAGACATGTAGGGGTTGATCTATAAAGCATGCATATTAGTGGACCTAGACTTTTGTGACTTCGAGGAATATTAGTGACATACACGACCGTGGGCACGGTAAGTTCGTCTTCGCTGCTTAGGGGCCTGGTTGACCTGGATGTGCTTGACGATCAGGTTGCTGGTATCGAGGCCCTTAGCATCCGCGTTGGACTCAGCATTCTTCAGGAGACCGAGCAGGAACTCGGCGGACTTTACGGGCCATCGGGCCTTAGAGACACCAAACTGCTTGCCTGTTCACACCAAATATGTTAGCCAACTTGTCCACCTCAATCTTTGTATCCATATCCAATTGCGTTCCATCGATATTTATTTTTTTAATTTTCTCCACTAATTGTATATATATTCGCATGGAAAATTCGTACCTTGGGCAGTTCGGCCAGTGCTGCCAGCGTATCGTCGCATAGGGACAGCCTCGGTCTTCTCCTTCACATTCTCGAGGAACTTAAGAGCGCGGACCAACTTCCAGCCGTTGATAGCTTGAGCAGTCTCTCGGGTGTTCTTGAAAGAAACACGTAGGTAAGCACCGCGGGCGCGGGCCGACTTCGCGGAATCGATCTCGGTAGCAGCGTATCGAACCTGTAGACAAATTGGCATTAGTCGTCATTGCCCTTCTAGACCATATATGTATGACATTGGTGGTGGAATGCGGGATGTGGGATGGAGGATGCGTGATGCGTCGACGTGATCGATTTCGAGTCGTGAAATAATATGATGAATATTCTAATCGTCGCGGAATGAAGGATATTTCGAATGTATCTACTCGAATGGGAATTTTGGACATACCATCGTGACTGCTGTGTGGCGTTGAGATAGAAGATGGACTCGGTAACGTTGATTGAATTGAAGTTTTTCGCGAAGTCAAGTTGGGGAAAGTTCAAATTGTAGAAAATGTTAAGTTGTGGCCTCGCTTACCGAGCCTGTGCGGTACGTACTGGGTCTTAGTCCTGTAGAAAAGAAAAGCCCCACCTGTTTAAAACGTCCTTCTTATCGATAATCGTTTTATCAACTTTCAACGGAGAATCTTCGGTCCCTAGGAGCTCGGACCACGCTACTTTCTTAATGCACTCCAAGTGGATATCGAGGTAGCTCCGAAATTTTTTTTTCTTCTGAAGCTTGACGAAGGAATTTTTTGTTAACGAAGCTTAACGCTTGACTTAAAAAATTCTTCCAATTGTCGTTCGCCAATTCCTCAACGCGACAACCGACGCGATAATAACTTGTCGCACATACTTCGCAATCTATCCCACCTTAACAATTCTCTTTAAATATGGGCTTTACACCGAGAGGAGGTAGAGGCGGTGGCCGTGGTGGTGGAAGCCGAGGTGGCTTTGGTGATCGAGGTGGTTTCGGTGGACGAGGAGGTGGTCGTGGAGGTGCTCGAGGTGAGTCAAATCTGCGGAATCTGTCTATATAGAATTCGGAAGACTGAATATTAATCTGATTTGTAGGTGGCGCGCGAGGTGGACGAGGTGGCTTCGGTGATCGAGGCCGCGGTGGTCCCCCCGGCCGAGGACGTGGAGCTCCTCGAGGTGGCGGACGAGGAGGTGCAAGAGGCGGCGCAAGGGGTGGTGCGAAGGTTATGGTCGTAAGTGAATCAAAAATTGATCTATTTTCCCCTTCATGTTAGCTAATTGACCTACCTTAGGAACCTCATCGTCACGAGGGTGTATTCGTCTCGCGGGGCAAGGAAGATCACTTACTCACCCGAAGCATCGCACCTGGTATCGAGGTCTATGGCGAGAAGCGAGTGTCAACTGATACCACTACCAAAGGAGAAGATGGTGCTCCTATCACGACCAAGGTCGAATACCGAATTTGGAATCCTTTCCGAAGCAAGTTGGCCGCCGGTATCATTGGAGGTATTGACAACATTTACATGAAGCCCGGTTCCAAGGTCCTGTACTTGGGTGCCGCTTCTGGAACATCAGTTTCTCACGTTTCCGACATTGTTGGCCCTACCGGAAACGTCTACGCCGTCGAGTTCTCCCACCGATCTGGCCGAGACTTGGTTAACATGGCTCAAAACCGAACCAACGTCATTCCCATCGTCGAAGATGCTCGACATCCCATGAAGTACCGCATGCTTGTCCCGATGGTCGACTGTATCTTTGCCGATGTTGCCCAGCCCGATCAAGCTCGTATCGTTGCCCTGAACGCTCACATGTTCCTGAAAGTCGGCGGTGGTGTGGTTATCTCCATTAAGGCAAACTGCATTGACAGCACAGCTGCTCCCGAAGCAGTCTTCGCGCAAGAAGTCCAGAAGCTGAGGGCCGAGCGTATTAAGCCCCAGGAGCAACTGACACTAGGTATAACATCTCCCATCCTCTTCAATCTCCTCAACGCTAACCAATGCTTCCAGAACCCTACGAACGAGACCACTGTATTGTGATTGGACAGTACCAAGAGGCGAAATGAGCACTTTACAGGTTAGAAGACAACCTGTCTTGTGTTAGGATAGTCTTGGTGTGACGATCACGATCCATATGGTTCACGGGAAGGAGTTATTCCCAACAGGCAACGGCGACTAGGCGTTATGGGGGTGGGATTCATGCTAATTCGATTGTGTATAGTTCCATTAGGGACAAGTATCTGGTCAATACCACATAGGCAATTTGGTCCGCGCGCTCGTCTATTTCATCTGATACATAAAAGTTTTCTTCAGCAGCTATTGGCATCTTGTTCATATCGTAGTATCTTGGAGGTCTAGTTCCTAGACTTATTTGCCTCGAAACCATGCTAACCTACCAGTCCCGAATGTAGTCTGTGTTCTCACATAGTGCGCATACCTCTTCTATTAGGCATACAACACATACTTAACTAGTTCACAGAAAGCGAGTATCTATCTACTCACCACGTTCCATAACCCATTATCTGAGTAGGTACTTTACCCCCCAATTCAATAAGGACCATCCGAATCCCTCGAAATCTTCCGCCCCCTATACGTAGCAAAACTTTGGCTAAAAGGTCGAGTAGAAGGTACTCCCACCCTCGTCGGCCCGCACGTACTTATCACCGTAGGCGCTTGTGGCGGCGCCCGCGCCGGGATGGGCGGTTGCCCTCCTCCGCTCCACGCGTAGCCTAACCTGGACTCTTGCTCGTCGGCAGCGCAGCCAGCGCACCCTGCTCCGAGCAAGCCGAACCCTGACACTGGAATCGGCCCCCCTGTGCCTGCGTTGTTGATATTGGTATTGGTGTTGGGGTTAGTGCTAAGGGCGCTAAAATCAGGCAACGGCACCTCCTCCGCCGTCGTAGGCACGCTCGGTAGTCCGACCGAGGGTACGCGGGCAGACCAAGTAGGGACGGTGGGGTTCTCATACCAGTTAAACGGCGGCCAAGGCCAAGGCCCGGGTCTAGGATCACCGCCCACGTCTCCTCCGTGCTGCTCCACTACGATAGGCTTGTACTGCTGCTGCTGCTGCTGCTGTATCGGGAAGGGGTAGGGGTTAGGAGTGGAAGGCCGCACGAGTAGGACCCGAGTCACGGGCTCGGGCTGCCAGTCCATCTCATCGGCGCTTTCGAAGCCGACGCCCGCGTCGTCGGCCCATTCGCAGAAGCGCTCGCCGCACGCGCGGATGGCCCGCGTCGCCCAGTTCCGGAAGCGCAGGTTCGCTCGTCGGACTGCGCTGCATTCGGTGCAGAAGCGGGTGTTGGGTCCGCCCCCGTTTCCGTTGAAGTAGGCGTTCGGGGCAAATGAGAAGGGGGAGGGTTGTTGGTGCAATGTGGTGAAGGGGAGGGGTGGCGGCGAGGTGAGGAGCATGTCGAGGTCGGAGCATATGTCGGCGGGTGTATTGGGGGTGTTATTATTGTTGCGGCGCTTGCATCTGTTCGGTTTCGAGTTCGAAGCGTTGTGCTTGTTGTTGTTCCTTTGCGTTTGACCACCACGGGGACCGGAGGTGCGGCCGTTGCCGTTGTGATATGGCTGTGCGCCTCGACCGCGGGGCGGGAAAGATTTGTCATTGCCTCCTCTCCTGTTAGCCGGGTTATGATTCTTCGTCGGTGGCGGGTCGACGCCCTGCATATGGTCGTCGAAACCTACGGTTCGTGGCCCCCATCTATTATTGGCGTGGGCTTTTGGACGCCGAGTTCTGTTCTTCTTCCTTGACATTATGTGTGATGATAACTATACCTAGGGCGTAGGCTCTCCGCGCGGCTTGGCTACCCGTTTGAGCTCTACCAATTTTCAAATTCTTTAGTGTCGCTAAGGAGGTTCTACTAGAGATATATTGATGCCCTAGGGCTTCTAAGAACTGAAGGGAGCCTGAAGCCCATTAAGGGGGCCTTCTCCATCTTAAACCTTCACCAGCTCTGGCAACTGAAAGGGTTGCCATAGCTACTTGGGGTTATGAGACTTCTCTAGATGTTCTAGAAAACAAAGGAAAAAACCATCTTAAATAAAGTGATGAGCTTTCCCGCAAACTACGAATAATATCCACCAGTGTCCGGTCTTGTGGCAATGGCGGGATCTAGAAGGTTTCTATGGCGAGGAAATATGAGTCGTCTTATTGAATTTTCTCTACAAAGAAATTCCAGGCAGTCGGGGAGAACTCGTCGGCAGTCATGCAACCGTTCCCAAAGTCTAGAAGAAGACAATGGTGAGTGTGAAGAGTAGAAGAATCGTAGTTGAACGCGCGAATAGTAGCTGACACGGGTGTCAGTTTTTAAAAGCTGTGGGCCTTTGTGAATTCCCGCGATCCTCTCTCATGAGACTTAGTTTCAACCTTGATAAATGCAAAGTCGGTGAAAGAATTATTGTATCTTCTTAGCCCTGGAAGAAACATTGAGGTAGCCGGTATATTCTACTCATTTATTATGGGAGGACACCTTTGATATAGCCTCACGTCGATTACCTGTTTCGAGGAATATGGATAAAGCCGACATTTGTTATTTGGTCGATTTTGACTTTATCATCCCTCCCAAACTCATGGAAAATATGTCTGTCTGGGATGACTTTCTCATAGGCGTTAATTTTCAGAGAACTATCAAGCGGTCCTATGATCTTCATGTCTTCAAGAGTGACTATGAATATGTTAGCTAATGCTTAATGATATCCACTGTCGTTGGTTGATGTTACATTGACCTAGACGCGAAGGATTCATCTAACATTTGTGACATTCGAAGTGGATTCTAGAAAGGTATGAGGCTCTGGAGCGTGCCAAAAAAGTGATTTACTTGCTTCTTCCCACGGCTTCAATGTAGAATACGATTGCCGTTGCTTCTCTACCTAGTATCTTCATATAAAAATTCAATTGCTGTGACTTTGCGTAGAGAGCGGGGATATTGGGATGAATTTGCGGTGCCTGATACGGCCCTTATACTGTTTTGGTATAGGGAGAGAGGGAGTAATGACCTCTAGCTACTAAGTAGTAGATAGGTACCTAGGTTACGCTTTGACTTTGGAGACGTTGGCTGGCAGTTGGGCGTCGAAAATACCTAATTCGATTACTTCCCCGGATCCCACTCTAGACTCTGACGCCAAAAGAGGGGCTATTGGAGTTATTGATTTTAGAAAGCTAAAGTAGCAATGATAGACCTTATGCTCGGTAAGGAGTTTGCAAGATTTTCCTTTGGGAATACCTACCTAGGTATCTTCTTAGGCGAGTTAGGCGAGTTTCTTTCTCTACAGGGACTCTGAACATCGGAGTATAAGAAATGAAGAATGAGAGAAATATGGTTTTTTTTTCTCGGGAGATCTTGGAAGATCTCGGAAGTCGGGTCGATGAGGCAGCATGGATCAGGTAAATCCGTAGACCAATGCAATCTCGACTTATGCTGGTATCTTCAAATATCTGGTTTCGCAATTTAAAAATTTGAACGCTAATCCAGCAGCGTTGCGATGGCGTGGTGCGTGAGACAGGAGAAATTGTTCCACGACAGTTCGGTAATGCATCGCGAAGGGTAATTGCCGGACGTTTGCTGATGCCCCGGTTGGTTACGCCCGCTAGAAACATTCGCCCACGGGAGATTAGGTGGGTGCCATTCGGGAGTGAATGATTGACTAAATTCGAGAATCAATGTCCATTATCAAAAGTCAAATAACCAACCAACGCCTATCATTTTCTGTCCGAAAGAGCAACCGGCATTCAGCTGAGTTATATAGATTAGCTATAACATCATTTTCAGCGCTCGTTGAGGTACAGCCAGCGAAGTGAAGCTCAGCAGCCAGCTGAAAAAAAAGGACAAAGAAGCCTTCGTTAGAGAGACGGTGGCTCCGGGGAGTAGATACCGGTAGGTATGTAAGCTGACGGGCTTAAAGCAAGCAACTGGAATCAGGTATGTAGCTTGGAAGCGGTGTAACGTCTTCCCCTCTCAACGGTCGAGTGCTGAGTAAGTTCATCCATGGAGAGAAGTGATTTTGGTAGATCAATTGATGACCTTGATCTGATCTGATCTGAAATGATACAGATTGGTGAGGTGTGGTGTGAAGACTATATAATTTTGAAGCTTGACATGACGGAGGAAGCTGAGCGAGTGTGTTGTATTCACGCAACCGTAGGATGGGGCGGAGATAACATTGGAATTGTCAAGAATAATACTAGGTGGGTGTTCGAACGCCACATGGAGAATTCGGGATTTCGACAACGTGGTTGACGGGATTGGCAGGATTGGCACAGATCTTCGTTGCTGATAAAGCTTCACGACATTTTAGTGTCAAAAAGGTCGAAAATGACGAAAAGTATTCCTTTTCTAATACGCACGTGTCGCATTACTTAATATTTGAGTATTTTGGGAACAAACCTTACTTGGAAGGAAGTTGCAATGAAGTTAAGAGGAAGGATCGATAAAATGTCAATATGACATCCATGGATTTTGCAGCTCACAGCTTGCTGACTTACATGTGCAACTTTTGCTTAGCGAATTAGCGTTGTCAACTAAGCTTTTTCTTACCACATTTTTGCCTTTTTATCTGACCTTATTACATATTCGCGTCAGCACTTTTCATTACTCCACATCCTCTTTTCTTTCTTACCATATCACTCATCACCATTTTACTACTCCAATGAAGGGCTTCAAAATCTGTTACCGCTGCGACTTCTCTGCATTGTCACGGTAATCGCAACATAAACCTTCTAATTGAGAAGGGTTCGTGACGAAGAAGTCTTGAAACGCATTCATTCGTTCGATTACCGTTTCTCCAGTCAAATGTCTTAATTGGGTTACACGTCCAAGTATGTCCAAGTATGGCATGGCTTATGTACCATCAGCACCATCAGCAATTGATGGCAGACCGATCTATTCAGCAGTTGCCCGGATTTCTACGGGGGGTTTCTACTTCGGTCGAGCCATATTATAGCAATGTGGCTTGCCTGCCCACACCTATTACCTAGTGTCGCGGGATCTTTACCTATTTGGTCATATATCTTCACTCCCTAGTACCTGTTTTATCTGACTCTAGTGAGCCGTGCTGGCCGTGGTCGATGACGGATGACGAGAGGCAACTATAAACAATAGGTAGCCTCATCGATCCCTCTACGTTTGTCACTTGACGTATCAACCATGTCTGCCAAGCTGGGGTAACAACCTTTGGAGGTGGGCTAAGTAGACTAAGAGCTTTGACGCGTTTCGGTCATTATTCCACATGCTCTGGGGTTTGCCAAGCTACCCCGAAGTTGAAGCCAAGTTGGGCCAAGCTCCAACTAAACACTTCAAGCCTATGCCGCAACCATGGATACTGTGTGGTACAGGGTCCACAGGTCTAATCGTCGAGTGCAGGTCAGTACGCTACTGCTACTGTACCTAGGTCAACAGCAAGTCTAGCAGTCTGGAGTTTGAATAGAATATGTACAGCAGGTATCTTCTCTCGATCGCCCAGTCGCCCTACACGATACTAGATACTTAGGTACAGGCCAAAGCATACATCCCCCCTGGCTTCTTACATGCTGCACATATGGATCTTTATCAAGCAGTTCTCTATCCCTGTTCATTATGTCCGTGCTGGCACAGAACTATTCTCACTCCGCGTATTGTTATTTGATTGGCCTCAATACTCCAGTCACCCTTCCACAGACCAGTACCGTTTTTTCTCTAGTCAGCTCGAGTCGAGCACCAGGTCCCTGACATGGATGAACACACAGGGCTCCTTAACAGCGTTGATATCCTGGCCAGTAGCTAGGACCTAGGAACTGCATATCTAGTATCTTCCCCCCGGGAAACAAAGCGCATTACGAGTCTGTATGTGTGAGTGGACGATTCAGTTATAAGCTTCTCTTGGAACCCGTCCATTGATGTCGCGCAGCACACAAGTGGACCTTTAGGATTCGGTCGTGATCGATGAATTATTCAACGAGCTGGCTCACCTATCTTCTCGACATTTAAAGACTACCCAATGTTGTGTGTGGCAACGGCGTCCACGTGGATGATGTCAACTCATTGGCCTACCAGATTCGATCTTGATTAATGACTCGAATACTGTTCAGGCTAACTGCTTTCCGTCATTCGACTGACTTATATTCGACAACATTACCAAAATCTACATATGTAGACCCATCAGGGCGGATTTGATCAAGAGCTAAATTAAGCTACGGTACCTTTCAACTAGACAACTTATTCATTACCTAAATACCATATCCCTTCTCTTTTCGATTTAGAAATACTTACCTCCTCCGGTGTTGTAAAAGATGGCGGGCGGCGATTTGTCAGAGGAAGTGCTCAACGCCATTAGCGTCATTGAGCGAGTCGGCTCCGTTTTCTCGATGTTGGGATGTCTTTTCGTCATTCTCACATTTTCCTTCTCAAAGGCATTCCACAAGCCTATCAACCGACTCGTCTTCTACGCATCCTTCGGTAACTTAATGACGAACGTGGGGTCGTTATTGTCAAGGCGATATGTGCTGGAGATAGACACATTTGGGTGTCAATTCCAAGCATTCCTCATTCAAATGTAAGTATTACCTCTTTCATCAACATGTCACCTATTTTGCTAAACTAGTGAAGGTTCCTACCCGCCGATGCATTATGGACCCTGGCAATGGCATTCAACGTATACCTGACCTTCTACCACAAATTCGACGCTGCCAGACTCCGAAAGATGGAAATTTATTATCTCTTATTCTGTTACGGTATTCCATTCGTACCTGCCCTCACTTACGTCTTCGTGAGGACTGAGAAGGCTGGGAGGATGTACGGAAACGCCACGTTATGGTGCTGGGTCAGCTCGGAATTCGATATCTTTCGAATTGCTACTTTCTATGGGCCAGTCTGGTAAGAATACGAAAATGAGTATTACCGAGTCTTATGATGTTGACTTTATATAGGGTCGTTATCTTACTCACTATGTTCATCTATATCCGAACAGGCGGGGAGATATACAGAAAGCGAAAACAACTACGCCAATTTGGAGCTAGCAGCAGTGCCCACGACCCTGAGGCGATAACCATGGACGACCCTTACTCAATAAAGACGACCGAAGTGACTGTCACAAGCGAATCCGCCCAAGAAAGCGCGAATGGGATTGACCTTGCGCCGCTCGGTCGATTCAACGAGAGGCCTAAGCCAGCATATTCAGTCATGATCTCGTCGGATAACAAAAAGGGCAGCATGTCACAACAAGGGGGTAACACACGCCCTCCTCCGAGTAACATCCCACCAACTCCTTCAACCGCTAGGGCACAAGCGAAGTCCCAAAAGCGAAGGGCGAATTTCGAGGCCAACAATGCCGCGTGGTCTTATAGCAAGTGTGCCCTCCTTTTTTTCACGGCACTCCTTGTAACTTGGATTCCGTCTTCGGCCAACCGTGTGTACAGTCTTGTCAATACGAACAAAACAGAGGCATCCCTAGAGATCATGAGTGCGATCGTATTGCCGCTTCAGGGTTTCTGGAATATGTTGATCTACATCGCGACCAGCTGGGAAGCGGTGAAGATCACCTTCACTGATGTGATGACTCACATCAACGGTCACCATCCCGAGCCGAATCGTTACCCTAGCGACTACAACGACAAACACAATTTTGCATTTAGACTTTCGAGTCGGAGCCCACGAAGGGATGTCGAAAGTGAAAGTATGACGGAGCTAGCCAATAGTGGCAGGACGTCTAATTCCGCCCATGACTCTAAGAGATAGACGTTACGAGCGTACTGAAAATGGAGTTACGACATGTATTTTCGGGATGAGTTATTTCACTTCTTGAGTATATTTTGAAAGATACCTTTCGGTTATATTAGAATCTTATTCGCCATATACCCAGTCATCACTGAATTGGATTGGTCGGTTGGTCTACCGAATGATATATTTTATTAAAGAGTATCCATCTCTTGCATGTTATTGACTTGATGTGCTCCTCTTTCGTTGTTTGTCTGCATGTACCTACTATATTGCAAAGGGAATTCAGCTTTGATGGGATTGATGAAATTAGTCGGGCCTTCCCCCCTCTCGACACCGCTAGCTATCCGAAACGCGGAGAGGCCAATCTAATATTTCCAATTCCAGAACCGAGTCACATACACATACAACACATACAACACATACATGTCAAGTCCCGCCAGTCTGGTAACCATTCGGATACCATAACCGTCCCAACGCTTTCGAGCCGAAACGGGTCGCACATAACTCGGCGTGCAAATGAACATCCGGGCTTTGAATTCACCGCATACCTCCAAGTTCCCTTACTTGATGCCAATGCAAAGGGAAAAAAGGTGTAATAAAAGGGGAAGTCGGCTAAGATGAAAATAATCTGGGGTCAACCATAACGCTGTGATCTGGAGTGCATATAACTATCCTCAGTTTGCCTAGTGCATTATTTATTACGTATCCTTATTCCATCTAGGAGAAGTTAGCAGTACGCCGCTATTATGCATCCGGCAAGGCTAATGAAAAATTGTGCGCTCAAGCTAGGGCAGGCACGAAGAAAATGAGGCTAGTCTCTATAGATTACGTTACAGTAGGATGCGGATCACCACGCGACGTCTCTTTCCAGCGCAGAGGTCTTCCTAGCTCAGGATTCCAGGAAGTAGGTCAACCCTGAGAAATGGCAATATGGGCAGTTATAATATAATAGTGACAGGTGGGCTAGAGTAGGACTGTACCACAATAGCATTCATAAGGCTGATCTACCATAGCGTTCAAGCATTGACTCGCTCTAGGGAGCATTCAAATTATCAAGATGGACTGACAGCACTAAGGTAAGGTGCTGCAGTTTGACATTAGTTAAATTTTTGTCGTGTATCCGCTATACCAAGTTAAGTCTGATGTCGCTGCATGGTAAAATTTCATATATTGGCAACATCGATTTCTGATATAGAGCTAGCGGGGTGCCAATTACTTGAAGACCGCCTCTAGGGAGTTTCAAGGCTCACGGTAGTTACATCCGCCGTCCTCCATCATCAGGCAATCGAGGCGAATGGCAATTCTTCCTAGCATCGTAGAATTCTTTTATGTAGGCCTCGATCTTTCTTTCCAGTTTCATCATCCCGGATGTTGCAACCAATCATACGTCGTGGATTTAGGTTATCCGGCTTGAATAGGTAAGCGTCTTTTTGCCGGGGCTAGATACCGGGGAGGGGAATAACCCCTGGCTGACAAGTCTTATTGGAGAACGTATTTTCCTCGTTCCTGATCTAAGACCACTAATAACGGGAGTGGCTGACCTGTTGGGGATTTTAGATTTGTCCCCGTCTATTGGTTTTGCTCGTAAATCTGCAATCGCTTAGTTCACGTCAGATACGTGGTTATCAGCGAATCGGCTAAAATAAAAAGAAAGAAAAAATATTCCGCGTATATGATGCATATGGAGATAGGATTGGATTGGGGGAGAGGTGAAGGCGATAGGAAAAATTTCCCGTGGCGTTGGAAATGGCTTGCGCCGTCGCGATGCAGCTTTTGGGACCATGGCCTCGGGTTTCACGAAAAATTAAATTCGACTCGTCAACTCACCCCTGCCCACCTATTTCCCAGTATGAGGGGTGATCGGAGTGCTCGGTCCCCTATCTCGCAAGCCTCCGACCTTGGCATATCCGCGTAAAGAGAAACCGCGGAACTAATGGCAAATGTTGCCGAACCAAGATACTTTTTGCCGCTTTGTACTACAGTAGGAACTTGGAAGGCGAAGACACGGTGAAGTATCTATCTGCATGTCCGCCGTATTATCTGTTATGTCTACTTGATTTTGCTTCGCATACGAAGGTTCGGGTCAAAAGTTTGGCACATTGGCTCAAGGGCCAAAGCAGTGTGATCTCAAAAATTTTCGTACGGTGTGGCGCTTCTTTTCAGTGGCTTAACCCCTAAAACCTAGTGGATGCCCGCTATATCTTAGTGGATTTATAGGCGGACAGATCACTATTAGGTCTAAGTCTTAGCCTAGACCAAATACAGTATCCAGGGATTGCTTATCTAATCGCGCACTGGGCAAGGGACGTGGCTGATGTGCCAAACTTTTGACCCGAACCTTCGTACATGCAGGACTTAGCAGCTTAGGTGCCTGTCTGTCCGTGTAACTGTAATTACCAACAAGGCCCCCCTGAAGTCGATCATCAAAGACCCGTGGGATCATATCGTGGATCATTGTCGCGTTCTAGCCCTACTCTGATTATTAATGCATATCCAAGGCAAGGAGAGAATAGAGCCAAGAAAGTTAAGATTTCCAAGATTAAAGAAGCTTTCTGAGACAACGGCAACCAACCTTTGGCAACGGCTTCGAGAACGTTGGTGCGCCATTTAAGGGTTCCCGTCATCTCTTCCGGCACAGCTAGCGCAGCCAACGGTGTAAGTAATCAGCTAATGTAATAATATGTAACTTCAAGGAGAGATATGACAATCACAAAAAAGCTTACCATGTATACATGCTTCCAAGTTCCGAATACCGTTCATCAATCGCCTTATAAGGCTATGACTCCGGGGAGCGCCCATGCTTTTCTTACGCCATGGCGTTTGTCTGTGCGGCAACGAGACGGGGTGCTGTTTCTGAAGATCCCCGGCGTGTCTCGCCTCTAGCTACATAGTAGCTCTTTAAGATGACAGGTCGGATAACGCTTGATATTTGTTGTACATATGTACCTAGACATGTACATGCATGCTGTGCATCCACTGCAGCATGTGAAAATATTGAAAAAGCAAACAACGCAACCCTTTCCGTCGGATGCCAATACGCGGCCGGACGCTAGAGGTAGACGGGACCTGGGAAATTTGTGAACTGCCTAGCGCCCGTTATACTGCTACGACGAAGGCCCGATAATTAGAGACGCCACGGCAAACGCCGCGAGAAATAATCAGGCTTTGGTAAAGAATTAAGCATCAGTACCCAAATTATGGTTCATGGCTCGATCAGTTAAGCTCAATGTTAACCTAGATCTTTTTCGGGGACGTCGCATTGCTAGATCGATAGACGCAAGTAGCTCCTCGCGACGAGGGAGGACAAAATGAGGCGATCTGCATCGAACCGCAGTCGTAAGCCCCCATTAAAGATCCGCCGTGCATTGTTTCTGGGGCCTCGATATGCAGGTACACACGAACAGCGCGTACGATGGTCCCTACATACCTATATAATGATCAGCCAAGCTTCTCACGTAGTTCCAGAGACGACTGCAGTCTAGAGCAGCCTATTGCAGGCGTACTGATGGATACAGTCAACCCGCAAATTGAGTTGAGGTCCCTAATATCGACATGACAGCTCAGTCAGGTTGATCTCGAGATCTCAACCGAATCCCCGGTTTTCAAACCTCGGTGGCTGGCTGGTAGTTCGGTGGGCGACTGCATATCCTTCAAACATCGACGCAGCGGCTAAGATGCACACACCCATGTTTGCTATTTTGCACACAATGCCGTCGCATTTTCCCCTACTTCCACGATACGAGATTACGACGGCAGAGTTACTAGATAATCAGTAAGAACAAGCAAGGTCTACGACGCCGACACACAGTCCCACTCCATTACCAACCAAAGAGTTTATATTGATGAAAAGGTCTGGTCAAGTAACCCACTATTGAATTTGGAATAAAATAAGGGTATGATTGGCTATTTGCTGCATGAATATGAGTTGGCCTTTTCTCGTTCATATGCCCGCTGAAGTCGAAATAGCACCATTGCTGAGCAAAACCTTAGCTAAGGAGGTAATTATGAAATGGCTGTCAAGTCGATATATGTTGGACTTGTATTCGGGTATCTTCCAATAAGCTAATAGGCTTCGATAATAGAGATGATAGCCCGAGTTGTGCCAGAGAGCGTAGCGATTTTGCATAAGAAATATTTGAAGACGTCCGGTGAATTCGATGGGGTATAGTACGAAACTTCGTTAAGGATAATAATGATGTGTTCCATAACTCCTGTGCCATGAGCTGATGCAAGTTTCCGTACTTGTTGGTCTTATTAATGAACCATCCCCCAAAGGCTAGAGACGTCTCATTCCATATCGACTCAGAGCTCTCGTTGGGAAGTAAAAGAAGAATTAAGGCGCCTGTCTCTTGTTCTTGACTGCCACGATGTGAGAATACTGCCAGTAAGTCCCCCTTTCAATACACTCTTGGACTATCTCTTCCTCCTCCCACCACCACCGATCTGCATGAACAAATTTTCCCCAAATCTCTTGCCACAGCATCCTTGCTATAAGACATCGAAGCTCACTTTCTACAGCTGTCGTATTCTTCGCATCTTCCATCGGAGTGGTGCATTCATGCACAGCACGTACGGACACAGTTGTAATGGTGCTTCCAAATCCACGGAGCTTTGCGACTGCCAACCAGGCTGGGAATGTGCCGCTTGGGTACGTCGTGCGACATCGCTTCTCTAATTGTATCAGGAGTTTTTCAAATAGCCATTGTCGCAGTTTTGGCCCCATCGAAGACGAAACCGGTTGAGGGTCAATTAGTGTTAAGTGTAGGGCACCACCGGGTGCTAGACAGCGATAAATATGGCGAAGCATCGGTGGGATCTCGCTCGAGGGAAACAACGCTGGCATAGGCAAGCATGTTACAGTTGAGTAGAGTTGCGGCGCAAGTGGTCGAGACCCTGAGCATGCTGAGATTGCCGGTACAAGTATTGGGTGCACGTTGGGAAATAGATTGGGAGATATCGGTTTTGGCGAAAGGTGGGAGACTGAAGCTTGTGGATGTAGAGCTGCAAGGAACGATGTAGATGCTACTTAAGACTGTTAATCAACTGAAAGGCTCTCCACTAGATGCTCGTGGGGTAACGTACCTTGAGTTTCGTAGAGCGCAAGGATTCTGGGATATCCAGAAGACTTTGACGAATTCGGGCTTGCCGGGCGGCTATCTACGCATTCTGTAAAAGGAATATAACCCTCGCCTTGTAGAGCAGAAAACATCCATCTCTTTTTTGACATCTCAAGCTCCTTATAAACTGTTGCATCTGATGAATGGCCCATACTTGACTTGATGTTGGCGAGCATAAGCTCTGGACTAGCCGCTGCCATCATCCGAACTTCGCGCTGCAGTGCCGCAAGATTAGGAGACATGCATTGGTCTGCGTCATCACCCACCGGCGAAGAATGCCGTCTTTCGTCATCCGAAATGATCGCATTTTCCTGCGTTGGGGTACAATCCCATTCATGAGGTGGCTTCCAGGCATCTAGATTGATTAGCCTATCGTTACAGTTCCAACCTGGGGTATATATAGCGGTGTTGTTTCGAAGCCCAATAGGGGGCGGAGTCCGAGGTGACTGAGAAGAAGAGGCCGTCGAACCAGGGTCGTCAAATGCCAAAGGATTTCTAGGAAATGCATTAGGGCAGGTTCTAACCCCTATTCGTGAAGTTTAGGGACTTACGCTCTATCAGGCAAGTCCATTATGTGGTCTGTTAATGGGGGTGTCGCGGGTTTAGACCGATCAGCGGATATATTTACCTCGGAGATCAAATTATCAAGATCTATTTCTGGATCGCGAGGTGAAAAGGTGACTTCGGTGGTTCTAGTGACAAAGGATGATGGTCCTAGGGGTTGAATCAGGTATTCCGGTTTCAGAGTAGTCTCTGCATCGCCTACAGAGGCACCGGCCCCGGTGCTGTTACTGACGGCCGATCGCTGTGTCCATTTTGATGATGCAGAATCTGGCACCACTGATAATTAACATATATAGATCGCTCGTAGCCAAGATAACTTCTTACCTGGAGATGACATGCTTGAGTTATCGGCCACTTCTGGCAACTGGACAGGATGGTGACTTTTCTCACCATCCCTTGCAGTAGCCTGCGAGCCATCGTGGTGTAGAAGAGATCTGGCACCGTATGCTGATGTTCGATTGACCTTACTGGAGCTAGAAGCCAGACGCGCAGGAGATGTAGTTGGGTCCTTTATTTTAGACGGCGTTGAGGTCTTCCTTCGGCTCCTAACCGTGAAGATCCCAAAGCCACGATCACTAGATGTTGAACCTTCTGTTGAGATAGATTGGCGACTGTTCTCCGTCTTCTGTTTCTTATCCCTATCTCTTAACCTAGCTTCTTGCTCCTTTCTTATAATTCTCTCGCCCATAAGTTCCCGGTTAGGGTCGGTCCAAAGGACGTCGAACATGTTGTCCTCTCGTGGTTGGTTGGTCGTGAAGATATCTCGCTTTTGAATTATTGTGGTACATGGGCCAATGGTATAAGACAAGCTTCAATATATAGAGACCTGCAAAAGACCGATATAACTGCAACTTGGGTTGGGGCGTCGGATTTCTGGTAACGGTCAACTCTTGCAAGGCCTTAACTATGTCATATCATAGTTTTTCCGATTAGGCGTATTATGAGGGCTGTTTTATCGAATGTTGAGATTACAAGAGGAGTTGAAGTTCAGCAAAATGGCCGGCTGCCGTCTAATGAGGTACTGCTAGATAATTCTGTATTCCGTCACTCACTCAATTCACACGCCAAGGGCGCTTGAATCAAGTGGGTTTCTGCGACGAGAAAGCCGGCAATAGAAATTAGATAGTAGTAGTAAGGATGTAGCAGACAGTGAGTTGATTTGAGTAAGGTGGACGAGTTGGTGATAGGGGGGGAGGGGTGAGAATTTGAGTTGATGATAACAACCGCCCAAAATATGCGAGGCAGCTTGGAAACTTAGTTTAAAAGGTGAGACAGATTTAATGTTACCCGAGTTCGAGATCCAGGCCTGTTTTGAGTTTCTTACCTAACTAATATACATTGATCTTTGTACTTTCCCCCTTCCCCCCCTTTCCGAAAGATCATTGATGAACTACGGGAACGTGCGCTAATGAGATCAAGAGACGCACCTTCCCGTCGACTCTCATCTCTATCACTTCTCAGCGCGGACTTGAAAACGATCCGTTTCGGAATTACTTTTTTTCTATTCATCTTTGTAGTGACCGATATAACTGTAGGTAAACAAGAGGTACATATATGTTTGCCTACTATTATGTGACGTCGCGTCGTTCCTGGTCAACCACGTACTCATCTCATCTCCCCACCTACTTAGACAACATCATGGTTATAGGATACAAGAGGTCACGTTACAACTGTAGAGAACATTACTCAGCCGACACTCATTCTTTAGGGTATTGGTCCTTATAGTATTTCAATCTTACCACCTAGAACACAATTAGTAAGTTCTAGATTTATCTGACTACCTAGGTACCTAGTAGTTAGTACCTATATAAGACTATATCCATGAATTTTAAGTGAATATTTAGGTACTTATTCGAAGGATCTTCGATAGTTTACATACCTATGTTCTAGACATCGAATCCGTGTAACTTGGATATGGGTTCATCAATCGAGGTCCATTGGGTTTATAGAGTTCATATAACCACTCTTATCGCATTATATTTAGTGCCTAGGTATTAACAATGATAGTGGTCTGATATTCGTGAATATAAACGCTATGGTCTAGTAGTTTAGGGAAGGGGAGCGTATGATAGCCGAGTCTAGAACCTATAATGACGACTAGTTCCTCCAAGCTGACAATCTCAAAAAGAGTTTTTTCTTTCATATGACTGCGAGGTCTTCGCTAGATAAGAAAGCATTCAGGTAAACTCCAATGAGCCTGCTATCTCTAGATTAGCGTGAGACATTCAAGGTTTTGGGGCCAATACCATATCATGACTCCCTCTCATAACATGTTCTTGTAATAACTAGGTAATAAAATTATTTCCAGGCCCCAAGTAAGCTTCAAACCTTGAAGTCAACTGCATCGCTGTTGCAAATAGTCGGCATTTCTGTTTGTGTTGTCTGCAGTCCGCCTAACGGATCACCAAACTCTTGTAGCAAGACGTCAGGTCTGACGAATTCTCAACAATGGCTCTTAATTTTATGGCCTAATTATCCTTGAATACCTAGAAATGACCTTTTAGTACAACCCAAGTAATCCGTAAGCCCGGGCCCATGATTAGAGCATCTTGGTAGGCGGAATATATAAGCGCATACATCTCAGCTGGATGTCTACTTCCTACCTACCTAGTACCTGGTTAGTCACAATATATACGTTCACGTAGATATCTATGGATATAAAATGGTTAACATTGGGCTACAGTTGCTCGTTGTTACATATTACTAGCCTCAACAATACTCTGTGCTATTTCTACTAAACATGCATCTCCTCACATGTCTCTTCCCATAAAGTGTGCGAAGATTGACTTTGAAAAATCATATTGTTCGAATTTAGTGAAATGGAGAGTTTGCCCTTTTCATGATACACTGAAGCGAAGTCTTAGTCCACAAGGCAATGGGCTAGTCGGCTAATGCTAAGCGGAACTTTCAGTAATTTTGAAGACCGGAAAAGAATATCATGATTCACGAGACATTTCCATAATGATCGTCATTATAGAAGAAGCATTAAATATGTACTCGCTTCTATACAAGTAGGTATCGCACATGGATAGACAAGGCCAATCTGACAACCTCTAAGACTGAAGAGCTTAAAGTAGGTACTAGGTAGACATCTATGTCAACAAGGTCAGCTGCATATTTTGTTGTGACGCCTAATTCGATAACACCAACGGCCGTGGTGGTACAAAATGAATTAACTAATTATATCTTCGCGGCTGATTAGGTCGTGAATGCCTTTTCACGGAGCTATAATCTTTCGTGGGGCTATGCTGTTGAAGAATGTGGCAAATTAGAGATCTCCTTTGATATAACTACGCTTGCTCTTGAAGCTTGAATAACTAGCATACTTTCTGACCCTTTCGTGTAGCCTCGACGTACGGTGAAGTATCTTGGCCACTACTGTTGCTTCTGTTACATCGGTTAGCAATGATGAATCTCCTACATGGGGAAACACGACATGCTATCCCGGTTCGCACAGGAGATATATGATGGAATAGATACCTCCATCCCCACTCTGTATCTCAGTAGCATAATACCTAGGTAGTGTGTGCTACTGTACATCTCGGTAATTGGCGAATTTTCCCGCATGTCTCGTGTTCTTGTCCACTGTCTAGCCCATAGCTGACCCGTAGGAGGCCTTTCAGGGGTTCTATTACTCGTCTACACCTTGTGGAACAAGTCCATCAAGCTTCTCTGAATACTCGCGTGCTAGCAATCACCTCATGCTGACCAATATCTTATTAGTGTAAACATGGGAACCCTAATTGTTGACAAGGTTGGCAGAGATGACAAAGGGGGGTTGCGCAGGACTTACTGGCAACTATAGCATGTAGAGATGTACGCACAACATGTATGTGCGGTTGATACGTGCAGGCGCCAACATAGACTCTCTTATAGTAGTTCTCTATATACCTAGGTATATACTTGTATGGGTGGTCAAGAGGCTTAAAATAAGGAGAGAATTCCCAATAAGAATGGAAAGGGGGCGGGCCGGCAATCCGCATAATAATATGCGTGCTTGCAGTTGAGATGCTTGCATCCGGTAACAAGTATATCCTAGAGGTCTTTATATTTCTGCAGCTGAGCTGTAGATGTATATTTGTTCTTGGCAGAGCCCTGCGACTCGAACGTTGACCCAGGACGATCTGCCTGATCTTCCTATATTTCCAAGGAAATCCTAGTTGCTATGTGTTACCGCCGAACAAGGATACACCTGATCTTGGAGCCAGTCTTCCCTCCTATATCCACATAATAACGGATTGTAATGATGGAACGATAACAAATATTTATTTCCGGGTAGAAGGAACGTTATTGAGGAGACATAGTAGGTTTATGAAGAGGTGACGGACAGGTAAATGTGAAAAATAAAGCCATTGATATTGGAATGTTAGTAGGTACACGATGAAATTCTGCTGGTGCGTGATCGACGTTAGCAAAAGTTCTACAAGAACTACCGAGGACGACCCTGGGACGAGGTTTTCGCACAATTTTTGATATGCCCTGTACGCGATGAGCAACAATCCAATACCCAACAATAGCTACTACATAGGTAGGTATATACTAGGTACATATGGAGATACCTAGTAGGTTAGAAGTGCTGTGTGAGGGATACCTAGGTAGGTATTTGGCGGGGTGGCCACATAGTGCTGGGCATGATGACTTAAAAAGGTTGGGATGAGAAGTATGGAAAAGAATCTGGAGGTTCAAAAAAATACAAAACGGTAGAAAACTTAATCCATTCATTCCCTCCCTAGGATCTACTCCTTCCGTTTATATGATTAATCCTAGTTATTCCAATTGAAATTGTCGGGTCTAGGTACGTACCTTTTTAGATGAGCAACCTGGACGCCAGTGATCTGGAGCACCTAAACCTAACCTTCGGTACCTACCTCTGCACCTGCACCTGCACCTGTCCTTCGCCGCCTCATATCGCGGTTTCCTCCCCACACAATTTCTACCACGTACTTGGGAATTTTTAGGTCTTTTTGATACCTACTAAACGGTCCCCTTACCTTCAACTTTACTTCAACTTTTTCACTTCTTGATTCATCCGCCCCTCACACCAACTCTCTTTTTTTAATCCATTCTCTCGTATCGTATCGTATCGTTTCCCTGGTCCACAAGAAACATTCCTTTACAACATTCTTTTTTTTCTCAACCAGGCCAGGCAAGGCACACCTCTAGATTCGGCAGACACATCACCGTGCAACTCTTCATCTGATCTCGTCCTCCGAAATCTTGCACCGCACACCGACATCTGAGGTTTACTGCCACCTGCTTCTTTCCCCGTCTTTCTTTATCTTGTTTTCCACAAGCTCGTTGAATATCGTTGCATCTTAGTTGACCGAGCCCTCGTCAACTTTATCCAACCTTATTCATATCACTCACTAACAAGCCATCTTTCTTCCTCGACTTATTAGATTCCGTATTCTGCATTCCGTATCGGTTTCAACCTTCCTTCTTGGGAAATCCTTACCAATCTTTCCTTGTGTACCCCTTATTTAACGTTATTTCTTATCACAAGAGTAAGACACCATGCCTGATCTAGGCGCACTCGTCGACTCGTCGATGAACAAGCTAGCCTCTATTGAGGATCGGATCAATAGTTCAACTTTTGGTCGAGTCTTCCGCCTAGATGGCTCTGGTCATGTAAGTAAGGGTCTCTTCACCTTTGACTGCCTGGTACCCATGTACCTCCTCGTCGCTTTGCCCCCAACACAACGTCCTTGATTTGTATCCCATCTATGTCGCGGACTTGTTAGGGTTTTTTTCAGCTCACGAAAAACAATATTCTCGGCTATAATATCCCAAGGGCTTTCAGGCTAACAATGATCAGCCCAAAACCGTTCGGGGTTCCTCTTTCTTCCGAGAGATTCGCGCCGGCTTGACTACTTTCGCGACCATGGCATACATTGTTGCTGTCAATGTAAGTACAAAACACACTACCATCCTCCTGTGATCTTTCATCTGATAAAAAGAAGGCTGCTGTTCTCGCAGACTCTGGAGGGACATGCGAATGTCCTCCGGGAACCGAGCCGGGTTGTCCCGGTGATCTTAATTATGCCAACTGTCAAGCAGGTAAGTATCTCTAACAACCAGAAAAATAAACGAGGTCAATCGAAACCAAGGCTGACTGCTTCCCATATAGTGCTGAAGCGCGATTTGATCACGGCTACTGCCGCTATTGCAGGCCTTGCCAGTATCCTTTTCGGCTTCCTTACAAACCTGCCTGTTGCTCTCGGGTATGCCAAACTCCTTGTTCATACAAACTTTCTTCTAACATGAGTCAAGACCAGGTATGGGCCTCAATGCCTACTTCACGTACCAAGTTGTCGGCTGGCACGGCACCGGCAAGGTCCCTTATCGGATTGCTCTTACTGCCATCTTTGTGGAGGGCTTTATCTTCATATTCCTGGCTCTTACTGGAATGCGACAGTGGCTAGTCCGCATGATACCGGCTACTATCAAGACTGCGTGTGGTGTCGGAATTGGCCTGTTCCTTACAGAGATCGGATTGTCCTATTCAGCAGGCATTGGTGCCATCACGGGAGGCTTCTCTACCCCCCTTGCGATTGGAGGATGCCCCGCCGAGTACCTTGATTCTAAGGGTGAATGTGCTAGTCACATCATGGAGAATCCTGGGGTAAGGATGTCTTTCTGAAGGAATAAGCCTCCTCAGCTAACCATTGGTAACAGATGTGGATCGGTATTTTCATTGGTGGCATTTTTGTGGCGTTTTTGATGGCCTTCAAAGTCAAGAGTGCCATTATCATCGGCATTGGAATCGTATCCATCATGTCTTGGCCGTGAGTAGAGCCTTTTCCGAGCCGACGAAGAATTTGGGAGAAATGACTGACGGTTCTTAGTCGTAATACACCATTCACCTATTTCCCTTACACCGAAGCTGGCGAAGAACGGTTCCAGTTCTTCAAACAGGTTGTCGCATTCCATCCGATCGAGTCTGTCTTGAATGTCAACGAGTGGAATCTTTCCGGCGCCAACGGTGCTCAGTTCGCCCTAGCACTCATTACTTTTCTCTACGTTGACATCATCGATTGTACTGCAACCCTATACTCGATGGCCAAGTTCTGTGGTGTAGTGAGAGATGATGGCGATTTCCCTCGCTCGACTATTGCTTACTGCACTGATGCCTTCATGATCTCGATCGGTTCCCTCTTTGGTTGTTCGCCCACTACCGCATTCATCGAGAGTGGCGCAGGAATTGCAGAAGGAGGTCGAACTGGACTGACCGCTATTTCCGCCGGCGTTTGCTTCTTAATCTGTCTCTTCTTTGCCCCAATCTTAGCCTCTGTTCCGCCTTGGGCCACGGGATCGACCTTGATTCTGGTAAGTACACTCACAAAATCTGAGATGAAGGAGGAAATGACTGATTACGTTTCGAAAGGTCGGCTGTCTGATGATCCGTCAAGTCATCAACATCAACTGGCAGTACATTGGTGATGCTGTGCCGTCTTTTATTACGCTGGCCTTTATGCCTTTCAGCTACAGCGTCGCCTATGGCCTTATTGCGTGAGTCTCCCTATCAAGAAAAATAGAGTGAGCTAACAATAAATTCAGGGGAATGATGGTTTATGTCGTCCTCAACACTATGATCTGGGTTGTTGTAAGACTCACCAAGGGCAGAGTCGTTCCATCGAACTGGCACGAGAAAGAGGTCTATGACTGGGGAATGGCATCAAGGGATGTTCCTGGATGGATGAAGAGCATCCAGCGACGAATTCTGCCTACCCGCTTCCACATAGACGACACGAAGGACGACGTGGAACTGGTTGACAATGATAGCGCCATAAATGCCGCCAACTCTATTTCGCGAAGCAACTCGGCCGAAGACAACAAGGACGTGCACATTGTGGAGAGTCAAGTCCACCCCAACGCCCACATCAGCCACATCAGCCACGCGTACTCACATCCTCACGCTCAGCCCCAAGTTCAGCCTCAACCCTACCCTCACACACAGCAGGCTCCTCCCCAGGTTCACCATCCCCAGGCTCATCATCCCCAGACTCACCAACCTCAGAGTCAGACTCAAGCTCAGGGACAACCTCGATCTCGTGATCACGATCTACCCTCTCTTGATTAAAGAGAAAGGTGATGAACAACAAGAATGTCGACATTGATCACGCGTTTGCCACTACCAGGCAGTTTTCCTTCTAAAAGCACTTTCTCCGTCCAGGGAGGGCAATAATGAACACTAATGAAGGAGAGAATCACGCTAGTCGATTGGCAATGATGATGCCAGTAAAGAACAAGATGATTCACATAATGTTTCTTGAGAGATCTGTGGAAAGATGAAGCTCCTCGTCTTGGGCATATACCTAGTCTCATTCAAGGCTAAGTGTCAAAACAGATCTCCTTTGCTATAGCTGAGATAAAACACAACACACGAACCCCATAAAGAAAATAGATGAATGAATAACAAAAGTACCCCAAGTACAAAGTACATACGCCAATAGTTTTAAGCACCGTAGTTTATCCGTCTTATCTTATCATATTGACAATTAATACATGCGGACCTTAGCTCCCGCAACTGTTGAAGGTCCACAACAGCTCTGGTACGCATGTACGTAAGCATGATTGTGTACCTGATGTACGTACCTAGATGCCTACAAAGGCAGATACCGCTGTGCAACTTGACATCACAGAAACCTTCTATTCGGTTATTTTATGCGAATACAAACTTCCTCTATTATTTCCTCCCTTGATTAAGTATCCCAAGATCTATCACAACTACGTAATACAGGTCTGCTACCAGCACTTGCCTCTCCGGGCAAGCTTAATCAAAAGATGAGTGGTGGATGGAATACCAGTTGAGTTGATCCCATTAACCGTTTGTTAATTACGAACGTTTAATGCTAACCACCACTTATAGTTGAGTCGGATGCTGTATGTAAAGTCCTGGCTTACATATCTAATACGTTCTTATATTTTCAGGACTGATCTATCTTCGATAGGGTGTTTTTACGTTCCTTCTCAACAACCTGGGTGTTCAAGATGTTCAATTCGAAGAACTGCTCACGCTAGAGCCGGAGGCCCTAGCCGAGCTCTACCCAGTCTACGGCGTCATCTTCCTCTTCAAGTACCCGACCGACACGCCATACACATCGACCGATAAACCGCTCGACGGCGCCTTCGACCGGGGCGCAGCAGAAAATTTGTGGTTCGCGGCGCAGACGATACAGAATGCGTGTGGTACGCAGGCGTTGCTGAGCATGCTGATGAACAGAGAAGACGACGAGGTTGAGATCGGAGAGAAGCTACGCGAGTTCAAGGAGTTCACGCTGGCGCTGCCGCCGGAGTTCAGAGGCGAGGCGCTGAGTAACAGCGAACTCATCCGCGATGCGCACAATAGTTTCGCCAAGAGTAGCCCGTTCGTCGATGAGACGCAGAGACAGGGTGGCGAGACGGAGGATGCTTTTCACTTTGTCGCTTACACACCGATTAACGGAACGCTATACGAACTCGATGGCTTGCAGCCAGCACCCATAACGCACGGCGCGTGCTCGGCGGAGGATTTCCCTGTGAAGGTCACGGAGGTGCTTCAGCGCCGCGTCGCAAGATACGACCTCTCGGAGATCCGATTCAACCTTATGGCCATGGTTAGGGACCGCCGCGTCGCAGCCCGGGAGATCGGCGATGTGGAGGCCTTGGCACGGGAGGAGAGGAAGAGGAGGGACTGGCAGTTCGAAAATGCGCTGCGACGACACAACTTCGTCGGGTTCGCGAGCGCGGTGCTAAAGGGTGTCGTTGATATGAAACTCAAGGAAGGGGGTGAAGGCGCATATACCCAATGGGTCGACGAGGCGAAGGCGAAAACGAGACAGAGACTTGGGGGTAGGAAGAAAGGAGGTGGTGGTGAGGATGTTGAGATGGATGGTTAGGGGTTAAAGGCGGATACGATACAGGTTTCTCATCGCGAAGTCTTGTGCCAGGGGCGGCGAAGACTTACAATGTGTTCTTGGTGGCCTTCCTGGTTTATGGATGGCGGTATGGGATAGGCACTACGTGTTAGAACTACGAATTACGGTACACACTGTATCGGGCGGTAACATGCTATTGCGGGTTTATGACGCAGAGTGCGCTCAACGCGAAGTCATCGTACCTCTATGGATAATCGCTAGCCGAGCATCTTTGTCTTTCTCATGGAGCTCCTAAGTCGGAGCTCGGATATGGATATCAGGTGGAACCTAGAGAAATCTCCCATAGAACAGGGACATACCCAGCCTTGCGTGTGCATAGTTTCCACTCGGCTCGGTTCCTGGTCCCATTCACCGTCCCACCCCGCGACTCGACGCGACTGGCTACCGAGAGGTCCTTCCGGGTGTGGCCGTCACGTCGCTGGCTGCACGGCCACAAACAAGCAGATACATAGATTATATGCATTCCGTAAGGCACCAGACGTCGTGCAACCGAAGGGGATCTTCACCGTTTCAAGGTCTCGGACCCCTCTCTAGTAAGGTTTGCGATCGTTATCCCGGTCCCGTGCCGTGAAGTTGGGAATTGCTTACTATAAGGACAAACAGATTACCAAGTTTTTCTATCGCTGCCAGGTGAGTGAGGCATTATACCCGGTTGGGTAGGTAGGTACGTGGTAGGGGCGCTTTTACATACATCAGGTAAATTAAGATATTTTTGCTAGCACGCAAGGAAGGGATGAGTCTATACTCGAACTTGGTTATAACTTGCGCTCGGACTAATCCCTATACTCTTTAGGTAATAGCAATCAAATGCCGTGGTTTGCTATACCTTGTACGTTATTTTTGCGTCTACTGAGGAAAACGTTGCTGAGTTCCACCGTCTTACGGTTAACGGTGCCCTATGATCTAAGCTCTGGACATCTGATAACTTGTTTTAACGAGTTAAATAAGAAGCAAAGTATTTGGTAAGCATTCCAAGCCTGTGAAGTACCTAGATCACGAGAATTCCTTATAATCCTCTAGGTTAGGTAAGCACTGAAGTATATGGACTAGTTAATCAAAATTTGCGAATAATAGGGGGTTTTCTTTAGTTCAATTTAAATTTCCTAGAGTCAATACTCCTAGTCTATCCGACCATAGACGAGAGCTCTTCATATGCCCAAAGCTTGAGTAATAAGTAATTCGGTGGTCCCCGACTCTATGGGGTAGTGGCATTGGCAAGGGGCCAGTTGATGCCCTTGTCTGCGGCACCCGTGTTTCCTAGACCCGCGCAGCTGTATAGACCGACCGGGTTGTTCTCAGTGGCCCTCATGTACTGGAGGTCGAGGCATTCCTCTGTTTTACGTGTGAGCTTCGAGGGTAATATGGAATAGAATTATGCGGTACTTACGTGGGCTCGACAGCTCAAGGGCGATTCTTCCGTCTGGCATAGCTACCCACTTCTGGGAGTCAGCAGTATCAGAGCACTCCTTAATGTAGATGTTGGCCATGTCCTTCCAGTTGGCTATGGAATATTATCAGATTATGCCGGCCTCGTGGGAGATTTTAAGAAGTGCCTACCCTTTTCACCTCCATCCAGACACAACTCAGTGCCGGCTAGCTGGATCTTCGTGTTGCCACTCCCGATGTACCATTGTTGCTCGGCGGTCTGGGCAGCGGTCTTACTGCATACATCAAAATACAGGTTAGACTATATCCAGTATGTTTGCGATTCGGTTAGGAAGTTTCTGAACGAACATTACCAGAGTGCTACCGCTGGTAGCGGTTTTGGGGACCAAGACGAACTTGGAGTTCACCATGGATGTGATATATACGGTACGGTAACCTTCAGGGGCCTGGGCGATACCAGTCGCGGCGAACGCGAACATGAGGAGGGAAGTCGTCAGCATTTTGATTTCCTTTGTTAATATTTTGTACCTATGTAAATTTCAGGAGTAGACGATGCTCGATTTCAGGATCGCCAGTGAGGCCGCGAACTGAAGAGTACATGACGTTTATATAGAGCAGATTCATTTCCTGGAACATCTAATCTTGCCCAGAGTCACTTTACTAGCCTAATTGGCAACCAATCCTCAGGTATCATAAATATATTAAAGCTCATTCAAAGCTGGGGGATTTCGAGGGTCTTTCCCCATTTCTCGGAGCTTGGTATACATTACCTAATCCGTCGATAACCTATTAATTAAATTGACGGAGGAGGACCATGGGCTGTATTCATTGATCGTCGGCAGATTCTTGACGAGATGGGCACCAATAGATCTGCCGCTATTCCTATCTCCGCCCTCACCTTTACCCCCCTATATCATAGTCGGCTAATATGTGCTAGAGCAAGGTACGGCACTGGATTCTCTTGAGGCAACTTTATGTTTTCCCCGACCATACCTCATTCAGGAAATCTTTAAGACCAACTATGTCATCGATAGTCTTCATTTAGTAAATGGTCAAACTACGATCGACGTTCAGAAGTTGGAACGCAAGCAGCACTAGAAGTGTTAGTAGGCTTTTTTTCGACTGCGACGGCAAAACTGACTGTTTATTCATATAGAAGATGTTGAATCAATATGCTAGGCATATATAAGAATTATTTCAATTAATCCAATGAGCTTTTGGTAATAGTGATTTTTGCCTTGAATAGGTGCCTAGGCGAAAAGTTAGCTCGAGTCCAGTAGTCTAATTCAACATCATGATACCCACTGCTTTCTATTACCATATAAATTGCAATTCATTCATTATGCATAGATATATGAAAATACCTGCGAGAATAACGTATTGTATGAAAATATATCTCAATCTGCCTAGGGTAGGTAGTTCATAGGTTACTCTGATAAGCCAGTCGTAAAGTGACGTCTACTCCACCAAAAATAATACTCGCGACATTACCATTCATTCAGTAACCTAAAACCTTAGTATATTCCAAATACTTCTAGTGTGTTCATGAGGAATATTGGGATGTAAGCATGTCATAATAGGGCTTACCCCTTTTGTTTCAAATCCGTCCGTTAACTGCGACAGACTTAGTGTCTACCTCTACAACGATAGTCTAATAAGAATATGGTTATAATAATTCCAAGGCAGGACTTTGAAAATATTCAATCGATGATGATCATGATACCTATGAAGCTAAAAGATTCTAGATCGTAAGTACCTAGGTAGGTAGGTATTTTGCCCATAATCACGCCGCGCTCAGACCCAACCTGATCCCGGCTCAACCTCCCCATGAGATCAAATTCGTTTCAAAAAAAGAAAAAAGAAAAGAAAAGAACGAACTCCCAAGCCTTTGAACGTTGAATCAAGATCCCTAAGCCGCTCCTTCCCCACGTAAATCCTTCGGGTCCGGGAACCGGATCGACCCCGGGTCAGGATCCGGGCCAAGGGTCGCTAATCTACGACTGCGCCTTCCCTTCCAACTCAAACCAAACATCACGGCTTTGGTCCATTTTCTTCAAACCGATACACATGTCTATACCCAAAGAGGCGAACGCAGCGAATGGTAGTTTATGATACTATGGTCAGACCAACCACAGTAATGAGTTGTCCTTAGTGGAACAACTAAGTCGGTAGGTAGCCCAATGAAAGAACATCTGGATATCACATATTTCCGGGTTTCAAGAAATAGAACCCAATACAACTAGAGTAAACCCGATAAGTGATTTGAATTTAATCGATACGGAATAATTTGCGGTCGCGAATGCTGAGATGATGGGATACCTAGTAAGTACGATGTCGCACTAAGACAGAATATGTCATGTCACAGCAAGTCATTATGAATAAGATACAATAAAAAAACGAGTTTAAAAATATATTAACAAGATAGAAATAAGTAGTAGTATATGAGGTAAATGAAGAAATGATATGAATCGTAATACTGGATATCCTCGTAGCTCCGTCTCTCCGTACACGTGCATGCGTCTTGGTATCCTCGCCGAATAGTGCCCATCCCGAACGCCCTGGGGGAGACAGAGGTGTGTCCTCCACATAAAGATGCCTGCCGCGTCTCCTATCATGATACGCGCAGGCGATGACACTGATAATGTCCGCCTCCTTATTACAGAGCACTGCTATGCCCCTCTATTTTTCCTGTTTATACAATTTTACTTAGTTTAGAGATGATGGTGTTGCTCATGATTGAGATTCACCCTCCCAGAACCAGTATCTATTTGGCATGTTAGCATAATGTTCATGAAAACTCGTGGTTGGGAATGGGAACATACTGTGCGGAATATTGCACCTCGAATGCGGCCGGTTGGCCTTGGCATGTCGTCGGTGGGGAGCCGCCCGCCGTGTTGATCCGGTAGACCTCTTGCAAGTTACCCGTAGAGCCACTCTCCGTCTTCAACTTCAGCCATGTAACGGCCTTCTCGCCTTGCTGACCCCTGGGTGCATCATCCGGTGCGTTCGTCTGGTTAGCCTTGCTGCATGGGGCTTCGCCGAGGTTGTACTGATTCGTGTCGAGGTTGAAGAACGGGGTTGTATTGTCAGTGAAGAAATGGTGGCCTGAGATCATAAGGTCGGTCGGGCCCATGCGAGAGTCTTCCTGTGCCGTGAGGTTGAATTGTAATGCAAGCTTCGGCAGGATCTGGAGCAGATCCGGATATGTTGAGGCTACACAGCTAGCGTTGAAAAGGGTCGCAACGGCTCCTACAGCAGCGGGAACGGCTGTGGCGTTGGTCGTATCACAGGTGTAATTTTGCGTCCCACGGCCGATGGCAACATGCTTTAGAGTAAGACCGGCAGATGGAGGTGGCAGTGGTGTAGGAGCTGAAATTATGTTAGTTGAATCACGGAGAACGTTAGTAAGATATGGTGACAAACCTGCTGCCATTTGAGCCTTCGATAGATCACAAACCGGGGCGGCGGTCATGGACTTCCCTAATTCGACTTTTGATGCTAACATGTTGAAGTACTCGGAAACAGTTTCGAGACCGTCTGGCTTAGCGGCGTTCCAGTTAAACGATGGCCATGTTGGGGCAGCAATAACGGTCGAAGCGCCGAGAAATGATACCAGTAGCGTCGAAGTATACATTTTGATAGATGTGAGTCGGAAGATGGATGAAGAATAGGGGGTAGTAATGTTGGTTATCAAGGTTAAATCGATGTGGTTTCTTTGTTGAGTTCTTAGATAGTCTTGATCGTTATAGGCGTGCGTGGATGTAGACTAATAAGAAATAGGAAACCCAAAGAAAACCAGACCCAAGATACAGAAGATAGACAAGGAAATAAAAGAAACACTAAGGAGATAGAGAATAAGAAAACGTAAAAGGAAATGATCTCCCGGAAGAGAGAGATATATAAGATAGAGTTGAAGATGTATATACAGTGGTTGAACGCATCTTCGGGAGCGGGATGAGATGGGGTTATTAAATGTAGAGACGCCGCCAGCCTACCTCTGAACTGCTTGTATTTTCTTGGCTACGCCTTACCCCAGTCCAGCGGCACGATAACGTGGTACCCTGAATGGGTCCTAAATTTGCACCGGGAAGTCTGCGAGACTAGACAAGGGTTCATCGAGACGTTCTAGCTTCTGCAGCTGAAGAATGGTCATTTTTGCCTATGAGCCCGCGGTAAAAGAGCGAGCGGGCGAGAACTACTGCGTAGTAGACGCAAAAGGTTGGTAGTATTCCATTCTTTGAAAACCCCTGCCATCGATTTAACATGGGGCTCTGTATGGAGAGCCAAGCGATCTGCAGCTAGGACCCGTTAACAGGGGTGTATAGCCGGCAAACGACGATCTTACTGGCTGACGAAGCTACCTTGCAAGCGCCAGCGGCCGCCTCTTTCTCGGCCACCCGGTCAACGCTTGGTTGATATTTTTTGGTGTATCCATGAGAGATGAAGAGGGGTGTGGCGGCAAAACGATTGATGTTTGAAAATATTACATTTCTCTTCTAGTTAAGCAAATAGTCATCATCAACGTTGAAGATAGCGGTGTTTTGCAAGACTGAATATGGGGAAAACACGAGGATCATAACATTATAAACGGGTTGTATTACAAAATGTGCCACGTGTAGAGATATGTTGGTCAGTAGCTCGCTGCAAGGCGTATGAGACGTAAGGGCCCTCTCAACCTTGCATTCGTACTGACATGTGTAATGAGCTATAGCTCCAAAATAGAAGTTTGGAATCATGTAACATGGTAGCCAATATCATCTTATCCCGTGATGGAATCATTATCGGACTCCTCATTGACGCCAGCATGGCATTGCCAGATGAGGAGTCACTTAAAGTAAGGCAGGCGAAGCACGTAGCTAACTGTAAGCTAAGCTTCAATGCCTTTTTGGTGCTCTGCTAAAAGAATCATGTTTGTTGTCGTAATAATGACCAAGCTACTAAGCCCTAGTTCAAGGAACTCGATAGATCCGGCTGACGATGGAAGCCGTTCCGTTGCAACTCTAGGACCGACCTAGAACTTGATTGATGGTAAACTTAGTTGTATGTCATTGGCAGATCCGCTGCAGAAAAAAAGCAGAGAAAGTTTAAGAGGCTGGGAGGGGATCTCGGTTGCTTGCAGACGCCATTAGATCATACAATATAGAGTCGTAGTACTTTAGTGCTGTAGCATTCCGTGCCTTGGTTCCAAGATTGAAATTGGTAAGTGGTGATGAGAAAAAGAAAGAAAAAAAAAACAAAGTGTTAATGGACAAGGATTAAAAGTTATTAGCCCGCAAAAGCACACCTCCATGGTTGGGAAGGTGGGTTAATTTCAAAAGCAACAAATCCGGGCTAATTATTTCGACCCCGCATATACATATGCAATGTGGCGGTTAGCATCTCAAAATAGCAACAAGCGCGCCCGACACCAAAAATAACAAAATTAGGCCTCGGGACCTCTCGCTTAAGCCGGACCCTATCATACCCGTTCGGGCCAATTAGCCCAGATAACACGCACCTGCCAATCACCACGCATGCAGATTTTCGGCTTTTCCAGCCACCGACTGGCTATCGGGATATGGGCAAATTTATATTGAATGCAATACTACCTTACCTACAGATTCTTGCAAATTAGCTTCTTATTACATATCTTCGATGTTGCCTCGTCTCAGGTGGTGCTGAATGGAGGAAGGCGTCTCGCTCGTCCGACGGCCGAAAACTCCGTATTTTTCCACATACCTACCTACCTAGTAGGTAGGCAGCTAGGTAATAGGTAGGTACCTAGTATCAAGCCAACTTATGTAACTAAAGCCAATAGTTTATGTCTCGCCGAACTATATATCGAAGCCTTCCGGACTCTTCCCGTCTGCTGTGCCACATAACGGTCTCGGGTGTGGGTTGCAGCCGCGGTCAAGATATCGATCTATGCCTTATGATTGGTGTCTCGCCTACGGTGAGAGTCGAACGTGGTGGTGTACGCGAGTAGATTAAGTAGATTAATACCGCGCTCGTGCTCTTCCAAGTTATAGCCCAGCCTGCCAGCGTCAAGCAGGCCATCAAAACCCCGGGGATGATCCAGAATAGGCAGTAATGAGACCAGTTACGTAGTCCCCTGTGTATGTAGCCAAGTCCGGTATTCGCTGAGTAACCGAGTAGAGATATTACTCGCCATCGCCATTGGATACTATCAACCAATCAGAAGAGAGCTCTTGACGGACTAGAGCTGTCTCAGGCGGACCGTCTGCATATTGCGTGCATCGTATATCCAACACGGCGGCTCGGGGTGACCACATTTCTAGACCTTGGCTTCCTTTCATAGTATAGAACAAATGAAGAAGGTTCCTCTATTTATCTAAGATGGGCGACATCCTGACTCCGAAGGTGGGCATCGTGATTATTTTGTTGCAGCATGTTTACTTGTGATCATCCAGAGCCTGCATTTCTGAACCTCCTTACTCTAATATCGATATGGTATACTCCAGACACGCAAAACCGGTGGTAGTTAAACACGTAATGACTAACGGATACGAGCAATATATTCAACTCAATGGGTTAGTATTAGTTGCATGGCACATGCCGTATTAAACAAAAGCCGGCTGGTAATGGTACAGTAAATGTATAACCTTGCGGACGTAATCATCAGTGCCCGTTAAACCCTTCTTCTTGCCAACTTCCAGGATTGGCAGCCTGACCTCTCCCACCGGTATTGCCGCCGGCCACCCCTCCCGCTGCTGCTGCAGCGGCTATACCCTGACTGAGATTGCTCGAATGTTGGTCTACGTCCGACGTGCCGAGCCAGTAGAGCGAGAAAAATACTAGGATGTGCAATGCGACGCAGTAAGCTGCAAAAAGATTCCTGCTCGTTCTCGAAGCCAACACCATCCGGGTCACTGAGTATACTATCCTCTCGGGAAGACTCATCCGTTTGTAAGCTCTTGCCGACTCACGTCCCCTAAAGGCCGCAAAAGGCGAAATGTTGGACTCATATGCCTTTTTATACCGGTCTAATGCAATTCCTGGGTTTCCCGTACCGCCCATGGCGACTACCGACGGATTTGGATTTGATGCATACGCAGATGACGACGACGCTGACGGCCCATTACGATTATAAGTCGATACGTACCGCGTCTTCTCGTATAGTTGGAGGTTGTCCTTCTGTAAGGCTGCAATCTCTTGTCGAAGTTGTGAAACAGTACGATGACTTTCTGACAATTCCCCTTCGAGCTGAGAATTCCGCTTCTTGAAGCGGTCACGTTGAGCGGTAATCATGGGCAAGATACCCGAGCCACCACCCATTGGCTCGCCCCCTGTCACGCGGGGGTCGAAACCGGATATGATAGATGAAGTCGGCGATGTTCTTCCGCCTCTCCTCCCTGGTGCTATAGACGGCGCGTATCTTGTGTAGGTACCTGCCACTGATGCTCCCGAGGGGAAAGCGTTCTGTCCTTCGGATTGAAGGCTAGCTAGATCGTTCTCTAACTGCGCATTGAGGTTCTGGGACCTCTCTAGATCTGCATTTGTTCTCGACATATCCTCTTGTAGGTTCTCCAACCGACTTTGGAGATCTTGGTGAGATACTCGTAAGATGGTTAGTTCGTCGCTCAACTTCTTATTCCTGGCTAATAATAATTGTTCTAGGGTATCACCCTTCCCCTTTTGGGCGGAACCGTTAGACTCCGAAGCGGCTAGCACATCGTCGTCGTCACCAGTCGCGAATTCGATACTCTTCAAGACTTCAAGTTCTTGCTTGATATCGTCGTAGTCGTTCCACTTTTGGACTTTCGTTTTCAAATTATCGCGGTCCTCTTTCAAAAGACCGACTTCACGTTCTAAGCCTCGCAATTTGGTATCGATACCCCTTTTGAAAGCCTCCTTCTCAACTCTCGCGGAATCAAGTTTGCGGATGAGAGATGAGTTCTCGGATCTCATACGAATATACCCAGGATCGTCTTCTAAGACTGGCGCTTGCGCAGGAACTTGAGATTTGGACTGGGCGAGCTCTAAGCGTAGTTGTTCATTTCGAGCTTCGACTTCCGCAAGCCTCGCGCTAGTTCGTTCCAGGTCAGAGTTGACCATTTCCAACTCTGCGCTCGTAACGTGACCATGTCTACCCTCGTCGTCCGCATTTTCAGATCCCTTTAGACGTTGGTTTACCTCGTAACTGGCCTTGATTTCGTTGATGAGCCTGTCCTGGCTTTCGATTTTCTCTTCTAGTGCCTTTTCTTTCGCTTCCCAGTTGTCCCTCTTCTCGTCTACAACTGCGGTCCACGACGCCTCTACTTCTTTGACTTTGGCTTCGAGATTATTTTCCAGCTGCTTTCGGTTAGCACTTTCTGATTGTAGCCGAGATTCTGTTTCCTCCAATTGGGATGTAAGTTTGGCGACATTGTTTTGTAGGTGCTGGTTTTCTTCGGTTAGCTTGGGAAGAGTATCCTCGGCTACAAGCATAGAATCGACAGAGGCTTCAAGCAAAGGATACGGGTCTGGCGCATTTTCAAGGGCGGAATAGACCTGTAAGAATGCGGAATTGGTAGACTTGGAATGATTGGTGAGAAGATCGATGAACGTCTGGTAGGCTTTTAAAAGGCTTTTATATTCTGATAATTTAGCCGTATCGTCAAGTTTTCGGAAATCTTTCGTCTTCTGAGCGAGGTCTTTTCGTTGGACGGTTGAATCTCGTTGAAAGGCTACGATGTCGGAGGCAGTGTTGTCGAGAGCGGACATCAACGAGCCTAAATCGATGTCTACCAAGAATTAATACCGGGTGTAGCAACAAAATTAATGCAAGTAGCACAAGCGCATACTTCTCCATGCCGAAATAGCATGTTGGAACTGATTAGTTCCATCCTGGATAGAGTTGTCTGCCTGTCCGTCGCCGGTAGGTTTCGGTGCTGATGGTTGCGCGGCCTTGGGCGACTTAGACACGTTGGCCATCTTTCTCTTCCGGGGTTGGCAGATGTCGCTGCCACAATTATCGTATCATCAGGTAGATATTAGCTGGCACAAAGGTCGGTAAAATAGATGGGTTTTAGCGATAGGAGACGAGATCAGGTCGAGGTTGGCAGTTGGTTGTTAGCGTTGGATGTAGGACTTTGAATAAGAATAATTATGAAGTTGAACGTGTTCGTTCAAGGTTCCGTCGCATCTGCTAAATGCCAGGTGCTGAATGCATGTGCAGGGATCCACAGACTCGGCGACTCGGTTTTACAGTGGGTTGAGAGCCCTGGAGCTTGAATAAACTGCACTATCCACTGTAGTTGTCCCTGAGACCCCTGAAAGCATACAGCCTATCAGAGCCCGCTTTTGGAAATTTAGGTTCTACTTTACGCAGTAGCCTGCTAGGACGTACCTACGTAATCCTAGCCTCAGTTAAGGAAACTCCACTTCAGCTTCCAGTTCCAGCAGATCTCAGCCCCGTGTCTATCTTCTTGTCTTTACATACCTATACTAATAAAATAATCTACGATATACGACGAAGCGCGAATATGAGAGCCTTCGACCTGATATGATGCTGCCATTTTTGCTATGGCTTCCGATCCTCAAGGCGACAAGCGATCGCTAAAGGAGTTTGATGTTGGACCTTTTGTGCTCCGTACTCTATTCGAAGATGTTCCGTTATCAGAAGATGGAACCAAGGACGATATAAAGATCAATTGTGTTGAATACCTAGGTGCGCATAATATACGACATCGACATCTTCCGAAATCTACATTAATAGCTAACCCTCTCTTAAGATGACCATCTATATGTAGGCACCTCCGACTCGGAACTTCTTCACTTTTTCCAGATCCCCCCGGATCCTGGCGACAAATCCAGCGCGCCGACATTCATTCTCGCATCACGATTGCGCCCTGCTTTTGCCGAATCCGCAAGCACCTCTAATTTTACACGGCCCGGTGTTCAACAGATTCTATTACTACCAACTGTCGGCAAGGCTTGTATTCTTTGCAACTGGACCGTCACCTTTTATTCCCTCCCGGAGCTAAGCCCTGTCTTCGGCTCTACACAAGTCAAGAATTGTAATTGGGTCGGCGGTATAGACCTTAACGAACTCAGCGCTGATAACAACCGAGGGGAACCCGCTAGTGTTACTATATTGCTGTCGCTAAACCGAAAGATTCAAGTTGTTAGTATCGCCGATGGAGCTCGTCCCATCAAAAAGATCGACTTCGCCGGAAGCACGATATCCGTAAGGAGGGACTCGATCGCGTGTGTAGCCGATTCGCGAAGTTATGCGCTACTCGAAATCAACCAGCAGTTAAAGATTCCTTTGATGTCCATCTCCTCACTAGATGAGGCTGAACCTGGTAATATTGTTGGTCAGGCTCAACATATTTCTGGAAGTTCCGGTGGACTACTACGCAGCAACTCTTCCGCCCAGTCCCGTTCCCAGACCTTGAGTCCCGAACCCTCTGCCCATAAACGAGGAACTAGTCTAGGAGATTTTATCACGGGCGCTACCCGAAGGCAGGAACATCGAGTTAGCGAAGATGATGAACCTATATCCCGCGGGGCGACTCCGCCTGTAATGGAGACGGGTCAAAGAACGCCTGACGAGTCAGCGCCGGATGGCGCACCTAAGGATCAAACAAACCGACCGACTCCACCTGGTAAACCGCAGCCGGGTTTTCTTAAACCACTGATTGTATCCCCAACACTGGAAGAGTTCCTCCTAGTTACCGGCACTAGCCCATTAGAGCCAGGCATTGGGATGTTCGTAAACCTAGATGGCGATCCGACAAGACCTACCATCGAGTTCGATCGATATCCTAAGGAGATTGTCGTCGATGGTGGTTCTGTAGACGTGTCCTCATCACGAACCTCACTCGGCCCAGAAGATGAAGGCTTTGTTCTTGCATCAATGGGAAGGGATTTTCCTGATGGCGTGCATTACGGGTTAGAGATCCAGCGCTGGGATGCCGACCCGGCTGGAGGCGAAGTGGCGAAATACTGGCTTGAACCACCAAATGCCGGCTCAGTTGTCAATTCTCAGCAAAGCATCGGGATAAGATCCTTACGTGGGATTCAGGACACCAGCTTCTCTGAAATCGTAGACAAGCTGTGCCGACGAAGATTTTTACCGTTTCACGCAGGTGGCCTAGATGCATCGACCATGTCACTACGAACCGTTGACTCACGAACAGCGTCTTCCATGGAGAGGTTGTCTAAAGAAAAGGAGCTCTTTGACAGGGACACTGATTCTTCTAGTGAGGACTTCTTACCGGATTCTTGGCAAGCTACTCGCAACGCCGAAGAGCAAGAGTTTGCTCGTCGCCTTGCTGGAACCACTGCTCGTTTAGCTGTATGGTCTGGGAAAAACATATGGTGGGCTGTCCGGAATCCTTTAATATTGAGGTTGGATTCGCAACTGGAAGCGACAGTCACGGCCTCGGACCAGGCATCCTCTATACGGCAAAATTTGTTCACCATACTAAATTCTTTCCGTGGCCAAGATGCGACATCTGAACTTGAATTTCTAACTTTCAGCTACATACGGCAACGAGCAGGAATTCTTTTACTCACAAGCTTTCTTAAGTCAGATGATGCTCCTTTTTCAGAGTCGGAACTCCGAGCCATGGAGGAAATTTTGGTAGACAGCCTCCTTGACCCTCGAGTGGTTTTGTCACTTGTCCCTGGTGTTCGCAATGAGGTTATTGAGACAAAACGAGGTATATGGATCTTCGGGGGTGTGAAGTCAACTGCTGAGGAATTTATCTCGAACAAGGACTTTGATAAGGACAATTCAACTATGAACGCCTTATCGCAACCGGTATTGCATTTTCTCAGGCGCTTCCTTACTGCTTGGCGACGTAAGAAGGGTTTTGGTAGCATACCGGACGAGAATGAGGTCTTCCGTACCGTTGATGCAGCTCTACTTGCTGTTCTCCTCCAACTGGATCAGCACTCAACCTCTGGCCCAGCTAAAGCAAGGTCTGTTCGCGCAGATTTATACGAGCTCGTGGATACAGGGGTCGACTGCTTTAACAGAGCAGAGACCTTGGTCGAGTCGCACCACCGTCTTTATGTACTCAGTAGGCTTTACCAAAGTCGCAAAATGGTGGCAGATGTCTTGGCCACCTGGAAACGTATCATCGAAGGTGAACGAGATGACGGGGGAGAATTAACTGATGGCGAACAGCGCGTGCGTGAATATCTCTCCAAAATCAGCAACCAGGCACTTGTTCAAGAATATGGAATTTGGCTTGCGAACAGAAATCCGAAGCTTGGTGTCCAAATATTCGCTGATGATAAGGGTCGTGCCCCCAAGTTCGAGCCCAGCCAAGTAGTTCAGCTTCTCAGGGAAGAGGCCCCGGATGCGGTAAAATACTACTTGGAGTACCTCGTATTTGGCAAAGGTCACACTGTATACGTCAATGAATTGATCATGTACTATTTAGATATCGTGATTACTCGTCTTCGAACGTCGCCTGAACATCGCGAGGTGGTGAAGTCCACTTATACGGCATACCGTGCTTTACATCCCCCGAAACCCACGTACCGCCAATTCCTAACGGAAAACGCCCCTGCCGACGACGAAGCTTGGCATAGCCGATTGCGACTCTTACAGTTGCTAGGCGGCAGCTACAAGTACGACTTGGCAGTTATTAGAGACCGAATCGCAGGCTTAAATAATACGGCCGAAGATCTTCTCGTGCCTGAAACCATAATACTGGATGGCCGAGAACGAAATCACGAAAACGCATTGCGCCTATTAGTCCACCGGCTAGGTGACTATGATACGGCAGTTTCCTACTGTCTTCGTGGCGGAGCTAGCATCTATACCATTTACCAGACGCAACAAAATCAGCCGCCGCCAAGCCCAGAAAATCTCAAAGGTCCAAAGCGTCGCGATAGCATACCGCCAACACAGGACCAACAGGCACGGCTCTTCCGGGCCTTGCTTGGAGAGTTCCTCGAACTGGAGGACATCAGCGACCGCGTGGAGCAAACGGGCCTATTACTGGAGAAGTTCGGTGGGTGGTTCGATGTTGGCGACGTCCTGTCCGTAATCCCAGATACCTGGAGTGTGGACTTGGTCGCAGGGTTTTTGGTGAAAGCGCTTAGACGGATCGTGGTAGAAAAGAACGAAACCTCAGTTGCGAGATCACTCAGCTCGGCGCAGAATCTCCAGATACAGCATGATTTAATCGTGCGAATTGAGGAGAAGGGACCTAGTATTGAAACGTAGGGTCACGATAGTGTACAGATATCTAATGACTAGATGATTAAAATATAATTGGTTACGGCGCCCCTTTTTTGTTTATGGTCACTAAATGGGTACCTAGGTAGGTATAATTAGCTGTGGTTCATTATGCTAAGTGTCTAAGACAATGCTAACACACCGAAACCTAGTACCTAGGTCGCAAACTCCGACCAATGCTACGATAGCCGAACAAGCCCAACGCCAACATACTATTACACAATAATAGGTAACACGGACGTGCTCGTCTAGCACATAGGTCAAATGCTTTTCATCCCCAAATACGCCTAACCAGACCCTAGCCCAGGGCTTTCCCCTCATAAATCTTCTGGAAAACTCCATAACTCGTCCGCCACAGTAAGTTGCTACTGCACCTGCATGATCTTGCTTTTCAGCGCCTTTTGCTTCAGAAATCCCTCAACCCACATATCCACCTCTTCAAGGGCCTTGAGGGGTTGTTTCTTTCGCTTGAGAAGATATCCCTGAATCTGCGCGGGCGAAAATTCACTATCAGGGATTTTTAATCCGAATTTTTGGGCGATAGCGGGAAGCTCATCGACCGGTACATCTAACTCTGCAGGCTCGTTGGTATTCGAACCATTTGCCTCCCTCGCATCGCAATTTATTGGCAGTTTTGTCGTCACTGCCGTCGTCGCCGCCACGGTAACTGTACCGTTTTTCTCCTTAAACTCGAGCGCCGATGTGACTGTAGGCGAGGTGTACTGCGGCGACACATCCTCGTACATCCGGATAAAAAGCTCCCTCGCCTGGTCCTGGGTCGCGTTCGCGAACGCCACCTGTAGATCCACCCTCCCGGGTCGGATTAGCGCCTCGTCTAGCTGCTCCGGCGTATTCGTCGTCATGATCAACACGCGCCCCTCGTGCGAGGCCACGCCGTCGATCGCGTTCAAAAGCCCCGAGAGAGATATCCCCGTCTTACGATCCGCGTCGCCTTCCTGCTTGAGCGCCTTGGCGAGATCGCTGACGTTCCAGTCGCTTTTTATCTCGGCGCTGGGCTTTTTAGCGGGTCTGTGCGTGCAGGATGGGGTGGCTTCGTCGTCTTTGCCGGGAGAGCGGCGGAGGCCTGCTGTGTCGATGTCTAGGGCGGGGTTAGTGGTTAGGTACCAATTGATGTCGTGGGATTTCTTGCCTTCTAACAACACGATACACCGGCGCGGCAGCGAGCCAAAGAGACCACTCAAATCCTCCTCCGTCAAGCTGGGTTCAAGCAGAGAAATCACGTGAATATCGAGACCGAAAATCCCCGCCAGCGCAAAGGAAAGCGAGGTCTTGCCGGTTCCCGGGGGGCCGTAGAAGAGGTAGCCGCGACGCAACGGGATGCCGCGATTCGCGTACCAGCGCGGGGTCTCCGGGTGGAGGTACTCGTTGATGTCGGCGAGGACCTGCAGCTTCTGCTTCTCGTCGAGCACGACGGTCTTGATGTCGCGCACGGGTCGGTTCGCGACTTGGTGCCAGCTACATCGCAGCGCGTACCGCCGGTTATACATACTCGGCCGCTTCACGATCGTGCGCGCCTGGTGGTCGCGGTAATATTGCTCCTTGGCGTGCGCGAGCAGCTGTTTAATCGGCTCTGCGTGGACACGGGGGGTTCCGTCAGCCTAAGGTTACGTACCGAGGTCAGGGGTTATGGGACAGGGGGTATGGGTAAAAGGGGGAGAAATGTGATTGGTGACGGGATGCGGTCTTACCCGGACTTCTCCAAAAGCACGAAATCACTATGTCTTCCTGGTCTTTTAAAACTTGCCCGAGGCTGTTCTCGTCGAAGACGGACTCCCGCTTGCGTTGAAGTCGGAAATATTGGCCCTTCCACCAGAAGCCATGGAGACCTATCGACGGGCTGTACTGCGGTGGCTTTAATTGAGTGTTAGCAGGACCACAATGGTACGATATCGAAATACCGAGGTACAAGGACAAGCTAGGCAGGATAGGGGGTAGGTAAGCTTACAGCTCTAGCTTCTTGGTTGGAAAAATTAAGATAACGGCCGGTATTATCCCTCGCCAGATCAGACGCGTCCTCGAATTCCCAGGCCCTCTTACTCGCCGTCTCGGCTATCAGGGCTCTTGAGTTGACTATCTGGGGCTGGGAAGCCAACCACTCCATAAGGTGCGAGTAAATGTCATCGCTATTGAGGATGTGGATGCTACACATAAAATGGCTGATGACGATGTTGTAGAGGGACGTGTAGAGCTGATGGAATAGCTTATTGAACGCCCAGATGACACCAATGGCAGTAAGTATATAGGTTGGCTCAATTCCCAGCTTATCCCCTACGAACCCATAGATGGGGGCAAAACCACGGAGTCCGACGAGACCCAGGATACTCTCGACCATCTTTGCATGTGGTGTATTATCTGTTGCATTATTCCCGACCCTATCCGATATGTTGAGACCTATGCTCGGAAGCAGGCCACTGAGAACGCCACTGTAGTCCATGTTCTCTAGTGTCAAGAGTTGCCTTTTCTGAAGAGCTAGCCAATAATGGATGATCAGGGGGAGAAGGCTGGGAGAAGGCTAGGACTGAAAAGGTAGATGATAGGTTTGTTTATCAGTTAAATAGTAGGAAGGGCTAGGGTACGGTAAGCTTGCACATCAAGAGCCAGAAAGTATTCTCGGTCTTATTGAGACGTGGTAAGTGACACAGGAAGAAAAGTCATACGGACAACATGCCTTAGGCCCTCTTGGTCTATCTCGGAGTGGCAAGAATATATGCAGTTGCTATTGGCCCCTCCTCCTATATGCAGGTTTTGTTTGATCCCTACTGAACTAGCCATGTAGGTTGAAAAAATGACCGTTATCCGGATCACACCGTCTTAAGCCACGAATCATTCAGGCACTCATACAGTATCTGAACGAATCGAATTTGGAATTGTCAATCCAATTATGTTTGGAAATCTAATAGGTTACCAGGTCAGTATGACGAACAGAGTGAGAGTAGTTATAGGTAACAAGTGGTCGTAAACTGTGTTCTATAGGTAAGAATCATACCACTGAGTAGGTAGTACCTACATTTAGATTGCTATACTCTCCAAGATGTGTCATATGTTGGGTAATAGATCTGGAGCGCATATCCACCGGAAACGACCAGGAATTATATCGAAAGAATGACACCGTAGGATTGTACGGGCTAGAATGTGAGGCTGAAAAATGATAAGAGTAAATTGAGTCGTCGTGGAATTTTGAAAGTAGTCTTCATTGTGACTTTATACAGGTGAGTTACATACCATACGACGTTGAATTGATGCATAACATACATACATTATATGTAGGTCCGCGTTTATGTCCAATCGGAGTCTTACATGAGGCTGTTAGGCAGCTATACCGACAATCCTAGTTTTAATATTATAGCAATTCCAATCGTTACAACTTTGATATTAGCCTAGCGATGCCGGAGATTGTGAATGTTAGCTGAGTAGGCTTGGACGACATATGAAGGTCAGTGATTCGAGCCAACATCGTTACGAAAGGCGGGTCTATAAAACCATAGTTATAAGTACACGCGCTGAAGTTATTAGGAATCCAGAATGGCCAATGCCTTGTTCATTCATACTTGACACCCCCTAAAACAAAATCACAAAGAAAGTGGTCGACTATTTAAGAGGATATACGAACTCAGATAATCCAACACATACATACAAATATATGTCTCCAGGAAATTCTATAGGCGCTTAAAACCCACGTCCCTATTCATTGAGACAACAAGAATTTCATTGCGCACCTATTTGATCCAACATCGCAATATTGGGTGGTTATAAGGGGCTAGATAATCTCATGTATCGCGGTCCGAAAAATCAATATTCAGAAGCCGGCCCGAATCAATGATGAGTACCGACTACATAAGTTTAGTATGTCTATCCTATGATTCTTAGGACTAGAAGACATAATAGAGAATTCCTTCCCCTTTTCACGTAGCTTAGATGGGACACCAAATCTGCAGTATCATGAATGAGACAACCAACATGCGTCTAACGTGGATTCATTGAGCATTCGGCGGCAATCTAAACGTCGTGGGCCGAGATGAGAACGAGGCATCGCAAATAAGCTGACATTAATCTATTTTGCAATGATTGAAGAATATTGCCGAGCAAAAATCCTTCTAAATCTGAGTAAGTTTATAGGCTATCGGAGGGTTGAGTGAGCAAGAGCGGACCTCATCTCACGGCACCAACAATGTTGGTTGCCTTTCCTTATACAAGCGGGTAACGCCTCGACATGCCACATCGAAGGATACGTGAGAAGTCTAGTGCCTTCGAGAACGACCCCCCAACTCGACTCAATATTGATAGAGCCAACACCTGTTGCCTCTCGAGCCGGAAGGGGTGGTGTTTTGCGAGTGTTAAGTCCCGTACCCGTAGCGGGACCGACCTGTGTATTCTTTTTTCGAAATTTCCTGGACTTGATGTGATTTCATCATTCCAGGCCAACCCACCCGGTCTCAGACTCCGCCTCAGATTGTATTGCATCTTCTAAGATCATCTCTTCCTCTGACCCCACCATCTTTACTTGGATATCGCCTTCACCAGTTACCAATTTCTGGTTGTTGGTGTCCATACTTTTGGTGTTAGCTTGACCGAGTAGATAGTCGATCATGTACACGTTATCGTCGGCCAATCGCTTAATCTCGTTTCGCATTCTCGTGACTGCTCTAGCAACAACCCGGAGTTCAACGTCCACTTTACTCCGATTTGCTGTAAGCCACGATCCGTGCTTATCTACCAATGATTTGATCCATAATAGACAAAACTCGATGTGAGGTGATTCTTCGGTCTGGGCTGCGACGAATCGTAGAAGCCTTGCAACGTATACCACAGGAAACTGTTCCACCACCAATGGGATATCTGTATATGGCACCGATTGAAAGACCCTCTTAATTAAAAGGGCCTCGTTAAGGCGGAATGTCATGACTAAAGCTTTAAGGTAATCCTTTTCATTTTCAAGAATGGCAAGAGTTGAAGCTGGCGTGATTTCCATATTAAGATCGAACGGGTCGAATTGCAGCTCGTTGTCTACGCTGTATATGAGGAGGCCTTCCGTTGATGCAGCACAGAATGCGGTACCGGCCGGTGAGAAGCCAACGCTAGTCACTTTTACTTCGGGCAACTTCTTCCTAGCGGATGGGTCGCCGCCTCTCTTGGAACCAGGTAATGACTTATCCTTCCGGGCCTCCCGATCTGAAAGGTCGGCCTCGTCGTCGAGTAACCCTTCCGGCCCTGCTTCCGTGAGTAACTTGCTGTTCAAAAACTCCTGTGTTCCTGATAGGGAAAGGTTGACGCTGACAGTAAACTTTTTCAGGAGAACCATGGTGCTGACAGAATACAGGCAAATGTATTTGCTGTTTCCTGCTGCTAAAAGGCAACTGCCGTCTGTGCTATATCGTATAGTGTTAAAACTCTTGGTACCAGCTACATTGGCAGCGGTCCTACGATCAGTGACCTTCCGACCTCCTGATACGTCCCGCCGCCCGTCCAGACCGGATACCTGCTCTGCATCCGATACAGACCAGAATGATAATTGGCCGTCTAAAGTGGATATTGCAAGCTGTGCAGAATCCGGTCGGACTGCGATGTCTAGGACATCTGCTTGTAATTGTAGAGGCTCACTAGTCTGTGTGCGACTGAATATCGACCACATCCTGGCTGTTCTATCCCAGCTTCCACTGAATAGAGTACTACCATTTGGCGAAAATGCCAACGAATAAACAGGACCTTCGTGGCCGGATAATTGGTCGAGCAACTGACCGGTCTGCACAGACCAAATGTGGACATCGAATGAGTCCAGAGACCCCGCAGCCACCACCTCACCACTAGGGTCAACTGCCATGCAGGAAAAAGAGAGTCGGCTCGGTGCTGTGAATGTTCGGAAGTTTCGATATCGGATAAGATCCCACGCTCGTATAGAACCATCTAAACTTGAAGTAAATAGCACATTCCCCTTCTTTGCGAACTCGCAAGCTGTTACACCACTCGTATGTTCGGTGAATGTGACTATACAGAATCCAGAATCGACATCCCAAACCTTGATCTTTCCATCGTCGGCTGTGGTGATAATGCGCTTTCCGTCGGGAGAGTAAACTAAGGAATTCATGGAATCGAAGTGACCTTGCTGTTTTAAGATGTAAGATTCAGATTGCCACTCCCAGACAAGCAGCTGGCCTAGTTTAGAAGCTCCAAAGGCCAACCATTCTCCGCTCTTATTTATCGTAACAAAGTCGATTTCATTTTGTGATATGCTGAGGGTATGAATAGCGTTGAAATCGGGCATTTCGTATAAGCCGAATATACCATTAGAGAAACCAGCAACTAAGAGGTTAGACTCGGGATGGAAAGCAGCACATCTAACATTAGCATTGCTCTGCATAAAGTAATGCTTTTGGACGATTCTCCAGCGCTCGTCTCCGTCAACATCCATATCTTCGTCCTCGTCTGGTGGCGGCGCATCAGGGTGCCGAGTATACTGCCAGTCAAAGACGGCGCCATCTTTGCTGACAGTGTATATCGTTTCCTGGTTCTTCGAAAACCAAGCGCCGATGACTGCCTGCTTGTGACCCGACAGGACTGTGGGGGTAAATCCTTCCTCGGCATCCAAACTCCATATCCGAGCGGTAAGGTCTTTGGAGGCAGTTAAGAAGAAGCGTGAATCTATCGACCACTCAATGTGATGGACATCATCGAAATGACCCATATGTGTGTGATGTCGAACGAACGGCGCAAATTCCAACTCTCCCTCCGAGTTGGAGTCTGGGGTTGATGGAACCTGCCATACTTCAGTCTTTCGACCTAGTCCTACGGCAAAGTGGCGTCCTGAAGGGGAAAAGGCGAGGGCAGTGACAGGAGATCGGAAGGAAAAGTGGTATATAGATATTCGTCGTGGGACATTGGTCAATATTGCGTGTCCATCTTCGTCAACTGAGAGTAGAAGGTTGCCCCGCGGTGTTAAGCCAATCCTCGTGATGTTCTTTCTATGCGCAAAGGGGAGAGTGTATGATTTGTTGCTGTTGGTAATGAATTGTTAAAAAGTGGCACTCTCCATGGAGCCTCAAGTATAATGCGACTTACTCTACAAGGTTGAATACCGTAACTCGGTTTCCGACGGGGGAGAATAAGCAGGTTCCATCAGGGCTGTATAATAGATTGCCCTGACAGTAGACGGTTCCAAGAAGATTGGAAAACTAGAGATTCAAAATGAGTAGCTGTTTTAAAGTTAGGAAGATATGACAGAAAGAAAAAAAACTAACTCTGAAATCTGTCTTCATTGTCACGGCATAGCGATCATGTAGATGCTGATTATTAGGGAATCGGATCTTGCACGAAGTATGCGCCAGACAATCAAGTTCAAACTCGTAACTTTTTTTGCTTTTGTTATCAGTGATAAGATAACAATTTCTCCAGGAAGCTACGATAAAGACGTAAGATTTTGGACAAATTAAGTTGAGAGTTTAGCTGTTAATGTGGGACTGCTATTACCTCTGCCGGCTCCAAAATTAATTGGCTGTAGTACCTAGGCGGTCAAGGCTTCGACGCTCGAACCACCACAGATAGCACTACAGGGAAATGGCAGAATGGGGTAAGGGGCCACTGACAAGTAATTTAATCCTGGTCCCTTTTCGGTTGCCCTGCACGTTGAGGTTGGTTTTGTGCTAAAAGGTAAAAGGTTAAAGGAAATTTGCTTGACCAGCAATACTTTCCCCTGAAGAAGCCCGATCCCGACTCTTCGTCTGTCAACATCAACGTCGGCCCATATCCTGAAGAAAAAAAAGAAACATCAAACCGACCAATCTCATCATATCCCGAGTTCAGAATTGAACTTCTTTCTTGGGTTCATCTCTATAAATCCATCTCTGTTCATTGCTTAAGTTGTTTCACCTGACTTAATAGCTACCCACCACCCTTTAATCATCACCGCCAACATGCCTCCTGCTGCTGCCACCGCCGAAAGCGCGTCGCCAATTGGCATTGCCAATTTGCCAAACCAGCGACATAAGATTGTTGCTAAGCGAGGTGCTGCTTTTACTATCATGGTATTGTGATATGGAAACTATTAAATTGTAGATTATATAGCTGACGTCAATTGTAAGGTTGCTGGTGAATCGGGATTGGGAAAGACTACCTTCATCAACACCCTCTTTTCCACCACCATCAAGAACTATGCCGACCACAAGCGACGACACCAGAAGCAGGTTGACAAGACCGTCGAGATTGAGATTACCAAGGCCGAGCTGGAGGAGAAGTTCTTCAAGGGTAATAACCAAACTCCTTCCCGAGCTTAATTGTCTATTACATATCTATTACCCATCTAGGCCATTGTTTGCTAACCCTCGTATTCGATATTTATAGTCCGCTTGACCGTTATTGACACTCCCGGATTTGGAGATTACGTGAACAACCGAGATTCGTGGATGCCCATCATCGAGTTCTTGGATGACCAGCACGAGTCCTACATGCTTCAGGAGCAACAACCCCGCCGACAGGATAAGATCGATCTTCGTGTCCACGCCTGCTTGTACTTCATCAGACCCACCGGCCACACCTTGAAGCCTCTGGACATTGAGGTTATGAAGAGACTTTGCTCCAGAGTCAACCTGATTCCCGTCATCGCCAAGGCTGATACCTTGAGCCCTATTGATCTTGCCAAATTCAAGGCCAAGGTATGTATCAATTACTTGAATTGCTCGCTCTTTATTCACTTGACTAATAAATATGTAGATCCGTGCCGTTATTGAGGCCCAGAGCATCAAGATCTACCAGCCCCCAGTTGAGGAAGATGACGAAGCCGCTGCCCAGCACGCCCGTAGCCTAATGGCCGCTATGCCATTCGCCGTCATTGGCTCTGAGAAGGACGTCAAGACGGGCGATGGACGTATCGTAAAGGGCCGCCAGTACTCCTGGGGTGTTGCCGAGGTCGAGAACGAGGACCACTGCGATTTCAAGAAGCTGCGCTCGATCCTAATCCGCACTCACATGCTTGACCTCATCCACACGACCGAGGAGTTACACTACGAGGCGTACCGTGCTCAACAAATGGAGACTCGAAAGTTCGGCGAGGCTCGTCCTCGTAAGCTCGACAACCCCAAGTACAAGGAGGAGGAAGAGGCCCTTCGCAAGCGCTTCACCGAGCAGGTCAAGATTGAGGAACAACGATTCCGACAATGGGAACAGAAGCTCATTGCCGAGCGCGACCGTCTCAACAAGGATCTCGAGCAAACCCACGCCCAGATCAAGCAGCTCGAGAACGAATTGGAGCAAATGCAGGGCAGCGTTGCTCGCAGCGGTCGTCGCTAGAATCGCTAGAACACTTTTTACCATATTCGGCAACTAGAAGTTTTGGTTCCGCTAGTGCTAGTTAACGCTTTCCCATCCGATACGAGTGTACGGAGTTGAGTCGGGTTGATGCACTTTTTTGCTGGACTCGACATCTCCGGTTCTAAACAGGCAATGGGACGTTGATGGGTGGGGATATGCTTACAAGCTTAATTACGTATGAGTTGTGCGTTATTGTGTTGCGAGGTGAATTGACAAAGTGCCGACGATTTGCTGATGGCAAAGGCTTGCGGGATTGATGGGCGTGCGTGGGATTACACTGCGATATCAAAATATTCTCCTTTTTGGAGGTCGATTGCACCTCCGTTTCTCCCAGATCAGTTAGGTTTAGTTTACGATGTAATCGCGAGTTTCTATGATACCAGTAACAAACCAGAATAATTCTTCATTCGCTTCATGACATTACATTAATTGACAATTCTTCCTAGCCAACTAAGAGTGCCCGTCACGAGACTACCTACAAGGTAGGTACCTATGTAATCCTATTCGTGTACGCAATTATCTAACCCCACGTATAATAGACCAACTGGTATTATGCGACTATGCGTGCGTCTAGACAGCATCCATCGCTGCTCTAGTAGTCAGCTGCTCGTTCTTGTTTCCAAGTTTCGAAATCTGTAGAAAGGCATCCACGCCATATCCTTCCAAGCTGTGCAATTCTAAGCTTCCCGCCCAGTACTCGGCGTATACCCGACTCAGCGGCAACCCCATGCCGAGACGAAGGTTAGGCGGGCGCGTGGATAACGAGTGTAGAGAGCTGTCGTGCAGGTTCGTGTGCTCGTTGCTCTGAAGCACGGCTAGCTTGCCGTCGTTCACCTTGAGCTCCTGCAACGTGGCAGCCATGAGCGGCACCTGGCCGAGGTTCTCGAGGCGCTGGTTTTTCAAGGGGCCTTTGCCGAAGGACCATAGGTACGGGAGGGTATCACGTGGGATGCCGCCGCCTTGGTCGGAGATCCGGATGATAACGTGTTGCTGGGCTTCGCAGACGGTAACTTCGATGGGAGGGGGTTGCGAGGCCGGGTTTCGGCTTTGCTGGTGCTTTTCGATGACGGCTTCGACGGAGTTGCGCAGGAGTTCACCGATTATGTACTCAAGATGGCTGAGTATATAGGGGAAGGATGCGTCGAGGTGACCGTTGACTTTGATCTCAGGGATTTTGGTGTTCGGGCCGTTGTCGGAGCGGGCGAGTTCCTGTACGGCTTTGGCGCAGTGATTGATCACGTCCTTAGCTATGCACTTGATGAATACCTCGCCGATGAATTCAGACTCAGAAAGCTTAGCTCCGGGAGAAAACCAGGCCGCGTTGTAGGTCTCTGTTAGGGCTAGATGTTGCTCTGCGATGACTCTACGGGATATACGCTATACAGAGAGCTTAGAATTAGTCATAATTCCACATTTTCCTTGATTCTTTCGGCGCATCACTTACAGAGCGTAAGATAGTATTCATAAATCGATCGAGCTCGGTGGCGGGCATCAACCCGCTACATTCAAGTATACCCATAGCTAGCTTCGGAATCACAGTTAAGTGGGCGCGAAGCATCTTAGCTATTTCCTTACACAGGTGTTCGTTGTCCTCGAGCGTCTTGATCTCCTTAATGCGCCGGAACGAGTCGAAGGCTGTATAGTAGAGTTCGTACACATCGCTAATGTGCGGGTTCGTTACGACTACATAGGGAAGGCGTTGCATGTCGCGAATTCTATGGGCGATCCTTGTAGGCAGCTCGGTCCGGACATAGTTCGCAGAGCTGATCAACCGCGACTCGGTTAGCGACCGGCCAAAGACCATTAATTGTCGCAAGCTGATCGGTCGAGCTTCTTTAACTACCCATCTACATAACACACAAGCAAATTGCTGTTAGTTACGAGATACGGCAGAAGGATATAGGGCTGATTGGGCTATCATACTCATCCAGGACCTGTACGGGCCTCCATTTTGCTGAATGTGTCCACCGTCTACTTGGTATACCGAAATTTCCACAATTATTGTTGACAAGGCTTGAGGCAGCTTGTGGCGTCAATGCAAACGCTCCAGCCGGGACTAGAGAAGCTCGAGTGCAGGTGGTCAACCGGAAGGTCTTGGTGGCATTTTGCACCGCGATTGGTAACATGCCGATGATTCCATGCCAAAATGAAAACAATACGGAAAATTAAAGTGGGAAGACGGGATATACAATGCGAGCAGCCTTGCTCCTAAAGAGAAAATGTGAAGTTTGAGTTTGGATTTAAATCGGGACTTGCCCTTACGTAGAGTAGAGTCAGGGGGAGCACATGTTCCGGTTTCGCTAGGCATACATTGCATATGGTGTGTAGAGTTTAGAGCAGGCAAGTGGCAGGATGGTTATTGAAGGCAATTCTTTCTGTGACTGTGACGATACAATGAGTCGGTCCTGTCGGCTGCTTGCAGGGTGCTTTACCCCACATTCTCCAATTTGCATGGGTATGAGCGGGCTTAATAATAGGTACGGCGGTAGACGGGATCCTCCCATAACCTTAACATCCTTCGTTGAATCTAGAATTTGCAAGGTATATGTTTGTACCTGCCTACTACTCCGTTACTAAAATCTAATGTTAGGTAGGTATCCATTGAGGCGAATTTGTCTTTGTCTTGGATTCAATGCTCTATTTGTTATTGTTGTTGTTGTACAAAGAAGAAAAAAAGTGATGGCGTCAAGCAACATGATTGCTTTAGTAAAATGATGAAAAGTGTGTTACAAATTTTCGAGGGGTTCGGCTATGTTAGGTTATGTGTAGATCATCTTATTAAAATATTAGGTTCTTGCATGTGCGTTTGGGATTCATTCAAAGAGAATGGACGAATAAACGAAGGGCTTACAGCTTAACTTACCTATTGCCTGCCTGTATTGATTATATAAAACTCATTTCCAGCTACGATACTTATTAGATACCTACTACCTTTGATAGGTAGCATATTTCGTGACTTAGGGTATGGGATCACCTTGTCTCACAACTTGTAATTGTATATAGATACTTAGTGCTTAGTACCTACTCACTTGTTGAAGAAACAGAAACTTGCCTCGATGTCTCGGACCAGATGCTCAATTTTCGTAACAACGTCATTGGTAATTGGAGATTGGTGGGGCCATCTTAACACTGGGCACCTAAGGCACATAAGGTCAAGACTCTTCCAAGGTTCCATGGCAGATAACAATTTATGTCAGCAATTTAAGTATTCTTTTCAGTTACTATACTTTCAACTCAATTTATTTGTTACGGTTCCACACGGAAATGAGACTTTTCTTGATGTATACTACTAGGTAGGTATACTTGAGTAGATATGCCCGATAACTCTCTAAGAAAGCGCAATCACAGTGCAGCCTTAAGGCATTCCAGTTAGTATGGTAGTAGCCATCCCCCATAGCTGCGCCTCTTAATCCCGCCTTCTACAGTTTCCTAGGCTTCCAACTTTGAAGCTTCCCATATAATCTAAGCAGGTACACCTCTACATGTACTAGGCTGCGTACACGTATGGACCCGACTCAATGTGTCACAGCCCACTTTCTTATGCCCACCTAGTGCTGCCGACCTTGTCAATGAAGCAATTCCTAAAGCTTTACCTCCGTTTTTTAATTTTCTCTTCGACATTTCCACTTCATTCGCCAATATTGCGCCCAGTCGCATATTTACATTAACGCTGTCTTGAAGCTCTCGATTGTCCTTGCCACAACTGCTGGCAGAGAGCTATCTCTCATTACGCAGTTTCCTTCCACGCCACCTTTTTCTAGCCCCGCCGAGCGTAGTAGGAACCCTCGACCACACTTTTTTTTAAACTCTTCGGCCTGGGAGGAAGATTTGGCATTGATTTGGGAAGTCGCCAGCCGAAACGACTTAGACTATTGTCTCTAATAATATCCACGAGCAATCATGGTAGGCACATCTATTTTACATCAACTCAATAGTATCTTTTCATAACCCGAACTCGACTATGCCAAAGAAGACGCCACGCGATAATCATCCTTCTTCATTGTTCTAACCTTACCCTATTCGTATCCTGTCTATCCGACTACCTGCCTACCTATCCAAGATTCCACAGGTCAACTTCTTGAACTTTTCGATCCCAATCAATTTTTATGGTTATGAGCATTAATCCAAACCTATTCATTGCAAACTTCTTAGCCTCTCGTTTCTAAAAGTAGTTGCCAAAACGTACTCAATATCCATACTCATACTCATACTCATCCTGCTAGAGCTACGATTCCGAAATCCATTCGCCGAATGACATGATGGTCGACACGCAAGACGAGATGGTCGTCCAACCGGCCCTAAGTGAGAAGGATCAGATAACCGAAATCAATCCAGAGCAGCTAGATGCCGATGCCGAGAACCTCGAGAATGTTGTCCTAGCTACCGATCGTACGTGCGAACTCCTAAAATAAAATATAATTAGGCTGCTGTTATAAGAAACCTTTGTTAACAAAAAATCTAATTTAGACGAGGCTATGAAGGAGATGGTGCTCCCTCCCCTCTTAGATGAGCCCAAGGTTCTAGAAGATGTCGTCAATACATGGACCGTAGAAAATTGGCGAACCTTACCAAAGAAAGAACATGGACCGGTATTCGAGGCTGGCGGGTTTCCATGGCAAGCCAATCTACAGAATTCCTAATCTTAAGCGTGCACTTTCTAACTGATTGATCAGGCGAATTCTTCTTTTCCCATTTGGAAATAATGTTGACCAATCCTCTATATATCTTGAGCATGGCTTCCAAGATACAAACAGCATACCTGATGATTGGAGCTGTTGTGTACAGTTTGGTCTGGTCATGTGGAATATTAATGACCCATCTCTCTTCTATCATCATACCGCCCACCACCGTTTTACCAAAGAAGAAAGCGACTGGGGTTTCACGCGGTTCCTCGAGCTAAGAAAGATGTTCCAGCAGGGGTGGGATAATTCAGGTCGCCCGCTGGTTGAGAACGAGTCAGTCCATATTACCGCATACGTTCGTATAGTTGAAGACGAAACTGGCGTGTTATGGCATAACTTCAACAACTATGATTCGAAGAAAGAAACCGGCTATGTCGGCCTCAAGAACCAGGGTGCCACATGCTACCTTAACTCCCTACTACAGTCATTATACTTTACCAATGCCTTCCGAAAGGTTAGTGTGACATATCTGCAGGCGAACTATTTGAGACGGAAGATAACTTGCTAACATATCTCAGGCTGTTTACGAAATTCCAACCGCCGAAGATGAGAGCATAACTAACAGCGCCTATACCCTCCAGAGACTGTTTTATCAACTCCAAATATCCAATACTGCTGTGGGCACCAATGAGCTCACCAAGTCTTTCGGCTGGGATACGCGTCATATCTTCGAGCAGCAAGATGTACAGGAGTTGTCCCGTAAGCTAATTGAACGCATGGAGGAGCGGATGAAGGGTACCGCAGCCGAAGATGCCCTTCCGCGTATGCTAAGTGGTAAGGTCAAAACGTATGTTTCCTGCATTGACGTCGAGTACGAGTCTAGCCGAGTTGAGGATTTCTGGGACATTCAACTCAACGTCCGAGGGATTCCAAACCTCGAGGGTAGCTTTAAGGACTATATTCAACAAGAGACGCTCGATGGCGACAACAAGTACTGGGCAGGCGATGAGTTCAAGTATCAAGATGCTCGCAAGGGTGTAATCTTCAAGAGTTTCCCCGAAGTTCTGCATCTTCACTTGAAGAGATTCGAGTACGACATTCAGCGCGATACGATGATGAAGATCAACGATCGCTTCGAATTCCCCGAGGTCCTTGACCTAACACCCTACCTTGACCAAGACGCAGACAAGTCGGAGCCGTGGATCTATAAGTTGCATGGTGTTCTGGTGCACAGTGGAGACCTCAATGCTGGACATTACTATGCGTATCTCAAGCCTAACAAAGATGGCTGGTTTTACAAATTTGATGATGATAAGGTCACGAAGGCAACTATGAGAGAAACACTGGAGGATAACTTTGGTGGCGAGTACCCTGCCTCGCTCGTACAATCTCGCGCAGGCATTCAGAAGAAGACGCCGATCATGCGCCAAATGAGCGCGTACATGTTAGTGTACATCCGAGAGTCTCGTCTAGACCAAGTCTTGACGCCCGTCGAGAAAGAGGACTGCCCTCCACATCTCCGTAAGTTTCCGAGTGTGAAATTCAAGATCTGAACTAATCATACATACACAGAGAAACGCTTGGATGAAGAAGCCGCGGCACGAGAAGCAAAGCGGAGAGAACGTGAGGAGCAGCATCTATACCTCCCTGTTAAGGTCATCACGGAAGAAACATTCAAGCATCATGGGTCGACGGACCTTACGAATTTCGACTCTAACCCTACTGAAGATCCCGCGGCGCCCAAGTTCTACCGTACCAAGAAGCAAACTACCATCGAAGAGCTAGTAGCGATAATTGCTCAGGACTTGAAACTAGACCCCAAAAGAGTGCGCTTGTGGATTATGGTAAATCGTCAGAACAAGACCACTCGACCTGACCAGCCAATTATGGACCTGAGACCAACAATAGAGGACACCTACTCACGGATGGCCACTACGACTAGAGATTTTGCATTGAGGGTCTGGGCTGAGGTTGCAGAGGAGGTCGACGCCGATGGAGAGGCTATTTGGCCCACGTATCAGAGCAATGCTAACGGTGTCATTGTCAAGAATGACTTGATCCTTCTTTTCTTAAAGCATTTCGATGCTGAAAGGCAGGTTCTCGAAGGTGTGGGTCATATTTACGTCAGCAAAGAGAAAAAGGTCGAGGAGTTAGTTCCTGTGATCGCGAAGAGAATGGGTTGGGGAGAAAAGCTGCCTTCGGGAGAACAACTAGCGATGTGGGAGGAGATCAAGCCGGCTATGATCGAGGCTCTCAAGGCGAAACAATCGTTGAAAGCAGCCGAGTTACAGGACGGCGATATCATATGTTTCCAGAAAGTCCTCGAGAGAAAGTCGGCCGAAATACTGGGGAAACTTCCACGTTTAGGGGATAAAAACTCTGAGGAAACTACGCGGCGATGGGATCGATACGACGACGCCAAATCCTTCTATGATTTTCTCTGCAACAAGAAAGAAATCCGCTTCGACCCACATCCCCGCTGCGAAAAGGCGAATTATCAAAGCTTTATCCTTACCCTCAGCATAAAGATTAGCTATGATCAACTTTCGGAGAGGGTCGGTGAGCAGTTAGGGGTTGACCCCACCCATCTCCGCTTCTTCACAGCCAACGCTTCGACGGGAAGCCCCAGGACAGCAGTAAGAAGAGCCGTCAACCAAACCCTCGGCGCAATACTCAATCCGAATGGATATACCCAGCAAAGCATGCAAACCAAGCCTAATTCGTTTTTCTTTGAAGTCTTAGATATGAGCCTTGCAGAGCTAGACACCAAGAAGAGCGTCAAGGTGACATGGTTGAGCGAAGGCATCACAAAAGCAGTAAGTTTCCTTAAGCGGTCCACGCGAATTATGTACTCATAAGTCTTAGGAAACCTTCGACGTCTTGGTGAATAAACAAGGACATATTGAAGATCTGGTCCAGGCGTTTGTAAAGAAAGCGCAGCTCAAGGATGAGAGTGAAGGCGGCCGAATTAGGGTCTACGAAATTCATCATCATAAGTATTTCCGAGACCTGACACCTAACTATCCGGTTATCAGCATAAACGACTACGCAGATGTTATTGCAGAGCGAATTCCGGAGGAAGAGGTGGACGCCCATGACAATGATCTCATCAAGGTTATTCATTTCCAGAATGACACCAGTCGCGCACACGGAATCCCATTCAAGTTCCTTCTCAAAGAGGTATGTATGAACGATACCAAATAGGAGTAAGCCACAAAGCTGACAGCAATTTAGGGCGAGCCATTCTCAGAAACAAAGAAGCGACTGGAGAACCGGTCAGGCATCAAGGGCAAGGCCTTCGAAAAGATCAAGTTCGCAATAGTACGAAAATTCCAGAAGCCGAGCTATATTAATGACGGTAAGAAATAAATGCCATTCCCCACTTGACATAACTAATATGGTACAGACGATGTGCTTTTCGATGAGGGGGGCACGATAGAAGATGACGTCATGCTTGGATTGGATCACCTGGATCGTACGAGAACGACGCGAAACGGGGGAGAAATGTTCCTCAAGTAGGCATCTACATACATAGGTAGCTGATTCTTCGGATACATTCGCTCCCATGGGCTCCTAGAAATCCTCGGGGGTTTCAATCGTACAGCAAGGGCATGAACTCATCAGCGATATCGGCTGATGGTCAATTGCCTCTGGATGGGTTGTGCCTTTTGTATTAAGTGATTATTGGCTTTCTCCGGCAATTTTGCCTATTCCCCTTAGACGTAGGTACCTACAGGTGATTCTTAAACACGCAGGGGGGGCGGCAAGGCAACGGGAAACAATCAGGGGCTAGGAAGTCGATGGAAACGCCCTGATGCAGTATCGTTAATGGGGACGAAGCATTGCGGAAGGCGTACATGCGGAAATGTACCCATGGCGATTGGTCAGGGATTTCTTGGGCGAGTTAAGGCGTCTCTTCGTTGAGCAAAGCAGTTGTGGAACTGACTACGAACTTGTCCTATGCATAACATCATGGAGCTAGATGTTGATGACCCCAGGGTCGGGCAACGTGAGCTTGTTTATGAATATATCGAGTTCTTTCTTCTGTTACAGCGTACGTGTGATTGAAACTACGCACTCATTGGGTGGTTGGAAGAAGGATTACCTAATCACGGGAACAACATAAGGAGTTCATGTACTGACTTTTTTCATCCACTCAAGATCACCACCACTACATAATCTCAACGAGACGGATATCGCATTCCCGCGACTTTGCAGAATTCTTTAGTGCGTCGGGTGTGCATGAACTTTATCGGCAATCATCGAAAATCTGATCATATGTTAGAGACAAAAAGTTACCAGGGCGAAAACATTTTTTTTCGTAGGACTTACTACCTGTCGTTGAGTCAGGAACTTTCTCGGCTTCAGAAGAATCACCGTCTGCGTCGTAGAGATACTAAAAAGAAGGTAGGTAAGTAATACGGCTTCATGTGGCATCCTCAATATTAACTAGGTACTCACCTGATCTGGCTGCTTCGAGATCTGTCGGTTGGTTTGACCTTCTGCGGGGAATCCGTAGGGAAGACGGTCATCCACGACTGGCTCCTTAGATCCTTGAGTGTCTTGGGTTGCACCTCCACGGCCGCGGCCACGGCCACGACCACGACCATTACGTCTACCGCGAGGACGTCCTCTTCCTCGACGGCATCCTCGGTCTTCCTCCGCGGGGTTCCGGACCACGAAGACTTCCTTTTCCTCCGGCGCCTTCTCCTGGTCGTCGGCTTCCTGGGTGGTCTTCTTCAGTTCGTCGGTCCATCCTCCATTATTGCGGGGCCGAAGTTTTCTTTTCTGGCTCGTCGCGGCTTCCGCGTTGGCGTTGGCCTCGGCCTCGGCGACGGGGTCGGCGAAGACGTGTTCGAAGAGATGAGGGCTGACACGTCCCTTCTTCTTGGTGGGAGACACCATGGTGGGAAGGTTCGTGAACGGCGCCTTCTGTGTTGTGAACTTCTTTCTTCTAAGTCGTTGCTACCGTGGTCCCCTCTGTGACGTGGTAGGGGATTGTGATTTTGTGCAATACGGTCCACCTCGCCGATATGCTACTGAACTTGTAAGTGATATGACTGACGATTAGATTGCTTCTTTAGATAGCAACGTATTTAGGGGTGAGTCCAGAGGTAAACGGGGAAACAGACCTACGGGTGCTAGCTTGTTACGAGACCGGCGGCGGGAAAGAATGTGTGAGGTGGAAGAAAAGAAGTGATGGAGAGTTGACGGGTCGCTACGGAGAAGATAAATATCGTGGAAGGCGTCGAACGGAGCAGGACACGACTGACATACATGAGAAGTCACGACAACAGTTGGGCCCGCCCGAACGTAAACGAGAATTCTAGGGGCTTGCCAGAAGTCAGAAAGAACGCACCTCCCAGACATGTTCTATGCTTGAAAGGAGTTCACGGTCCGTCTTCACGATTTATGCTATTTACTTTGTCCTTTATAATGTTGATTGTTGCCTGAACAATAGCGATTGTGTGCTGACATAACACAATAAATAGCTTGAACAAAAAAGGGGTTGATACCTATATTGGCCTGCTCCTTTAGGTGCCTCAGGTAAGTACATGGATGTATTCTTTTTCACGAAGGGTTTCATCAAATCGGCATGAGAGAAGTTATAAAGGAAAAATTGTTTGGATATATGTTTGAAGCATAATTCTTCGCCAAGGGAGCGAGTCAGATCTGGTGAACGAAAACACTCAAGCTTTACAGGCTCAAATAGCTTTGTGTTATCAATATGACCTATGAAGTTATTGAAACCGGAATCTTCACTTCATCCCATATGAACGATATTTATACCTATACTAATATATATCAGCATTTTACCTTTAACATCGATTGTGATGTGTTCCTAGTTGTGGGGATACGTTGGATGATCCGCTTCCAACTTTTGATAGCTCCTTAACTATTACTAAAGATGGATAATTTCGTGGTAAAACCTACCTAGGTATTTATCAGCTAGTAACATTCACATCCATGATTTTCGTATGTATTAGATTCAACTTCTACTGGCATGGATGTTGTCACTGGTCGTCACGAATATTAACGATTTAAACGAGGGATTTTTACAATGTGACATCCCTTGCGAGACCTGTGTTTATTTGAATGATATAGGCTCTTAAAAGAGGAATATCTCTAAGTTTTTAATAAAGGATCTAGAAAGACCTAGGTATGTTAACCGCCTCAAAGAGAACTTCATGTGTGCCTACTAAATATTTGAGGGGAGATGTGGGTTTTCGAAGTTTTGCTTACATAATCATATACCCCTCGATGAGGTTGTATGTTACGAATTCTCAAAATGATAACAGTGTAAATGAATAATGACTTTCTTGAGATATAAATATAAAGTATGATTATTACGAGAACGATTAACTCAATTTATTACTCGATTTTTGATAGAAGATTTACTAAAAACACATTGGAAATCACGTGAGAAACCATGATCTTGGGCGAGATCTTGGAGATCTTATCCGATGCACGTGATCTTGAAGGTCTACAATGTATCGCCTGCCTTAAGTAGGTAATGTTTGAAAATACCTATGGCGACGTCTCGTAACCAAGCCTGTAAATTCCGGCGGACCACGTCTGCACGTTAGGTTTGTGGAGTGGACTATCCGAATGCATGTGTGGCTTTCTCATATTGATCTAGTAATATCAATGACGTCTTAATTTTAAGACTCAGCGGAGAATGCATACCCCCTATCAACTTGGAATTTCGATCCCGCAACAGAACGATCCCTATCATCGGCATCGGAGATGACTGGGGTATAGTAGGGAGTAGTGCGGCTAGATTCGGCGCAGCGAGTGTAAATTTCTTCCCCCCCGTTGATCCATCGTCTAATCAGGAACGAAGCAGGAAAGCGAGGCTGCATGATTTACATATCTTTTCTATATACACTCTTGGGTGTAGTCTTAAAAAGGGACCTATCAGGTATTACGGTCAAGCCACTGATAAAAGCCGAGAGTCACACAATATACTGCGGTAGGCATTAAGCACATCGTATAAGAACCCAGCGAGGCTTAGATGGGACTTACAAGGGTTGCAGTTTTCTTTTTCCTGCAGCATACACTTCATAGGTAGGTACTTATCAGCTCGCCAAAATTTACTTTTTCCTCGGATAGGCTTCGCAATATAAGACCGTAACACAGTACTCGCAGCCCCCTTGTTAAGCCGGCGAATTCATCATTTGAAGATAAGACTACCTACTTATACTTATTATAGGAGCCTACTTGCTTACATAGATACCTAGATACCATGCCAGTTTAGATGCTGCTTTAGGAGCGAACCCATTCGTTCCTACCATCTAAATGTAGGAGAAATGCGAGCAAGCCAATGCTACCATTACACGACAAATCGAGTGTTCTATTAGTATCTTCTTTATAAAGACCATAAATCTCGCGTCCTTTCCATCATTCATTGTTAAACGTCTAGTTCTCCTCCAGGATGGTAGCTAGAGGTCTATCAGGATCGGGACTCGGCCCGTTAAGGTCCGCGAGCGCTTATAAGCCTGGGAACGCCCGGGGGCAGAACAGACGAAGGGCTTCATTTACATGTATACGACGCTCCCTTAGTGAGAGTAGTTTAGAGCTCGTCGCACAACAACGTCGTTGCTTCCTTGCCTTCTGAATCCACCGCGCCTTATGACGATGGATCACTAATGTCGGTGGAATTAGGTATGCTTACTTAAGATGTTCCTTTTTTCTCATTATAAAACACACAATAGAGACACGCGAATATTTTTATAAGCAAATTGATATATTCTTCCACGTTAATTGGCTGTTTAACGGGGGATGGCAAAGGGGCCGCATCATGTAGTCTTATACGCATTTATAGCTTACAAATGTACCTACATATTGTCGTATTAGTTGGCCAATGAAGGGGCTAGCCCCCAAGAATAGGTACCTATGTATGAAGTCTCTGACGGTTGGTACACTATTTAGAAATTATTTCCAATGTCACATGAGGCCTCCTATCACAGCTTCACCGAAACATAGCCTTGGATTTTACCTAGCTGCCTACGTGGCTAGGTAGGTATGAAGTAACGTAGATACCTAATTTATAACGGTCGAACATATTTCTACTAAGCACTCAAGTAGGTATGCAAGTGTAACTATTACTGCGTGTTATCCTAAATTTTCCCTCAAATTAAACTACCTATTGTTCTCAACCTTATCATTAGATTTCATAATGAAAGCAGAGAAGTAATATTTACACTTTCCTCTCACATGCGCTTTAACGATCTATTCATCTATCTCTGGTAAGAAGAAGTTCTTTGACGTTTACTTAGAATCTCATCTAATATACTTCAGCTCATATTCTAGTCTGAGATAAGCTTCTTCAGTTTGTTATACCACCAATGGACAGATACAAAGGACCCTTTATAAAAATCTCCAATTATATCATCAACAGTGCCAATAACGTCCTATATAAGGAAGGGGGTGGCCATGTTGCTGAGAACAGCGGTCACTGTAACAAAGTGAAGCAGACAGGAGATAATCACACCAGCTATAACATGGGGAATTCCAACATAACCATCCAAACAGGCACGCACCAGAAAAGCCAGCTGAATGGAAATGTGAACGGGACTTACCAGCAGGTCTCAAACAACACAAGTCATATCATACAAGGAGATGAGAACAGAGTAGGTCAAAACGGGGACAGAAACAGATGTGTGATCCAAGGTGACCGTAATACGTCTAATCAGGTCACCAATGAACACCAAACTCTATTATTATCAAATGATAAAACTGAGGAACATCTACACAAAGATTACATGGTTTTGTGTCGCCAATGGATAATGAAACTGACGCAGTTCTGGAATTCTGAAATCAAGATTTAGGACAGTATCTAGGGTACTATGTAATTAGATAAATTCAGGGGCATATGTTGCCTCTCTTCAAACCGCTTCAAACTGCCCAATAAATTAATAGAGTGTATTTTATGAAGGAAAATCCAAAAATCTGCGGGATAATCAACAAAAGTACAAGCTGAAACACCGCGGGATCCATAACCCATAACGTTGAAAATCGAAACGGTTGATATAGGCCGGTAGTAAATAGGTTGTGTCAGAAATATGGTCTATTAGAAGGTTAATTATTAAAGGTCTGGGGAGATCGGGGTTCAGCATATTAGAAGACATACTAGTGGCTGATCTAAGAAAGAATGTATGCGAATAGAATAATATCCTGTATGTATGTCGCGACTCTGTATTGAGAGCTCCTTGCGCAACAATGTCGATGTCATCCCAACTGTTACCTAGTTCCGTGTTGTGACAAGCTGGTGGAGGTTTCCCACTAAGGTGTCATATCCAGCTATAGAAAGATTCGAATAAGTCACTTAACTCTGCTCAATGACACCTCACATGTGTAATATATGGGCGGAGGTAATTTGGAGTCAAGGGGTTGGAATCTCTGCTGGCTGGGTATTCAAGCCTTGAGCCACCACGATATAAATGCCGCACCCAATGCCATAGAAATCATTATTGCCATAGAGCCGTGATTTGAGAGCTGGGTGATTTGGTTTCCATCCCCAGTGTTTCGACCATGGTTCCATTCCCCAGTTTGGAATATTTGATTTTGCGTCCCCCTATTGTAAGCATCGTTGCGATGATTGTCATTGGGGATGTTGTTATGAGCCACATCGTTCTCAATCGGGCCGTTTCCATTGTGGACCAACTGGCTATTGTCATGATGAGGGAGGTTGCGTGGGATAGGCGGAATAGGCAAGTTCATTGGCGGCTGAGTCTGATTATGGGATTGCGAGACCCTGGGTAGTGTCTGAGTGTATGTCTGTGACATGATAGGTGCTTGTGTGCTGGACTGCGTGCTGGGCTGTGTGCTGGGCTGTGGACCTTAGAAAATCGGAATGATTGCAAACAAGTAAGGATTCTCAGTAGCTACTTACTGGTGATGTTCTCTAATAGAAGAATGTAAATTAGAAGATATCTGGTGATGCCAGAATAATTCCAATGCCAATGGGTCAATACATTTGCTACCCACTCGGTAGGTGTATTTTCGTTTTAAACGTGCCCAGGTTGCGATAGTTTAAATATTAATTCACATCTCAGAAAATGGGGGGGAAGGCCACTTAAGGTCGCGAACGATTAATGTAAAGCAGGCATCTACTAACGCTATACCCCCCTTTACCCCCTACAGATATTTAATTAATGGCCTTCTAGGTGAAAAAAAAGAAGGGATCTATATTGTGAAGGTATGACGAGATGAAGCCTCGACAAGTTGCTCGCAACTTGTCGGTGTGATAGTTGAAGGCCCTTGCAGATTTTAAAGCAGGCTGAAGAACTTGTCTTCTCTCCTTTTTAACCGCCATGTACTTGGGTCGCAGTTTCCGGCAAGCGCAACCACTACAGAAATACGCTGTACAACTATGCGGCAATCACAAGGTAAAGTCCAGCTCCGGAGAGGGGTTCTTGCCGGCGACGCTGATAATGAGCATGCTGATAAGCCGCCGCCACTCATTTCTACCTACCTAGGTACATTAGGTATGTAGGTAGGTATACAGTACTCGAGTATCGGGAAGTACCTAGTACCTACCCAGTACCCATACAGAAAACTCCTGGGGTAGTACGTCTAGTAAGCACACACCCAATTGAAGCCATGTACTCGATCTCGTGGTAAACAGCATATCTAAGATCTCCCAATTGGTATATAGGTACATATGCAGTATATACGCCGCACCGCCACGGCATGGCTGATCGGAGATTTCGACCCGGTTGACCCCACCGCATAAGGCACACCCGAATCTTATATCAACTCATGTTGGTTGCAGAGTTTTCTTATATATGTCATATATGTCTTGTATGTCGTATATGTCGAGTTTCCTATGACCATATCGTACCTATTCAAAGCCCAGAAGTCAATTGCTTCTAAAATGGACCTCGGGTATCGTATGTCTCAGAGAACCACTAGTAGCAATTCAAGCAACTTCCTTAAAATCCTGGTTGACCCATCGGAACCAACGGTAGAGTAAGTAGCTACAGCAAGAATGTTGACCTCGGAAGCCAGCTAACATGGGAACAGTATCGTTGCTGTTCACGGTCTCAATCCACTCGACAAGGAATCACATGCAGAAGCCACATGGACGAGCGGGGGTAGATTATGGCTTAGGGACTTGCTCCCGACACGGGCCCCTAATGCAAGGATACTGCTCTTTGGGTATAATGCGAATGTGGCATTTCGAACAACCGCCGCGGGCCTGAGGGAACAGGCAGAAAACCTTCTAAATCAACTCGACAGACACAGGGCTGTAGGTATAGCTTGGTACATACCTAGGTATTCTGCTTGGAAGGCTGATTGGAATTAGGAGGAACCTTCCCGTCCTTTAATATTCATATGCCATAGCCTAGGTGGCCTCATGGTAAAGCGGGTAGGTCATACCATTGACTTAAGGGATCGTGTGTGTTTATTCAATATTCTCTAACCCCTATCAGGCTCTGGTCCATTCTAAAGCTGATGAGACCTACAAAATGATCTGGGGGTCAACATATGGCATTGTGTTCTTTGGAACTCCACATAAAGGGGGTAATCACGCAGGAATGGGTGATATGGTAGCAAAGATTGCCCGCTCTATATTAGGGAACCCTAACAACACTTTCATGAGCTCCCTGAAGAAAGACTCCCAATTTCTTGATACTATCACGGATGATTTCCGTCAACTTCTCGAAGACTTCCAAATCCTGAGTTTCTATGAAACCCAGCCTCTCGGTCGCCTAGGCATTGTAAGTGTTACTTGATACCCAATGTTCGATAAAGATAACTTATATTGCTTCTAGGTTGTGGATCAGAAATCTGCTGTCCTTGGATTGCCAGGAACTCGCGAGAAGCAATTGGCTTTAGAGGCTAACCATAGCAACATCTGCAAGTTTAGCTGCGGCGAAGACCCAAGATATCAACTTGTGGCAGATAATATAATTGACATGATCGAAAGTGCCTGTTCCTCTCAGAAGCGTTCTAGTTCCATGAGTTCATGTCCTAGAGGCAACGATTCAAGCAGCGAAGGGCAACATAATGCTGTATTGCAGGCAGGGAATGGCAACGCATGCCGAGCGTGCGGTAACGCGAACAAGACCTATCAATTCGGCAACATGAACAACAGCAAATCAGATGGGGATGGGAACGAAACTACGCAGATTTCTATAGGGGCTATTGACATGGGATCATATAAGGAATTATTCAGTTTCCTAAATTGGGTACATTCCTAAGCCGCCGTCCTGGAATGATGAAAGGGGCAGTTCTCTGAAGTAACATGTCAACATTATTGGGGGATAATTAATAGCGGGTGTGTAAAAACACTGCCCACAAGGCGCATTCATCCGCCACCAAGTGTATACATACGTGTATACGATGGCCTGTTATATTTTGACTGCGCATTTCCCAGCCTTGTTTTCAAATACCTACCTCGGTATGTATCCAACTTCATAATCTTGACAACGAATACACTTCCTACTCTCCTTGATACTAGACAAGATGCCCTCCCTAGGAAGGACAGAAGTAAACCTATGGGAAATCCACGAAACTCAAACTCGACCGACTGAGAAAAGACTGTTACCTGGGCCAGTGATCTATGTAATTGTATTTGTCGCTAGAGCCCGTTTCCGCCAGAAATCGAGGAAAAGTCTCGCATCTCGCACGTGGACCGGATTGAGCATATTTTTCGTCGTCGCTCTCTTCGGACTGCTTTCTTTCCGGGTTCATGTCGAAATAAGCGCTTCAATTTTTCTCTTCCCACTCCTGTTATTTCTCACATTTTGGCCTAGACAAAGCGACAACACCACCATCATACAGGGAGATAACAATATCATCCACCAACAAATCCTAATCAATTCCATCGCATTTGACCCTACATTCTCTCGCCGAATCAAGGTATTACTTTCGATTATATGTATCATCTTAGTAGCATGGGGTAAAGGATGTAGGCCATGTTGATGTTAACCAATTCGTGAAATAAAGGTTCGATTCAAACAGAAAAACGAATGATCGGGGCTTAAGGTGATTTCAAGCCGAAAATGCATTTCATCCTTTGGAAACAAGGGTTATACCTAAGGAGTCGCTGTAAGTCGATTAAAAACATGCCCCGTCCTCCTGTGGACACCTCTACTTATACCAAGCGTCTAAACTTCCCCTAGGCGAATACCAATCTATCCTACCCCTATTCATAAACGCTCCAGCCTGGAGCCATCATCACCACCACCACCACCATCGGGTATAACCATACTCCCTATCCACGTCCTTAAACCCCCTTCCCCTTTTCCTCCTCCCAAAGCACCGCCCCGGCCTCCTTCAACAACCTAACACACTCGACATTCCCCGCCTGTTCCGCCAAAAACAACGGCGTATTATTCGCTCTATTCCTCGCATGCACACTGGCCCCTCTAACCAGCAACTCCTTCAGCACTTCCGGATCTGGACCCACGGCCGCGAGATGCACGGCCGAATTTCCCGTATAATCGGCTTTTTGCAGCAGCAGCCATTCCTCGTCCGCCTCATCCAGAATCTCGATCGCGGACTTCGCATCGCCCGCCGCGATCGCGTACCCTAGCGCAGCGAACGCCTGTTCCGGCTTTCCTAGACGTCCTATGTCGGGTCCGCTATCCCCTGACACGGAGGGGGGGTGCGAAAAGCTGGGCGTCATAAGCTCGGTCAATTCACCGCGCAGGGACCTCCCCATGCGGGATGCGACATCAGCATTACTGAGCCCGGGTAGCGCGAGAAGGTAAGAAAGCTTCGTTAGTGCGGCCTCGGAAGTCAAGTCGTGGCCGAACACGACGCCGGCCCTTCCCAGTGCGAATCCAGGGGCGTAAAGTGGAGACACGAAGCCGTTTGTACACTGGCTGACGTTGACAATAACAACACCACGCTCAACGGCTGATGAGATAACCTTCGTTAAACTACCGTCGACGCCCTCAGGTGCGTTGCCCATACCGAAGGTCTCCAGAATCAGGCCGCGCAGGTCCGGCACCTTTAAAACCGAGTCCACCATCTCGGGCTTGATACCCGGGAAGATACGAACGCAGGCCACATGCGCTGTGTCTAAGTAGCTCGTGATCGCGAACTGGGCGATCTTTGTCGGGCGCCGGACGAGCGACCAATTGACGTCGACGCCAAGGCTGGTGACCTTGGCCAGGGGTTCGCAGTTGGGGCTGGCAAACGCTTCGAAGGACGATGCGGAGACCTTGGTAGTCCGATTGCCGCGGAATAACGTGTGGTGGAAGAACAGGCAAACCTCTGGGATCACGAAGGTGCCGGCTATGATGAGGGAGCCGAGAAGGTTGTCGACGGCATCTGATTGAAGAGCGAAGATGGACGCTTGTGAACCGGTCAGGACAACGGGTTTTCCTAGGTCTTCCTGTGTATTTATCAGTATAATTCGGATTGATTCACATCATAACCATACCATCATGAAAGATAAAGCGGATGCCGAATACGATAGAGAGTCGGTTCCGTGAAGCACGACGAACCCATCAAATAAATGATAATTCGCCTTAATAGTACTTGCAATCTGAGTCCAGCCAAAACTGCTAATACTTGAAGAATCGAGCAACGGTGAAAATTCGAGGGCACCGTATCGGATGTGCCTCGAGTACGAGCTCGGGGGTGTGCGTAAGCTGTTGATAGTAACTTTGTTGCCATCCTTGACCGCACTTAATGGGACTGTCTCATGTCAGCTTTCGTATCTCCTTAAGCTGTATACCCAGGGGTTGGCTTGAAATCTATGATCTTTCTGCCTTCCCCTTAGAACCAACATGGTTATAAACCCAGAAACCTCACTTACTTCTCTCAGACATATCATTGAACGATGGCCGCGGTGCCATCGCATTTTCTAAAAACCCATCGACAGGAACAAGACCGCCTGCAGACGGCTGCATGCAAATTGTGCCTCCGGTGATGATGATAAGCACCCTCGATTCGGGGTACGTTGATTCGGCAGCGCCGTTTACAACAGCTGTGAAGGCCCCCATCGTCGTCGATCTTGCGCCACCCGTATGCTGAAATAAATGAGTTCACCCGTTCAATTTCTCACCCTTCATATACCCTAATAGTAGTATTACCAAGGTATACCGAACAAAAGATGATCCAAGACCAAGAAAGTCTACTTAGACCCAGACCAATCTTTTTTTGAGATACGTTTGACTCGCGCACCTACCCCAAGCCACCAATTGACTGGTAGAAGCCGGGCTAACGAGTGAGTTGTCGCCTAGGTAGCGTTCCCGTCAGACCCTAACTTCCCAATACGCAAACCGTGATTCAAGCAGTATCCACGTCAGCAGCGCAACAACGACAATTTCGAGAGTTCACACAATTAATTAAACGATATCTCATACCAACCCGAGAACAAACCGGGAAACCGGTCGCTTCGATTATGAAATTTATAAACATCTAAGAAGAAATCGGGATCCGATGCCAGGACCCGCAAGCCCGTTTTACGTCAAAGAAGGGTAATGGAAAAGAAAAAAAGTCTTCAACGGGTTCGCTAGAACAAGGGGGACTCCACACGAGTCTCGAACTAAAAAAAATAATGAGGTGAAGGAGAAAGTACGAGTAGTATCGATTACCCCATATGTATTTGATTTTCCCATCTGCTAACTGGCTCTTACCTATCTTTTTTTTTAACCTTCTGTTAGCTCGACGACATGTGCGGCTTATCTGGATACGATGGTTAGGTATGAGGCAGGTACCTTCGGCAAGTATAAGAGGCTAAAACAAGATCGGAATCCAGAGGACCAATCAAAACGAAGTCCGATGACGGAACTTGAATTACACCTTTTAGTCCCGTCGACCACGACATCATACGGAATCCTCACCGAGCACGATTGGGGCAATATGGGACTCGACTCACTCATTACTTATTTTTATTCTCTATGAATATGCTTTATCGTCGCTTCTGGAACTATGATAATGCCTATCCTCATAAGCCCAACCAACCATCTAACGCGGCAGTATAACACAGTCCGTCTTCTTTGCCGGATTCGCCGCATTTTGTCATATCACGTCACAACTGGCCGTCGCCAGGGCTCTCTCTCTATTTCGCTTTATCGATGTCGCTTTCTCTCAAAGGCTGAAGGACAATTCATTTTCTTTCCATGTTTTCTGGCCGGGCTTCTATATGTACGGGCCGGACCTAGCCACTTCCTATCCTACCATCGCTGATTTCGATCGCGCCGGTTTATCTGACAGCTCTGTCGCGTATTATCTGTTTACCCGTTTCTGAATCGTAGCCGATAACGTGTATGAGATAATAAAGCCTAGAAGATGTTAACGATTACTTCAAATATACATTCCCGAAAGAGATGAACTACTTACATATCCGAATTCGCCTCCTTCCCCTTGAGGTTCTCGAAGCGTTGTTGGCAGTCTGCCCAAGCCAACGTCCGCTTCTTAGGCGAGATAGACTTAATAGTGAACTTGAATTGACCGGTCACGGGTCGGTGGTCTGAAACCCTGACCTCGTGCCGTCTATATTCAAGTTGCTGTATTCTGCCAAAACCTCGGTGAAGGAGGCGATCGCACCAGGCCGGTGACCGCTTCTTCTCGCTGGTGTCATAGTTGTCGGTTCCCACATCGTACTTGTACGTTGGCGGAAATTCGATACGCATCTCGTCAAAGGCTCGGAGCTTAAATGCCGGATTTCTCCGACGGGCTACGAGAAGCTGATCGCGCTCGAGGAGCTTGGCGAGGTTGTTTTGCTTCACTGCGATGACCACCGTATCCCGTGACATGGTGTCGATACGGTAGTTGAGATCGCCGTTCAGCAAGCATAACTCATGATCAAGGACCATCGTTCCATCGCCACCTCCTACGTAGCTGTCGATACGTACACTTGGGTCGCGTTCCACAGGTAAAAGAGCGGTTTCCATGATCGCCGCGATGTCATTATGTCGTTGATTTGCTCCCGATTGGCCCGCCGCAAGATGGCAGTTGATGAAACAGAGTGAAGTATCGTCTATCATAAACCGCACGATGATAGCGCCCTTGTTTCCATGTAATCCTCCCATTCCACGCTTGATCTCGCTGTTGCTGAGATTCCGTATGCGGTCACGGAGGCTCGACTTTACGAATATGCAAGTGAAAAGTCCCACTAGAGTTGCCGTTTGAAGAAGGTGATAGAGGTGGTCGGCGGGCATATAATCGTCGAGACTCCTGACGAGGAAGTCTCTCCAGTCTCGGTATTGGTGGCTCATCTTCTCCTGGTCCGACGCATCCTTCTTCTTCGGCTTGAAAAATCGCTTCGCCGTCGCAGTTTTATCTTCTAAGTCGACTAGCTCCTGGAATCCAAAAATAATTATATCTGGAGAATCGCTTGATTGCAACAAATTCTGTATGAATATAGAATCGGATTGGGAATATCTTAGGCTATTGGGTGTCGAAGCCCCGGCATTCCACGTCATCGCCAAAACTTTGATGTCCTCGAATTTGCAGTACTGCGTATCGATGGATTTCATCTCGTTTTCCAAAAAATCGTCTTGAAGCAACCCATCCCAGGATTTTATTATATTGTCTGCCCCGAGGGTGATAACCTGAGACCGGTCAAGTCTGTAGAAGCTAGCAGGATCAGCAATAACTTTTATAACTGGGTTGTCGTGGGCTTGCCAATCCTTCTTGATGACCCAAGGTGATTTCGTGATGTCGTATACGCAAATCCTCCCAGAGTTGAAGCCCGCCCATATATTATTTCCCGCGCCTGCAAGGGAGTTGATCTTGTATGAGCTGATATTGAGCACGCTCAGGCATGTATAATCTTTCTGAGCATAAATGCTGACTTTGCCGTCGCTGTGACCAAGGAAGACCTTGCCTGGTTGCGACTTCATGAGAGTTCCAGATGTCACTTCGCCTGCCCCTTCCGAGACCAGGGGTCTCATTAGGACCTGTAATTGATTTCGGCCACCGGTAGTCGGTGTAAAAATGCGGATTTCTTTCCCTGCTGCATGCCATAAGTCATCATTAACCACCATAGAAAATGTGTGTCCTTTAGGCAACCTGTAAGTCTGATCAGGGTTGAGGCCTAAGTTTGGTGTTCCGTTGCTGTCTGGTCCCCATACGTGCAGCGTTCCCCCTTCATCTAGAGTCCACATCTCATTGTAATGCCTATAAATCTTGGTTATTTCATATCGACCATGAGCATTTTGCTTAGTTTCGGTTATGTTTTGAGATGTAACGTCGGCTTCGATGATTTCGCCAACATTATTACCAATCCAAATCCGGACCCCCTCTTCATCCACGTTTAAGCCTGGCCTAAACGCCACAGCAGTTGCTTTAACTCCCTCTCCGTGAGCAAAACTCACCACAAGTTCACCGTCAAGCAGATTCCAGACTCGCGTAAGATGACCAGTAGTGCACACGTATTGTCCGCAGACATCGAATAATCTGGCATCGTACTTAGTATGGATCTCATGAGCGCCCTGTTTTATGAAAGGTGGCCTGCGGTTTATCTTAGTTGGATCAGGATATTGAGATACAATCTCTACCTGACCTGGAGAAGCCGGGTATGATGAGTCGGAAGGTCGAGCAGGATCATGGAATTCTGCCGGAATCTTCTCAGAGCCCTTATCTATTGTCATAGACCTTCCGTGAGTACGAGATGGGGGAGGCGCAAGTTGACTGGTTGGTGTCGAAACCGCACGTTTAGGTTGTGGAGATATGGGTCCATCCGTAGTCACACTTGTAGTGGTCACGGAAGGTCTCGGAGGTCGAGGTGGCGCTTTGACAGCCGTATTTGCTGGGATTCGGGCATGCGCGGGCTCGGCGACAGTCTGTGGCCGGGCTGGAAGGGCCGGGCGGTCATCTACAGACCGTGTGATGGGTGCCCGAGTGTTTCCATTTATCTCGTTGTCTCGGCGAATAGTCGCAATTGTATGGTGAACGGGAGGGGGATCAACCCCTCTTGGTACTACACTCGTTCTTGGCGTTGCATTTTGAGTTGGTGGCCGTGCCGGGCGTGTTGGAAGCACCGGGCGATCTTCATGCTCAGGGCTACTCGGAGGGCTACTGAATGGTGACCGTGCCTCCGAAATCTGGGGTGTCAATTCTAGTTGAGATGCGTTCTCCATCAGTCTAGATAGTCGATTCGCTGGTTTTTCGGCGCGATTCACGGGTGGGGGAATAGGTGGCGATGCCCTAGCTTCACGATCTCTCTTTAGCTCGGCAGACCTTCGCGGAGGAGGTGGTGACGGTGGTTGGACTGCGGCTATGAGCCTAGGAGATCGACCGGGTTCGAGTATTGGTGTATGTGGTCGGCTAGGAATCTTGAATGAACGGGGCGAAGAAGCAACTGGAGTATTAGGAGATTTTGAAGGTTCAGGGAAGAGATGAGCACTCGTGTCATTTTGTAAAACGGAGAGCGGTCTTGGTTTCGGTGGTGACTGAGGTGGTTCTATTAAGACAGCAGGCGGTTTGATAGGTTTTGGACTTAACGGCGGCGGAACTGCAATTTGGATGGAATGACGACTCGAGGCAATTAAGCTATCTCTTGGCTTGGGCCTTCCATTTTCTGGAGGTACGTTCACACTTCGGTTAGGTCTCGTGTCTGGAACTGGTGGAGGTTTCGGGGACGGCGATTGATTTCTACTAGGCGGGGCATTGGCAGCTGTTTGACCATCTTTGACACCTTCTTTGGCTTTGCCTATGCTCTCGAAATGGGATCTCAGGGACGAGACTGGTCTCTGTTACTTCAGTCAGTATCATAATAACCCTATACGAGAGGATAGAAGGTAACGGGAAGGGATAATCTTACTAGGGACGAATCGTCCGGTCCGTTTTGGCCGTTGGACTCCATGATGATGAGGGGCAGTCTCTATCAGACTACAGAATACCGGGACCCTCGTGCTCCCACGGCATCACTAGCTACGAGTTACTCTCTCGGGATCATCCAGCAAAACAATTCAATCCCCAATTCTTAACCCCTGAATATTCTGCAATAGAAAGCAAAGGTATTCGAAATCGTCCCTTCGTTCGTGATCGAATTAAGTCCAAAGTAACTCCAAGACGGAAGAGCACGTGGTGGTTTAAATCCTACGGTTTCGTATTGGTAAGAAAGATGATGTTGTCAGATCAGATTTCGTGAGTGTGAGTGGTGTCAATGGGATGCCTCGGTCGTTAATGGAGATCATGTTCCGCCTCTCCTTTGTCTACTATTCCAGCATCAACGACTGCTTTCCCTAAAATCGGAACACTGTCACGTATAACGAAGAGGCGCAGCTCGTAACTTTCGGGGAGTTAAGGTGAATATGGTGATACGTATGTAGCTGTGTAGGTAATTGGTAAATTATTATTAGAAGTTCGTCTAGGTCTGTTACTCGGTTTTTCTGAAAGGTGACGAGCGGAATTAAATTTGGGTTCGTTCTTTGGAGTCGGTTCCAGTCATGCGAAACCTCTAAAACCTCTAAGCCTCTAGCATTAGTTGACTTGATTAGTTGACCACCTGGACTGCTGGGTACTTGTGCAGGTCAGATTGCAGATCTTAGGCGCATTAGAGATATTCCCGTATTGACTTCAGGTGGAACATTGAAATTCGAAGTACGCTGCACGATTTGAAGTACTGCACATATTGATACCCGGTACCTGTAAGTACTAAAAGTACATAATCGATACGTAGGCGAACTACGTAATGTTCCAAGGTTTACTAGACATCTAGGTGAGAGATCCATGTCCATCTCCGTAATGGTACACGTATCGTTAAGTACCTGCCGTAACCAACATTTAACCATTGAAAACCTTGAAAACCTTGGAACATTTTAAACTGTAAAGTCCCTTACCCCACTAGAAATTCAACGTGCACTGCCGGTTTGTTGCGTCTAAAGGAGCTTGCCCCCCGGTTATCGGTACCGGGTACCTGTCCACATATCCTTCAATCGTCCCGGTAGGTGCCCGGCTTTGAACATCTAGCATATGGCCCCTGTGATATAGTGCTAATGTACTATGCATAGCTAGAATATACAGAGGCGAATAGGCCTAAATAGAGCGAAAATAGTAGGTTAGGTAGGTGCGCTAGGGCAACGGGAGTGTTTGCAGGGTTGTATTCTTTCCTATTTTGACTTGATTGATCATAAAGTCGTACCACTTATATGGATTCGCCGTCCTACGTAATTTTTTAACTTTGAGGATCCCGCTCCAATCTTCGTACCTAAAATAATAAATATTCTCATTCACACTTTTCAACGTCATTGCAAGTACGAGAGATAGACACGAGCGCATCATACCCAATTTCAAAATGAATACGGTATGTATCTGACGAGGGGACCTACATATAAATCTACGGAGCGCAAGAAGCTAACTTCTCTTACCCACTTAGGTCAAGTCATTCTGGTATGTGGATCGTAATGATACGTCACCCCCGATGGACTTTGCCGTTGATTGTTAATGCCATTGTTTAGGATGGGCTGGGGTTCCCTTTGCCTTGGTATGTATTCGTTGATATCCACGTCGGTAAGGACGTTCATTGACACGAGCAATGTGTAGCTGGCGGAGGAGCGTACTATTTTGCGAAAAAGAGTATCAACGCCGACAGAACCGCGCGCCTTGAAGAATCCCGCCGAAAGAAGCAGATGATGGACTCTCTCGAACATTCCGAAAATGTCCCTAGCAAACCCCTATCTGCATCAACAATGGGCGGTTCTCTGAACGGCAATGGCCATCCAGCTCGAACCGATACAGCCGGTTCACCCAGTCAAGAAGCGAGCAGCGATCCTGCTCCGACCCGACATGCTCCAGCTACAGAGGGACAACAAGTAATAGAGAAGAGCAAGTACGAGAGCAGTACGCCGTTTAAAAGTACGAAAGGCGATCGGTTTTCTTAGCCGTTGTTGGTGGCCGAGAATATGTCTATACGTTTATGATGAGAACATAATGAATTCCGTGTACAATACGATACTGAAAGGGCGAGCGAATGAAGACTACATACTCTACTCCTCCACTCCTCTACTTTCAAATTGGCCCTATTATAAGCGATGGTCTCTCGATACGGTCAGGTCGGTATCAATATGGCAATGCTATGAGGTTTTATATGTCAGTATGCGCCAGATGTAATTGCATAAGCTGTATTGTATTTGAGAAATTATTGTATGTTCCCCGCGCAGATGAAAGCCTTGGGCACCCATCGAATAATCATACGTAAATAGATGCCCAGTAATTTCAACGTCGAAGTCTTAGCCAAAATTACAAAAATCATAGGTGATGACATTAAAACGGCCTCACAAATATCATCGGCGTACATAGGTACCTATGTCTTCGATGATCTTTTCCTATAAAGGAATAGCTACACTACCGGGTGGGGGGGGTATCTGGACATGGTCACAGGGAGAGTCACCAGGGGTGTACATAATGTCAACTAGTAATCATTAACTCACCGTCACCAGTCTGATTGGCTGTTGGTGGGATAGTATCACCCCCGAGGGCAATCGTAACCCCCTAGCAAGGGTTATATTGAAGGAAATAGCTACCTTGGAGACAGCCTCACCTTCTATTACAACGGTTTTTGATTCAACAGATGTCAGGTTAGTGATTGTCACTAGGTCTGTAATCGTTACTAAACTTACCTACCTTATTAAAAAAAAAGAAAAAAAGAAGAAGCTATCGCGGTCAATTGATTACTTATTGCCCTAGGGCTTCAAGGTGTATTTTTATTACTTTGAAAAGTCAGGTTTTTTTTTTTACAGTTACAGTCACTTGAACTACTTGAACTACTGTTGATTTACGAGATTTACCATTACACTACGATAGTCACAGTTTACAGTTTACAGTATGATTACTAATCCCGACTTTCTCAAACTTTGATATATAACTTATTCAGGGAGATCAAGGATACGTACATATGTATCTTAGATGGGTTGATCTGACATGGTGTCAGGTCCTGACACTGTTGCCAGGTTTTGACACTATTGCCAGGGCCGAAGATAAATTCAGTTCTAAACCATTGCAGCAATCGTATCCACCTTGTAACGCTTTCAATCATATAAGAATTGTATCGATATACAATAATATCAATTCAGAAATTATAGCTGTAATACTATTGATCCCTAGCAAGGCTTATAGAAGGTGGTGATCAGGTCGAAATACTGAAACGTTGGTTGTGACCATGTCCAAATACCCCCCCCTCCCGGTAGTGTACTTAGCTTTATGTATAATAATGGGTCTGTAGGAGCATTTAATCCGCCACCCGGAAACCGCTGCCTGACAGCTGATGGAACCTTGGAAGCTGCAGGGACCGGACTTGCGTACCAAATACAACACTGAACCAATTAATTCAGCGCCTTGAATTCCATCACGGTTCTCCCCAAGAACATTAAATTCACAATTATCGAACCATCCAACTATCCAGCGCGAGAGCATGCGCTCTAAATACCTTGTAATTATCCTCATTTTATAACAATGACGTCGCCACAGCTAGCGATAGCTAAAGTCTCATTCTCCGCCGTCCTTCTACGCCCAGATCCGACATCATGTTCCCGCAACGAGATCGACGAGTTTCTTCAGCTACTCGACGCGACCATCTCGCGATGCTCTCCACCCAATGTTCAGGTTTGAGCAACACAATCTTTTGAAATTTGGTATCTTGTGCGACGGCTAAACAGTCGACACATAGAAATGCAAGCAATGGATATTACAGAACCTGGTCCAGTCTTCTACCAGGATCGCCGCCTTAGGGAAATACCTGATGGCTTTGTCTAAGTCCTACACCCTGGATATCGCCGTCAGCAGGCAAGCACGTGAACCATCTACGAAACGAAAACGTCTCCATATCCTCTACATTCTGAACGATGTGCTATACCATGTCCACATCCGGGATCGCAACTCCGACGTCGCAGATAAGTTAGAACCAGCAATCCAAGACCTCGTTCGAACCGCCGCCGCCTTTCCAAACTGCCCCAAGCACTCCAAGAAAGTAACGGACCTCGTAGACCTCTGGAGTGATAAACGACATTTCCCAGAACCCTTCATTCAGAAACTTCGAACCACCATCAAGGATGCGCCGGAGACCGCAGCCAAAGGCGACGCGCCGATTGATAATGCCCTGGCTTCGGGTACCAAATCTTCGAAAGAAGCTCCATTCATTATGCCAGCCATACATGGTGATGCGTCTGTATCATGGTATGACCTACCTGCAGCAAACTGGCTACCCGTCATTGAACCCAACTCAACAAGGCCAATGAATCCGGAAATGATCAAGCCCTTACAGCTTACCGCAGGCCCCGCGGAGGAGAGCTTGATCCGGGCCGTCCAGGATTTGCTTGCCGATGTAGACCGCATTTACAATAAAGATCATCGCGAAATCGATCGATCCACCGAAGACATCGATCAATTAGGACAACGGGTTGTGTTAGATGAGATTACTGGAAATGTTATCAACGGAGAGACATATTATGGTTGGTCGCGCGCCTTCTGCGAAAAGATGAAGCAGCGTCGCAAGAAAGCCAGCAGCTCTGGAAACGGGCACCGTGGGCGTAGTTTGTCACGATCACGTTCAGATTCACGAAGTTCCTCCCGTGGCTCGTCGCGACCTGCTTTTAAGCGACGGCGGGTATCCAGCTCTCGTAGCGAGAGCAGAAGTAGGAGTCGAACTCGAAGTCGGAGCCCCCGGCGAAGTTACAGCAGAGAGCGGCGCCGACAGAGGTCATACAGCAGGTCAAGGTCACGTTCACCTTCAAGGGATCGGAGGTATAACCAGTCGCGCCCCCAATCTCAAGGTCGGAGTCCACCGCCTCCGCGATCTTATGATCCTCCGTACTACGCCGGCTCAAACGGAAAGCAGCAGTCCGGATTTCCAAATCAACCACCACACCTAAACCCAAATCCACCATATCAACACCAGGCGCCGCCTTTCCCTCAGTCCTTCCCACCACTGCCTATGGACCAAAATCCGTACGCGGTACCACCACCTCCGCCCCCACCGCAGAATTACCAAGGACAATGGCCACCGCCTCCCCCGCCCCCAGTCACTGGCATGCCACCTAATATGCCACCGAACTGGCTTCAAAACATGGCTATAGGTGGGTGGTCATCGCATCCATCTCCCATGCCTCCCGGAGGACCTCCACAGCAGCAAGGAAACGGCTTCCAGCAGTACGGCCGAGGCGGAAGGGGTGATTATCGCGGACAGGGGTATCGTGGGGGATGGGATCATAGGGGGCGTGGTTGGTGATCAGGGGTAGATGTGGTGTTTAGACAATCTACTCTACTCAACATTATGCCTGAATATGAAGGTAGCGAACTATGACGCAAAATATGCAAGAATCAATCAACATCATTCATGTAAACAACCAACTGACAACTCCTGAATTTCTTGCTCCAGCACCTGTGACATTTATAACGACAGCGATTTGGATAAACCCAACTCTAATAGTACTTCTCTAATAGCTTACGTAAAGTTCTCTTCGCACTAACATCATCCTATGTCGGCTTTTACTTAAGTTAGGTAGGTAAATACTTCTCTTCTAAACGGATACTTTTACTGGCCCTTTCTAATGCCTAATCCTTACTCGTCAGGCCTCCACTATAAGCATCTGCAGGTACTATGTAAGGGACGCCTTCCTGTGGGGTCGAAAGTCGCCATCAATCATCACCGCCAAAGATCATCCTTCGTAACTGCAGCTCCCCCTCAGCCAATTTTTTTCCCCTTCTTCTTCTTCTCTACCTACTTTTCACCGCCAAGTCAGGTACATATACTTAGGGTATGCGGGTAGGTAGGTTAGTAAGGCCAGTTTGCACTTCGCCAAGTTAGCTATGTATGTAGATATATAGAATGCATGTATATCATATGTATTATGATGTATGTAAACTGGCTGAACTCCCTGCATGCCTACACTGACTGAGTAGTCTAAATGCATGGCCACGTTCATTCGCAACAGCCCACATATACGTCTATTTTAATGTGTGTTAGGGCTCATACACAATAATACATACTAGTACCTAGATGTATATGCGATTACGGTTGTAAGTGTCGTAGAACTCACATGATTTACTGTTTCATCGCACGCTTTGTACAATACCGTCTCAACTTCCGTATGAATCCATCGCCGAACATAATTGGGGCCATCGCCGACACCAACATCATTATCACAGATTGCATCAAGAAACTTTCCATTATCTTTTCATTTCGTTCAAAAATATCTTGATATCTAATCGAGCTAGGTATCAATAGTATCTCCTTGCTGGCCTGCCATAAATAGCTCAAGCCTAGATGCTCTTCAAAATGTTGGATCGGGGGAAATTTGCTATGCTATCTACGTGCTATCTACTTCGGTGGGTGGGTGGTTAGAACGTAGCAATGCTGCCTGGCATTGCGTGCGGGCAAGCAGTTCAGTCCCAATTATCAGGCGAGTCTGTTGACATGTTGCGCCATCCATTCAACCCTCCGCGAGGGGACTTCGCCGTCCGACGGGCCCCCTATTCCATTAAATGCCTTAACATTTTACGCCTTGAAGTGCGCAATCCTATTTCCTTCCTGTGAGTTTTTTCTGCAAAGACCTAGGTCAAGCGATGAGCTGACTCCTAACACCAACACATAGTGCACACCTCAATGCAGAACTAGATCCACAGCCCCCAGCTGCTGAATTCTTGTTACGTAGTCGACCTAATTCAACTAACGTAGTTCGTAAACCACGAGACGATAAGTCAATATGGGCCTTGGGTGTTGATACCATCTTTCTTAGGACGCATGCGGAACAACTCATCATCATGCGTATTATAAGAACCCAATGACTTAGTTTTAGAGGTATCCATCTCAAAAGGCGTAGTTTGTTCGTAAAGTCTGCTGGTCTTGCGGTTGAAGTTGACCTAAAAATTGATCGAACTGGGGTATGATTTGACGGTATATACCAATCGCCTAAGTCATCATTAGATTTTATTTCCACTTTACTGTTATAGGTACTTTCATGCGACTGCTTACCTTCTGGAAGTCATCATGCAGACCATTCTTAGTTTCACTACGCAACTTCAGGTCTCTATATCGGGCAATCGAAGTAAAGAAGTGTAGGAGTGATTTTTCCATGGCCATGGGATTCTTTTCGACGATAGCAGTAAAGCCTCGGAACGCAGTCGCCTTCTCGTCGGAGGGGTCAACTTCGTCCATAGATGTGAGGAAATCCTCGGCGAAGTTGGCTAATTCGGGAGCCAAGAGTTCTCCATTGCCCAGTCCGAGACGACCTAGGGCAATCGCTGCATTCTCGGTCACGCCCTTAGGGATACCGGGGTTAGTAACGATGGCGAAAAAGCTCTGGAATAGCTCAGGCACATAAGGAGCCATGTTAGACTTGTGTCGAATGGCAATCTCTCCAGCGGACCAGCAAGCATTGTTGACTGCTCCGAATCCACTATCAATGTCCTCGTCGAGTATGCCGTCCAGATCCAGTTGTGTTAGGAGTATAGGGAATATGTTCGGCAACGACTGCTGCAACTGTTCAAACACATATTTAGCGCAATCTCCGAGGAGCGCGTATGCTGACTGTCGGACTTCGTCTGTCGGATCTTTCATACAGAAGGTAAGAAGCTCGAAGAATGCGGGTTGCGAGTCCTGAACAAGCTGGGCCGACTTCGCCGGATCGAGGGCCTGGATGATGGCACTAAGAAGATCCAAGCTGGTAACCAAGAAGTCCTTGTCAGGCGTGTCAAGGGATGGGTTGTTTTGGAGGGCCAGAGAAGCCTCCAGGTTCTGATGGATAATGTTGACACAGCGTACAAATATGGGCTGCGCATAGGGTGTAAATGCATCATTGAGTGCCATCGCAACGTACGATAGGCACTCCAACAAGGGGAACAGTTCTCGAGATTGGTCGTTGACTTTTCCCCATCGCTCGATGAGAGCTGGCATCAGTTCGTTAACAAGATCGGGTCTTGCTAGAACCGGTCCAATGTGTTCGGCCAAGGTCTGAACACAGTCGTAGAGAATATACATGTTGCGATCCTTGAACTTCTTGAAGCACTTGACGTACTGCTGGATAATAGGGAGACTGTAAGGCTCTAGTCTCTTCCCTGCCTTCTCTTCGAGGTTCGCGAAAGCCGATGCGCCCGCCTCTTGGACTTTCTTGTTGCTGTCCAGCATCTTCGTCAAAATACCTTCCATCATCGGCTCAAAGAAAGCCTGCTTGTCGGCAGGATCGGACAAATCCGCAGCCCAGGAGGAATATCGACCTAATGTCCAGCATGTGATTTGACGGACCACAGGCTCGGTGTCATTCAGGAGAGAAATCAGATAAGGCACCAATTGAGGTAGGTGAGGCGTGACAACGTTGAGGCAACCTTCTGCCACAGCACCTAGCGCAAGTACCGCAGCCTCACGGTATGGCCAATCGTTGTGTCTCAAATTCTTGGTGAGATACGGTAAAATGGACTCAAATACTGGGTCTCTGAAGTCGCGAGCGAAGACGTCTAGTGCAGCGGCGGAACACTTTCGCAAAGTCCATCGCTCGTCCGGGTTTGCATCGTCACCATCTTCAAAATCATCAATCTCACCTTCCTCAAGATCATCGTCCATGCTGGCCAACTTCTCGTACGCATTTCCATTCTGAGCGGCATCCGCAGAGCCCTCTCCGTTAGCCTGTCGCGTCTGTGACTTCTTTGCAAATTGAGGTTTAATGTCCTTTTCCAGATCCTCCTCGTCCTCGTCATCAGATGCGCCGCCCAGGAGGGCAATATCTTCGGCGCTATAAACCATACACTCGAGGAGAACAGGAATGATCTTGCTAATATATGGGTTCAATGAATGCCAGAGATGCTCATGCTCTCCAACCGTGAGCCAAAACTCGGCTGCGTCAGTGGCCAGATCCTCATCGTCGCTTTGCTGTTGAGTGATGATGTAATCGACAAGATCGGGAAGATGAGGTTGGATCTTGTCTGGGCGAGATTCAACAAGTTGGGCAAATGCTCGACAGACCTGTCTTCTCACATCGTTGTTGTCGTCCGATGCCAAGGCAAATAGATGCTGGAGCAAGTCATCGATGGAGTTGAGCATAGCCTGAGACTTGCGAGCCGTGAATACGTTGATAGCGGTCAAGGCATGAGCTCGGACCTTGGGCAACGAACTCTTAGTAGCTTGTATCAACTTTGGTAGAATGAAGTTCAGCGGTCGTTCACCGTTCAATTCGCGCTCCAACATCTTGGTGTTGTCTTCACAGATCTTGGCCATAGCCGCCATAGCACCCTCCTGCGCCTCATTTGTGAATTGGCCAGTCTCATTGCCAATCATCTTCAAGAGCTCTGGTAGCAACTCAGGCCAGCTCATAATTCCGCCTCGGCGAATCATTTCAGTTGCGATCACCCCAGCGTAATTGCGAATCTGAGAATTCTTATCCTGCAAACAGAGTGGAATACCCATCTTAATCAGGGCAACACTACTATCGGGAATTCGTTTGGAGCCCGGCTTGATGTTGTTCTTCAGCATGATTGCGGCCGATGATCGTATAAGGAAATAGTCTTCAGGCGAGCACTGTAGGCCATTCGGCGGATCTGGGCTGGAGAATAGATACACAAGGTAGTTGTTGATATCAGGGGATGATTTCGCTTGCGTTAGCATCTAAACGGAGAAATGCTTATGTTAGTCGAGTCACTAGAAAATATAACGAACTATAGGCAAGGCGAGCTCTAGCTGTCGCCTATTTTTATATCATAGGACGGTAGTTTGGGGGATGTCTTACAATCTCAGCTTGTTTCTGCGCAGCTTTGTCGAAGCCGCTGAGAGAGTCCTTGAGACAAGCAGCGAGCGTACTCAAGGACTCGGGCGAAGGTTGCCACGCCATGGTGGGCGGCGGGGCAGTTCAGTATTGAAGATGTGCGCTTATTGCAAATCTTGGGTTTAAATATGAAGCGCCTGAAAATTACTTGGAGTGTTAAGGGTGAAGAGAGGGGGGAAAGTTTGTAAGTAAGTGAGTTGGGGGATGAGGTCAAGTGTCGATTGTCAGTAGTAACATCGGTTCTGGGGATGGTGGGGTCCTCAGTAAAAAAGATGGACTAGTTGGTGTTGAAAATAATGTGGTTTAAGTGTGGTGGTATGTGGTCTGTAGGGGAAAATCGGTAAAAACTAAAACTAAAACTAGTAGTTACTAGGTACAGGCAGGAGGTACATAGGAGGTATGAGGTAAAGAGGTAAGGGTTAAACGTAAGGTAACGATGTAGTCTTAATCGTCTTCCTTCTACTACATAGAGGTATGCATTTATGTCTGATAAGGTCGATATCCCTTGTAACTTTTTTTCGATCTTTGACTTGAATGGTTTTCTTAGCCCGATTATTATCGTATTGACATAGAAAGGCAGCAAACGACTCGTTGCGACCAATTTGATCTTTTTTTTCTAGTGGTGGTTTGCGAAGAGAGACCGTGACCCTTTCCGGTTACAGAGCCAAGTCCCTGATTGAAGGGTTTAAAATTCCTCTTTAGAAAAAAGTTTAATGGCGGGGTGTGTCTGATGGCTGGCTTTTTTTACGTTTTCCTAGCTCTTTTAAGAAGTGCGAGGCGCGGGTAGTAGGTACATGTGCTCAGGTGGACGTATTAAATGGACCTCTGACATTTGGGGGTTATGTATCCATAAGGCAAATACGCTATATGCTTAGCGCATAATCGACCATATCGATATGCTTATTGGGCATGTTGGTTAATATGTTAAACCCTCATTGGCAAGAGCCTTCTTGTGAAAATTAACATATTAGAGTATTTTAGCGCACAAATAAATCTTGTAGCCGTTGTAGAAACTGAAAAGATGCGATATCGTTCCTCAGTGATGTGTATCTTCACGTGCACGTATAGGTAGGTACCTATCTAAGTATTTGTATAATGCGTGCCAAGGTAGCATGTCCATGTATGTAACTATGTTCTCTTCTTACGTTCTATGCTGCCTTAAAATAGATCAAGGTAGATCAGTAGGAATCTCCTGAAGAGAGATTTAGCTTGAATTAATATTATTCTCTCTATAATAAGAATCGAAACAACTCCCTAAAAAGGGGGAGTAACTATTGAATTTGTTGACACTACTTAGGTACTAACAACTACTGTAGGCATGTATATAAAACGGAGACCGGACACTCAAACAGGGAAATCCAAAGTCAGCCAACTTTTGACAGGCTTAATAAAAAAACAGGGACTCGAACCTGTTCCTTTTTTAAGAAAAAAAATAAGAGGAAGAATATAAAAATAAGAAATTAGAGGCTTCTACTAGCAACATATGAAATAAGACCCTAAGGCTATAACCGGGGCTGATACAGGTAGCCCAGACCTTTGTGTACTGTTGGTATTATTTGTCGTAACCTGCAAGGCGCCAAGTCGGACCAGAATACGAAATATGCATGCATATGAAAGCTATAGCAGCTTATTGAGATGCCACGCACAATTACTCTCTGTGGAACGAGCACCAATACCCGCGTGGTACTGAGTTAAACAGCTTGTAGAGACAACCCCTAAGAACAGTGTGAATGCAGAATAAAGGGTACGGTCAGTAAAGGGGGTTGTTTTGTGTCAACAACAACAACAACGACGAAGACAACGAAGACAATGACGACGAAGACGAAGATGACGGAGACCCTATATTGAACCTTATGAACCTACAGGATAAATAATATATTTCTTCCAGAAGGTAAGGTAGGTAGGAAAGTGGCCAGTAACGATACCTACTAGGGACGTAGGGAACACCACGACAAAACTAGACGATCCTTTTGTGAGACACCACCCCGCAATCGACCTCATCATTTCTATAGGGGGTTTCGTCAGTGGGAAGAAATAGTTCCACAGTAGAGCTTCCCAGTATCTACCTCAAGATTTGTCTTTGCTGCCAAGTATGCATGTTCCACCAGCCGAGCCAGATACGGGCGATGACCAAATGGCCGAGTGCTATAAGTTTGTTACAATTCTTCAAGCCACATTGATGGCGGATGCCGTGTAACTCGCGGATCTGTGCAGGAGGCTATTTGACCGGCCAGCTCTAGGCAGCACCTTGTCTGAACCCTAGATGTCATAGACTTGAGGCGGTCGTGTTGCACCTATATTTAGAGAGGATGAGCGGTTAAAACCATAAACGTAGCCTAGTATGCAACCTACGCACTCGAGTCCAGAGATTAAACCTCGAGACTGTTTTTCATAACGGGTCAACCAAGACATAACAACGAAACAAACGCTTAGGGCCGGATTGCTTCGGTTAGTTGAAGTTTGCGCTTGACGTTCCTCAGCCGCCAAACGGAATGGGCTAAGGTGTAGGTATACATTTTAACTAGGATATATATGACAAGGTGTATTATTGAATCGCATTTAGGCATTGTAAAGAAGGGTTGACATGATAAAGTAGAAGAACATGTAAACTGTTTAATCATCTTAATGTTAATAGCAAAACACTTCTTTTGGTGCTATAGAGTTCGCCCACCCATATGTTTAAGTGGCGAGAGTGTGATATCTCCGGATATCATGGAAGATATCCGTAAAACCTAGGTACTCATGGAGTGCAAATAGTCAACTATATGATGGCTCGAAATCGATGCGATAATGCTTTGCGGGTAATGACAATCCATTTCCCCAAACATTGATGCTTGCTGATTTCATGTGAGCCATAAAGCGTGTGTGCTTCCGATTGTGCGAGTCCTAGTTCTTAGTATGATAGTGGCGTTCGTACTTTCTCAAGAAGGCATGATGTGGTATTCTCGAGAATGATGCTGACGGTATTATGGGGTACTAGTTCCGTTTGGTAAAGCGTCAGGCGACCCGATGACACCCTGAAGCTTTTCAAATGAGACCTCGACAATTCTTTTCAAGGCCTCCATCTCCTCTTCCACCGTTCCACCCAGTCCAGTATTAGCAAAGCTGACAGAGTTGCCGACATAGACAGGCATCTGCGTCTTCTTAGCCAATATTTTGGCTAACCGAGTTGTGAACTCTATTGTTGGTTCCACAGAATATATTGTTGTTGAAAGTGGTTGAGTTGGATTATATTTCTATGAATTAGTATATCAGTTAGTTGTTCGTTTAGATCGGATCATGAGGAAACACACGTCAGGTAGGGCATAGACGAAAGATCCCATTGGAGCCGCATTATCTTGTTCATCCGCAGCTACTGTGGTGACAAACAACAGAATAACCTTGGATTTAATGGTCAAGCGCAGATGAATCATGGTATCTAATGACCGTGGTAAAGGAAATGAGAGCTGTATTGGTTCATCGATAACCACTTCCATTGTGTAGCTACTTCTAGTGACAAGGGGGTTGGCGAGGCTGTATCTAGCACTTGTGGTATGCCTGTTGTCTGAACCGAACAGTAGGTAGTACCTAGTTCGTCCAAATTTGTCCGAATATTGTCGATTCTCCAGGAAAATTAAATTATGTCAATGTTTGCGGAAAGTCTAAAGTAAAAGATTTAATATATTACCAGATACACTAATGTATTCTGCTTCGAAGTTGCCTGTGTTGTAAATTGTTGCGCAGCAGTGATACCCCACATCCGTGGGAAAGCCCGCCGTCTAGGGGGCAATTACCAGGAAGCACTGGATACAAGATGGCAGTTACGCTGTACATGTCAGGTACCTATAGGGGTACGTACCTCATAGGTTGCGGCGCTTCGGACAATCTTAAGCAATTCTCAACTTTTACAACCGTTGACCTTCACATGATTCTATATCCCACCAGGTGGCAGACATTGAAGAAACCATCCAATTCATTCAATCTTTATTTTTCTCATATTACATATATTGAGTTGAATACCATGAGATCGACATAATCGACACTTTAGACTTTTACCAAGATGTGCTGGAGCTAGTAGAATTGCTTTAGTTTCCTTCGACTCTCCTAAAATCGCGTGCCCCTCAGTCCGGAGATATTCACCCCACCATTATCATAGCTTTTCCAACCGGGTCTCAGGTTGACGATTATCTAAGACTCCTAGTACCTATCTTATAATTTGTTTTCCGATTTGTTTTCTCTCTTCTTCCTTATCTTATTCGGACCCAATCCACCGTCGTGATGGAGTCGGCGATCCGGACTTATGGTGAAGATTCCCAGTGGAATGGCGTAGAAGAAAACATCGAGGATCCGGAGGAAATCAGAGTCATATTCCAAGCACTCGATTCATTTAGGTTAGTATATCATTAGGTTGCTGTGTCGTTATGTCAAGCACACCTTGCCTCTGAGAGAGGGGGCGCGATTTTGCTTCCAGTAGGCATCAAATCCCTTTCCTATAAGTCGCTCACTTGCAGACTCCTCCAGCTCGTCACATTTGCTGACGAATCCAATACAGCCAATATGCGAAGACGGCCCACTTGAATTGTACCCATCTGCGCAGACAGGCCTTCTATGCTCTCCCCCAAGCTCACTGGCAGATGCTGAGCCAACCTCCGTTCTCATACCTGGATGTGCTGAATCGAGTAGACGATGCCATTGAGAGCAATGCAGAATTGGCCCGCATTATTGTTAAGGTTGGCTTGCGATCTTTCGGTGCGATAGAAAATGCTGAAGGCGAAGTTACCATGCCTGAGGATTGGTCTGGCATTGCCAAGTATAATGATCTGGATAAGGCTAGGAGCACTATCCGACAGTTTTACCGGGACTGGTCTGAAGAAGGTGTTGTTGAGCGGGATGCCTGCTACGGCCCAATATACCGGGCGCTTGACGCTGAGAAGGCTAAATACCCAGACCGACAGCCGATGAAAATCCTGGTGCCCGGTGCTGGACTGGGACGTTTGGTCTTTGACCTCTGTTTGAGAGGTTACCATATTGAGGGCAATGAGATCTCTTATCATCAACTGCTTGCGTCGTCGTATATTCTCAATTCCACGGAAAGGGCTGGCCAACACACTATATTCCCATGGATACATTCCTTTTCTAACCACCGGACCCGTGAAAAGCAGTTCAGGTCATATAAGGTTCCAGACATTCACCCTCAAACCACACTTGCAAATGCTCAAGGAACTGGATCGATGCAGATGTGTGCCGCTGACTTTCTCTGTCTATACGGAGACGAAAGTCATAAGGATACATATGATGCTGTAACTGCCGTATTTTTCCTGGATACAGCGCCGAATCTGATTCGTTACCTTGAAGTTATCCGGAACTGTTTGAAACCTGGAGGAGTTCTCATTAACGTTGGACCTCTACTCTGGCACTGGGAAAACCACGTTCCCAGCCACCATGGCTACGACGGAGATGGCGACTATGATGAAAATAATTCCTTGGGAATAGCAGACCCTGGGAGTTTCGAGCTTACTGATGACGAAGTCGTCGCATTGGTAGAACGAATTGGTTTCATCGTAGAAAAGCGAGAAGCGGGGTTGCACGCCCCTTATGTGCAGGACGCCGAGAGCATGCTGCAGACGTTTTATAATGCCAGCCATTGGGTCGCACGGAAGCCGGACGTTGTATCTGAGGTCGGCCAAAGCTGAGATATAAGATACATCTCGAAATTTACTGGCTGAATTTGAGGCATTGCATCTGGAGTATGAGCTCACATGTATCATGATACCATCTGCATATTGCGTGGAAGAAATAACGAGGTCATGTCTACTATTTAGCATTGAACAAATATATGATAATATGAAAGCATATTGGCATAATATCGATCCTACATATTTCCTACCTAACCTAACTCCCTATACCTATTTCCATTTTATACAGATCATAGCTTAGCGTCCAACCCAGCTAGCAACAAGGAACCAGTATTCCACAGAGAACCGCCGTCAATCTCTATAGTCGCACCATTGACATGCGCTCCCGCCCGGCTCGAGAGATAAACAACCACACCCGCAATATCCTCCGGCCGTCCCAACCGCTTCGCCGGGCTCAACGAGGCATGCAGGTCCGCGCCGCCGGACATCTCAATCAACCCGTTTGCCATCTTCGTCGGGAAGAAGCCAGGGCAGATCGAGTTCACAAGAATATGTCTCGGCCCCAAATCAACCGCCAAGTTGCGGCCTAGATGGATCGCAGCAGCCTTGCTCGCGCTGTACCCGAACGTAGCTTGTTTGCCTAACGTCCCGACGCCTAGCCCCGCCGTGCTCGCCGTGATGATCACGCGGCTCGGGTCCTCGAGCGTCGCCCGCTTCTGTAGTAAAGGCGCGAATTTCTGCACGGAGAGGAAGATGGACTTCACGTTTAGGTCCATGACTTTCTGGAAGGCCGCGTCGGGGTGCGTGTCGAAGCGCTCGCCCCATGTCGCGCCTGCGTTCGCGAAGAGAATGTCCACGTGCGGTGTGTGCTTTGATACTTGTGAGACGAGGGACTCGATCCCGGCGAGGGTGCTGCTGTCGGCTGGGACGGAGATGGCGAGGGCGCCCGGTTGCAGGTTCGGGAGCTTGTTTAGTTGCGCGACGGCTTGGTCGCAGACGCTGGCTTTGCGGGAGGTGATGAAGACTTTGGTGCAGCCGGCTTGGAGGAAGCTGTGATGGGGGGTTGGTTAGCTTTTGGGGTGTTGTTGGACTGGGATGCTTGGGGGTGTGATGGTGGGAATGGGCTTCGTTCTTTGAGAGGAATGTCGTGGGTGCGTATTCGATGGGTCTGTAATGGTAAAACTCACGCAGATGCTGCATTTAAACCAAGACCTCGCGAGCCGCCGGTTACGACGGCGACTTTTCCCTTGAGGGAGAAGAGCGAGGGAAAGTCGTGGAGGGCTGTTTCGTCGGCCATGGTTGATACGTCCGGGGGAAATCGGTTCGGGTCAAATAATGAATGTTGGAGTTACAGGCAAGAGGATTTATAAAAGCTTTACTTAGCACCAAAAAACGCAATTCAAGTCAAACGAAATAGAATCGATTCAATTGTTTATCATTAATAGGAGAAGTTTATAATGGCTGACGGACAATAGATGAGATGGCTCGATGTCTTGGAGTCCGTCCTATCGATAATGATCCAATGCCTTAGGACCTCGGAGCTATTCTAGCGTAGCATAGCTGTAACATAGCTCGGTCTCCCCGCAAAACTTGCCGAGGTTCGTGGATACGCTGAATAATATGTTGAATCTTTGGAAGAGATTCATTGTTTAATTTCTGATGGGAGAATTAGAGTGTTTAGTGTTAATGATTCTGATTGGTTGCATTGATCAGATATCCTAGGCAGTCTATTGCTTAAACGGTTACCTAATCGTCAAAGGCGTCTCCCATTGGGTTAGCATCGTCCATAGCAACATCATCATCCGCATCATCCTCGTCCTGCTCAGTCTCGTATCCGTATCCTTTCAAATAGTCCTCACCCCCTTCTTCATCGTCATAATCGCCGTAAGAGTAGCCGTCATACTCTTCTACATCCCCGTCGATATCCCCATCATCATCTTCAAGATCATCTACAAGGTCATCAACTTCCCAAGGATTTTCTTGTATCGCCTCTTCGTCGTCAACGCCATTTCCATCTACATCCTCATCGTCCAAATTATCACCACCAGTACTTGATGGCGTATCTGCCGTAGTCGACCCGGACTTTTGCTTCAGCTGAGGGAAGCGACGTTTGCGGGGAAGTCTTGTGTCCACGTCTGCGATAGGGCGTAAAAACGGCTCGAGAGTCAAGCCGAGTGGCTTCTCGATCTTATCGGGCCACTGCCGCAATCTTTCGGCAAGAAAGGAATTGTATAAGAAGCCCGGCTTCTGCGGCTGATCGTCATCCGAACCCATCCGACCCCTCTTAATGGCAATCATTTTCACCTTCATGATCATCTTTATCTTAGCCCAAGCACTTTTAAAATACCATCCAGATTCGATGTCGCACTCTGCCCTCAAAGGTGCTTGCTCAAGCATATTGCGAATAAATGGATCCGTGATATCGCAAACCTGCCAGAATTTTCCATCTGTCGAGTAGTCCTCCCCGTCCCAGATGTGACTTTTCCGATTCTCCCTATGGTGCTTTCTAATTTGGCCCTTCCTAACAACCTCCCACGGCACCTTTTTTGTGCCGACTATATTCCTTTCCAATTTGAAGGCGAGTGTTTGGTATACTCGGTTCTTGGGATCGGGACGAGGGTCCACGCCATATTTAACAAAGGCATCTCGCCACGGCCCGCCCCTAAACTGATATCCAACTAGCTGAAGTGCTATTCTCATGGCCGAATCGGTATAGTTGCCTGTCACACGGTTGAGAATAGCACGGCGAGTCCATATAGGCCGTTCTTCCATCAACGTATGCAGTTGCCTCATCAACGATCCTGGTATAACCATGTTCGGCTCTCGCCGGGGTTTCTGCGGTACGGGATATGTGTTATGATTGATGAAGTAGCCGTATGAGTGCTTCTTCCTGCCTTGGATGTTAATCAACTTCTGATTTCCCACTTCGTCTCCTTCCACCTTGGTGTTAGGATTCTGTTCGTAGTTGTAATTAAATCCAATGATTCGGTCTGTGAAGTGTGGTGGGGGTACAATCTCCTGTCCAGGGTCCGTTATCACGCCGGGAGCAAATTTGATTTCTCGTAGCTTTGAAACTTGAGTAACGGTTAGCAATTAGAGCGATAATTGAAAAAGCAGTCGCAATGTTTTTTTTTGGTTTACCTTTCATTGGAAGTAGGTTCTCTGCTGCCTTCGTTAAGAATGAAGAATTAACGTTGGCGAACTGGAAGTCGGATAGGCCTCGATATCTGTGAGTATCCTCGACCTTCCCGATGGCATCTATCTCGTAGTAGTCTAGATTATCCTGCATCTTTCGAAGGATAGATTTGGGTCTATCACGTCGGCCCGCGGAACTCACTTCACCCGCTACAGATGCGGCTGTCCCATCTGTGACGTCAACTTCACCGGTGAATGGATCATTACTTCCTCGCTTTCTTTTTCTGCCTGTCCGCTTGGGAACAGTTATCTTGAGTAGGATGTTGTTAGTAGCCGCATGATGTGATACGACGGGTTTTGACGTAGGGTTGTCAGGCCGAAACCATAATGGGACCGAAGTAGGTTCCGGCGTGTTAACAAGAAGCTATCATGACAGGTTAGTGGAGGGCCCTGGTGATAATTTGGTAATTGGAATAGGGGGTATACACCTTTTGAAAGTCTGGATCCACTCCAAATGTCTCGAGCCCTTTGTCGAGATTTATGAGAACGCAAGGATGTTCGATGGCAACTATTTTCCTCTGAGGCACGTCTAGTATAGGAGCACCCTCTGGATCTTCGACATCATCTTGGCTTTCTGCAACGTATTGATAATCGAACTCCATTGCGTTAGTTGACGGCTAATACGCCCTTAGACCATTTCTTGCGGACAACTTTAGGGGCCTGTCCCGTGATATGTAGCAAGGGCAATGGTTGTATGCTACAACTTCATAAGATTCCACGATATTCGTAGGGCATTTGTGTAGATCACTATCGCGACATGGTTAGAAAAGTTATAAACCTAATATATTTTATATTTGAATAAGGCAGGCATGTAGAATGAGGGTAAAACTTGCCCACGCCAATTTCAAGGTTCTCAATGTGTGACGTATGTATTTTTGATTGATTGATATTTCAATCACAAAGGCATGTGCTTATCAAATACTATGGATGTGTGCTGCATTTGCTTCTCCATACCGTGGACATAATCCTCGATAAGTAATTCGTGAGGTATCCGAAACGTTGATGTCGATGAAGCGCATATACAGTATATTACATAGTGCGAGAAATTTTAGAGTTAAAAACTCAGCCTATGAGCAAAACTCAATTAAATGACACATCCTGACATCCCTAAGTAATTGTAGTGAGAAGAGGACAGTAAGAGCTTGAGACAGCATACTGTAACAAAATTTACGTACACATTGATTCTAAGTGTCGCAATTTCCTTCACTAACCGGCACATTCCTAGATGGATGTGCGTACGTGTATACGCTCCGTATTCTTTTTTCACCTGCCATTCGTTAAGACACATATGGAATTCGATGAGCATAACTTGCATCTACACTGTATTTATCTATTCAAGATATTATCTCCTTCATTTCTTCCTTCCCTTCTTTTCTTTTAATAGACCGACATGTAAGGTACCTAAACCAAGGCAAGGATTACCTATTGAAATACGTATCTTAATCTGCATATATGCATCTGATATGGATTTAAAGTGCTATTTGTGCTAAAAAGCATGTCGTAGCTGCAGGGAACATCTACTTTAGCTCACGAGACTCCCATGAGGACACGCTGCCCCGCCGACTAACATATGATTCGATGTAGCTCTGCATCAATAGGTCCACAAAGGTCCACTAGCACAAATATATTATGCAACAAACTTGCGCTAAACCATACCTGAATATATCCCGCCAGCTGGCAGCAACCGAACCTTTGCACAAAAACACACGATGAATGCATAACACTCGCGCCTATCGCAAAAATAGCGGAAGACTTAGGTACGAAGGTACGTTATTAATGGTTAAGAAACTTCACGATACTTAGATAGGTGCCATGTATTCCTTAATTGAACAATTCTCCGAAATGACTTGAAAAACATTGTTTACTTAAGTCAAATTCCTCCTTATATCAGGACTGCCTATTATTGATTATGTAGTTGAATACCGCTGTTGCTGGGATACCCGCTCCGTACCGCCGCTTCCTGCTATGTAGAGTAGACGGTACGATTGATACACTGCCCACTGCCCACTGCCCACTGCCCAGTGTCCATAGACCAACTTTGCCCAGTGAAGGGTAGGTACGAAGCTACACACTACGAAGCTACGTACCTACATATGTACATATCGTACATATCATAGTACATATGCCGTCCCCTTAGCCCTGGAAGATCACCAGAGTCCCTAAACTCCCTAAAACCAACCGGCCTACAGTACTTAGCAGGCCGCTTTCTCCACCTTCCACAACGACAACTCAAACTTCATACCTGAGGTGTCCGACATTGAACATCGACAATTCACTCGTACCCTTCAAGCTGAGAGGCTCAATTTGAGCCATCTTACATGAAGTTATTACTATTAATGTTCTACCTTTGACGGTCACTAGTTTAGTTACCTGCCCACCTTATGCGACAGCCGTACCCGCGCCGCCGTCCGCCTCCTTACGCCTAAATCTTGGGACCCTTCTATCAATTTGATTCTTCCCTCGCCTCAAACAGACGGTGAAATTCACTTTATAATTCTTCTTCTCGATCACGCAACGCTTCCCAAACCCGATACCGAGTTAAATTACATATTTTAGATTTTTCGGAATCCACTCTACCGACGCGTCTATCCGCATTAACATTACTTCAATTTCCTGTACAAATTCCCTGGAGAGAGTAGAGAGAGTCGGGCGTCCCCACCCCACTATCAGTAGGGGTTGTGACCTACAAAGATGAAGCGCTTCAGCCGAGCCGTATGTTTGCCCTTTAGTTCTAGTCGGCTCTCTCTACGTACCTAGCAGATAAACCTTTAAAATACCAACTAACAAATGTTCGATAGCTCTCGCGAGGGAAGGGCGATAGTAAATCCTCCAAGAAAAATAAGGATGCTAAGGATGGAACAGCTTCGCCCTCTTCTAGCGGTTCACGAGAGAACCAGTCGCCTGTATTGACTCCCTCTTCGTCTACATCGACCTTGAACGACATTAGAAATAAACCTCTTCCCCCCAACAATGCTGGAACACACGGCGGTGATCATAGTAACCCTACTTTACAAGGCCAGGCCGGTCAGGCGCCTGGTCAGGGTGCTGCCCCCGATAGATTCGGCAATTTGGGATCTCAGCAGGCGCCAAATGGCGCAGCTACCCCTTCTCGACATGGCACTCTTCCGCCTACTGTGGTCATTAGCCCTAGTGCTCCAGTATGTCGCTCTCTTTTCCGATACTGTCGAGACATCTGCTAATTTCGCTTCCTATAGCACATTCCACCTCCCGGTGCAGCTGAAACAATGCCGCACGACCTCGCACCACCTAAGGCCGGCCAGAAGTCGTTAATGTTCGATCGTCTCCACCAGACACCGAAGGACGTCCCCGAGGGCCTCCGAACGCCTCGAAGACAGAACTCGTCGCGATTCGATATATCGACGCATCGAGAGCTTGAGAAGCTTCCGGGATTCCACGAAGTATCACCCAACCGTCGACAGGAACTTTTTATGCAGAAGATTGACCAGTGTAATGTCATCTTTGACTTTAATGATGCTAGTGCCGACATAAAGTCCAAAGAAGTCAAGCGTCTAGCTCTGCATGAGCTACTTGATTACGTAGCCAACAACCGCCAGGTCATCACAGAACCTATGTACCCCCGAGTTGTTGAAATGTTCTCCAAGAACTTGTTCCGACCGATCCCCCCACCAATGAACCCCCAAGGCGAGGCATTCGATCCCGAGGAAGACGAGCCTGTCCTTGAAGTCGCCTGGCCTCATATTCAGGTCGTCTATGAGTTCTTTTTAAGGTTCATCGAGAGCCAAGACTTCAACACGAACATCGCAAAGGCTTACATCGACCATAGCTTTGTGCTTCAACTCTTGGAACTATTCGACTCGGAGGATCCGCGTGAGAGAGACTTCCTCAAGACGACTCTGCATCGAATTTATGGGAAGTTCCTGAACCTTCGTTCTTTCATAAGACGTTCGATCAACAACGTCTTCTTCCAGTTCACTTATGAGACTGAGAGATTCAATGGCGTGGCCGAACTTCTGGAGATTTTAGGATCTATTATTAATGGATTTGCTCTACCCCTCAAGGAAGAGCACAAGCTATTTCTTACCAGAGTGTTACTGCCTCTCCACAAAGTTAAGAGTCTTAGCATGTACCATCCTCAGCTGGCGTACTGCATTGTCCAATTCTTGGAAAAAGATGCATCCCTAACTGAAGATGTTGTACTTGGCCTTCTTCGTTATTGGCCTAAGGTTAATAGCACGAAGGAAGTTATGTACCTCAACGAGGTAGAAGACATTTTCGAGGTAATGGACCCCGCCGAATTCGCCAAGGTTCAGGAGCCCCTGTTCCACCAACTCGCAAAATCTGTTGCGAGCCCGCATTTCCAGGTCGCCGAGCGGGCTTTGTACTTTTGGAACAACGAGTATTTCTGTAATCTCGTGAGCGACAATGTCGAGATCATCCTACCTATCATGTTTGCGCCGCTGTATGAGAACTCCAAAGGACACTGGAATAGGTAAGCAAATTAAAGAAAGTGGATCATTTCTCGAATCTAACAATAAATTAGGACAATCCACGGAATGGTGTACAACGCGATGAAGCTATTTATGGAGATTAACCCGCAGCTTTTTGATGACTGCTCGCACGAGTATACGGAGCAGCAAAATAATGCTGCTGCGAGGGAAGCTCTTCGCGAGAAGAAATGGGCGGCTATTGCGGACCAGGCCAACAAGAGGAAGTCTAACGGCGCGTCTGGGAATGGTCACCCAGCCACAAAAGTGAACATACTGCCACGAGTTGATGAGTCTGATACGGTTACGGAGGATAACCAGAAAAGGCTAGATTCGCTGAAGCTACAGGATGCCGATCGAGGTAGCCGTCGTCCGAATGCCCACGAACGACAGGGTTCGACGGGATCTGCAAGAAGCCGATGATTTTGTTTTCTTCTCTTCTCGGGAACCTTTCGACGAATCGTGTTCCAATGATACTAGGGTTCTTCTGGCGATAGACCTTGTAGGTGATGGCGACCTGGTTTACACAAACCTCCAAAATTCCATTTCGATTTACACAACCATACATTTTCACTGCCCATTGTTTTCAGCAACCACTAAACTGCAACTCCTTCAACCTAATTTCTGTGGCATTCGGTATCGACTACGACTTCTATTGTGGTCGTCCGTGTTCCGGTCGAAATCGATGAAGGCGGACTTAGGAAAGCGAGTTTTGCGGTTATACTCGACCCGTAGGTGACAAGCTGGCTTGGTCAATCCCTGGGATGTGGAGTACATCTCGGGTGCCAGATTTTTTCTTTTCCAGTACATACTTGGCCGCTCTCTTATATTTTTCAATTCGCCGACCGTCTACGGCGAATAGGAATAGGCAGAGGGTTTGGCTTACGTGTTCTATATGGAATCACGCCTACTCTTACGAATATGAAACCTCAACAAAAAGTGATTATCGTTGCAAGAGAATATATGCGGAGATAAAGAAAGGTGGACCATCCTTTGAGACGCATGTCGGCGAAGCCAGTGCAAGGAGATGAAGTGAAGGTTCAGGAGGCATGATAACTCCCAACATGTACGGATTTTGTCAACCTGTTGTCAGGACTGACGAGTTGAAACAAAAAAAGCTTTGACTCTTCGTGGCGTCTAGAGGAAGGAACAGGGCAATGAGATGACAACGCGGTTTTTTACTTTGCAAACGATAATGCGATCTTCATAGACCTGTTTCTTGCGGGGTGTCTTTTTTTCGCACGCCCTTTCTCTCTCTCTCTCTCTTCTCTTCTTCTATGAACCTTGAGTATTCCTAGTTAACGAACGAGACGATGGTGATGAGTATATATGTACCTTGTTGTGAGTGAGATGTCGCCGAGACCGAACGAGATGTTAGTATTGTTACCGAGTTGTCGAGTTGCCCAAACCCGGAGTTGATCGCTGGGGATGGGTAGTTGTTACCAGAGAACGATTCGCTGAAGGTGGTGTATTACTAATAAGGAGAGCTGTTGTTGACGATTATGAGATGTTGCAGGGAGTGCGAGATGCTATCAAAGAGCCGGGATTTTCGGACAAGAGGTAATATCTGCTTGCAGTATTCCTCTGTATTTGTAATTAGCATCAATTTCTACTATTTTTTGGAGCAACACTTGGGTTCTTTTACAGGGGTGGACGGTTGGATTGCTTTGGATATCTGGACTAACCTATCTCTAGTAGCAGCCCTTACGAATAGTCTCTTTGCGGACTACCCTGATCTCCTTAATCCATCTGGTCTTAATATTGTAGAACCATACCCAACGATATGACAATTAAGAAGACGGTTACAAACAAGTTTTCCTTCAACACAAAAAGCAAGAAAGCAAGAATTCCCATTATTAACGTATTTGCTGGGAAACTTTTTTTACATCCTATAGCAGCCAGGTTGAGCGGCGGTATATACACATCCCCCTTTCCCACTTACATATACTATTCCCTAACATAACCCAACGCCTGCCCCATCTTAACCTTCTGCCCCTTCTCCACGGCCCAGGCAAACCCGCCCTTCGCGCCCGGGTGGTCAGCGACAGGTGCCTCGAACACGAGCACAATGGTGCTCCCAAGCTTAAAACCGCCCATCTCGTCCCCGCGCCTCAGCGCATGGCCCCCTAACACACGACTCGCGGCACCGTACGTCGCCTCGGAAAAGCCGCTATACGGCTCACCACGAGCGGCGGCCTCTTCTGCAGCGCGATCAGCCGCGGTGTCGGTGAGAAGAGAGTTAGTGCGCAGTTCGCGGTCGAAGTTGACGGTGATAGAGCCAACGTTCGTCGCACCGACTGGCACGAAACTAAAGAAACCCCAACGCCATCGCCCCAGAAGGACTACGCGCTCGTTTAGGGTGAAAAGTCCGGGTAGCGTGCGCTGCAGGTACGGCGATACAGAGTATAGCTCCCCCGCGAAATGGCGACGCCGCTCGACAACCCAGTTCGCGGGCGAGTGGAAGCGGTGGTAGTCGCCCGGCGCGAGGTACACGACGGCGTAGTAGAGCGCGGTGCGGTTGTCCGGGGAGAGCAGTGCGTACCACGGCTTCTCGCCGAGGGCGAGGTCCGCGCGGACTTCGGAGACGGCGCCGGGGCTGGAGGGCGTGGTGGTTTGGTCGTCGAGACGCTTGGTCTCGTGGCCGTCGTCGGGACCGGAGAGAAGGTTCGGTAGCGTGTACGAGATCCCGTTCACGCGGGCGAATTCCTCGTCCGATGAGACGAGTTCTTCGTCGCCGTGCTTGGGTTTGGGTGTTGTTGCTTGGTCGGTCGTTTCTGGTTTCTCCCCGGATAGGCTGGGTGGGGGCGTGTGCTTGCCCAGTAATGCGTCTATGGTATATGTCATGCCTTTTACTTGTTCGATGTCGTTACCTTCGATCTTTCCAAATTGGAGCACGCGTCCATCGGATGGTGATAGTAAGGCGTCTGGATTTGTGTCTAGGGGTCGAGCGCCGGGTTTAAGGGTTCGATAGAAGAAAGAAGCGAGGTTTGGGTATACGTGAAGATCTGGTTCAGAGACCTCGTTTAGATTCGCGCCGAAGATAAATGCGTAGAGCTTGAAGCCCGGGACTCGGAGGTAGTATGGAATGGTGAGCTCGTTGAATTTTCCCCATAGTCTTGACATAGCCTTTAAGGGTAATGTTGACATTACTTGTACTTGCCTAGGTGTGGGTTAGCTATCATCGCAATGACGAGCCTGGTGATCCATTATGCGTCCAGCACATACCACGGACCATCTGGCCGTATCCGGGCCCGTTTCTTGGGGCGGGTGCCATCCTCACCGGCAGCCTCTCTCTCGATTCTTTCCTTCTCACGGGCTTGAGTCTTGTAGAACTGCACGAGACCGAGAAACCCAATTCCCAATCCGACGGGTATATGGTACCACGTAACCTTTGTATCTCTTAACGCAGTCCGTAATCTTGAGCTAAAACGTTCATTCTGTTGGTATTTATGCGACGATCGATGGAAGCATCGTTTCGGGGTGGCGACGAATTGTCTCGTCAGCCGTGGGGTAACGGCTGTATAAGTCTGTCGTAGCATACACGACGACAAGGGGCGTTTCGATATGGGGGAATACCCTCGGATCGTGGCTGAACTTAGACTCGACATTGACATGTCTTTTGTTCTGATTTTAGATCTTAGAATAGTGGCATTTAGGTTTTGAAGAAATATCGACGCTAATATTGCTTAGTCTTAAGTCGGCACATATATGAAAGATATAGTGGTTAGTCAGGAATTATAGCATTCAATTGATGCTAAATAATCTTCATTGGAAGCAAAAGGGATATCCAATTCGGAATGAACTGTGGAACTTTAAAGTTAAAAGAACTGGACTCGTTCGAGATCTTTGATAGACCTACATATTTGCGCTGCACCTTCACTTTGACCCTCAATGACGCAGGGTTGGTGGAGCTGAAAGTTAAAAGAGCTATCCCTTTTCAGCTCAACTATAAGGCGGTAGCAGCCGGCAGAGTTTGAGGTGGAGTAGATACTGAGAGATACGTACCGATACGTAACCAGGCAACGTGGGTGTTAGTCGATTTCAGATGGAAACTTTGGAAACTTTACAATTACTATTAGGTAAGCGAAAATGACTGGACAGCTTGCATTGACGACTTTCGAATATTCCGTTTCAACTATTTCAACTAATATGTAACTCAACATCCACGGTGTCGACGATGCAAACGATACCTCCTCCTTTACATTAAATTTTTTCCGTCGCTTTATTAGCATTATGTCTTCATTAATTTAATTAATTACTCACCGTCTCTTAATAAAGATAAAGATTTCCGAACCTACCTAGGTACCTAGTACATATCAGAAACGTGTCTCTTTGCGGGTAATCGTTTAGTGATGCTCCCCACGACTACCTAACATGGTTCCTATTCTCACTTGAGTATTAAACCTACAGTGGTTAGGTGGAATGCGCAACACTAAGGTTATTTAGAATTTATTTCTTGCGCATACCTTTTCCTAAAGCGCTCTCCTAGAGAACTTCTTACACCATCCAAGTACTTTTTCTTTTCTGGTAATCGTACCTAAGTAATTCGCGATGGCATCTGAAGTAGCTGGCGCGGCTACTGCAGCTGGGGCCGAGTCAGCAGCCTTCACATTACAAATCATATCGCCGTCTGTTGGCATACCACAACCTTTAGTCTTCCAGGGACTACCGACCGACACGACAGTCAAACAGTTGAAAGAGCGAATTCGAAATGCTGTTATCACAAGACCTGCAGACGAGGCTCAGCGCCTGATCCATCGAGGTCGCCTACTGGGTCGGGATACTGAGACAATGACCGAAATCTTTGGACAAGACGCAGTATGTTTTCCATTTTACGAGTATCTCACAAGTATTCCATAAGTTAGGGGACATCATAATCTGATTCTAATTTCTTGTTACGTATAGCTTCGCTCTACAGATCCTCAGTCGTTGCATCTAGTTCTACGAGACCTTTCCGATGGCCGAACAACGTCTACGCCGAATGCTTCCTATTCTACAAACCAAACCTCGTCCTCGAGCCAAACCCCCGCGACGGGAGCACACATCCCTTCCCAATTCAACTCGTACCAGAACCATCACTCAAGTCCTTTCCAACCTCAACCTCAACCTCAGGTCCGAATCGGGTTGTCCAATTACCCTGGTGCTACATTTGGACTTCCGCAGGGTTCAGTCGCGCCCTTTGGCCAACCGGTGAATCCCCTTCCTCAAGTTACACGAGATCAACGTCAGTGGCAGCGATCTCTGGATGAGTACATGTCTGGTAGGATGCTGAACCAGAATCGCCGATTGAACACGCAAGGCGCGCAAGACACACCTCCTGGTAACTCGACGGCGACACCCGGGACTAGTACACCTGGAAGAACTGCTTCGCCATTCCAGTCAGATGGCACCCACACAACTATTCGTGAAGGAGTTGGACCCAACGGTTTACAATGGCGCGTCACCTACAACGAAACTTTCGTACATCCGTTGCAACGACCGGGAAGGACGGGATCGCCCTTCCCAGCAACCGACGCGAGTGTACTATCGCGCGCGATTCCAAATGGGGGCCAGCTATCCAACAATGAAGTTCAAAACATTTTTCGAACTGCGGATGCTGGGTCAGCCACTAGGGCTATGACCGATGCCATGCGCAGAAATGCTAGCAACTCTTCCTTGGCAAATCTTGCAGCTAGCCAGGCTCATCACCCCATTCCACCGGGGGTTACAACACCGCTGATTGCGTCTCGAGCCGGTAGTGGTGCAGCTACCCCTGATCCACTTAGAGCAGCTGGACGAACCCGAAGTCCGGCAACAAACCAGACACAAACACAGCCGTCTCAGGGTACACCAGAAGTATACATTTTGTCTTCCCCTACGGGACCGCGTGCTCTTTTACTTAATAGCAGCGCGGAGACATATTACAGCCCTCAAGCCCGAGCCACGTATCAACCCATCGGCCTACCGGTTGGCCAGAGACCACTTCCGCACCTGTTTCCCAATTTCAATCACTTAACCCCACAATATATGATACCAACACCGACTATTCCGCCGCAAATTCCCCAAGTTGGACGAGGTCATATAATCAATCCCCAAGTGAACCATGGCCCTCAACCACATCAACCAGCTCAGCCACAACACGGCTTGCCTCAACCACCTCAGCATCAACATCAGCATCAGCATCAGCACCAGCACCAACCTCAGCCTCAAATAGGACATGCTGTTGCCCGCGCGGATAACCCGCAGGTACAGGCGATTAGAATAGCACAGCTCTGGCCTCATATATGGATGATTATTCGTCTGGGACTCTTCATCTGGTGGTTTACGTCACCTACTTCCGGTTGGTCTCGTTGGATTACCGTCGTTTCCATTGCAATTACGCTCTTCCTTGTTAATATGGGGCTCCTGAACCCCTTTGCTGACCAATTCTGGGTTCCTGTCCGTCGTCACCTGGAGAACTTGATTCCTCTTGCCGACGGTCATCAACGAGGTGCACAAGCGCACGGAAGAGGCGGAAATGGTGATGCCGGAGCGGATGCTGGACAGCAAGGGGAACTCCATCCTGCCGACACTGCGGCTAGGCTAGTGCAGCAGCGACGAGACGCCAATGCGAATTGGTTGATGGATCAGGTCAGAAGACTAGAGCGTGCCGGTATCCTATTCCTTGCTAGTATCGCACCAGGAGTAGCTGAGAGACACATCGCACAGGTGGAGGCAGAGGCACGAGCTGAACGTAGACGACGTGAGGCAGAGGCCGAGGCTGCTGCTGCTGCTGCTGCCGAACAGTCTGAAAGACAAGAAGGCTCGGCGGATGCGGGACAGAATGCCGAAAATGGTGACTCCGCTGCTGGCAACAATGAATCGGAGGGGAATGAGCGGGCCGCGGAGGGTGTGGGAGATGACGAACGACCACCTGCTGCGGAAGAACCATTAATTCGCGTGTGAACCACTGGAACTACGGCATGTTAAAGTTTTTGATGCCAAGCAGAAATGGACAGAGAAAGCCTACTTTTGAGTGCTGACTGACATCCCGTCAAGTGGCGGGACTGTCAATTTTTAAAATGCCAAGCACGAACTTTCAGCAATAAGCTTTCCGGTTTTGTTCCCATCCCTACGACACGCCAAAACTCCAGGGATCACGAAGGAAATGGTGTCAAACGAAGCCATGGCCGTATGGTTTACTGAAAAAAAGAAAAAATCACTTGTATCACAACAACCTACCTACGTTCTTGCTGGACCTTTGGTTGGTTTCTTGTACTACACCATGTTGGGCGGAGTTTTGCGTGCATAGGGAACGATTAGTTTAGCTGCGCGGAAAGAGGGAGGTTCCTCGCGGCTAGTGGACGTGGAAAAGACAGGCTGTGAGCCTGGCATCGCATCGCATGGTACGAGCAATCGTGCCGAATAAAATCATCCTAGGGAAATTTCTAGAGCTTTTTAATGTGCTTAGTAATCATGTGCTGAGTTCGAAAGGTGTAGATGGAAATGTAGCCATGTATGTACGTATGATAGCCTCGTCTTATGTTTGCTTGTACGCATATGTATGGTTCGTCGATTTGTATGAAGGAGTCGAGTAGAGATACCATTTGTATAATCCTGTAAATAAATCACGACCACTCAAAAGTGCGAATCTAAAAATGCAATTGTAATTCATAACACTACACTACCCTAACACTCATACTGTTCATTCATCGGTTCGAGCGTACGCGTTTCTCATCATCTTCCTCCCATTCAACCGCATTCGTCTATGTACAGCCCCTCCTTTAAGCTTTCAGGGTAAAATAGGGTAAAAAATCGAACCCCCTTACTCGTCCATGACGGCGGCGAACTTATCCAACATGTTCTGCTGGATGCTCTCGTACTATACTCTAGTTAGTAATATCCTTTTATACATTTCGCCTCAATGCGCTAGAAATGTATATAGGTAATATGAAAATGAACATACCTTCTTACTAATAACTTCCTCTCCTTCGCTTGGCACCTCAAACTTCAGCTGTCTGAGCTGAGCCTGGAGATCGCTCGTGGCCTCACGGACCTTGGCCCAGCTTTGACCTTGGGCGATGGCCTTCTGCGCCTCGTCGTGGAAGCCAACCATTAGCTTCATCATCCACTCCGTCTTCCAGATGGGGCAGAACTGGTCATAGTCGGAGTATCCGTTCTGCTGGAGGAAGTCTTCCTTCAGCAATGTCGCCATATCTAGCGTGATTTTGTCCGGATCCGACAGCGCGGACTTGCCAACCAACTGCACGACCTGATCTAGCTCTTCGGAGTCGGATAGGAGCTGCTTGATACGGTCACGCAGCCGCGGGAAATCGGGGTAGTCCTTCTCATACCATTTATCCAATGTATTTGTGTATTTGCTGTACGAAACAGACGTGTTGATGGAAGGGAAATGCTTCCGCTGCGCTAGCCTCTTGTCAAGACCCCAGAACACTTGCACAATACCTAGTGTGGAACTAGTGACGGGGTCCGAGAAGTCACCACCAGGGGGACTGACGGCACCCACGATACTGACACTACCCTCACGCTCGGGCGAGCCAAGACAGCTCGTCTTTCCCGCACGTTCGTAGAAACTGGCTAGTTTAGCACTGAGGTAGGCGGGGAAACCCTGGTCAGCAGGCATTTCACCGAGACGTCCGGAAATTTCACGCAGAGCTTCGGCCCATCGAGATGAGGAATCAGCCATCATGGCTACATCCATACCCTGATCACGGAAATACTCGGCGACAGTGATACCAGTATAGATTGAGGCCTCTCGAGCAGCGACAGGCATGTTGGAGGTATTGGCGATCAAAGTGGTTCGCTTCATAATGGGTTCCTTGCGGCCCTCGACATCGATGGACAGCTCGGGGAAATCCTTCAAGACTTCAGCCATCTCGTTTCCTCGCTCTCCGCACTACAACAAGCAGAGTCAGCAAATATTTCTTCGGGATATAGTCTTAAGAGTCTTAAGCAGATCTAGGAAGTCAAACCCCCTTTATCAACTCGACTAGGTAGTCTTTACTCTTAAGACAGGCTAAAAGGGGAGGAACGAGGAGTCTCATTGTTACATACACCCACGTAAACAATCACGTCACTGTTCGAGAACTTGGAAACTGATTGTGAAATGACAGTTTTTCCGCATCCAAAAGCACCAGGGATAGCCACGGTACCACCCTGGACACTAGGGAAGAGGGCGTCCAAGACTCGTTGACCGACAATGAAGGGGCTGCTAGCGGATAGCTTCTCGGTCGTCGGTCGAGGAACACGGACAGGCCAGGTCTGCATCATGCCATACTCGGTCTTGTTGCCGTTGAACTCGACCTCGAGGATCTTCTCATCGACGGTGTACTCGCCCTTTCCGGCGATCTTGGTGATAGTTCCTCTTGCTCGCGGGGGCAGCAGGATCTTGTGGACTTTGATGAACGAATTCTCGAAGACGGTTCCCCAAACATCGCCGCCAGAGATGTGATCGCCAACCTTGAGGGTAGGGGTGAACTCCCACTTCTTGGTTCGGTCGAGAGCAGGGGCCGCGATACCACGCGGGATATAGATGCTCTGAGACTGTTGGGAGATCTTCTCAAGAGGTCTTTGAATTCCATCGTAGATGTTGTGTAATAGACCAGGGCCGAGCTCGACGGAGAGAGGTTTCCCGGTACGTTGAACAGGGTCGCCCACGGTTATACCAGCTATACCTTAGTATTAGCTTCGTTTTCTCTTCTTCTTATTTCTTATTTTGATATTATGGGTACTAGAGCGACGACGTACCGGTCTCTTCGTAGACTTGAATGGTGGCTTGGTCACCGTTGATTCTAATGACTTCACCGACTAGGTTATCGTGGCCGACTCTCACAAGCTCGTACATGGCAACACCGATCATGTCTTCGGCCACCACGACGGGTCTATTTCCCATCACTTATTAGTTTATTGTCTTAAAGCTATAGGAGCAGGTATTGCGACGTTTACGAACCCGGATACGGAGTAAATCTTGCCTATACAGGATCATACTCGATTAGCATAAACAGATAGCAAGTTATATGATAGCACCAGTTACTTACCACTGTTGAGCCCATCTTTGTCGCCGTTCGTGGCTTTCGCTGACTATATTTACCAAACGTATTAGATATTATAGCTACAAACTAGCGAGACAAGACTAAAACAAGCTGGTTCTTTTGTTCCAAGTTTTACTGGAGATTAACGAATAGGCATTGTATGAAGCTTACTGGAGCCATTTTGGGAGTCGGTTTCGGGGTTACAGGCGGCTCCTCAGCTATAGAAATTGTCGGGACAGGTAATGCAAGCACAGGTAAAGGTGAGGCTCTAGGTTCGGAGCTCGATGTCGAAGTTGAGGGAGTGGTTATTGTAGTTGTAGTTGTGACGATTGTGGAGCTAATTGCAGGCGTTGCAGGTGTTCCAGGTGTGGCTGTATCGTTAGTAGCTGGTAACAGTAACGGGCTGGGGGGCAGTGGTTGATTAGAAGCTTCAGCTATCGACGCTGTGGCTTTAGCGGCTTTGTCAGTGCTACCAGCGGTGGTGTTATCAAGGAAACTGCTGCCAGGTGACGCAGACTGTGCAGGTGTACCCGGCCGACTTGAACTTGGACTCGAAACTGGACTTTGGCCGTGGTTTCCCCGTCGGATTAGGTCCACTAACGAAGGCCGGGCCCGCAGCGTCGGTCGCAGCCCGAGCATGCAGCAATAACGTGTAGTTGTATAGCGTAAACTGTATTTCTATAAGAAGTTATATTCGACTTAGTCGTCGACAACCAAGGAGCTAGGTCTAATATATTTCTAAAGAATCGCTTCGCTGTCAAGAAAGTAATCGCATACATATGTTGCATCCGGGAGATGATGTTGATTACGAGTAACTGATACGAAAGATTACCAAAGCGTCCCAGGTACTAATAACTAATAACGGTACAAGCACCAAGTACCAACCTCCCTTGAAATCCCCTCATTCCTGTAATAGCTCCGTTTCAGTATCCGCTTGGCTATTTCTTATCGTGGTATTACACAGTCAGATTCCATCATTGACTCTTTTCAATGTTCTCTCCATATCCTTTCTCATGTGTTTTTTTTTTATCTTCCGAACTCCAAATGGCGAGAGGGCCAATGGGACATTGTTTCCACATTAACTACAGACAGCTAGAAATATATTGGCTACCGAGAACTGCATAGGTGTATGTTTCATTGGGGAATAGCACTATATTCGCTATGACGTATAGCCTAGAAGTCGGTATATTATACCGATTGGTCTTTTCTATAGCCGCAGGGATGAATGTGTAATTCCCTAAAGAGAATTGGGGGACAATTTTACCTTGAACAGGAAGCTATATGGAGCTTCATAAACGTCACTAGGTAGTCTTAAAGTTATGTTACCTTTGCTAATAAGGATAAGTAGGTACTATGTAGGTAGTTATAAGGGTTCTATACTTACCTACCTAGTTATACTCTTCAACCTGTCGACTCAAGGGATAATCTCCGAATAGCTGGAGATAAGTAATATAGATGAAATCGATCCACGCGATTGCTATTCAGAAGAAAAATATACGAAGATATGTCGATTCTTATAATGAAGTATAATTATAGAATCTCTCTTTGAACTACTATCTCCTTAAAGATCCTCAGCGTGTCCGAATCGACGACTATATTTCCGAGCGTATCACGTATAACCGAACCTCCGCACTCCTCTTCAAGTACTATGTGGCCATTCATCATCTTACCGACGCCACCAAGCCTCAAGCCGGGAGATACGCAATTATCCTGCGCCCTCCCAGCCCTCATCTTGCATATCTCCATGCTTTTGCACTCTCCCCTGCAAATCCCCACTCCCCATCTCCGCGATCTCCTCTCGAAATACTCCTCAAATGCCGTCTCATTCTTTTCAAGAGCCTCAGTTACGTTGTGCCAAAACGCAGGTGTTAGTTCCTGTTCGCTTCCCAATCCTAATCCTTTCCCTATAAGCGGACTGTATGACTCTTTAGCTGAGTAGTACTTCGTCCACTTCGGTCCGGAGATCGAAAACTCGGGATCACTCATGTTGGCGATATATGTAGTAGCGTCAAGCACGGCGAAAGTGACCGGATCTACCTCGTATATGCGGAAAGCCGGGTGTCCTGACGTCGGCGTCATCGACGGAGCAATGTACGATGTGACCAGTGTGTTCGCATGTGACATGTTGTCATAATCCGCATACGAGAGCTGGAACTCGTCAAAGTGAGTGTGACCTATGGCTGTTATGAGTCTTATTCTTCATAATTTCCTCCTTTTCACAAACCAAGTATTAAGAAAGAAAAGGGGGTCGCCTTACCGAAGAACATAGCCGCAATAACACCCTCATACCGCCTAACAATTTGATCAAAGTAATTCGACGCATCGTGAAATGCATCCCTATTCCCCATCGGCATATGTCCCACAACATACACCCTCTCGCCCGCCCTCTCCGCCTTATCCAGCTCACGAACAAGCCACTCCAATTGCCCACTCGGATCCCTCTCCATAGGATCCTTGTATAACCAGTAGTTCTGGTCATAATACAAATTCGTGTTCACCGAAATAACCCTTAACCCACCCACCCTACCGTCTTCGTCTTCCCGGCTAGCATGTCTAACAGAATACGCCCCAAAAGCCCTCGTCGTATGCGCGCCCCGAGTCCCAACCCACCTTCCCCAAACCTCCGCTAGCAACTCGTAGACCCAACTCGTGCCAATCTCAACCTTACCATTCTCGCCCACAGGCGGAAATGCGTTCGCAGGCGAAACTTCGTGATTTCCTGCCGTCGCATACACACGCAACCCGGCGTTCTCCATACGAGCATACGTATCTTTAATGACGCGCGAGTTGTACGCTTTCGAGGTACTCCAGATGGCGTGGTCGACGATGTCGCCCGTGAAGATGCCGAAGGCGGCATCGGGCGCAATGGCGTTAATCGCCGCGTACATGCTCTCCTCCAGAGTGGCGGGGGCATCGCAGGTGTGCTCGCCGAAGGGGTCGGCTGGTTTGAAGTTGGGGTTGCTGTCACTGGAGGTGTTTTCTCTGGGAAATGTTAGGTAGGTACGTAGATATCAAATAAGGAGTTATCGTAAAATGTCGTAAAATGAATGGACGAAAAGGGGTATGATAGACTTAATATTACCTCCCCATTTCCTATAGCAAAAATACCAAGAACACATACACGCAAACTCAAACTCAGGGGTCACCTCACCTACAACAAATCGGCTTTGAGCAATTCGCATCGGCGCCGGCGACATACAGCGGGTCGACATGGACATCCGAGAAATGTACAACTTGCAACGGCTTCAAGCTGCTAGGAGCGGGTCGTGTAGTCTTCGGCTTCGGCGACGGGAATGAGACATCATACGGTTCGACCTCGGGATACGAGCACAGTCCCATGAGCCCAATACAAGCCAACCGCGACGTCTTTGACCCTATTCTCATCCCGCGCAAAGCGTGGGCGATGACCGGTCCTTCTAGGGCTACGGCGCCTTCACATACATCGTTGTCTTCGATCTGGGTAAAATTAGCCTCCTATAAGTGATATGCATGGAAGCCCTGGAAAGGGGGGAGACCCATACGCCGAACCGTTTACAAAGCTCCGTCGTGACACCCACGAAAAAAGCATCACCTCTCAACGCCGCAAGTTTAAGTTGAAGTAGGACTACCTTTTAAAAAGTTAATACCTATGCAAAACCACACTTAATATGGACTCTCACCTCGCAAACCGCACACGAAACCTGACTCCGCGCATCTTCCCTAATACTAGTAATAACACCGTTTAGATCCAGATCGCCGAGTATGCCTCCTCCGATATCAGGGGTCAACACCTGCTGAGACCCACCGCCAGGATCAAAGAAACCAGCAACGGTCCCCCGGGCGGCTAAAGCCGCGATAATGAGCGAAGGTATCCGCATCTCGACGTCTCGGGCCTATTTTGCCCAAGCTGCAGTAGCTTGCAAAAAGTCGTATCATATACGGGATTCCTGATTTTTGGTTCGAGAAATACCTACCTACTCAAATATTCATGTTTTCGTGAGAGGTTATACAAAAGACAGAACAACTCATTTGCAGACACGAATCAAGTTTAGGTACTTTCGATATCCGTGGATAACCGTAACTACAGGTAACAGTTAAACAACCACCAAGTGTATGAATGTATTTACCCAGGTAACAGTCAGGCAAGAAGCTTATCTCCGTATTCTTTGTCTAGCTCTCCTAGTCAACCCTAGTAAATCTATTGCGTACTCGAACCGGGCACAGTCCAATCGGAATCGAGCTGGCGGGCACATCAGACGGGTAGCGGATCTGAAGCAGCCCCTCGCCGGTCACCGGATCTCTGTTAGTCTATAATAATAACATAGTCAGACACATGGTCAGAACAGTTCATGCGGCAACGTGGGTATGACATCAATAATGATGACGGAATCCTTTCTTATCCCATCGCAATGGAATATGCAGGGTCCCACTAGCATTAGAACATCTGCGCTGTAACATGTTCTAACCCGATGGATCATGGGAAGCCGGGCTTCTGAGTTTAAGTTGAGTTTCTACCTAGGTAATCCTGCGTCCCTTTCCAAGAGGGTATCACCAAACTTCAGCCTCATAGTTTACAGCGAAACAGCTCTTTAACTTCATATCGACAACTCTCTAGTCGATGCAAACCATCAACAACACGTAGCAGAAGCGTATCCAAGAATAAATGTCTTAAAACACTTCCAAATATCATTAGATGCATGAACGCCTATCTTTTCATGCAACCCAATTAGACCCGCCATCCGTTCTGTGGTACCAGGTGGTCAAGCAATTTCCTGCTCGTTTTCCCTTTGCCTCATACGTAGCGAGGTGAGGCAAGCCTTCATGTGCCTGCCCAACCTATTATGCCCCTTCTGTTACCCGCCACCAAGAACGCCGAGGGGAATCTGGATAGTATGACACAAAAAGGGGGTGCGAATTTTTCAAAGCCAAATAGCCAACTGAAACCTCGACATGCTGCCAATGCCAACCGATTATTCTAATATGCTGTGATATTTTCGCGCGAGGAAAAGCATCATGCCGCCCTGTCGTAATAATTCCGTACTCGTAGACTGATTACGTTTGGTCTCGCCCCGTAGTATCATGGCCTGCCAATATCCTACACAGTTCTTTCCTTATTAAAACCCTCTCACTCCTTAGATAGTAAAGGTTTCAGCACCTCAAGTGCCTTCATAGACTGTTCGCATGATAGAATAACTGCGCCAGCTTGTGCCGTCGAAAGGTATGAAAGCTCGCTGCTGACGCCTGTATCATCCATTCCCATTTCTTGGATAAGCTTTCCCGCGACCCCAGAAACGATGCCGGTAGCCTCAAGAGGGAGATTCACAAGATCAAGGAAAATAGGGACAAGATCGCCTTCCGTATCGCCCACGAGAGAGTCGCCAAAAACACCAAGATATTCTCTATCCAATAATAACGACGGCGGGTCTTCTTGAGCTAGGGTAATCGAAAGAAACCTAGGTTGCTTGGCCAGTACAGAAATGAGACTGGTATATAACTTCGTATCGACATTGTCGAGCCAACTCCTCCGATGCCCATTGCCGCTCATGTGTCTACTCAGAGATGGCCGCCGACTGTAATCGACCATTTGCGAGGGATCCCTTCCGGAACATTGCACTAGGCGGAGATAAGGACTAATATATGGGACAACATTTCGTTTCTTTAATAATTCGAACGTTCGTACTTGTAATTCCGCTACATTAGATGGTGGTGGCGTTGATGGAGGATCGCTGCTTTGACTCCTCCCACGAACGTGAGACATCGCACTTGGCGATACGTACGCTGACTCATCCTGGTCAAACTCGAAATTTCGGGCGAGCAGCACTTGAACAACAGTCTGTCGATCCTTGCTAGGTACCAAGATGAAATCCGAGTAGTAGGTTGTTATGAAGAAGATTGGTACACCTGCTAGTGCGAGAGGACAAGTCAAGTCCATAACTCGACTTCCCGCATCCATTCCAGCACTTATAACCGAAAGGATAAGATAAGTATCCTTTGAGATTGTGACAGTCTTCGAGAGGTTTGGGGGAAGACGCTTAATGACCGGTTCGAAGACATTCTTGGCCCAATTACTATGACACACTATCGAACACTCGACAGGCGTTATGCTTATGTTGAGGAACCCATGTTTATTGTCAATGCTGAGGCCTTCAACCTCGGGCGCGAGAGAATCATCATCCCCGCCTTGAGGTAAAAGGACCTGTAGTATAGGCTGAAGAAAGTTCGGATATAATTGTAAGGGAATATGTATTAGGCGGAAAGTCCCATCCTAGAGTGATACGAGTCAGTATACCAACTAAACTTTCGCGACTCGTTTGTCGCCTGCATTGACAAGGTTATACCAGAATATGAGCGGATAGTCTTGGTGGGTTTGTGTTACGCATCGATCTATCCTTCGTGACTCGACTTCAAAAGACAATTGCAACGGTGATGGTCACTTTTATGTCGCGGGAGAGGGCTGAGTGTAATAAATTCCAAGTTCGAAGTAAGGGAAGCTTACAAGAAATGATATCTGGGCATTCATTATGACAATGTGAGTGAGTATGTCGTATCTGTGACGCCGTAGATCACGACTTAAAGGCCAAAGCTTTCGACCCCGAAGATCGGGGACGAAGGGACCCCTAAAACGCACGGACGGAGTAACGGAGACCCGGGTAGAGCTGTGATTGGCGAAATCACCTCTCTTCCTGGCTTGAATTCCGGGGTTCTCTTGGCTTAGGTCCCAACAAAGTACTTTATGGTATAATAGGACGAGAACAGATGAAGGATGTAAAGAAAGGAAGAGGGGGGGAATATAAATAAAGAAACAATATTCAATAGATAGACTTCAACCCTAAGGTGGAGGCAAAAGATAAAGAGGGAAAAATTGGCTTGTTTCGAGAGATAGGCGCCGCGATAGGGCTGCTAGTCGAGAGGCACACTGTGGACACCAGCACTAAACCTCGTAGCGGACTAGCTCCTAAGCTGTCTTGTTGGTTGACAGATGGGTAGAAACCCTCGAGAGGACCTCTTTTTTTTTAACGCTTCAACTTCAGTTCGGTCGTCTGGATAGTCTAGATAGCGTGACATGGCACCATTGGTACCATTGGAGAACCCTTGATGGCAGAATCCCACAGGGATCGACGCCCGTCGCGGCCTCCGGGACCAGGGCGAATGGAGGAACACGACTATATTGCGCCGTAGTCGCTTTGTCTATCGCCGCGGATGCAAGTGGATGCAGCTGCAAACAACCCGAGGTAGATCGCTGTAGGTAAGGGGTTTTTCTGGGGACGTTACCCTCGACGACACAAGAACGTCGGGAGGGGCTGGGTTATCATGTAGCAGACCGACGTCGACCGGTGAGATGAATGGCAAAGGGGGCACCAAACCTTATTTATGTATTTTGTTGGACGGACTGTATGGTCTGGATGGCGTAGTCTCCTACAATTTAGCTTCGTGAACCTACCTACCTAGGTAGCTAATGTTCCTGGGCACGAACTAACATCCTACATAGTATATGCGCGTATGCACGCCATCCTGCCCTCCATTTGCCCTAAAAGGGAAACCCGCTAGCTGCAGAGGGGTGCAGATGGGTGCAGAAGGGACCGAGCAACATACCTAGGTAATGCAGCCACCTCTCGACATATCATCTACATACTGCGCCATACCGCATCAGCTTCTCGGGCGCGTGGTCGACGTCGGGGGGGTAACAAGCTAGGTGAATTTGGGAGATTCCTGCAGGGCTATTCTTTATAACGGTGCAACTTTGCAACTTTGTAACGCTGGCTAGCGTGGGGGGATCTTTGGAGTTTTTGGGTCTTGGATTACCGGGAGATGTATTCTTGCTTGGATTAACTGCAAGGAGTTTCGACCCTTCTGCACGATGATGTCTGTCTTAGAGGGGCGTTCGCCTCGCTTCCCGTTCACCCAGGTATACCTGGTATACCTAGGTAAGTACTTGTGGAGTTGAAGCAAGACATTTTCTACAGACTAAGTTAGCTGATGACTCGTAACACAACATATGTGATCGACCTGGTAGGTAGGCAGGTAGACGACGATATATGCTATGCAGGTGAGTGCATTATCTGAAGTGCGACTCTAGATAGGATAGAGGACAGATAGTGAGTCGTAGGATATATGTAATAATGCTTGGCCGTACGAGCGTTACCACCATAGTAAGGGGGCGGTCCATTGGTACCTGAGCTCGGGGAGATTCACCATCGATGCATGTGTTGTCGGTGCAGCCGCCCGTTCTCTGGACGAGATGCTGGGGATAAGGTAACTCTTGGGAAACCCCTTGCTGCCCCGCATTTTCCTATCTCGAGCTGCTGCCGAGAGTTTCATTTGATCTTTGACTTGCTTGTCACCTTAGCCGTTGCCGTGTCCACTACATATGTACACACATGTATACATGGTTACCTACATGTAACATGGTAACGCCATTTGTCTAAGGTTGGCGTAACGAGGTAGGTGATGGATGATATTTGGTATAATTTGTGATTGATCACCTCAATCACGATAACTTGCGTGATGTGATGTCGAAAATTCGACTACACATGCCGTCTTTGAATAGGTGCCTCACTTTTCGATCGTAGATTGATCTTTCAATTAGCATCGCTCCCGTCCCCCCTTCGACCTGAGACTGGTTCGATCCGAGTCTGGGGTTCTCGATTCAGAGCCGAGTGTAACCATGCCTCCCTACAATTTCGACCCATGATATTAGTCTGAAATGCGAAAACCCCACGAAGTTATTCTTCATCCCACTATACCCACTCATATTCCTACCGTTGTCGTGCCATACGGAATCAATCGCGAAATATCGTGCCTACAATTGCGCCAGTCAATCGTCAGAGCCAGAATCTGATTATTTTCGGGTCACGGGGATTTTCGTTTTTGAGGCTGGCAACCCAAATAGAAGTTATTTGGCTTGACAGGATGCCAGCCACCGGTGTCGTCATGAATGATGAAAGCTAGACCCCATTGAATTCCCTACAGATCATCCTTCAGGCGCCACCAATTATCTTGGCTTGAGAAGTTCCTTTTTGGGACAATCATCTATCTCCTTGGCGAGGAATTAAAATCTACCATTTCTAGCCGACGATGAGAGCTACCTTGAAGATGTAGCGTTCGGTATAATTAATTGCATAGAAACATCTTCAGGTAAGCGTGGGGTTATATGTAGCATTAGGCCGTCATCGAGAGCCGGGATCTCCAATAGTAAGCATGTGTTCGGCTTGCTATTGAAAGCTTTAGCTGAGTTGGGGCTACCTAGATCCTCCTTCGTGTGAAGCACGACGAGAGCTCGATTAGGGCTTCTCGGTCGGATGCATTCGTTCAATGTTGCTTCGCACTGAGACAAACTTCCACCTTCTTCGACCGGTTTGACTGATCGATGCAGATCTGAAGATAGGCAACTTTGCCGCGGCCCACTATGCAGGTTCATGCATGACATAGGCTCTATTCCGTAACGAACACCCAATTATCGTCCCGGATCGCCAGGTTACCGCGGAAGGCGACCTCTGAACTACCCAGAAAACAAACCTTGCGGGGCCGACAGGAGGCAACTGGTTCAGTTGGCGCGGGATCTGCAAGACCCCGGATTCTGACGACGGTTGAATTCATTTGGATTGTCCTCATTCAGTGTTGTGTTGTCGCGGCTCGGTGAAGACCGACGCCACAGCATCAGTACCTGATCGGCTCAAGAGATCGGGCGTTTGACTCCAACCACAACCAGGTTCCGAGGGCTTTCGCGATAATCGAATACTGCCTCTACCCAGCTATCTTGTACTAGGTCGGAATGCTGCTGGAGAAACAGCCACCTGTCGGTCACGATTAAGGATTCGGTAACCACAGCACTAAAAGCCATGAGGCTCCAGATGGCGCTGAGTTCCCGTTTGCGTGGTCCATACAACTCCTCATATCTCGCAATTTCTTCATCTGTGACGTCAACCATTTTCTCTCTAATTATGTCACAATATTCGTGATACTCCGAATTTGTAGTTAGCTTATTAATTGCCCCTCTCACGTATGACCCGAATGTCTTATAACACGACTTCCGGAGTGAGCCGATGATGACGGGGTTGGTACTCATGTTGAACGGACTCTGGGACGGGTTACCATTTTCCTCGAGTTCGCTGTTATGGTAAACCTTAGTGATGACCCCTCGGTCAAGAAACATCTTTTGTAGAACGGCGCGGTAGAAGTGTCGTGTGAAAAAGGCATCACTCTCAGTCTCGGACCAGTTTTGCGGTGCCTGACATGCCATCATCCGAGCCGTAATATTAAGCCGGACTCCAGCATCGTTGTAGTTGCAGAGGCGATCACTCATCGGGAACCCTTGCGGGTCACGTTTCTCGGACTCCCTGACCACCCGACCGTTGAGAGCTTGGAGACTTGGTCTCATATATGGAGTTTTGTACGTAGGTGGCCCTAACTTTTCCGTCATCAGGTTGTAGCAGCAACCGACGATAGCAATAGCTTGGACTCGTGGATTGAGAATCAGAGACCGTATACCATGGTGCGACAAATTGCCACAGGAATGGATAGATATAGCCATTAGACTAGGGTCGCCTCGTCCGGTTTCCGCGGCAAGAGGGTCATGTTCAAGTTGGCTGATGACATCTGTCAAGTCTCCTGATTCTAGTCTTCCCTCAATATATCGTATGAAGCCTTTCCCCTCCTCAGGCATGTAGACCGTTCCAACCTCACTTCGTGGTCTAAAATCAGGTACGTACTCGCCTAAATTTGTGGCGGGATCAGCCTTCTCGTCTAATTGGTCTTCGGTGCTCGTGCCGTCAAGCTTCTGCATCCACAATTTCTTATTCCGAATAACCTTTCGCTTCTCGGAGATACCTGCGAGCATATCAAGCTCTTTTGCACCCACTATATTGCGTTCCCGACCTTCTACTGCTATAATCTGCCTGTTATAAGGAGAGCTTGCTAACGCTCTTCCTAGATAATTCTGGCCGCTTCCGAAATCAACAAAATGAGTGATATCCTTTTTATACTCGACGGAAATATCCTTGGCGAGTGTGTCCACGTAATTTGCGAAGTTTCTTACTTCGTGAACTTTCTTTGGCTTCATGCCAACGGACACCATACGTGTTAGCTTAGGAAGCTTCTCTTTGCTTGAGAACTCCCGCGCCAACGAAAGCCTTCGTATATCCTTAATATACTTAACTAGACTGTCAGGTAGTTGAGGATCTTGGATTTCGTCTAAGTTGTCTCTCATAAGGAGATCTAGAAACTCCATGGGCTTGCATTGCAGGATATATGGCTGCCAATCTTGTGGTAAAATTGTTTGGAAAAGTCCTGGCTCGTTTGTGAAGAAGTCTAAGATGTGTACGCCTCCACAGAATACCTGAAAAGTGTTTGATGTAGTTGCAAATTTCAGGAGTTGTTCGACATAAGCTTCAGTGCTATCCCAACAATCTGGGTACGGCAAAGCCTTGATTGGCCTCATATTCGACACCTGGTAATTCTATGAATATGTGCGTATAAAGAATGAAAATGAATTTAGAAATAGGCAGGAAATTGGAAATATGAAAAGATTTAAGTATCTACTAATATAGGATGAGCAGATAAATATTATAATATAGGTACCTATACTTTGGTCATTGGTAGCTGTTTCCAGATTCTATTCACATCTAAACTATAAAAAGTTTATTCCAGGGGGGCCGTTTCCTAAAGCTCGGACGGTAGTAGTCCGGCCGCAGCCGAAATTCTCCCGTCGATCCAAAAATGTACAACCACGTCATTCGTCTAAGCCGCGCGTTTGCTTGTAAACCTCCTTACACAATATTAACATCTACGTATCGCACTAATTCGAAACCATTATAACCTCGACGAAGTGCAGATGTAGCCATAGATGCACAGGCGCATCTTGAAGCCTCCAGGATGATGTCCTCAACTAACGAAGAGGACCCCTTTCTCCAAGTCCAGCAGTACGCGAGCTCCATCCCCATCCCCCATCTCCCTTTCACCACAGCACCGCTAACCCAGCTTCCGAACTATCCAGAGATGTCCTCACGCAAATGCAAACAGTGCGACCGCTCTTCGCCTCATACCTGCGGATCCGAAGCTTAACCCACAGCTCCTCGTCGCCGGAGCTCGCGTCGGCGCGCGGAGACCTCGAACACGCGCTCGAGGCACTGGCCGAGGATCTCGCGGATCTCGTCGAATCGGTGCAGGCAGCGGAATCCGACCCGGCGCTATACGGGCTATCCGCGCATGAAGTGACGCGACGCAAGAGGCTGGTGCAGGAGGTCGGGGGCGAAGTCGAGGACATGCGCGAGGAGCTGAGCAAGACGGCCTCCGCGATACCAGGTGGGAAGGGGTCTGCGGCGGCTCGCGCGGCCAAAGCAGCTGCGGAGGGGGACCTACCACCACCGAGCGCGTTTGCGATTGACGACGGAGCGACGGGAGATGGGGATGATAATTACACGGAGTTTGAGCACCGGCAGCAGTTGCAGATGATGCAGGACCAGGACCAGCAGTTAGACGGGGTATTTGTGACGGTGGGGAATCTAAGACGGCAGGCCGATGATATGGGACGTGAGCTTGAGGAGCAGGTCGAGATGCTGGAACACGTGGATACTCTGGCGGATCGTGTTGGTGGGCGTTTACAGACCGGCATGCAAAAGCTAGGCTACGTTATGCGGAAGAACGAGGATCGGTGGAGCGGCTGCTGTATCGCGTTGCTCATCGCGGTTTTGATTATACTATTGGTTTTACTATTGATACTATAGGCGTTTTGGTACAGGGCACCAACAAGGCAAGGTTCACTGGCGAGGTCGACTGCAATTTTGTACAGATCCAGAAATACAGCGTCAGTAGTAAAGCGATATTATGCTTATTGACCATCTCGGCTAGGGTATATTCAAAGACGCCAGAAGACGCAGTACCTATCTGAACCGTTCTAGACTCCGTCTAATGCTATTTCGCTTTACGCATTAGTATCCCCCAACGCCGTAGAAAAGTCGGGCAAATGCCTTCTATACAAAGACCCAGGCTGTCCATATCCGAGTGCTAAGAGCTTAGAGCTCCAATCCAATGTCCCTCTTCAAGATTTGTGCCAGTACTTCTAATCCCGAAGCTCCTGGAGTCTTGTTTACCGCTTTGTTCGGGAACTCGACCAAGGCTTTCCTCAATGCAGCTATACCTGCATTCCCGTAGAATTGAATGAACTTCTCCTCACTAGCTTCAATCATCGCTCTCAGAACCACAAACTGCGTCTCAGAGATATCGGCCGGTGGCGTGTTTACTATCCTCGCCATAGCAGTCCAATAATTCGTAGGAGGCCACGGATTGCTGCTCTTTGTTTTTCCGAAGTTCCTCAGCGCAATCGCAGCATACCCTGCTCCCAGACCTTTCATCCGATCGCTGTGTTGCTGCTCAGGGATATATCCAGCCGGCGACTTCTTCCAACCTAGGCGGAGGCGACCCTGTTCCGTCTTTTCGTTCCCATAATAACCGAATAAGACAGGACAGACCACGCGGAACTTTGCCATTAATATATCGATTAGTGTCTTCCCACGCCACAAGTAGACATCCTTCGAGAAGATGATCGCTACCGTGACTCCGATAGGATCAGCCGTTGTGGGCTGTGCACCACATTCGTTGATGAATTGGTTAATGACGGCCTTGGAGAAGTGGTTGAGTAGATAGAGGAATAAGGAAGGGAGCTGCGGTTCGTTATGTAAGGCACCTTGTACTGGTTCTCTCTTATCTGTAATGTAATCGGACGGGTCGACCAGTTGGCTCGGCACGGCACCACTGATAGCTTCGTTTAGGAGAGCTTGAATAGCTTCATTCTATTTCATAGTTAGTTAAATTGTCTTCTTCTGAGAAATCATAGGGGAGACAAACCTGTTTCCTATTTCCACTCTTCGTACTAACTAACTGACCCATATTCTTCCTCAATTCTCGCCGCATATCTCCCATCCGTTGTTTTAGAGCAGGATTTGACTTCGACTGTTGTAATAGTGACTCTCGTAACCTCTTCAGATTCTGGTGTATTTCGATGTACCGATCCTTGGTAACACCGACAGAGGGTTTGGCGGGGGCAGCAGCGGGAAAGCCATTTTGTTGAGTAGGTGTAGGCTTAACCGGTTGCGAAAATGGTGATGGTATGCTTGAAGGCTGTACTTGTGCTTGAGGTGTGATGTTTGGTTGGCTTAATGGCTGCGATAGCATTGATTGTATTGTTGGCTGCGTGGGTTTTGTGCCGCTCGTGCCATTGGCATGCCCATTCAGCCCATTTGTCAAGGCTGGCTGCGGAAGGCCGAATTGGGGCGTCTTCGAAGTTGATGTTTGTTCTAATTTTGCTCCCACCAGGGTAGGTTGGGTTGGGTTCTGGGAAGTAGCCGATCCGTTAACTTCTGTAACGGGGGCCGGAGGCTCGGGCGGTAGTTTCGGGACTGTCTTCAGCTTCAGCTCTCTCAATCGTATCTCCTCAGCTCTTAGTCGTTCTTCGGTCCGAATTCGTTCTTCCTCCTGTTTTTGCTGCTGCAATATCCTTTCTTGCTGTTCTAACAACCTTCGCCGCTCTTGTTGCGACTCATAGTCCTGGTATACCCTGATAGCAGCCTCGCGTACGCGGTCGTGTTCAGCTTGTGCCGCAGCAAGAGCATCTTGGTGGCTTAGAGGTGAATTGCGACTTTCGGTGAGGAGGCTGGAAATACTGCGGCGATCAGGACTTGACCATTGACGCGATCTCCGAGGTGCAGGAGAAGAACCAGACATTGTATTTAGTAGGTCTATACAACTACTGCATTGTGAACCGTGTATATCGTGCGGGTTTTGATATGAAAGAATAACGAAGGCGTTGCGTGAAGAATTAGCAGGGCTACCTCGAATATCGCCCAATTTGCGAGGCTACCTATGTAGTAAGAGAGGGTAAATGAGCGTGTCTCTTTGTGAAGACGATAATAGAAGACCTTCGTATATCTACCAAGTTTAAGAACGAAGTCGAGGTAATGATCAAGGGCGTGGTGCGTGAATGGATAATGAATCAAATCAATTCAAGCTATCGATAGGAAGCTGGGAAAAGGGACCTGCACCTGCCGGGTCACTGCGTCTGGAAAAAAAGATTGGCCGAGATAGCTTTGCTTTAGTGGACCGTTACCATTGCGGCGGAGCAATGATTGTGGCGTTCGAATTCCTAAAAGGTTCAATGTTAGTGGCTGCAGTGGCTAGTGGCGTTGTAATAGTGAACCTTTGAAGATGGATGTTGATGTTGCTTCACAAGTTGAGAATACAGATAATTAATATCCAATTGTCCCTGATGTATGTATTAAGGGCATGTTTGTTAGGTATCTTTACATTAGTTATTTATAAGCCTATAAAATAATAAGCGAATTATACATCATATTTGACAACGTAATTCAATGTCAATGTAAGTAGATATTCATATTGAGTTATTCGGCTGTCTCTTGTGCTTGTTGCCGCTTGAGTGTTTCTTCATATTTCTGACATACCGGAATCTGTTGATGTTTGGTGTTCATGACGGTGAGGAAAAGGTGATCTCTTGTTGGATCTTCCTTCGGATTTTTTCTCCGTCCATATTTTGCGTAGCTAACTCTTAGGTATCCACACTAGACGTCCCAACATTCCAAGTTCCCTTCGGCCTTTGCGGCGTCATATTTAGTGCCTACATATGCTTAGGTAGATAGGCAATCCTAGCTGGCAGTGAACGGGATAGCATGAGATCTTGTGGAGTTTCAATGTCATCCCGTCGTCAGACTTGTGTTTGTGAAGATTTTAGTATACTAATAAGTGGAGGTTGTCTATTCTTTAGATTTATGGCAATATGCATCCAATTAATTTAAGTTGTCATGTGTTCGGGGTGTCCCTGTTATCAGTTCTATCAGAGCCAACTTATAAATAACCTTGAAAATATGTACTGATATTTCTGATATCACAAGATCAAAAACAATATCGACGACATGTTTAATACGAAATAAATCTTTTTTGAAATAATTCTCGACTAGTTGAACGTGCGAAGCTTGTCGTGGCTCCTCCGCAAACCCTAACTTTTCTTCTTTGGCTTACTATAGGTGTCGTACATCCACTCCGAAGGGTGAACGCAATCGGAATAAGTGGAAAGATATCAACTTCCTGAAGGGAGTCCGATAATCATTAGTTACTTAATTCGTGGTTGGAGGAAGGCTCCGGGCAAGGACACTGCCGCTCCCGATACAACATCGTACGTACTATCTTTATTTATGGCAATTCGTTTCGAACAAACTCGTTTGCTGTTACCCTCTTTATAGCCTCATGCATTGGAACTAAGGCAACTACCACTGAGATTTGTCTGTTTCATTATTAGCTGAAATATCGAATTAGTGGTTGGCAGGTACTGTCTTCCATCAACCACATGCGCTCAAAAACATTGAAGTTCAATATTCATTGGAAACTACTATGTATTAAAGGCCACCTATTGACTTGTTTTATGTAATCCATACAATTTTGTGCAGGTACCTATGTACATACTAGGTACTGCACGAAAGTCTGGTACCCGTATTCTGACATTCGTCAGAGATCTTACTGAAGTATATTCGTATACGGAAATGTATAGCGTGGTACCTGTATGTGTACGCAGACATATTCGCAGCCCGGCAACCGTAAAACATTGCGTCGTAAGAAACATACCTTCCCAGTACCAATGCACCTAGCTTAGAGCTCGAGCACGGGCAGCTTGGGTTACAACCTTCAATCGTGCTAGTGCTACCTAACGTGCTAAACCTGCTGAAAGTCTAGCACTATCCTAGAAACACGACAGGGGCGTGCCTACCGTCCTCGCACCTCTTACCACATTATGAAGATTTTGGCCAATCAGATAGACCCCAGCCTAGTCTAAAGCCTGACCCACCTGGGCCCCGCCAAGCCCTTTGCCCCATATTGCCCGTCCTCGCTTTGGATGTACCTTTGGGTCCTGACCTCACAATCCTCTTCCCCGTACCCGTTATCCAGGCAGTCCACACTGCACACAGTCTAAGGTGGCCATTGAAAGTGATCTTCCCAAGAAAGCCCAGTGCCTCCAAAGCTTCCCAGACTTCCATCTCCATCACCACAACCCTCTTCGTCTTGTCTCTCCTCTCCCTTATCTTTCCCATTTCCCATCACATCATTCACCCTCTCTCAGCACTTTTTCACACATTCCTTCTCTTGGGATTCACACATACACAGCAAGCATCGCAGCCTCGTTCAATCCTCTCATTTACCCTCCTTTTGTTAGTCGCAAAAGTCCACGCAATCATCATACCAAAAAAAAACCAACTACCAAGTTTTTGTCAACCCACAAGCATCACAAGCATCACCAGCATCCAAAAAGCATCTCAAAGCTTCTATCAACAGCACTGGCCATCGCCTAAAGGATCCGTCCAATTCACCCAATTCATCCATCATCTTGTCAACCAATTTTGGCTTTGTTCGCACACGACGTGCCACTCAACTGCTAAACCGTAGCCCGATATGGAGCAACAACCACCAGCTCCTCAAACGGGGGGCGTTCCCGGACCTACGGGTCGTCGCCTTCATATCGCCCATCGTAGGAGTCCGTCTGAGCTTACCCCGCTGATGAGCATGTTCGCAACCCCTGGAAGTAAGTTGGAATGCCCTTATCACCAAGCTTCCTTTATTGTTGTCGTCTGTTACCGGATTTCCTATTTTGCTCTTCTTGAAGCTAACCACCTTTGCTTTGTCTTTAGTGGAGCAACTTGCTATTCAGCAGCAGATCGAGTTGTTGCAGCAGCAGCAGCAGCAAATTCAAGCCACACATCAGTACATGAATATGGGAATGATGCCACCGGGTCAGTTAGGTCCTGGCGGGTCTTTCAACCCCCTACAGCCAACTATGGCCAATATGTCACCACAGACGGCTTTCCAATTCCCCAACCAGCTTCCACAGCAGCAAAATGTTCCCATGGGACCGCCGAGTCAGCCCATGTCACACCGTCGTAACCAATCGGCCCTCCCTAATATGGGAATGGGACCACCCCCGGCTCCTTCAACTGGAGCCTCCGGGTCCGCCTTTGGGCAATTTGATAACTCGTCTGGTCAGCAGAATCGGGAGAACGCCCCTCGTGGAGGGCGAGGTGGCGGCTCCGGTCACCAGAGAAGACATTCTTTAGCCCTGGCTGATGCCAAAAAGGCAGCTGAGATTGCTCAGCAGAAACGGACAACTTCGGGTTTCCAGTTCCCGGCTGCGGGACCCTCCGAGAGTTCCCCTCCCGAAGAGCCCAAATCTGTCTCTGCGGATACCCCTATAGCCCAGGGCACATCCGTTCGTGGCGGACGCGGCGCGCATGGACGAAGCCAGAGCATGGCAATCGGCCGAGGAGGCGCTCGTGGTGGGGCAATGCATCTCAACACTAACGACTCCGGTGACTTCGGTCGCCGTGGCAGTGCCGCAGGCGGCCATGCTCGATCTTCCTCTCGCAATTTCGAAGGCAATTGGCGCAATCAACAGGGCCAGAGCCAGGGTCAGGACCAGACTGGTCAAGGTCAACAGGGGTTCCAGCCTGGTCATCGCAACCGTGGCTCGGTTAGCCAGCAGTCTATTTCGAATATCGGAGCCTTCCAATATCCTAACCAGGCTCAACTTATGCAATTTAATGGCCAAATGCCAATAATGCAGATGTACCCTGGTCAGCAATTAAATCCTATGCAACTAAACCAGCTGCAAGCCCTTCAGGCTGCACAGATGAATGGTCAGCATCTCGTTGGTCTTCAAGGAAGCCAGCATGCGCCACAGCTCGGCGGTCAACAATCGCAACAGCAGCAGAGGAAAACACTGTTTACTCCGTATCTTCCCCAGGCTACCTTACCTGCGCTGCTTGGCGACGGGCAGCTTGTATCTGGTATTCTCCGAGTAAATAAAAAGAATCGTAGCGATGCGTACGTAGCTACTTCGGATGGTCTTTTAGACGCAGATATCTTTATTTGCGGTAGCAAGGATCGTAACCGAGCATTAGAGGGCGATCTAGTTGCAGTTGAGCTCCTTGACGTAGATGAGGTTTGGTCACAAAAGCGTGAGAAGGAAGAGAAGAAAAAGAGGAAGGACATCACCGATACACGATCCGGATCTACCAATGGTAATGCCCAGTCTCACAATGGTAATGGGGAAGAGGCAACCAACGGCGAAGGAGGAATCCGTAGACGTGGTAGTCTCCGACAGAGACCTACGCAGAAGAAGAATGATGACGTTGAAGTGGAGGGACAAAGCCTGCTCCTCGTCGAGGAAGAGGAGATCAACGACGAGTCGAAGCCTCTCTATGCCGGCCACATCGTGGCTGTTATTGAACGTGTTGCGGGACAGATGTTTTCGGGCACGCTTGGCTTATTGCGCCCTAGCAGCCAGGCAACCAAGGAGAAGCAGGAAGCAGAACGGGCAGCCCGCGATGGCGGTCGATCTCACGACAGCCGTCAGCAGGATAAGCCCAAGATTGTCTGGTTTAAACCTACCGATAAGCGTGTCCCTCTCATTGCCATTCCCACAGAACAAGCACCACGTGACTTCGTGGAGAAGCATCAAGATTATGCTGATCGCATATTCGTTGCTTGCATTAAACGCTGGCCTATTACGTCTCTACACCCCTTCGGTACTCTTGTCGAGCAACTTGGCAAGATGGGTGATCTGAAAGTTGAGACCGATGCTCTTCTACGTGATAACAATTTCTCATCCGACGAGTTTTCAGAAGCTGTTCTGCGAAGCGTTGGTCTTCAGGATTGGTCTATCGCCAAGGAGGATGAGGCATCTATTAGTGCTCGCCGAGACTTCCGTGATGAGAAGACATTCACCCTTGACCTTGCCGGCACTGGAGAACTCGGTAATGCAGTCCATGTCAAGACTGAGTCTGACGGAAAGATCGAAATTGGTATTCACGTAGCTGATGTCACCCATTTTGTCAAGCCGAATTCTCTCGTTGACCGTGAAGCGAAGAAGCGTGGTACTGCCGTCCACCTCGTGAACAGAACATGTGCTTTGCTTCCTCCCAGGATTGCTGCTGAGCTTGGCACTCTCACTCCAAATGAGGACCGACTCACTATCAGCGTTGTCTTCCGTGTTAACGCTCACACCGGTGTGGTTGCGGAAGGTGACACATGGATCGGAAAAAGTATCATCAAGAGCAACGCTACACTGACTCTAAAGGAACTTGACGATGCTCTTTCGAACCAAGCCGGTTTCAGCCACGCTGCTGTTCAAGTCAAGGATGTCCAAATTCTTAATGTAAGTACACTCTCCCCAACCCCACTGAATAGAGTATCTCTAACACCGTCTCAAGGCCGTTGCACAAAAATTCCGAGAGGCACGCTTGGGTTCCGAGGGTGAGCCAATGGCTCCTCTCCGGTTACTCCATCAGTTGGATGACGAGAATATTCCTATTCAGCACAATATTTTTGATGCTACATCTGGCACAGAGCTGGTCGAAGAGCTCCTGCATAAGGTTAACTCATCTGTCGCTCACAAGCTTGCACAGGGCCTCCCTGACAAGGCGTTACTCAGGCGCGAATCACCGCCAAATGCTCGTAGGCTGCAGACTTTTGCTGAGCGTATGCGGGCGCTTGGATACGATATCGATACCACTAGCAGCGGTACCCTCCAGAACAGCCTCTTCAAGGTCGACGACCTCGACATCCGCAAGGGTATGGAGACCCTACTATTGAAGACTATGCAACACGCCAAGTACTATATTACCGGCAAGACTAACAAGCTACTCTGGCCTCATTACGCTCTGAACTTGCCTCTTTACACTCACTTCACATCCCCCACGAGGCGATATGCTGACATCATTGTCCACCGCCAACTCGAGGCTGTGATCTCGGAAGGCAAGATTGAATACAATGATGATATTGAGAGTCTGGTGAAGACGATTGAATCTTGTAACACCAAGAAGGAGTCGGCACAGAACGCTCAAGAACAAAGCATTCACATCGAGTCCTGCAGAATCATGGACAAGAAACGCCAGGAGGTTAATGGTGACCTAATTAGCGAAGGTATTGTTATCTGTGTTTACGAATCTGCATTCGACGTTCTAATCCCCGAGTGGGGATTCGAGAAGCGTGTACACTGTGATCAGTTGCCGCTCAAGAAGGCCGAGTTCAGAAAGGAGAAGAGGGTGTTGGAGCTCTACTGGGAGAAAGGAGTTCCCAGTTCAGCCTACGTACCGGAAGACGAGAGGCCTAAGGCGGGATCACAGCGAATCTCGAATGCCATGGCCGCTGCCCGGCAGGCAGAGGAGGCAGAGAGAATCAAGAAGGAACGAGAAGAAGCGACACGGAAGCAGACAGAAACGGGCACCAGATCAACAGATGACGTTGATGCGTTGTTCGAAGACGATGATGACAACGCTTCCGATATTACGGAGGCCATGGCCGGCGCCTCATTGGCCGAACGGCCTACTCAGAGCGTGCCAGGATCGCCAGCTCGATCCTCATCCAACCCAGGTGTTCTTCACCGCACCAGATCAGACTCGAAAGTGCCTATGGCGGAAGCTGTGGAGACCCGTCTGACGAATAAGGAGAAATACCTCAAGTTATTCGCTCTGAGGGAGGAAGGTGGTGACTACATCCAAGATGTGACAGAGATGACTAGGGTACCCGTGATCCTCAAGACGGATCTTAGCAAGAGCCCACCGTAAGTAAAACCCAGCCTTGGTGCAGATTATACATAACTAACGGGATTATAGTTGCTTGACGATCCGCTCGCTTAACCCATACGCACTATAGATGCGATAGTGGGTATGTGCTTATGCTTTTGCTTTTTGCTTGACGACTTTGGGCAGGCGGGGCAATAGAGCGGCGGCACGTGTTGTACGTGCTGTTTGAATCATGGGATGTAGAGTTTATGAAGTATGGAAGAGCGGAAAATAGGGTAGATTGTCAGGCCGCTCTCGGCCGGAACCCCAAGGAGTGCATCTCTTACCGTGTTGATAAAAGTGTTTTATTGGACAGGCAGATAGAACTAGGTAGCTGCCGCAATCAACAGAGATATACGAGATCGTACTAAGTTAAACCATTTATTGTCTTTGAGCAGTGTTTGGTGATATCTTATAAACAAGTTTATCCGAACGAGAATCTGATAAGACGATCGTGACATTTTTGATAGTTGAAGCACGGCTTATGCGTGCTGATCATTCAAGGATATACTCAGCGAGATGTACGTTTTAAGGTGAAGATGAGATGCTTGGTAGGGATATTTATATTCATGGTACATAGTTCTTAAGACATAGACATAGGTCGACACCATGTAGGTACTTTTCCGTCCCGATGTATAGACCTGCAGCGGGTCTTTAGTTATGCGGGCATGATGCATGGAGCAATTGCAGGGCGTCAGACAGATCCGGTTAGATGAGATTCCCGGATGTGTAACCTACCACAGCTGCCGTTGTTTTAGGTGGCTTTTTCCCTTTTCCGATCCTCTCTTCCGTCGGAGTTCCGTCTCTTTCCTCCCACATCCTCAACGTTTGGACCCAAATCCGAGCAATAAAGTGGCAGAGTGGGTGAATAAAGTTGAAGAGTTAATCTAGCGCCAAAGTGCTTCGCATACAATAGATCTACGATTTTACCAGGGACTCGATAGACCCGTGCGGCGATCCAATCTCTCTTCTATCTTGTTCCTACTCTCGTCGGTTCGGTTCGCCAAGGCGTCATTGAGGCTAAATGATTTTAGCGGTGTCGAGAAACGCGCGATACGACATGTACCATTCCTGTCATTTCAGCCCCATCTCCGCCAATTATAACCCTGGTTTAGCGGGTTGTCAGGTCCCTGGATACCACCTACATGGTACTGTAGTTGCCCTACTACGTAGTACCTAATATGTAAGTACTTAGCAGCCTAGAAGGTACTTTGCGTCCGTAGCGCAAAAGTTAAAATCTTCCCTGCTTCAACATAGAATTTATCACAGAGAAGCTTCCAATAATACTGCAAGAGACAGACAGGTAGTTTACAGATATTCGACGATTGTTAATCAAGATCAAACTCGTTACTTAGTTACCTACTATTATACTGTTCACAAAGCATAAACCCTCTACGTTGTCGATGAAGCTCTAAAGAGACCAGAATATGATGCTCAATTACCGGATCTAGCAGGATCTGGGAGCAGATCCAACTTCTCCCGCCAAGCCGTGTCACAACACTGCACCAATGCGTCATGAAGCTTAATGGCTATCCTTAAGGGACTTGTATCATTAATAATGAGGAATGCAGAATGAAGAAATTGGTTGCGAATGTGGTGGTATATGGACGAATCAATCGGGATAGCTGGGTCTCCAGTTTCAGAACTCGGCTTGCTGGCCGTCCGCTCTCTGAAACACCATCTGAGGCGGACGGGGCACCAAGATCCCGTGCGCGTCAGCCAGCTCCTTTCCTACTATGTGTAAAGGAGTCAAGACCGATCCCTGGTCGTCCCCTCAACCGCTCTTGGCTGCGACCCCCCTTAAGCGAAAGAACAGTGATCCGAGCCAAAACCTGACAAGGCTATCTTCATCTCAACTTTAAGCTATGAGCTTGATCTGCGATGCCGGCTCTCATTGGACCGAATGAAGCTTACCTTCGCCTTCGTTTCGTTTCCCTCTTCCCGTCTATGGCTAGTCTACCTCCCGTCTACATGGGGCCCTGTATCTGATTGATCCCGCATGCTATGGCATCTAGATTGCCCGGGAGTGCCAGGTACCCCTTGATTCTCGGAATCGGAAGCTCGTGGCAGCGTGGGAGGACTTAGGATGGGAATGGCAAGTAAAGATGCCATTCTTATTGTCAAGGACTCAAGGAGCCTCAAGGGGCCGGTGCTTGGGATCGCCCTTGTCTATTGCCGGCCTGCCTTCTTTCCGTGACCCGCTCTGGCTATCACATCAAATCCTACCTGTTCTTACCTGTTGGCAACTTGGTTTTAATGAAGCACTGTTTCCCGCCTATCTGGTTTGTCTTTCCCTTTCCTTCCTCATCCCGTACATTTCGTGTCCAACTCCGAACTTCAATAGCGCTGGTCTGCTTCCCTGCGGGATCAACGTCTTCACTCTCCTTTCGAATTTGTAATTCTTGTAATACCCAGGTGGGCCTTTTTATAGAACAGCCAAGCTAGTCTTGCTTTCATTCACTTCAACAATCGCTCTTTTACCAATTTTCGACCCTGTCGCTATTTAACCCGATTACTTAAAACGAAACGGAGAACGAAGACGATTATCATAAACCGACACTAATAAAACAAGATGCCTTCCATCATGAAGACCGTAGGAGTTGTGGCAGGATTGGCCGCCGTTGCTAGCGCTCTACCAGCTTACCCCAAGTTGACGACGAGACAAAACCACATTTACAACCTCGCCAAGCGACAAAACGCCGCCGCCGCCGCTCTCGGCCTGCAAGACGTCGATATCCTCCAATTGTATGTTGACGCTAACCTATTACATATTCATACACCTATATAGCAGGTCACTAACCAGTCTATAGCGCTTTGACCCTGGAATGGCTTGAGGCTTCCTTCTACCAACAAGGCTTTGCTCAGTTTGGAGACGACCAATTCAAGGCTCTCGGCTTGAACGATATTCAACTCGCTGACCTTAAGGGAATCGGCTCTAGTGAGCAGTCCCACGTCGGTCTACTACAGAGTTCTATCGCACAAGCCGGTGTCCAGCCCGTCCAGCCTTGCCAGTACAACTTCGGCTTCACTGACGCCAAGGGCATGGTTGCGACTGCTGCCATCCTTGAGAGTGTCGGTATCTCTGCCTACCTAGGTGCCGCTCCTCTTGTTTCCGACACCAAGATCCTTAGCACTGCTGCTTCTATCCTCACCATTGAGGCCAGGCACCAGTCTTTCATCCGTGTCGCCTCGGGAGTTGCCGCCTCCCCATCTCCCTTCGACACTCCCCTAGGACCTAAGGCTGTCTTCTCTCTCGCAGCCCCATTCATTCAATCCTGCCCCGGTGGTTCCAACTTGATCCTTACTGCCTTCCCGACCCTGACAATGACGAGCCCTGCTCCGGTAGCCGGCGTCATGGCCCTGGCACAAGGATCCATGTTGAACTTCCAAAGCGACGCCGCGTCCGGAGCCACCTTCTGTGGTTTCACCAACTCGGCCGCGCCCGGTGGCACTGCCTTCTCCGCCTTCTCCCCTGCTCAAGGTTGCGCTCTTCCCCCCAACCTAGCTGGTACCGTCTACGTCACCCTCACCAGCGCCAACCCCGCCGACGGTGTTCTGACGGATGCCATCACGCTTGCCGGACCTATGGTCATGAACCTCAGCTAAGCGTCTTATTAAACCAGATCGGAGGAAAGGAAAAGAACGGGAATGTTTCTTATAATGACGCGCCGACACACCGGCGCGGGTCTTAATGCTTAAACTATGATGATGGAGGAGGAATGTCATTTAAACGGCTACCGACATATCAGGAGCCGCCGAGATGGGGCGCTGCAAACACCGGGTGCTGGTTTATTTCAAGAAACGAAGAAGAAAAAATGGAGGCGAACGAACGGGCGGGGGTCTCGGTAGCTCACACAGTACCGTACCGCCAGTTTAGACAATATATCTCGTTTGTGTCGTGGTCAATTCTTTTTTCTTGTTTGGTTTTCTTGTTACTTGGTTATCGTTTGCAGCTCGCGCCCCATTTGTATGTAATTTATTACCCTAGTCGCGCCCCCAGGAAGAGAAACCCGAGGACCTGAGGATCCCGCCTGTATATATACGGCGTCGGGGGAGAAAAAGGGAACTTTCAAGACGGATGGCGAAACGGTTCGGAGTACGGGACACAACACTTCTTTTCTTCCTCGCATTTATTTTTTTTATATTTTCTACTACACATTTATTCTTTTTCTTAGTTGTAATGGAATAGGGGAGAAGGGGGATAGAGAACACCCGAGGTGGTGTGATGAGGTGGCGATACCCAATAGCGCGGACTAGAAGGTGGATTTTAAGATGGCTCTATCTCGTAGCGAGAAGAGCGAAATATAGGAAATGAAGACATTTTCAAATTCAACTTCATGTTTTCTTCGTCTTCGTTGTATGTAAGCTGAACTGTAACTCGCTGGCTCGGGATTAGCTTACTTGTAGATATGTATGTGCTGGGCATATAATCGAGCTACTGTGTGGTTCGCTATTGTGATTGTGACTAGTGAAGTATAGATATTCTTTATTATTTTGGTGTATGAGGCGAAGATGCTGTTAAGATGGCTTATAGGTACATCTTACTCATCTAATATTCATAAAATCCCTTACCACTCTTCTTTCCCAACCAACCAGCATCCACCATCTTAGCGAGTAACACGCTCGGCCGGTACTTAGAGTCACCCGTTTCTTGGTGAAGGACCTTCATGATAGCTAGACATGTGTCGAGTCCAATGAAGTCGGCAAGTTGGAGCGGCCCCATCGGTACATTAGTACCGTTCTTCATAATGGCATCAATGGAGTCCCGATCTCCGACACCAGTTTCTAGACATATTACGGCCTCATTGATGTAAGGCATTAGAATTCGGTTCGCTAAGAAACCCGGGGAGTCTGCAGACACCGAGGGAATTTTCCCCATAGCTTTACAGAAGGCAACCGCAGTGTCGACGGTTTCTGCGCTTGTCTGTAGCCCGCTAATAATCTCCACGCCTTTCTGAACGGGCACGGGGTTCATGAAGTGAGTTGATACTACGCGAGAGCTCGCTGACGTATCCCTCGGATCTTTAGTAGTTGCAGCTGCGATCTTGGTGATCGAGATAGAAGACGTGTTAGTTGCTAAGATAGTGTGCTTCGGACAAATTTCTGCCAGCTTAGAGAAAATGTCAAATTTCAGTTGGGGAATCTCCGGCACGGCCTCAATCACAAAATCAACACTTGAGAGATCTTCAATAGCTGTGGTAGGTGAGAGCAAGGCCCTAGCCGCATCCGCTTGTTCTTGGGTGATTCGTGCTTTCGATACATCTTTGGATAGGAGCTTCTCTGAATAGTTCGATGAGCATGTCTGGCTAAAGTTGAGGACTTAAATAATTGTGAATTGAACGGACCTGCAAATGATATTCCTTTATCGAGAGATGATTGTGATGAGTCGACAAGTGTGACGGGAACACCAGCTTTTTGAGCGGCAACCAAAGCAATACCAAGTCCCTAGAGAGAAGTGAGTTGAGTTGAGTCGAATTGAGTTGTGATAGCCTCAAATCACATGTGAAATTGGTAACTTACCATTTGACCTGCACCTAAGACGCCTAGGCTCTTGACTTCGGCTGCATATCGAGCAGAACTAGAGCTGAAATGCCTAATTTGGCGACCTAGCTGCAATGCTCTTATTCTTCCAATTGAGCTCGCCATTTTTTCTATTACTTTATGAAACTCTTTGAGTTATCGAAGGAATGAAGGTGGGTGAGATTGCAACATGAGGTAAGTTCCAGTTCAAGGCCAGGAAGGGAAGTAACCGGATAGCCTCGGGATACGGATATATGTGGGACCACCGTTACTGCTTCAATTGACGTTACCCAAGCTCATAACGTCATGCACGGACCAGTCCGCATATTCTCCACTTAATTAGATGCGTATTAGCGCGTTATTCTGTCAATTGCAGACGCGTTTGTCGCGTTTTCAATTTATACCAATTCGATTAGCCCCTCTAGAATTAATGATTGTCCAAGACAAGACTGAAATACGGAGTCAACTCTGGCGTAGGGAAATAATTCCTCGCTGCAAACATGGAGCCCTCTGAAGGTACTACGGATGTGGTGCATCCCGAGGTTCGGGCGCATATAAACAGTCTCGCCTCAGCTGTTAGTAGCTTCTATCGCATCCCGTTTGCTGGTGGTGTTACTAATCATGATCATGTAGCTTGGTGGTTTTAGTGCCGACGACGATGGACGATACGTACTCGGAGACTCCGCATTGGAGGTTCTTAGGGATATTAAGAAATGGATTCGATTTTACGACGAGAAAACGAACCGAATGGACGTTGCGCGATGTCTTGCCGATGCGAATATAGTTAGCGGCGATTTGCTGCATATTCTTGCGACCTGGCCCGAGAATGAGACCGACAATAAGTTTAGGGCGAGAGCTGCTCTAGCATGCTTTGAGATAATGGTACCGCTAACCTGGCCATTGGAAAGAGATCGTGATCAGATGACCGTCAACCACCATCGACATCTTCCGGTGCTGCAGCTCGCCCAACTTGGTTATAAGCGTGCTATTATCAACTTCGATGCCGCCCAGATTCTCCACACTGCTGTACGAATTGCATTACCTTCTATGGCCTTATCCCGAAGCGATCGATCAGGACGCGACGAAGGAATTATCAAACTGGTCCTACTGTTTCTACGGAACGTGGCTATGATATCACCACCACCGGGCGTTCAATATGATGGTGACGAATCCCAGATCTCGCGCTCAGCTCTAATCGATGCGTTTTCCTACCAAGACATCCTTCTCACGATTTTAACGATAGCCTCGAATATGGGAGAAGATTTCAACCAGGAAGGCGTTATTATTATGGAAATTATTTTCCATTTGGTCAAGCGAGTCGATGTCACTAAGCTATTCATGGATGAAAAGCAACTGGGCAAGGCGAAATCGAACGAACTTACGGCTATGATGAATAAAGAGGCGGCAATGCACCGGCCATACAATCGAAAGGCGCCTTCCAGACATAATCGATGGGGAACTATGATTTGGGTGGACCGAGGTGACGGCAAAGTTTCAACCGTCACTGGTCAGGATGCCTTGCTCGATGCAGCAACTAGACAACATAAGATGGATAATAGCAAGGTATATCGCCCGCCAAGGAGACCCAGGAAGGAAGATATGGAACCAAAGGATCTTGGACCGCCGGTGTCACTTAACACTAGGGCACGTGAGCAGCTTAAGGGCTTTGTAGAAGAATTTCTAGATTCGAGCTTCAACCCCCTTTTCCAGCACGTCCGAAAGAAGCTCGATGAACAGAAGGACTACATTTTCGAATATCACTCCCGACAGTTCTTCTACTTAGTGTCGTGGTTTTTGGAAGCTGAAAGAGTGCGAAAGAAGATTGCGAAGGATAAAGCGAAGAACCAGAAATCAACAAGTGATGAAGATGTTGGTTCATTCAACCTCGTTGCTGGAGTCCTCAACCAGCAGACGTTCATCACATTGAATAGGGCCATTGGAGATTCGCTAGAAAGCAAACGTTGGCCGGAATTATGTGCCGCTATGCGATGTTTTACGCAAATTCTTCTGACAGTACAAGAAATGTCAGAATCCGGAAACGAGGAAGACGAAGAAATCGCAGAAAATATTCTTAGTCGTATTTTCTACGAAGACGAAACGCATGACAGAATTGCGAATATTGCGAGAGATTATAAGGATCAAGGGTTTGAATACCTCGATGCCTGCACCGATCTTACACACACTTACCTCCGCGTTCTGGAGGCTTACTCGAAACAAAATGTGGATATGCAAGTGCGGTCACGACGGCGAGTTCGGAAGAAGAAGAAGGCTGCGAATACCGCTGGTGAAGATGAGGAGAATCCTGTAGAAGGAGACGAATCCGAGAACGACCAAGCAAATGCAGAACGAGTATCACGCGAGCGAAAATTCGACTTCAATCGTTTCGTGAATCGCTTTACCCCTCAAGGCGTAGTGGATACGTTCGTTAAATTCACAAAATACTATAAGGACCTAGACGATACCCAGCTCAAGCGAGCGCATCGCTACTTCTATCGCATAGCATTTAAGCAGAACATGAGCGTCATGCTTTTCCGCGTTGACATTATACAACTATTTTATAGCATGATTAAAGGCCAGGAACCTTTAGACAAGGGTTGTACAATGTACAAGGAATGGGAAGAGTTAGTGAAGCAGATTCTGAAGAAATGCATCCGCAAGGTTGAAGAGCGACCCCAGTTAATCATCGAAATGCTGTTTTCGAAGATCAACGCAACTGCACATTACCTGGAGTACGGGTATGAGAAGCAGACTTTATCTACTTCCCAATCGAAACCAGCGGCCGAGTTGGAGTTCCGACATCTCGTGGGCCGAGATCAACAGATTGCCATCGCCGTTGGTGTGTTGTTAGATAAGAATCTGGGCGATCATGTTACTTGGCTTAAAGGCCAGTTATCCGCCGCAGAAACGGAAAGGAGAGCTTGGGAAGCAGCAGAGAAGGCGATGCCATCGGTAGAAGCTCCACCAGTGGAAGGGGGTGAGAAGAGTAATGAAAATGGTGGTGAAAAGGAGGGCGCAGAAGAAAGTGGGAATGCAAGTGAACAGCAAAATACCGAAAGCCCACCACCTAAAGAGCCCCCTGCCATTTGTAAGTCACCTTGCTTGATTACCAACGAATTTCTACTAACAGTGCCTAGCTATACGGATGGATAATGATGCTCGTCGTACCGCGATGTTCAAAAACTCTCACCTCCGACTTCTCATGAAACTCGTTGGTATCGAACGTCTCGTCCCAGACATAGACGAAACACCAGAATCAGCCTGGATCATCCCACCACACCAGACGCCCGACCAGCTGAAGGAATCCATAGACCTGATAAACAAGGCCGAGTTCAACCCACCGACCTTCGAAGACGGAAAACTAGCCGAGGACCAGCTAAGAAGGAAAACCGCGCCTCGAAAGAAAGCCGTATTCGACGACGACGAAGACGGGATAATCAACGACGATGACGATGATGATATCCTCTTCCCAGCAGGCGGCCCCACCGCGCGCAAAGTCGCGGACGGCAACCTCGATAAGCCGAAGAAAACACGGCGTCGCCGCCGCAAGGGCAGTGAAGCACCCGAGCTCAACGAGGATGAACTAGAAGAGAAAGAGCGGGCGCGCAGGGAGCGCGAAAAGGCTAAGGCGAAGCGGTTCAAGAGCGAGCTTTACGTACATGCGAGCGACGACGAGTCGGATGAGGAAGAAGGCGGGAAGTGGGCGGAGTTTTACGCGAATGAGGAGAGGATTCGGAAGAGGCAGCAGCAGAATGCTGTTAGGCATGGGGCTGGAGGGGTTGTTACTTCGGCGGCGAAGGTGGAGGGTGGGGAGGCGGGGAAGGTGCTTGTTAAGGAGAGGGTTTTGGTGGGGAGTGGGAGTGAGAATGATGATGATTTGGTGTTGGGTGGGGGGTCTGATGATGATAGTGATGATGATGGTGATGGTGTGGTGAAGGGGAGGGGGAGGAAGAGGGGGGTTGGGGATGATAATGATGAGGATGATGCGATGGATGATACGCCGGTGTCTAGTCCGCGGGCTGGCGAGGCGAGTGCGAAGCGCAGACGGTTGTCGAAAGAGCCATCTGTTGCTGTTGAGGAAGGGGATGTGGATATGGAGGATGCGGACGATGATGATGTGCCGTCTTCGAAAGCGCCGCCGAGACGGCGGAGGGCGGGGTTTGTTGTGGATAGTAGTGATGATGAGGAGTAATGACTACGGCTGGGTAGGGTACCTAATAGGGAAGATTGCATTGATGTGGCGTTATGGCCTGCCTGGGATGGGTGGGATGAGTGTAAAGTGTGTTTGTTGCATAGCAGGTCGTTTTTTGAATGAGATTTTATGTTCATGGCCTTGATTCAACGTGGGTTGTGAAAATAATATTATGGCACAGGCAAGTAGGTAGTGATAGTGAATTGTGTTAATAAGGAGCGACTATCCTGCAACCTATTTCATCAAATATCTATAAGAACAATTTTTTTAATGAGTTTCCAAAGTGAGCTCGAATTAATCAATCATGCTGCCCATCCCGTGTGATCATAATTCGACACATTCAAAACCAACTCCAACACCAACAACCTGCCTAGGAGATATCCGTCCCGCGTGCAAGCCACAATGTAACCAATTAATTAATCACTCTTCTACATCGGAGTTAGTATTACGGACACACAGCGTGTAGAAATTGGGGAAGTCCGAACTTACAGGGCAATTAGTGCAGCCACAGTTCTGCTCGCACTGGCAGGTGCCTGAGTTGGCGCAGGTACAGGCGCCGGCGGAGTTGCAGTTGCATCCCATGGTGTAAGTATATGAGTCGTTGTAATTTAGAGCGACGATGTTGTAATAGCTAGGGGTGAGTGCTGATTGGTCGGCTGTGTTCGAAACGGGTAATTGAGGGTTGGGTCCAGCAAGGTGGTTTTTTTTTCCTTTAGTGGCCATCAAGGTTGGAAAGGGGGTTATTTATACGCTACGACAACCCACCTGTTTCCTTCTGAGAACTTGGTATGTTTGGTTTGGAGTTACGAGACATTTTTGCGTGGTGAGCGATCCGGAATGGGGTTTGGTGATGTTCTTTGTGTCGATGATGCACTAGAACCGTCTGTGACGACATAACACGCGATAGTCGCGCAAAGGAAACGTCAGTGGCCCCGATTATAGGCCTATTGTACCGCATAGGGCTGCCTGCGCAGGACATGGCGGATATGTGGTGAAGAGGTGGTAGCTGTTTTGGTCGAAAGATCAACTAGTGCTGACTTGTTACCTAAGGGGCTTTATGATATATCAGGTGCAGGACGTGGCTGGAGAATCCATTGTCTATTGGAGACGATCACGATCACGAGAGAATAATGCGCTGTATAATAGGTAGGTACTTAGTAGGTATGTACTTTCAAACTTGATCGTGTTTTAAAACAATGGCTATGCTAAAACACTACTTAATCATATTACCCGCATCAAAAGGCTCATATCCGTAGTAGCGTCGCTCGTCACTTAGTTATAGTCATTTCAGTTAGTTAGATTTCGTTTCGTCTGGACGCCGGATTCCGTCCGGCTACCCATCCCTCTCTCCACACACGCGCAATCCTTTCGTATACAATAAATAGTAATTCAACAAGAGAGGGGACCTCGGAATAATTTAATTTAAATATAATTTTTTTCGTCATGGCTTTTTGCTTATGCCTTGTTGCGTTGGCCGTAGGCCTTGGTGACGTAGTCGCCGTCCTTGACGATCAGGTCCTCGAGACGGTAGTCGTGCTTGCCGGTGAGGTAGGACTCGAGAATGGCCTTGGTGCCGGCGGCGTATCGGATCTGCGCGTCGATTGATGTTCCCGACATGTGCGGCACCATGGCGTTGCCGCCGCCGAACGGGTTCTTGGCGTAGCGCAGAGGGTGGTCCTTAGGCGCAGGCTGGGGGAACCACACGTCACCACCATAGCCGCGGAGGTGGCCTGACTTCAGCGCCTCTGCGACGTCCTCCTTGACGACGATGGCGCCACGGGCTGTGTTGACTAACCAGGAGCCTAGAAATGGCTGTCAGTTAACCGGCTTGCGCTGCTGTTAAGACGGATCGAACTCACCGGGCTTCATCTTAGCGATGAGGTCCTTGTTGAAGAGACCACGGGTCTTCTCGTGCAGAGGGCAGTTGATGGTGACGACGTCGCACTGGCCAAGCATCTCCTCGAGGCTGTCGACGCGGCGGGCACCGATCTCTTTCTCGACCTCGGGCTTGAGGGGCTGGTAGTCATAGTAGAGAAGCTCCTTGCAGTCGAAGGCCTTGAGGCGGCGCAGGACACGCTCGCCGATACGGCCGACGGCAACGGTACCGACGACCTTGCCCTCGAGATCGTACTCGTTCTTGGCAGCGGCGGCGACGTCCCACTCGCCGGCCTCGATCTGCTCGTGCGCCGGCACGAAGTTGCGGACTAGCACTAGGATCGTCATCACCACGTGCTCGGCCACCGACACGACGTTGGAGCCGGTCACCTCGGCAACCGTGATGCCGCCGTTCGTCTTGTTCGCCGCGTTAAGGTCCACATGGTCCGATCCGATACCCGCCGTGATGGCAAGCTTCAGGTTCTTAGCCTTGGCTAAACGCTCGGCAGTTAGGTATCCGGGGTGGAAGCTGAGGTGGTAATGTTAGCCCCGAGCCATTGTTTTTATCCTTGTCTCTTCTTATTCTGGGTATTCCTTCTCTCCACCTTGGCACGTAGAAGGCACGCTGGGATAGTAGATAGTAGGTGTTAGGTATTAGGTCACGTACGGGGTGGTAATGATGATCTCAGCGTCTACGAGTTCCTTGTCGAAGGTGGAGTTCTCGCCCTCCTTGTCGGAGGTTGTAACGAGGGTGTGGCCTTGGTCTTCGAGCCATTTTCGGATGCCTAGTTCGTTCTCGGTTGTTCCTAGTAGGTCGGGCACCTGCAATTGGGTGGAAGAAAGATATGTTAGTTCACGTAAGTCCGTAAAGTAAAGTGGAGAGGGAGAAGCTCGTGATGCGACTTTGGGGTCAAGGTTTTGGGGTTAAGGGCCATAGCCGTTTGCTCTAAGGTTCTTTCCAATTGATCCAATTAAATCAATCGAATCAATTAGCCCCACATTCCTTCTTCTCTACTACTTCTCCCCTTTCTCCCCTTCCCCTTCCCCCTCTTTCAACCATTACATCTGCCGCCACATCCAGTTACCAAAGACGGACCATTGCATGCACGTTTCAGCCAATTACGCGTTGGCTCTCTTCCATTGGACGAACCAAGCTGCTTATGGCAAGAAACGGCATTGAGGGGAGAACGGCAGAGGCTAGGGAGCTCGGAGGTGGAGTAAGAAAAAGAAAAGAAAATAGTAAGACATAAGACAAGAAGCAAAACCATCACCGCCAAAGGAATTGTGTTTTGGAAAGGAAGAAACTATTTGTCTCTTTTTCTATTACGTACCTGTTGGGCGTGGATACCTCCATCGTATAAGACGGCTAGAACTTTGACCTTTTCACGTTTCGTAGTCAGTAGACGCGTCGTAGCGGGAATTCGTGGGGAGGGAGGGTGGAATAGAGGACTCTTGAGCGCTGGGGCTGAACGTGACGTCAGGCCAGCGCCTAGAGGTCTAGCATTGCTAACAGAACGAGCTGCCGCCGTGGCTGTAGTGAATGCCCTCGCAGAGAGGGGACGAGTGCAGCAGGATGAGAGGGAGCGGGTTAATAATACCATTTTGAAGTTTGTATTAAGGTTTTATAGCAGTAGGTATCCAATTGGACTAAACAGCCGCTGGCTTGATATATCGACGTATTAAAGCTTGTTGATGAAGCAAGTTGCTGGTTTTGGTCTGAGCTTCTCTGAGGAAACTCAATTACGCAAGTATAAAGATGGGATGAATAGGGAAGAACGTAGGAAGGTTTAGTAGACGAAGACGGGAGCTTGCGGCCATTTATGAATTGGAGCTGGTCTTGCGTACAAAGAGCAAAGCAAAGCTCAGGGGGGACCACAATGGTATCTTTTTGCTCATGGCAACGGGTTAAACATAGCACAGCTCGGGAAGCGGAGGGGTGGAAACAATCGGAGAATGTTTTAGCTGCTATTTCGAGCACACAAAGCTAGCCAGAGGCAGGTAGTCCCCGTTGCTCAATGGCCCTATTTCTCGGTCACGTAGTAGTCTCCAATCTTCCCGCTAGGTATTATGTATGTATGTATGCACTGCGGTCTAGGAGCGGCTACATCACGTAGTGGCTTTCCGCCAGTATGGAATCATGTATAGAGGAACATTCAGGGACACATGAGGCATCTCGATACTGCAGATAGGAACCATTTACCACATCTCGCATCTCTCTGGACGCATATTGGATCATCTATCGAACCCATCCAACTTGCGTGAGATTGTGAATATCCCGAATATTGATCCAAAACCACTCTCGGCCGCCCGCCGGAATGGCTCGGTGATGTTTCGGTGTGTGAGCGCGAGGTCCCGCACCTTTTTGTTGCCCCTCGCCCTGCGGAGTAGACTAGTGAACGCGGCGCAAAGGGATCGTCAGCTGGCTGGCTGGGTGCTTTCAGGTCCGGGAGCTTAAGGAATGTTCGAGGCAAAGTAGTAACTATGCTAGCTTATTAGATAGCTCATTAGATAGCTTAGATGAGCGCCATGTGCGCCATGTGGAGTCCATCAGCAGTTAAATTCTAGTTAAAGTCAACAATGGGATGATTACATAGTAGGTAGTTGACGATAACTTTAGATAGGCTTCTCGAAACAGAGCTATGTACTAGGTGTGTATGTACGCTGTATGCACTCGGCCATCGGTGAAGTGGAGAAGGATTCTCGGAAGTCTACGCAGGCACATAAGAAAGGGATGTTTGCGGGGAAGCTTGTTAAAGAGTTGGAGCTAGACGGCCAAGACGAAAGCAAAGGAGGATGGTCGAGGAGGGGATCGCGCAGCATTGCTAGATCTGGAACAATAAGACGTCTGATTCGATGATTGGTCAAATGATCCCAACTATGTACGAAATGGATACTATACATGTGCGACGTCCCGAGAATACATTTTCCAACTCTTCGCGGCAGTTCTGATCTAATCAACGATCGCCGGGTACGGTTCATGCATCCCGAGCGAATATGATATTGAATGAGAACTCGTAATCGTAGCGTTCGGCATAGGGCATAAGGCATCTCTCTTTTCCGGGGGTAGTTATTTATCCGCGCGTGGATGCAGAGCTTACTGTTACATGAGCTCCCAGCGGATTGCCTGGTAGGTTGCCTCTGATCTCGATGCTATAACTTGCTTGCTTTATTTCTTTTCCTTTTCCGAAACACCGAGCCCAATACGTACGATTTGGTCATGATTGCTGAGATTTCTGTGGATCGCTAAAAAGGAAATCGGCAACACGGCGACTCTCCAACTTCAACGAACGTAAGTGCATACCTACCTAGTAGGTACTAGGTAGGTATGTCTTGGCTTTCTCTTGCGCGCACCGACATCTGTCAATTGCCATTTAATTTTGTCTCATCTCATCCCAAATTCCATCTACAAACTTAGGAACACAGCGCCAACCAACCCGATAGCCAAAAGCATCCCGCTAGCTCTTTCTGACACCGCTGCGCCGGGAACAAATGTCCGAGTCGGCGTGGCCGAAGAACCGGTTCCAGTAGCACGGCCGCTTCCTCCAGAGCCGTTGGTGGCGGTAGAATTCGTCACATTGAAGAAATTAGCAGCTATGATTTTGTTCGCTAATCCGGCTTGCGTCAAGACGGTCATGGCATTGAAGTTGGTTCGATTCGAAGCAGCTGTCTGGAGGGTGCTGAGGCTGTTGGCTGAGGCGTTCGACGTGTCCACTAAGATCTGCGTATATCGATGAGACAGCGGAACTCGTGCTGGTGGCGCCGGTCCCAGATACGCCGCGAATGCTGCTTGGTTCTTGGAATTCTGCAGCACGAACGCGTTGGTGGTTCCCGTGGTTGAGTTTATAGCCGTCGCTCTCGTGTTTTGCGTCAAGCCAGTCTGCATCCAGTGGAGCAGAGTTCCCGTTGCAGGAGGGTTGTTCGTCGGGATATCGAGGTCAATCATCAATACCGCGAACGATGTCCCATCCAGCTTGGACTGTGTTCCCACAGTAGGGGCCGTTTGGGTTGCTACGATTCTGATGAGTAAATTATCGCTACGGTGAGACTTCCGAGTCGAGATGAACAACTTACCCGCTTTTTGCAGGACATTTCCACCATTGGCGGCGATATTGCTGCCATAAGAAACAAGCAGAGTAGCCTCTGTCGTGGGCTGAAACCCTTTCGGGGTAGCACCCAGAGTTGCGGACGCCGCCGCTAAAATGATGAGAGATTTGTACAGCATCTTGAATTAGGTGGGTAAGAGGCGATGAAATTATTATATATGTACAATAGCGCAGATTGACCAGCAATGCGAAAGAGAATAGAAAATAAAATAAAATGGAAAATAAGAATAAAATGGAAACTCGATGTTGATCAGATTGAAAAACTGGAAATGACTTCAGGGATGATTACGATATTTGAATAAGTTCTTACTGTACTATTGACGATCTCGTCATATATTTAACAGCCGGTCTTTACAACGTCTCATGAGATGAAACATGGACGCGCAGACCTGCGACAGCGCCCAGAACCAAGCATGGTGTATAGTCAAAAAAGTGTAACCAGGTAGCCAGGTATAAAGGCCCGCCGAATATTAGAAATGAGTTTCTAAGCTAAGGAAAATGATGCAATTGATGTTTTCAAGTGGGAGTCAAGTGGGAGCTTTTGTCGCAATGTTCCGATGGTCGTGCTTTGTCGTCCAGTTAGAAGACTTCAACCCCAGAATCATCTGGCGATAATCTCTTCCGCTCTTGGTAGATGCCTAAATAGCTAACCTGTAGAAACGTCTAGGTTCTAAATCCCCGACAATAAATGTCATCGGCCCTGTCAAGCGCTTTGGCATCTCTTCCGCATAATGGTTTCGTTAAGACTTTCCAGTCATCGCTATAGCCTATTGCTCATTAGGCAGCCATATTTATGGTTGAGATAGAATCTGGAAACATCAACGACGTTTCGAAACGAAACAGAACTAAACAAAACTTAGTAACAGGTATAGTTCTCTATTGCAAATATTGATAAATCGGTACTAATCTCTCGATATGCATATAAACACATACGATGTCTTAGATATGATGATGTGATTGTGACCTGCCAAGTTTTGGGAAGCTTCAACCCCCTTCAACCCTCATACATGTAGTTGCTTTTTTTTCTTTACTTTTTTACTTTTTTAATAAAGCCGGTTTCCATGCATATTAAATTCTTAAATTTTTACTCCTACATGAAAACTATTAAACTTCATAGGCCAGTAAACATGTCGTCGTTAGTTACACATAATGATTCAGAACATCTTTGCCAGCCTTCTCGAATTAATTACATATCTGCCTGCTTGCCTGCCTACCTACCACTAGGTAGTAACCAAGTCGTCCTGTAGCGGATTGACACAAGTCACCCAAAATGGATGAAAAACGACTTGTAATAATTCTATGCCGACCCCCCAATTGTATACCTACACATTTGAATGGTTTGCTTTCGGCGGAAATGTGCCCTTCTCCGCTAGGTAATACTTAGTTCAGAAGTGGCTATTTGAAGTCTGCCTTGCCTATCTCTAGAAGCAGCAGGTTCCAAGGTTGTTAACAGCTTATGCGCAGGCGACATTCGAAACAAGCGGACCTTAGTAACCTACCAAATATTGATATGAGAAATCACCAACTGCAGTATATTCCTAGAAAGAATATCGAAGTTTAGGGATCAACGGCGTTTACAGCTGAATGTGACCTCATTATTGGCTGTCGGCCGGCTAGATGCATGGTCAATCAGTTAATTTAGGAGGCCTCGTAGCCTCGTAGGCAGCACCGGGCCACCAACAACTTTCTGCCGTCAAACGGAACAACCTGAGTCGAATGGATCTTCAAACGGCCTCTCGAAGGCCTATCACGATAGCACGACTCCAAAATAGCTTGGAAGTGCATTGCCTCTTCCCCGCCGATTTCATTCTACTGCCATTGCCCGGGTGATTCTAACATCAAAAGATGATAGAAAGCCATGGACGACCAACTACCTACCTAAGTATCTATCTACTAGGTACCTAGGTAGGTACCCGGCTGTTTACCCCCTACAGTTTGCTCAGTCACACGAGCCGTTTATTTATCAAAAATGGTAGCAAATTATTGGCTTTTACTTAGATGTTGTGCTCACTGTCGATGACCTCTCGCAGAGGGACGAGGTGTGCTTATATTAAACGAAGACACCTGCAGGCGTGGCCGCTCGTGGCCCAAAGATGCCTTGCGTTCGCTACCTGCCCACCTACCCTACCCAAACAGTAGGCTGCCTCGAGAAGTTTCTACACGTTTGTTTCTTCTTGTTGGACTCCTCTTCCAGTTGCTGCCGTATCTTCATTTTGGCACATTCTCGTGATTCCATCGCAAGAGTTACTAGCTCTTTATGAAACCAATAAATTGCATAGCATAGAGGCTTTCTATTTCAGTACAATACCAGTCTTTCACTACTGTACTGGTCTTACAGCATAAGCCCTACTACATTATCGGCCATCTATCCATCTACCTATACTAGTCAAACAACCTAACTCTACATATAGCGACTATGGACTGGTGAGTAACATTCTTTCTAACTGTTCCCTGGGTTCTCGCTCGGTTGCTGACACATTTCTCTAGGAGGAAGCGTACACCCAAACCCAAACCCAAACCCAAACCCAAGCCACCGTGCCGTTTTTTTGCCCAGCATGGCAGGTGTAGATTTGGGACGGAATGTAGATTCTCGCATGATAGTTCGTCGTCTCAAGCGGGCTCATCTCAGGCAAGGGCACATCCTGATAATCGCCGGGAGACGCTGCCTCCTGCCGGCGACCGTCTTCGAGAATGGAAGCAACTACTCAAATCGAACTCTTCGAATTGGCGCCCCAGTCGTTCGTCTGCCTTCATGAGCTCCCAGTCATGCGATCAATTTTTCAAGCTCGCTCTTGAGTTAATGGAAGGAGACATTGGGGCTTCACAGGAGACAGTCAAGCTTAGTATGTAACATCGAAAGTTCTTTCTATACCCTCTCGGCCTATATTGGGGGTGAAATCTTCTTAATCGAGCCGATGAAGGAGTTCTTACTCCCAAGACATACCTATTACTTTTAAACTTTGTCCTTGGAAAGAGAAACCACTAATACTTGTTGTTGTAGTGGCCCAAGAAGCAGGCCTTGACTTCATCAAGAATCTTATCGATCGACAAATCCCCGAGGCCAGAGACGAACCGACTAAAGCTCGCCTATGGTTAAACCAAATACGGCCAATGTTCCTTGTCCTTACCCACCCCCGAGTTGTTGATTCCAATGTGCTTGAGCAACAAGTCGCCACCATTTACAATTTCATCCAGGGTATTGGCAGCAGACGGATGAAAACGCTATTTGATTTCGTCTTAGGATTGCTTGAATCTTGTTCTACTATGCTCGTGGCTGAAGAGGATGCAGATGGATTATCCGCTTGCGAACTTTCGCTCTCGATCTTAGCTGCCATAGTCGACTGCAATACTAGTAATATCGTCAACGACATTTTTAACCAAATCATCGAGCAGTTCGGGAACCGCGTCCGAGCTACCAGCGATTCCCCCGATAATTTCTCGAAATTGCAAGCTGAGAAATATCTGCAGTACCTCGAACGACGCCTCGGGGTTGGTGGCGCTCTAGACGAAGCCGAGACAGGACATCAAGTTTCGGTGACGAGAGCCGAATTTATCATGAGGAAAGATATGCCTGGGCAACTCTCGGCGGACGGGCCTCGACATGACAACGATCACGATGATTTCCGCAAGATCAAAATCCTGCCTACGTATGAAGAAATTACTTCAATACGAAATGAATACTTACCGACTACCGACTCAGCCTTATTCCATAGACCAGGTATTCATGGGCGTCTCGACCGAGAATTCCGTCTATTGCGAGAAGATACTGTGGGCCAACTTCGAGATGCGATTGCAACACAGCTCGATGCTATGCGAAACCCTCAGCGCAAGCAAGGTCGTGGAAATAAAAACAGTGCCCGCACTTACGCATATGACCAAGTTTCAGTTGTTAATCTCGGTTTCGGCAGGAATAAAGGCATGGAATTACTTGTTGAATTCTCTCAACCCACATCGAAAAAGACCCCTCAACAGCGGCGAGATTGGTGGGAACATTCTAAGCGTCTCCAGCCTGGTGGCCTCGTTTGCATTTTTTCTGAAAGGCAAGATGTGTTGTTCGGTGTCGTTAGCGAAAGCACGATCGTGACAGAAGGGCCGAAAGGAAATACCCCTGACGACGAAGAGTCTTCGAAGAAGCCATCTCTTGCCGATAACGAAAATTTTGCCTATGTCTATCTGCATCTTGCTGAGGCTTGCTCTAGGGATATTGGACAAACTCTCAGATGGTTTCAGTCTATCGGTTACTACAAGCAGCAACGATGCCTTGTAGAGTTTCCTCGTGTTCTATTACCTTCATTCCAACATACTTTAATGGCTCTCCAACGCATGTCAGCAAAGTCTAATGTGCCCTTCGACGATCTGCTTGCTCCAGCTGAGCAGAAGCTGGAACTAGACACTAAAGTGGTCGGCGCTCCTCATTACACAACTAAACCAGGCTTCTCCTTCGACTTGAGTTGCTTAACGAATGATGGTGTACCCTTAGACCACTCACCTCGAGCTCCCCTCAATCCCCAAGTATTGTCAACTCATTCTTCACTCGATATGACTCAATCTAGTGCTCTCCTGAACGCGTTATCGAGAAGAATGGCTCTAATACAAGGGCCACCTGGCACTGGGAAAAGTACGTGACATAATCCCCCAGGCTTCTAACAGCGCTTCTAGAGACGGGCAACATGAAATCTTACTAATATAACGCTCTACAGGTTACACTGGCGAAAAGATCATAAAAGTACTACTCGCAAACAAACGCCGGGCCAGCCTGGGACCTATTCTCTGTGTATGCTATACCAACCACGCCCTAGACCAGTTGTTAGTACACTTGAAGCGCGATAATGTCAAAATCATTCGGATTGGGTCAAGATCGAAGGCGGAAGAATTGGATGGCTTGAATCTCCGTGTTGTAGCCCAAGCTGCGGAACGTACGAAGTCCGAAAACGGATCCCTACGAGATCTAAGGTCAAAACGCGATGATGATGTTCGTTCGATAACACGTTCAATCGCGGATCTTGCATCCTGCCAAGATCCGAAAAAATTACGGGACTACTTATATGTCTCTCATCCCCAACACTATGATGCCTTATTTTCCATCGAAGACGATGAGGGCTTCCGAAAACAATATCATCCCAGTCCTGGTCAGCTTTTTACTCAATGGAGAAATAGCGGAAAACAGGATGGCTCCACTCCTCGTGACATCGATGATTTGGTTAATTCGGATCTTTGGGCCATGACTAATGCTGAGAGGTCACGCATATACAATTTCTGGATACGAAGTATACGTGATCCGTTCATAGACGATATCATACGCGAACACCGGAGTTATCAATACACCAATGATGCATTAAGCAAAGTCTCTCGTGATCTTGACCTCCGATGTTTACACGAGTCAGATGTTGTTGGGGCTACAACCACTGGTCTAGCAAGAAATATCGAATTGCTCCAAAAACTGAGATGTAAGGTAATGCTGGTATGTAATATCGAGGGCTCAAAAACTTATAAACCCCTTTCCTAAAGAAGTGCCCACTAATAGGTTATTGTAGTGCGAGGAGGCCGGCGAAGTTCTCGAGGCACACGCTCTTACTGCTCTACTCCCATCCGTCGAGCACGCCATTCTCATCGGTGACCACCAACAATTAAGGCCCCAGATTGTGAACTATGATCTTCAAAGCACAAGCCACCGAGGGGCTCAATACTCTCTGGATATCTCGCTATTTGAGCGCCTAATTAATCCGGAATATGACACCGATCCAAGACTACCGTTTGATACACTAGAGACCCAAAGACGAATGCACCCGAATATATCCGAACTGATTCGATCGACCTTATATCCATCACTAGAAGATGGAGGGGTGGTGGCCAAGTATCCAGAAATATACGGTATGAAGAAACGCTTATTTTGGTTGCACCATGAGTCGCCGGAAGACCGGGCAATACGGCTCGATCCAACGACAACTTCACACACAAACACATTTGAAGTTGAGATGACAGTAGCACTTGTCCAACACTTGGTAAGGCAAGGATCGTATGGTGCAGATGATATCGCCGTCATTACGCCTTACCTAGGACAGCTCCATCGTCTCCGCCGCCAGATGGGGGGATTATTTGAAATATCGGTTGGTGAGAGGGATCTAGACGAGCTTGAAGCTCTTGAGGCAGATAAGTCGACACATGATAACACAGTTGCTCAGCCACAGAAGCCTCTCGCCGTCAAGAGAACACTTTTGAAGAGCATCCGACTAGCCACTGTCGATAATTTCCAAGGCGAAGAGGCCAAAGTAGTGGTCATTTCGCTCGTGAGGAGCAATGATGAGAATAAATGCGGCTTCCTAAGCACCTCCAACCGTATCAATGTCCTGCTGAGCCGAGCCCAGCATGGCATGTATCTAATTGGGAACGCCAATACCTACCGACATGTAAGCATGTGGGCCAAAGTGCTAGGAATCCTTGAAAAAAATGGAGATATTGGGAAAGAGCTAGAGCTACAGTGTAAGAAAACACCCGCTAATCTGCAGAATATTATATATTAACTCTTCCTCTAATAGGTCCCCGGCATCCAGATCCCAAAGAGCCTCTCTTAGTATCTAAAGCTGATGATTTCTTGAGAGTTGCACCCGAGGGGGGTTGCATTCTTCGCTGCGACCAACGTTTGCCCTGTGGACATTCTTGTATCAACAGATGTCATCATGAGAACCTACATAACGCTGTCAAGTGCCTCGAGCCTTGTCCTAGACTCAAAAAGGGCTGCCAGCACCCTTGCAGGCTTTCTTGCGGTGATGCTTGCAAACTCAAGTGTGACGAGTACCTAAAGGGCCTCTGTATCACCCTGGCCTGCGGTCATACAATATCCGAGGCCCGTTGTTGGGAGGCGCAAGATCCTTCATCTATCGTGTGCAATCAAATGGTCAAGAAGGAGGTGCCTGGTTGTGGCCATATGGTTGAAGTTTCCTGTCACATTGACGTCGGCGCCGATCTTTACAGATGCGGAAAGATATGCCTCGATCCTCACCCATGTGGCCATTCCTGTAAACGTCTATGCTGTCGATGCAAAGTGAGGAAAGGGGGTGAGATCATCACTACGGACCATGGAATGTGCGTGCAGGAATGTGGCAGACAATACACGACGTGTCGTCATAAATGTCGAAAACCGTGTCATGGTGACACTGCATGCCCTCTATGTCCAGCGTCCTGCGAAGTCCGTTGCAGTCATTCTAAATGCAGCAGGAAGTGCCATGAACCATGTGCACCATGTGCCGAGCAGACTTGCTCATCAAGCTGCCCTCACTCGCAATGCACCATGCCGTGCGCTGCTCCCTGTGACTGGGTGCCTTGCTCGAAAAGATGCGAGAAAACTTTGGGCTGTGGACACCAATGCCCATCTATATGTGGAGAGGCCTGCCCCGACGAGAAATTTTGTCAGACATGTTGTTCCCAAGATATAAAGAAAATCAGGACAGACTTCATCATGTTCACAGAATACCAGGAAGTTGATCTAAATGAGGACCCCTGCCTCTTCCTTGACTGTGGTCACATCGTCACGAAGACTAACATGGATAGCATCATGGACATGAATGCCCATTACAAAATGTCAGCTGAGGAAAACCCAACAGCCATCAGGAATGCGTCCAACCCGTTTGAAATAGATGAAGTCAAAACCTGTCCCGATTGCCGTGGATCTCTCCGAAATATTGCAAGGTATGGACGTATTGTCCGACGGGCTATGCTTGACGAGGCCACTAAGAAATTTGTCGCCTGGTCTCAGATGGAGTATGCGAGATTGGCAACCAGCTTGCTTGATGTACGGGAGCGCATATCGGAGACACCGGTGTCTCCAGAAGGACCGCGACAAACCACTCAATCTGACAAGATAGTGAAACTGACAATCGGGCGTGCGAAGCAGATCCAGCTTATCCAAGATTGGCTAGGCGGTAACAGATACGAAGAAGCTATCAAACTCTGGCGCCGGTTAAACGGATTCATTGGAAATGTGAGAAGAGAGGAGCAACCGCTCCAAAAGGTCAACGACTTTGTCCAATATGCTATACAGGAACGGAGACTTCAAGGAACGTTCGCCTTTGACGAAACGAAGATCCAGCATGGAGCTCTCTTCCAAGCATGTTCACTTTGGTTGAAATGCGACATTATTATCATCTCTGATTTTATGGTACAATGGGAAAGGCTACGGTCCTCCCGCAATAAACTTGAGTTGGAGCTTTCCCAGCACATCAAGGACTGCGACGCTTTAGCGGAAGGCGCTCGAATGGCGAAGCATCCTAGACAAGAAGCAGAGGCTTACATTTACTATGCGCAGTTCTGTGCCTTCAGCCGGGCATTTTCGCTGTATAACGAGAATTCCAACGGTGAAAGCATGGATACTCTCAAGGAGCAAGCTTCGGAGCGTCTGGCTCTCGCTCGCAATCTCGTCGAAGAGTATCAAGGTCAAACTCGAGGCTTGAGCGCGGAGATTGAGGCTGCGGAGAAAATGATACGTGATGATGTGTTTTATGAGGCTGTCTCTGCGGACGAATTGCGAGACGTGTATAAGGCCATGGCACGCGAATTCCTCGGCACCGGTCATTGGTACAATTGCGAAAATGGACATCCCTTCACAATTGGTGAGTGTGGAATGCCTATGGAGCAAGCCATATGTCCAGAGTGCGGAGCGGCTGTTGGCGGTGTTAATCACACATCTGTCGAAGGAGTACAGCGGGCGGATGATATCGAAAACCTCGCTCGTGGTATTGGTGGAATGGGAATCCACTGAGCCAGTGTGTATAGGTAGAGAGTTGCCGTTATTACAATGAAAGATTGAGGGAAATTGAGGATTGAGGACCTACCCAAGTAGGTAGGAACAAGAATGATCTCAACGGTTCATTATCTGACCATCCCAGGACGTATGACTATCGGATGGCGCCGATATAGGTTTTCTACTTGCTGTTTCTATTATATGTATCTACTTGAGTTTTTATTGACCATTGGATTCCAGTTTTCTGCGAGATACAGTCAACATCTTTCGCAATCAGTCTAGCACAATCACCCAGCCACTTCTTGATACCTACTAGGTATACAGGTTGGTTACTGGTCAAACTTGCCGTAACGACAAAAGAAATATAGTCCTATTTAAAGACTACAGATGGTACCTATGGAGTGTATCGATTCCCTCCATCTATCTGCCTGATTTATGGGGCGATCTAGAAGATGTACTACCCGATCCAGCACACAACGAGAGACAAGGAGGACCTTCATATTCTCGAGAGTCCTTATGGGATAACGACCGTTAGTAGGTAGGTAGGTATCAACCAAACTTCCTCTCTATAAACCTCTCCGATTCGTCTTCTTCCCCTTTCTCCCCCTTTTAGAAACCCAAGGGGAGTGTTATACACGTCGCGTCTAGTACACCTGGACGGAGTCCTTCAGGCCGTTAGCCGCGCCCAAGATGGGGCTAGGCGCGTCCTTGGTCTCGGCCTCCGGCGCATCGTCCTCCTCGGTCATGCCGCCGAGGATCATGGAGCTGGGCGCCAAGGCCTGGACCTCAGGCGGGCTGGTGAAGGCGAAGAACTTCTCGTCGTGCCACTGGCCCGCGGTAATCAGACGCCCTTCGCTGTCGGTGAACACGGTGTCGTTCTCCGCGCGCAGGAAGTACGCGATCGAGTACCGGTGCTCGGTCGGGTCCAATGGCACTACGCGGTGGATGCACGACTGCATGGTGTGTCCCGATGCGAAGCGCAGCGAGTCGCCGACGTTGATCACGGCCATGCCTTCCTTCGGCTCGACGAATCCGAATTGCTTGGATCCTGGCGGCCGCACTTGTAGACCCCATTGCTCGGCGAACAGGAAGGTCAGCGAGCTGATGTCCGTGTGCTTCTGGTGCCCGATGTTCTTCGCCGACGGCTCAGACGGGATGTAGTGCATCATGGCCAACGTGCTCGTCGATGGCCTCTCGTTTCGGTGCGTGTTCTCGAAGCGCTCGGCTCCGGTTAGCCCGAGACCGGTGGACAGCGCCGCTAGGATCGTCTTTGTCGCGATGTTGGCGCCGGCGATGGCGTGCTCGAGGACTTTCATGTCGGGGCTGTTCTTGAGCACCGCGGGTAGGTGCGGGCTGTCCTTTTGGATCTCGTCGCGCGATACTTTGATCATTTCGTACCCGTCCTTGGTGTTCTCTAGGACGCCGGTGCGGGAGCCGACGGGCTCGTAGCTGGTGGGTTTTTGTTAGTCTATGTTTCCTTGCTTCTCGTTTCTTTTATTTTTATTTATTTTTTGGCTTACCCGAGATGGGGAGCAACAAGACCGAACTCGTTCTTTGCCTCGAGCGGGGCATCGAAGAAGCGGTACATAAGCTTCAGCGTGTCCTGCTGGTCCTCGACCATCCTGCGGCCGTCGATTCCTCGAAGGTCCAGGTAGAAGTATCCCTCGTCCTGGCAGCTCTTGACAAGCCTCTCAATCTCGAGGGGCTCCTGGGAGAGCAGCTTCGAGAAGTCGATGATCTCCATGGGGTAGACCGGGACCTGCTTCCCGTTCCACTCCACGGTCTTCGGGACTTCGGTTGAGATGGCCATTTTTATTCGATATTCTTTTTTTTGTTGTTGTCTTGCTGCTAGGTTGAGGTAGTCGAGGTCAGTTGGGGATAAGGACAGCGTTCAGAGAGCTCTCTCGTTCTTCCCACTCACTAGCTCCCGAGCTCTGGTGTTTTATAGGCAATCGATGACGATGGAGAACGTCGTCGGAACACCATCTTCCATATCCTTGGGGAGCCTGATGTAACTTTCCCCTCCCCCCACAACGACCCTTTTTCATTTATCCACCTGCATCCCAGATCATCCCAGATGTCACATCTCTCGCTTGCTCTCCTCTCTGGGTGGCTGCATGAGCTTAACACGACAGCTTGGGGAACGTAGGTGAGGGTAACACCACTTCTTGGCGTCTTATCGCTATCGAAAAGAGTATACGCCTATACGCTCTTTAATCTCTACTTTAGCCGGTGGGTGTTGGCGTACCTAGATCGATGGCCGGCTGCAACCCTCCGCACTCTATACATATCTAGCAATCGTCAGGGACCCAGCCAGAACGCGCAACGCGGCCAGTCGGCTTCGCAAGAGGTGTCATATATATTATACACGACGCCAAGGTCGGCAGATGATTCTACCTCGTTTTGGGGTCTGCGTGGGATTGAGCTGGTTCCTAGCGACGATCAGGAGTCGACTCCGCACTCTTGGCCTTCTCATCAACTGCTATTCTGGGGTTCGTTCTTGCCGAGGCCGGCGATGTCTTCGTATGCGGTCGAGCTAGGAGCATTACGAATATGGCTTGATAGGCGACGGCTTCCCCTCACTTCTCACCTTCGAGATATATTGGATGCAGAGCTAAATAGGAAGTCCCCACAGGATCCGGAGCTCCCGTGACGATCTGCCATGAAGAAACGAATGATGGAGGAGATAGGGAGCTAGGTTTAAGACTACGTAAGTCATCGCTTACTGATAGGGGTAGCGATTGAACGTCGAACGATCTTGTTATATCAACCATTTATTCAAGGTCCCCTGGCATGGCTTCGTCAAGGTCATGGAAGAGGCTACGTACGTAAGAGAAATTGGACAGATATATGAAATTATATCGTTGAGTCCCATTTGCGCTCTTGTTTTGCGTTTGGCATCATCATATTCTTTGAGATATCGAATGTTAGGTAGGTCCTATGTTATTTTTCTCGTTCAGTTTTCCAGGCTAAAATTAGAGATGATACTGTATTCATTATGTTGCAATATCATGCCAATTTAACAGGTGCATGAATCCGAAGGTAACGACTTGGCTTCTTGGATCCTGTGGTAAGATCCTTAAATATACCTGTCTTTTGGGGAAGGAAACTTCACTTTTGCTTGTTTTCCATTGAATACGGGGAATGAGGCTCTGATGTTAGGAGTGTCATACATACCTAGTAGATATGAAGAATGTATTCGTGAGCTTAGAGATATCTCAATCCTTCTTGTTAGTTATTTTGGTATCAACTAAGTTACTTACGTATTAGGCTTCGCCACGAGTTGAAGTGAAGATGGTCATTACTAGTTACTACCGCCCTTACCTCCCACAGAGGAGTCCAGAGACTTCCAATGAGGCTTGAAGAGGTATGTTAACAGATATCTCAGTATTGAAGTAGGCATAACTCGCTTTCGTCCTTAGACCAAACTGCCTAGGTAACTTAGAATGGTATTGGATTATGGGCATGAATAAGAGTACTCCCACCGTATAGGTAAGATAACCAACCACAGCTTTCCTGTGTCGGAGCAGGATGATGAAATGTCGCATATTCACGTGATTTCGTGATTCTGCATAATTATTACACGTTTACTGTCGACCTCGTGTCCCTTTCAACTTCTCGATGTATTCCTAATGCCATCAAGAATTGATAACTTGAGACCTGTTACGATGAATTCTTCGATTTCTTTAATTTTAATTAAATACCTGATTGTATGTTTCATGTGAATGCGCATTGCTACCATGAGTATATTCAACTTTGGACGGTGGAAGCGATATTCGGATTACGGCCTGTTCCCTTATGATAGCACCACCGCAAATCGAACACATGAATATCCCGTTAACTTCTCAAGAGCTACAGCCGCTTATCGAGGATATGGTTCAGCCTCTTTCATCAAGCGTAGACATCTCCAACGCCTTCTTGCCAAAGTCGAATTTCTGTTATTGGTAGCACTCAATGATGCTCTACTTTCACAACCCGTTATCCAAGACTACCTACCTACTATATCCAGAAAGCTTGGACCGCTTAACGTCGCCGTTCATGGGCTGGTGTTCAACAGGACCGTGCGTTTCTTCAAGACTAGTAGGTAGGTAGGTAGGTAATTAGGGGATTCGGAGTTTTCCTCGTCAGCGCCAAGTAGGATAGTCGACCCGATATTGTTGATAGCTAAACCTAGCGATGTTCCTAAGTAAGGATAAGCATCGTCGCGCTATAAGCAGTCACTGTTAGCTTGTTGAGTTTAATAAGGGGGCGAGGTCTGAGAAATCAAACCGGAACCTGAAAGAGGAAGTGACGCCGTGCCGGTAGACCTGATGCTGACGATTTGTGATACTCTACTCTCACTAATCTCCATAGGGGCGTTCTTTTTGTTGGTATCGCTATCATTCTTTTACTCTGCAAATCTGACGCGCCCGAAGATCCGCCCTGACTCCCGGTTCTAAGCCGCTGTAATCTCGACTGAAACGTGCGTATGGAGGAGAGCTTACGACGATGTATACCATTGTGGGAACTTGACTTTGTCGTGTTGGTTGTACGGTCGCTATTGAAGCCACGAAAAGTTCCTCTCATTGAGATTTTGGGACTAGTAACTGTTTAGGTAGTGATTGAATGAGTTAGCACTGAAATCCATTTACATGAAATTGCTTCGTATAATCATTTTACATGGCCTTAGGCAAATCGGGCGTGATGGTCGTGATGATAACGTAAAGTCCGAAATTAAGCTGACGATTATTTAACTTCAGCCAAGCCATCAACGCTAACTACATCACATATTCTCCTTTAGAAGCCTGGTAGGTCAAAGAATACTTGCCTATAGTAACGAATTAGGGATAAAATCGCGCAGAATCGGTGTCAAATGACATTCTGATCGTCCTCATATCGTGCAAGTATTTGTGCTGCCGCGAAGTCAGATGACGGCCTTTTGCGTATATGAGGCGCAAAGGGACCGATTAAGAGACCTATCATGGGGAAGCGACCAGAACGCCGACCTACCACGTCGGTGAATGAAGAAAGAAAGGAATATTCGTTAGCTCCGGATTGATTATAAACCTTGGAAGTTATGGCTAGACCTATCACGACACCATGTGTCAAGAAGGGTTATTGAGAAGATCTCGGACTGGTCGGGGTTAAGTAATCCAATGATAGCGGAACCCAATATTGGGGGCGGTCATTTGTCAGATCGTTAATCCACTTAAGAGACCTGAAGCTGGTCTCTCCATCTAAGCAGTGCTGCTGTTGGCTAGGCCAAGCTGGCCAAAACGAGTAATCCGGCGCTTGCTGGTGCGGCTCGCGCCTATTGGAGAGTCTAGAAAATTGCTACTCTTGTCCTGTTGGAAGTAGAGTAGGCAGAGACATAGATTGTCTAGAACCATAGGACGGCAGAACGGAATATATCTGTATTTAGACGACCCGACCGGTGAGGCGTCGAACAGTCATCCGTCGCTAACCAGCTGAGGGGCGGCCTGAGGATGTCCGAGCCGATCCCAGATGTCTAAGACATACATGCTTACCCGCATGCTCTAAGTAGGTGCTTAGCTTTCGATAAATCGAAGATCGTGTGCTACTATTCTGCAGCAGTGGAAAGAAGTCCGCTTTTGTGGAGATTTCCTAATCTACACATTCCGTAGACATCACGATGTTGGTTAGAGAAGGGCTTGTTGACGCCAACAGCTCGGCCTAGATGGATAGAAGCGCGCTAATCCCGCACTTGTCACACATTGACGAAGCCGTCACCCATGGGTGAATCTATCATACGCGGAAAAGAGACCAGACTCGGGCAACGTAAGCAGTGCCTAATTGAGTCGACCAACTTCCGAAAGTTTTTGGTGGCGAATATATACTTTGATATCATTGAATGTCGTTGGAACAAATTTGAAGCCGCGGTATCAATTTGACCGAGCAGAGATCCCTTCACACCATCTTCTCGTCACGTTATTTGGACGATACCAAACCCTAAAGTCTTGGTGCTGTTTGCCTTACTTAGGAGATCCAATCATCACGCAGAACACCCCTGTTCACCTGAACAGGTCCCTGCTTGCCGCGAGACAAACGCTTGTGATTGGTTCTATGACCCTGTTCGCTAACTGCCAAGGAGGATCATTCCGTAGCGTTTGAAGATCCTGTCCCTCTTCTTATGGATACGTATTTCGATATCGCGGCTCACTGCTGTAGTGATTCTAGCTTCTACAGAGTTGCAAAGTTTGTCTTCGCTTTCTCCTTGATTCTCTGTCGACGATCTTAGAGAGTTTCACTTTAATCTTAGTAGATGAGAGTGCCACGTCAACAGAGCACTAGGGATGTACATAGCCATCAGAAAAATCATGAAATCTTGTTTGTCGCTCAGGGTACGATTGTGGCGGAGCGCATCGTCGGCACTCGCCACATATGCCAGTGGGTCTAGATGACTAGAGGCTCCCAGCGATGAGGTAGTGACCTAAAAGCTTTTGTAGCTAGGTTGAGAGACATTGACGCAACATTGCTTCGAATCTTTCAAGGCTCCCATGCCAATGCATCGTGTTTGCCCTGGATCATGCAATTTTCAGCTTGCGTTGCTCACACGTGTCGATATTTGCCTATCAAGAAGCGAGAGGCTTTCTGCTAGGCAGATATCAAACAACTTGTTGAGAGCTCTTGGTAAATATCCCTTACTGAAAGCGGAATTTACCTGTCGTCTCGATTAGTAGGTATTTTGGTAGGGCGAATGCGCTGGTTGGTTAAGCTGGGGAAAACTATCGCTTACAGTCAAAGCTAATGTTAGCGCGACCTATTCTAGGGCAATTGGAGGATTCAAGGCGAAGACTTCCCCTCGAATCTGATTGTTGATAGGTAATGTGAAAGTAGCTGATTGCTAAAGTTCGAATAGTCTAAAAGAGGCAACGAAGGAGGATTCCCCAGATCATTCATTGAACCACCCATCTAATGCTTCGTTCTATCTACCATATTGAGGAGCTATTGGCTTTCAAAATGTAACTAAATTGAATATAGGGCAAATGATCGCCAATGAAGCTGCTATATGCGGGGCTGGTTGCGGCGATTAGTGACTCGGAACCGCACGAGTATCGAGCAAGAGCTTATGCTGGTAGAAGGAACGGAAGTGGCATTCCTATCCCCTTTTTGATACAAGGTCATCTGGGCGATCGGCACCGATTTGTATATGGACAAGCTTCACCGAGGCTGCGAGCGCAACCTCAATGAGGGCTGGAGACCGAACAGCTGCAACGGAACCCGCACGGATAGGGAGAGACATGCAGTAAGAGTCCCTCATCCCGTCAAGGATCGATCTCTCGAAGATGGTCACTGCAGACTCATTGGTTGAAAAATCAACGGTTAAGAGCCAATCAGAAAATTCGTTCCACGACTTTTATCGTCGAATCCCTGGCCGCTAAGACCCCTGTCGGCACCGAACTGTCACTATGCCCACGGCCTTCTAGAGATTTTGCCGGTTCAGTGGCGTTGGTTGGATTAGGAATTTACGTCGCAACGCGAGTAATCCCGCGGTATACTCCAAGCAACGAGCTGCAGGACGTATCAATCTGAGACATGCCGGTGATGCATCGGGGTGGCATTTTCATGTCGCTTGTAGATACCAAAAATGACCTCATACGTAGGACAGCAGGTTATACCAAGTTCCTAAAAAAAGAGAATCGAGGGATAGATAATGTTATGTAGGTAAGTACCTAGGTAGTACCTATGTACTGTACTCTGTGTAGAAATAGTCGTTAGACGTACAAGCGCCTGTTAAGTGGAGGTACTAGGATATTAATATCCAAGTTTGGTTGAACTAAGATCGTCGAAGCTGGCGCACGATTTGAGGCGTACCTCGGAGCGAGGACATAGATAAAGATAACATATATTAAAAACTCACTTTAATAATTAACTCCATTAAGAAAAGATCGGTGCTAAAATAATAGGGGTAAAAAGGTTAGTTATTGGTTAAAATTTATGTAACGTGATTTATTTTATTTATTTTAATTATCGAGTTTTTTTTAAAATGAAAATTTTTTTTCTTTTTATTTAATAATAAAACGTTAATTAAAATAAAATATAATTAATAAATTTAATTATAAAAAATAAATAAATAATAAAAAGTAATTATTAATTATTAATTAATTAATAATTAATAAAAATTATTATAATTAATAAAAAAAATTTAAAAAATATATATATAATATATATCGTTTACGTAACGTTTAACGAATTTTTCGTTATATAAAATAAATAAAATAAAAAATATAATAATAAATAATTAATTAATTATTAATTAATTAAAACGATATATTTATTATAATTTTTAAAAAAATATATTATCGCGCGAAAATTTTAAAAAAGAAAATTTATTTTAATAATATAAATATATTAATTATTAATTAATTAATTATTAATAATTAATTAATAAATAAATATTTAAATAAAATATTTTTAATTTAATAATTTTAAATATTATTTTAAAATTATTTATAAATTTAATTTAAAAAATTTAAAAGTAAAAAAGTTAAATAAAAAAAATAATAACGAATAATAAATAAATGAAAAATTTTAATATATTTAATAATTAATTATTAATTAATTAACGTTTTATAAAAAGTTAATAAAACGATTAAATGTTAATTAAAAAAAAAAATAATTAAAAATAAATATTAATTAATCGTTAATTAATTATTAATTAATTATTAATTAATTATTAATTAATTAACGAAACGTTTTTTTTTATTATTTTAATATTAAAAAAGTAAAATTATTATTTAACGAAGTTTTCCGTTAAGTTATATCGATAAAACCGGTATTTTTAAGGTTTTTTTAACGTTAAAAATATGGTAATTATTAACGACGAAAACGTTAAAAATTTAATAAAAAATAACGACGAAAGTTTTAAAAAGTTAAAAAAAAATAACGATGAAAACTTTAAAAAGTTAAAAAAAAATAATAATAAAAACTTTAAAAATTTAAAAAAAAATAATAAAAAAAAACTTAAAAATTTAAAAAAAAATAACGATTAAAAAAATTTTTTAAATCTTCGTATAAAATTAAAATTTAAAGTAAAAAATGGAAAAATTAAGTTAATTTTATTATAAAAAATACGTTAAATTTAATTAATTATTAATTAATTATTAATTAATAATTAATTATATAAAATAATTTTATAATATTAAATTTATATATTATATGTAAAAATATAAATATTAAAAAAGTTTATATAAATTATAAAATTAAAAAAAAAAAAACTAAACGTAAATTATTATTAATTTTTTATTAATAATTTATTAATAATTAATTAATCGTTTAAATATTAAAATATTTACCGAAAAAATATAACGCGAATTATAAAATTTAAAATTATTACGAATTTATAAATACGAAAAAAACGCCGATTATAATTAATAATTAAAAAAAATAAAAAATAAATATAAATAATAATAAATAATTAAATAATGAATAAATAATTAATAAATAATAAATAAATAATTAATAAATAAATTATTAATAAATAAATAAAATTAATATTATTTAAAAATTATTTAAAATAAATGAAAATATATTTTTTATTTTATAATATAATATAATATAATATTTATATAAAAATTTAAATTTAATTTTAAATAATATTATTTATTTATAAAATTTATTATATAAATATATTTAATATTTAATTTTTTTTATTAAAATATAATTAAATTTAACGTAATAATATTTATATTAAAAAATTAAATATTTTTATATTATTAATAAATATTATAATTTAAAACGTTTAATAAAAATTTAATTATAAAATAATTAAATAATAATTATTATATAAAAATTATATAAAAAGTATTTTAAGTTTTTATTAATATTAATATAATATTAATATAATTATTTTTTTATTAAATTTAATTTTAATATAAATATTTTAAAAATTATTTTTATAAATAACGTTTTATTTATTTATTTATTATAATTAAATTTTTAATTTTTAAATTTATTATTATAAAAAAGTAATTATTTTATAATTAAATAAATTATTTTATATTATATATTTTTTATTTTTTAAATTAAAAATATTATTATAAAATAATTTATAAATAAAAACGTATTTAATTTAATTATATATAAATTAAATTATAATTTTATAATTATTAAATTTTAATAATATTATTTAAATTTAAATATTTAATTATAAAATTATAATATTAATTTTTTATAAATATATTTAATATAAAACTTATAAATAATTTATAAATTTAATTAAATATAAATTATTAATAAATTAATAAATATAATATTAATAATAATATATTTTAAAATTTATATATATGTTAATAAAAAAATACGTTTAAATAAAAAAAAAATATATATATATATAAATATAATATAAAAATTACGAAGAATTAAATTTTAAACGTTTATTAATGGAAAATTAATTTTAAATTAATTAATAATTATTTAAATATTAATAATTTATTAAGTTTTTTTACGTTAAGATTTAATTTTTTTTATTTTACGTAAATTATTAACGTTTTTTTTTAATTTTAAAGTTTTAAAGATTTTATTTAAACTTAAGTAAATTTTAATTAAGTTAATTATAATTTTTGTTTAATAAAACGTAATTAAAGGTTTAAATTTAAAATAAATATAATTTTAAAAATCGTATTAAAATTAAATATTAAAATTTACGAAAATAACGGTTAAAAGTTTATAATTTAACGTTTTAACGAAAACCGTTTATTAATAAAAAATTAATTAATAATTATTTAATAATTAATAATTAATTAATTAATAATTAATCGATTTATTTTTACGTTTTTTTTTTTTTTTTAAGATTAAAAACGAAATTTAAAGGTTTAATAAACGACGATGGAGTAAAATTTAACGAATTAACCGGTATTAAAGCTTTAAATTTTATTAATTTAAACTTATTTTTAATAAACGATTTTTAATATAATTATTTATTAAAACGTGAGTTTTTTATGAAATAAATTAATTATTAATTAATAATTAATTAATAATTAATTATTAATTAATTATTTATTAATTATTAATAAATTATTTATTAAACGTTAATTAATAAGAAATTAATAAGTGTTTATATATTATAAATATAATAAGTTATAACGTTATACGTTTTATATTTATAACGTATATTTTAATTTTTAATATTTATTATTTCGTATATATTATCGTTTTAATTTTAATAAAAATGTTTTATTTTAATAAAAATAATTAACTTTTAATTTAATAAACACGTTATACGTTACGTAATTTTTTAAATTTATAAATTCGTTTTTATATTTATTAATTAATTAATAATTATTAATTAATTAATAATTAATTATTAATTAATTATTAATTAATTAATAATTAATTATTAATTAATAATAAATATTTAAAAGTTTTTATTTATTATAAAATTACTTTTTTTAATTATTAATAACGATTTAAATAATAATAATTTTTTTAATAAAATATTTTTATAACGTTAAAATTTTTAAAGTAAATTTTAAAGTTTATTTTTATTATTTTTAAATAATAATAATTAAATTTAAATTAAATTAATAATTAACTTTTATAAGTTATTTAATTAATTATTTTTTAAATGTTATTTAATAAAATTTATTAATAAGTTAATAATTATTTATTAATAAGTAATTAATTATTATAAAATTAAAAGTTTTTTTATTATTTTTTAAATATTTAATTTAACGTAAATAATAACTTTTAAAAAAATAATTAAGTAGTTTTTTTATTTTAATTCGAAATTAATTATTATTAATAATTTATTAAATGGTTAATTAATTAATTTTTAATTAATAATTAATAATTTATTAATTATTTTTATTTTTATTATTTACGTGATTTTTCGTATAAAATGTATTTTATATAATTTAAAAATGTAAAAAATGTATTTTTAAACGGTTAAATAAAAGTAATAAACGTGTAAATATATTTTTAATTTTAAAAATATTATTAATAATTAATTAATGGGATTTTAATGAATAATTATTTATTAAATATAACTTTATAATTTTAATTAATTATAAATTTAATAAAATTTTTATTTAAATTATATATATAAACTTATTTTTAAATATAATTATATTTTTATTGTAAAATTACGAAAAATTATTTAAATATTAAGTTATAAATTAACTTTCCGTTAATATTAATAATAATTTATATTAATATAAAATTTAAATAATAATTAATAATTAATTAATTATTAATTAATAAATAATTAATAAATAATTAATTAATAATTAATTATATATAAATTTATTTTTTTATTTTTTCGTATTATATATAACTTAAATTATTTCTTTATAATTTTTTTTTATAAAATATTTATAATTTATATTTAACGTATACGTTTATAACGTTTAAAAAAAAAATAACATGGCTTTATTAAAATATATAATTATTAAATTATTAATATTTTAATAAAAACTTTAAATATATTATTAATTAATTAATTATTAATTAATTATTAAACGGTAATTAATAAATTATTAATAACTTATTAATTTTTATAATTTATTACTTTTATTTTTATAATTTAAAGTTTTTATATTTATGTTTTAATTTTTTTTTACTTTAAATATTTTCGTTTAATAAATAATATGCTTAATTTAAAAAAATAATAAAAAATTCGATATTATTATAATATTTCGTTTAATATATTATTATTATTTAACGAAAAATATAACTTTTTTAAAATTCGTACTTTTTTTTAATATAATTAATTTAAAATTATAAAATATTTAATAAAAGTTATTATAAAAAAGTATATTAATTAATAAATAATAAGCTATTAATTTATAATTAATAAATAATTAATAATATATTTTATTTATTCGCCGTTATATTATAAGTAAAAATTTATTTTATAAAAATTTAAAACTCGTTTTTTAAGGTATTTAATATTTTTAAAAGTTTAAATAAAAAATAATTATATAATTTTATATAATTAATAAATATAACGGGGTAAATTTATAAATTTAAAAAAATTAAAACGTTAAATTTATAATTATAAAATTTTAATTATTCGATTAATTTTTTCCTTTTAAAATAATTATACGTTAAATTATTAATTAATTAATAATTAATAAAAAATTAATTAATAATTAATAAATATTTATAATATTTTATTATTTTTATTTTATTTTATAAAATATTATTATAAATTATTATAATAATTTCATTCGTTTTTATTAATATAATTTTAATTATATTAATATTAAAATAATATTATTTATTAATATATTAATAATAATGTTTTATTTATAAAATATAACGATTTTAAGAAACGTTATTAATATATTATAAATAATATGTTATATTATTATTAATTATTTATAATTAATAATTTATTAATTAATAATTAATTTATAATTAATTATATTATAAAATTATTTTTTTTTTTATTTTATTTATAAACGTTATAAATAATTATTTATAAAAATTTATTTAATAATTTTTAATTTATAATTTATAAATTAAAGTTTATAAAATTATTTATTTATTAATTATTTTAAAATATTTTAAATATAATTATTATATTATAATTAATTAATTATTATTTATTTATTAATTATTATTTATTATTATATTTATATAATAACGTTATTTTTAAAGTAATTTTTTATTTTTTCGTTTATTTAACGTTTTATTTTAATTTAATTATAAATTATTTTTTTTATTAATTTATTATATTAAATAAATTTAAGCTTAAAATTTAAATATTAATAATATTTTAATTTTATATATTTATATGTAAATTATTTAATAAATATATTATTTAAATACGTAAAAATAATAATTTATTAATTATTAATAACTTTTTTATAATATTTAATTTATAATAATATATTAATTTATATTTATTAATTAATTAATAATTTATTAATAAGTTATTAATTAAAAATTAATTATTTTTTTTATAATTATTTTCGTTTTTTTTTTTATTTTATTTTTTTATTTAATAACGTAATAAATGCCGTTTTTAAACGTTTAAAAATATTTTAATAACGTTAAAATATTTATTATTATTTTAATACGAATTATTATTATATTATTATTTAAGTTTTTAAAAAATAATAATATTAATTTATATATATTTACGTTTATTTTAAACGTAAATAATATATAGTATAATTTTTTATATTAATAATTAATTAATTATTAATCGATTATTAATTAATAATTAATTAATAATTAATAAGATTTTTTTACGTTATATTTTAAGAATTTTTTTTTTCGTTCGTATTTTTTAATATTTTTATTATAATCGATTATTTCGTTTATTTATTTTTATAGTTTTAATAATAAAGTTTAATTTTATATTAAATTTAACGTTTTAACGTTTAAATTAACGTTTTAAAAATCCTGGAAATTTTTTATTATTAATTAATTATTAATTAAATATATTTAAATTAATAATAATAATAATATTTAAATTATATTTATATAATATTATAATTTTAATTAATTAAAAATTAATTTATAATTAATTAAAATTATAATATTAATAATATTTAATAAATTTAAAGTTTATTTTTTTTATTTTTAACTGTTTAATTTATTTTAGGTATTTTTTTCTATGTTTATTATTTTAGTAATCGCCGGTTTCGGCTGTTTTGTTTGTTTTATTCCTTTTTAGCGATCGTTTTTTTTTTAGGTTAGCTGTTGCGGTGAGGTTTTAGCGTGTGTTGTCTTTACTTAGGCACTCCCTCGGAGCGCACGAAAGTAAGACATGCAGAAGTCGTCACGGCGTGACGGAACTATGGATGTACATAGTATGGGGGTTTCTGCAAGAATTGCGAAGCTAACCGTCTGAAACATAGTAAAAAATCTTGTCTTTACATTGTGCGTCAAGTAATAAACCGAATCAATGCGATGCCGACAATAGGCAATTTAATCCCTGATATGAACCATATTATTCATAGTATAGAAGGATTAAGATGTAAAATGAGAAGATTGAAGTTAGAATTGGAGTTCATAGATTTTGAAGTCTCGGCCGTTAAGCGCTTAGAAAAGCGGATCCCTATTAGAGACCCACGGGGTAGCTCCTCCTCCGGTGTTTTGTAAGATGGTAAAATTTCGTAGGGGCGAGCCCTTCCTAAAGTCAGGGATTCCTTGTTGATGTTGGCAATTGATTACGCTGGCTCAATCCGGAGGCGGGCCGCGCCTTGAAGCTTCCGCTACTAGACAGCTAGAATACTAGAATATTAGAAGCGACAACTTGATTTACAACTCATCGCCTCATCGCCACTGACAGTTGTCATTCAACAAGCATCTCTCGATAGTGACTGCTCCTTAAACGATTGTATGCCTTAAAAGTTATAGATGAGGCTTGACAGGCTGCCTCTCGCCCGCATGTACCCGATGCAACTAGCAGCACCAGCCACTGTAACATTTACGGATGTACCTAAGTACCTAGCTAGATTTCCTGGAAGGTCACACTTGGATTTTCTTTCCCTGGAAGTGCCGTCGTTTATCCCCGGCACTCATTATTTTTTTTTCTCATCTCCGCAGCAAAATCTCTTGCAAATTACTATTCGACCAGCACCTTGCTCGTTATCGCATCCTACTTCCATGGCCTGTTCCTGCGTGCACCCCTTTCAACCTCGTAAACAGTCTATAGATGGACACAAGCCGGTCGCGTATTTGTCTGGATACCGCATACTGGTAGCGTCGTATGACCCCATCTAGGTAGATGTAGAGCTACTGTAGGTCGGCTCTGGAAGCACTCGACTATTCCTAGCTCGACCCAACCAGGAAAAGCTCTCCAAACGTCAAGGGTGTTCTTTAACGAATAATATCGTCAAGAGCCTACAGCACAATTCTTATAGGGCATCGGAATATGCACAATCCAAGACCAGTTTACGAGCATGACTGGCGCGGTTCCTCTTGCTCACTCACTCGCTCACGCGCATATTGTCCGTAGTCGGATGGCTGACAGTATGCGACGCGAGTAAGAGGGAGAAAAGTGGTCATTTCGCTTTGGTCTGATATGCGACAGAAACCCCCCACGCAATAGACTAAAGAAAGAGAGACCTAGGGATGGCAGTCCAGCGTATAGACATCAATGATCTTCAATTTTCTCATATGGGGCTCAGTGACTCAACGTTGCTTTCTTTCACTAACGTTAGCACGGCATGGGCATCTACCTGTCTACAACGCTGATGCACTGATGCAGTAGCTTAAAGGTGGGAGGAAGGGCTTTAGTCTTCTAACCCACAATGGGCTGCCGCCAACCAGACCGCTCACTCGGCGATTCCATTCCAAACATACCCAAGATGGTCGCATCTTGGCTATAGACAGGGGTTTTGCGCCACACTTGTCTACAAGGTCTACAAGGTCTACAACCCTACGTACCGCGACCCCTGTCCAGGCCTTTTGGTACATCGTCGTCTTGCGAACATGCAAGGTGGAAAGGCGATGGGAGCTAACAATTACAAGTATCTTCTTATATACAGTCATACATCTCTTCGCCTCTGTAATACATCGCCTCTCTTGATATCGTCTCTTTTCTCATTACTCTTTTTCTGGGGGATTTGTAACACCTTTCTATTTTCGTATTACCCATCCTTTCAAGGTTCACAAGCCGAGGCAAAATCTTTTGAAGAGTTAGCTGTGCTAGTCGATTTCCATTGCCTTCTTCAACGGCCAAAAAAGCGCATTTCTTCGCGGCATTGCTCGTTGAAACGAAGACAGCGCCGCTAACGCTTTGTTAAACGCTCTTGAATCCCCCGCGACCATTGTACTACCACACTGTTCCCCAAAGTATCTAATTTAGTCAAGTTGACATCTAGATACGCCGGCAAGGTTGTCCCCCACTCGTCACCAACTCGACTTAGACCCTCCCCGAGCCCGGATCACGTCGACCTCCGCTTACGGATTTCATATTAGACTTCCACCCCTTCCCGGCGACCTGTATACCTGCTCCCCTCGCTTAATATTCGTTATTGTAATAATTTATTTCATTTCATACACCTGCTCATGGGCTAGCAAGTTGCGATTTGCCATTCATCCTGGTCGTTTTTGAATGCCTGTCTAGTTTTGTGGTCTGATATCCCTGGACAAGGATTCATAATATTAACTGGACTGTTGTGGAACACTCGGCTTTTCTTGTTTATCAAGCCGGTCTATGAACGCCTATTCTGTCTTGCCAGTCTCGTCGCCTCATTGAAATGGTGTGGTCAGTCAGCACCTAATTGACGAGCTGTAATATTGGGAAGCCAATCGCAACGATACCTAGGTACCTACGAGGTTGTCTCCATTGGCATGTCTACGATTGGTCTTACTGCTGACCACCCATTCAAGATAATAACCTGCAAATTTACACAACAATAGTTAATAACATGGACGCCTGATCCTGGGGTGGTTGAATATCGAACTTCTTTTTGAAGATATCAGGGGTTGTCATGGCGTCCATCCGTTCGCGCTCGGAATCCCGGACGAGGTCAGGTGATGAATCACGGTCAAAGAGAAGGGGAGGGGTAATGGAGACATCGAGACAAGAATTCTCGCCGGCGTTAAGTCAAATCGCCCGGAAAGAGGCTGATAATGCCCGCCTTGGGTCTTCGTCAATTCCTCAGCCTAGGATGCAGCAGAGTCGAATACCTCAAAATGCTTCTGTTCGAAAGCTGCCCGGCCAGAAGACTTTGGCGAGACCTCCTTTAACTCACGAAACGCAGTCTTGGTCGACAAGTACCGGGCAGTCGTCCGCACGTGTACCGAAACCTTCCACATCGGCTGCACGTGGACAACCCGACCCGAGCCAACCTTCCCGTGTTGCCTTGCTTCGGAAACCACCAAGCCTATCCCAGGAACCGCCAAGTATGCTGAACCAGTCCCGTTCAAATTCAGGGAGAACGGGTTCATCCTCTTCAATCCCAAAGTCACAGACGTCTATGGATTCCAGCGTTCCTTACACGGATCGGAGCATCACCGCTAGCCCCGTTGAGATCCGAACAGCGCAGAAATTTGAATTGCCCCGAACGGCTATACAACCCTCTATGGTATATCCGGAGCTGGATCGCTATCGAGATATTGAAATCCCCATTTCGAGAGAAGGTCCAAGTATAGATCTACCATTTAAGCTCGCAACGGAGAACTTGCCACCGCCAACGCCACTCTTCTCCGGCGGGAGCAGTCACAGTCAACTAAGCACCTTCAGTGCTAGTCCTTCTACTAGGTTTTCCGAGTCACCGGGTCCCGGACCTTATAGCCGAGACACGACCCCGACCTCAATGTCGTCACAATCCCCCGGGCTAATCGTACCGCATCGCCTTCCTATTTCTAGAGCGAGGCAAGCAAGTCCGGCTGAAACCAGACCACCTGTAACCCGGAGAAGAGCCGGCAGCATACCAAATGAAGAAGAAGCTTTTGGCACCGACTCGCATGGCCTTGCAGCAGTCCGAGAAGTATTAACATCGTCATCGTCGAATTCGACGGTACGGCCCGATGACAGGAAGGAGAAGAAAGTACGTAGAGGACCAACTCCCGCACTGAACCCGCCTCCCAGGAAATCGTCCCAAAAGTTCAACAGAGAAAAAGTGGAAGTCGAACCCCTATCTAAAGTTCCTCGGATACCTACACGATCGTCCTTGAGATCACCGTCCCCAGCAAAAGTATCTGATTCGGCTCAGGATAGAGCTCGGAGAACTGCACCTACGTCGAGAATTCGACCAGCACCGCCCTCAAGGCCCAGTAGAGATAGAACACCTGACCTTTACTCTCAATTCGGTGGCCCAATGCCTATAATTCAGAGTAATCTATCTTCAACAAGCCTCGCGGACAAACGTTATAGTGGCCAAATAATACCTAGTTCCTTACCGCGATCAACGACGCCATCTACCCAGGAACGCTCAATTTCATCAAAAGCCCCGGTTTCTCGGGAACCTACTCCAGCACCACGACCAGGTGTTTCAAAAGCGGCTCAACCAAGCCAAGTAGAAAGGGGCAAAACCACTAGGACACCTAGCCCGGCCACGACGTTCAAAACACGATTCCCCCTCTTCGGGCGACGAACTAAGACGGCCCCAGAAGTACCACAGGTGGAAAAGAAAGAGAAACCTACTCGAAAAGGTCCAGCGGCTGGAACAGGCCACGAAGGGTATGGCAGAATCGGTGCAATTAGAAGACGTAGCGGGATGCCAGGCCCGATCTCTCCCCTGGACAGCCTCGCAAGCCCTCAATCAACCGACCAGTTCTTATTGGAACGAATGAATCCCGTGATAATTTCCGGTGGTGAAATTGTGGATAACCAAAATACGAGCTTCGAGTTAACAAGAACGGAAAGCAGCCAGAGCGTCGTTTCAAGTCGCCCAGGCATTGGTTCTCGCAACAACTCGTTTATTTCGGTATCCTCGAGAGAGGAAACGCGACAAACGCTATGGCCTTCAGCGTTTCCTCGACCGTCAATTCAAACTCGTCGCCCGTCTGAGAGTAGCGATTCGGAAGCGGGTGTGATGGGGCCAACCATTGCGTTTCGAAGGTCAATTCAGCGGCTCCAATCCCCCAGCCGCGCCCCTTTGAACCTACCAAAGCCCATCATCACTACACAGACGACGTCTCCATCAGTAGGAAGCGTAGATACGAGCACATTTACCGACGACTCGCAATTAGAATCACGACCGGATGCTAGTCGTGCGAAGGCCGAACTAAAGGCCGCACCAAAAAAGCTAACAAAACGTGCTAAATCACCTCGTAAATGGAATCTATTCAGTAGATCCCAAAGTCAGCCTTCGAAGGACCGCAAGAAAGTCGAGGCGAGTGTGTCAGCAGCAGTGAAACCTACGAAGGGTAAATCGGTCGCATTTTACACCATGATGGATTCTTCTGAACAAGACGAAACCGAGGACCAAGATGTTTGCGATATTTTGAGGGAGGCCGAGGTATTGGTTCCGTTCATGCCTACCGGCGAACATGGTCGAAATTTGTCCGAGAGCAGCCAGTCATTACTAGAAATACCGCCCAGTCATCAACTGCAAACGGAGAAAATTACCCCAGAACCAATGAAACGAAATCCGCCTAATGCCAAAGAATCGCAGAGATCTTCGATGTCGAAGTCGCGGAACGTAACTCCCAGCACTCCATCTTCCGCTACCCCGAAAGCCCGCCCAAGCAGGCTTCCTCAAGTTGGTAGGATACCTAAAGTTGTCACTACTCGCCCCGAACAGACATCTCCTAAGAGTTTCTCCCGTCCTTTCCATCGAGTCAGCCTGCGAATACCACCTCCCGACCTAAGCCGAGTCGACAGAGGCTCAGTTGCGAAAGGGCCAAGTCCGCCTAGACCCTGGTATCCGGAACAGACTCGAGAAGAGCCAGCAGAAACCTCTATCGAACAGGAACCGCCTAGTGGAGACACACCTCTTGGGCTAGGGTTTGGGAATGAGTTTCTTTCCTTCCCGCCCCCAAAAGATTCAGAGCGCACGACAAGTTCTGGATCCGGCAGCTCGGAATTAATAAATGTATCCAACCATACAGCGTTACCCCCGGCACCGAATGCCCCACTTACCGAGGATGAAATCTGGGATGAATATAACGACTTTTTGGGCGACACTCCGCCGTCGGCGACTTCTTCTCGTGGCACCCCTTTCCATCTGGAAACTTACGAGTCAAAGCTTGCGAAGAAATTAGGTCGGGTACCCGAATCGCCTACCATCGTAACCCATCATGCCAGGGACATTCGTGACTCTATCGAGACCGGAAAGGCTGCTACATCGTCAAGTCATTATAGCGCTGATATGACGGCTAGAATAAACGCTGCCTTTAGATTCGGCTCTGATCAGCCAGCTACGCCCTTCTCGGTCTCCGAGTTTGTATCCGGATATGGCGATCATGACAATAGCAACGTTCAACTGACCAACGCCTCCGCTTCCATAAAACGAGACAGTTCGTCCTCTAACAAAAGTGCCAAGACTAAACGAAGTTCCAGCAGCAGCCGTAATAGTGAAGTTTCGCCTCTTTCCCAAGTCAACCTTCGGGTCGGCTCAATGACAGTTAGCAAGTGGCTCTCGTTTGGCCATGTACTATTCAGTCCAGTCCGTGAGGACCTCATCAACGACGATGGTTCAAAACGCCAATCAATACTTGTCATTGATGGATTGGGCAACGATGACTGGTCCTTTTATGCAGCGGAGACGTATCCCAATGCAACATTTTTCAACTTGTCTCCCCGTGCACCTTTAACGCCAGAGCAGCGGTCGACCCCCTCATTTCCTCTCTCGCCGCCCAACCACCACCAGATCCAATTCGCTTCGCACATGGATAAATTTCCCTTTGGTCCAGACAGTTTCACAGCAGTTGTATTCCGGTTCCCTTCTGCGGCGCCGGAAACTCATTATCGGAATATTATTTCCGAAGCGCGCCGCGTTCTGAAGCCCGGTGGATATATTGAGTTGTCTATCCTTGACGTGGACTTGAACAATATGGGAACCCGTTCTCGACGTGCCGTACGCCGCCTCAAGGAGCAAGTCAACGCGCGCAATCCTGACTACAGCCTCAGCAGTACAGCGGACCTCATCCTCCGCCTCCTCGGCAAACGAGGGTTTACTGACGTCAAGAAATGTCGCGTCGGCGTGCCTGTTGCGAGTGCGATAACTAGTTCTTCTAGTGCTAAGGGGAAGAAGAAGGACGAAAGGAGCTTGGCAGAGATGATGAATGACAAGACCGAAATGGGCGACGAAAATATCACGAATATGGTTTCGAGAGTCGGACGATGGTGGTACAACAAATGTTACGAGACTTCGACCGGGAAGTCTACTAGCATTTGGAATGATAAATCTTTGCTGGCTGAATGTGAGGAGTGGGGAACGAGCCTCAAACTCATGGTATGCCACGCTAGGAAACCTGAAGTAGGAGGACGAGTTGCAAGCATATGATGTGGTCCTTGCATATAATGGTCTGGCCTAGGCGCCCCGAATCTTTATTCACGATATTTCCGACAACTCCTCCCTGGAAAATCGAATTTCTATCTACCTACTAACGAATATTCTTTATGATCAACCGACCAACATTTACAACAATAACACATTCCCGAAGTTAGACATCGCCTTGTCGCTTCCTTCAGCATTACGTCACAAGCAATATTACAGAAGCATCGCAAAAAGCATTTGCAACAAGATCTCAAAAGGGCGCGAGCCCATTCAGCATGAAAATCTAGTTTTTATTTATCAGACGGGCAGGGACCAAAGGACTCGAAGTCATTGCACATAAACTGGAGACCCGGGAAAACAGTACGGCTCCGCCAATATTATTCCCGTGCCCTTGATTGGGATCACGATACATTTTCATCACATTTCGCTTCTGGATATATACATGAACAACATATTTGCATCTTATTTTATCGCCGTCTTTTTAAAGGACTACCCTAGTCCGGGCAATTTTTACTATTTAATATTTTATTGCTCATTGTCGCGGGATTGGCCTCCGTGGAGGCTTCCGGAGCTCATGGACAAGAGTACTTGGAAGTTGGGTTATTTGGGACGGTTCTGGGTAGGGGAGGCTGCATCTTTGATATTCGTCGCGGCAATGGCTGGCTATTGCAGCCTCAACGGTCGCTTCGGTCAGCATGTGGTCAAGCATTTAGGCGAGCGGAGGGCTCTGGAAGCGAATTATGACGGGGAAGGGAAAACTGAGGTGATGCGATATGTGATGAGTGAAACGGTTTGAAGGGAAAAGTATGATGAGTCATGATATCTTATGATGGTGAGGAAGCATAGGAGTCTCGAAAATTGTTACGAGACAGTAGATATTTAGTACTCATATTAGCGAGCGCAGCGAGTCCAGAGATACCCCCATTCTTTTCTCATGATAATAAAAGCATCATTCAAACTTAAAATATTTCTTAATATGGTTCACTAAAGTCTGCAAGTGAGCTCTGAGCTTTGTTCAAATCCCAATATTGATACTAGCAACAAGTGGGTATTGGAGGAGGTAAATATCATCTCCTCTGCCTAAATAACATGACGTGCCTAGGTATTTACATCAAATGTATATACAACCATATGCTCCGAGTAAACCCGTTCGATCCCGTCCGCCCTTGAAACGCCGTTTATAGTGACCTTGGAATCCTAATACACTTGCAATGGTATAGTTGGGTATATGCAGGTTCTCTCTCCCTCCCTCTTCGCTTCTATCCTCTATGCCGTATTCCCCTCGTATATCGAAACAATAGATACTGGGTAGGTAAGACAGATAATATACTGGACAAATCAGCCCCGGAAGCTCCTGGCCCCGGGGCTTATCCTCCCTCCTCACCCCATCCTCACCCCCACAAGTTTTTCTCAACATGCCGACCTCCTCCGAAACATGATCTCGGCAGTCATGCTCGGGCTCTTGGTCATCATGAACATATTCGGCGCGGGCCGACCCTCGCCGTCGCGCAGCTTGATGTCGTAGTTCAGCAGCAGGTAGGCGAGCACCATCTTTATCTCGCAGGAGGCGAAGAAGCGCCCCGGACAGGCGTGCTTGCCTAGCCCGAAGTTCATCGCCGCGTCGCTGATGCTGGTGAATTGCCATCGCCCGTTGGGGTTTGTGGGAGGGTCGTCTGTTGGGGAGGGGGTGGTGGGGGAACTGCTGGTGGATTGTGGTTGTGATTGTGGCTGTTGGCGCAGCTTCCAGAATCGTAGGCCGTCGAAGACGTCGGGGTTGCTGTAGTACCGCGCGTCGATGGCGACGCCGGCCATCGGTGCGAGAAGGCTGGTGCCGGCGGGGAGGTGCGTGCCGTCGGAGAGGTCGATGGGTTTCATTACTTTGCGGATGAAGGATGCTGGATGTGTTAGTTTTTCTATATATTTTTTTCTGTGACTAGATGATAGGTCAAGTTCGGTTACGACCTTGATGTGTACTTACTGACGTTGCCGGACAGTCGTTGCGACTCCTTGATGAAGCTGTCCAGCTTTTTCAACCGCGGCATACTATCCTTCCTACCCCATGCCTCGTCGTCCTCTAGGACCTCACGCGCCTCCTCTCGTAATATCTCTTGCATGTCTTGGTGAACGGCTAAATCGTAAATGCAGTCCGTCGTGAGGTTGCTCGTCGTGTGTATCGATGCGGCACTCAAGAGCAGTTGAACTTTTCCTTGTATGTAGAAATCCCTCTTCTGGTCCTCTGGTAATGCATCCAACAGCCATTGGACAAAGTCGTCGGGTTTCTCATAGCCGGGAATTTCGGAATCACGGATACGCTCCTCGATGATGGGTGTTAGCATTGCCTGCGCCTTCTCCAGGTCCTTCTCGATCGTGCGTAGCTCTGATACCAGGTACTGTGCGGCGGGGCGCATCCACGGCGGGAAAAACTGTAGCTTGATGACCGCGATGAAGGCCGTCACGGCAAAGTTAATGCTCACGTCCATCCACTCCTCCATCCGGTTAAGCGCGGGTCCAACGAAAATACGTCCGCTTAAACGCGATACCGTCCGGATCATGAAGGGCTGGATTTTGAAGGGGGTCCATTCTATAATATCGATCAGTTGACTAGTCGTATCGAGCAGCACCGTTCATGTGGTCTACCTTCACACTCGGGGAACTCCGTTGCGATGATGTATTCGAGTTCCTCCTTGAGCTGCGGTGTCATCCGCGCAAGTTGCCCAGTCATCTTACACTTGAGGAGTAAGGAAAGGGTATCGGCATGTTGTCCAGCACAGAGCTTAGTGTATTCGCTGAGCATAGCCTATTCCAACTATTTAGCTCTTGGCATCTCATTAATAAAAACTAACTGGAGTTATATACGAACCTCTTTCACAGCCGTCCTCGCGCTCAAGGTATCCTCAGGAAGTCCCTTAAGCTCACCAACCAACGACGCCGGGATGATGGTTCTCACACCTTCCGTCGTCTTGATTTGGTATACAGCATCGCGAAACTATATGTAGGTTAATACTAGACGGACAAGTTTCAGGTCATACGATATGAACGAACCTTGGAATAGCTGTCCTTCACCAGGGTATCGGCGCTGAACATCCATTTTAATCGTGACGCCTTATAGAACGGTGCCGAGACACCACATTTTTGCTTGTCTGGTTGGAATAGCCATATACAGAGTAGTATCGCGCTAATAGCGACGTAATAACTTAGGCGACTACCGCCTAAGACGTTACTCGGTAATACATCTGCGACTGTTGTAAAGTTGGTGCGAGGGCTCGCATTCTCTATTATTGAAGGCATCGTGAGAAGGTAGGATGATGAGAAGAGAAGCAAAGGGGTTAGAAGAAGGGAATAAGGATAATTCGCCCGCGGCTCTCGTAGTAAACGGTGCTGATCATTAGTAGGTATCGTTACTTCCAGTAGACCATTCCGTGATTCTGTTGAGATGAATTCAAGTGGACAAGTGGACAAACGGTCCACGGCGTATACAGCGACGCTTCGAACCACGATCCACGCGAATTATTCAAATTAGTTAGCCGTACGGTTTCTCAACTCATACACTAATTATGACCGAAAGCTGAAAAGTTCTACTAAGAAACGCCCCGTCGGCGGATGTCGTCCAAGTCGAATGTAAACGTCAATTCATTCCCACTGTTGGATCATAACCATCACTTCCGGCTTTTCGAATCAAACGAATAATTTAATTAGCAATTCAAGGCCACTATAGGCTAGATAGAAGGGAATGAAGAAGAAGAGTAAGAGAAGAAAAAAAGAAGTGAATAAATTGTTTGGTCAACAAACTACTAGAATTAAAACAGTTTACATGAATGAGTTTCTCATGATACAAGGAGCTATCCAAGATGGAATCATGGATACCTGCGAAGGTAGGAGAGAAACACTCGCGACCCCATCGCGTCGAATATTCATCCTAGTCGTCTTGGCAAAGACGGCTACTACATAGAATGTCTTCTCACTGAAATCTAGTAGCATTTCGTGCCTCGTATGTAAAATTTAGAGACTGAAGGGGGTTGACCATGTCGCTGCTTTCGGTTTCCGACTAGGACCCTGAAACGAAGAGCTACTGGATTGAAGCTAAGTGTTCCGGGACGTGCCATCTCCGAACCCTAGCAGCCCAGTCGGCTCTTCTTTGCGGCTGGAAGCGCCTCATCTTTCCGGTTTTAGCAGGGCTTGCAGTTGAAGTACGGGATCGCAGTCTTCTAACGACTTTTCTAAAATAAAATAAAATATAGGTAAATATAAATAAAAATAAAAAATGTTGAGAACTCATCCTTCACTTTTCTATTCTCCTTATATATATTATACCTATTTCCTATTAATTAGCTAGCTAGGTAGGAATTCAGGAGTTCATACGAGTTACGGTGACAGTCCGGCAGACATCAAGCAGGCTCTACACTTCTTGGCACTGTCTCATCGGGCAGATCCCCCGACAAGGCCTTTATCCGCCCCGGCTTTAACGAGTCTGATCTTCGTGCGTAAAACTCGCTCGTTTTGGCTATCCTACACCTATTCTCCCTGGTCACGTCTCCGTACAGTCTGAGCTGCCAATAGATCTACAGCCCAACAAGCAATTCGGATCGATTGAGCGACACAATCGGCGCCGGGAATTGTCCACGGCACTGGGGTTCTTATTGTTCGCAGGGCAATTTCAGCCGAATGAGTCCATGTGCCTAGACAGCCCCGTAGCTTCGACCTGCCTTCTTTCAGGCTTCCACAAGTCTTATCTTGTTCGTGTCTCCACATCGCCAATGTTGTTGATGATCCCCCAAACTCCGAAGACATTACAGAATCGAAGCCTGCAATACTATAGGTAATTTATTATGTTTCCACATAGATAAGGCGTAGCGTCGGCTCTTCTCCAGCCGTAAGAGGCGCTCTAGCTCAACGCAACCTCTACATACCAAGAAATGAATAAAAGTTCTTCAGTTTCTCCACTGAACGTGAGGTATTCTGCCAGAATAGCGTCAGAATAAATGGGCCATGTGTGAACCACCCGAAATGGTACTGTATTACACTGTGTTTTGATCTATCCCCTATATTATCTAACTAGGAAATTGTCAGCTTTACCACAGCATCGAAGAGTCTAGGGGATAGTATACTTACAGTGTATTACAGTAGTATTAATACATGGCTCGCACATGGCTCACTTATTCTGACGCTATTCTGTCTGCCTACTCAACCGAAGCACGACAAGGCTTAGAATATTAAATTATGGCTGTGAATTGCGAAGAGCTGCTGATGTGTTCACCAGTGGCTTTGAAAACTAATGCTGCATCTATGACGGTAATAACTGCCCAGGTGGCTTCGTGGCGTATTATGGGAAATTCCATTGGCCTCATAATTACTCTACAGTGTATCACTACAGGTTCGTTAGGAGGCGGTGCGTGGAAAGTGCACAATTGGGTAGATACGGCTTACAATCTTTTGATGATAACACTTGTACTTGCCCTCTCTTTTTTGTTCTTCGTTCTTCGTTCTTCTATCACATCATACACTATAGACCATATTTATCGAGACGGTATGGCAGAGAAATAATGGAGGCTCTCGTTGCCGTAGGCCTTGCCTCGAATGTGCTGCAGTTTGTCGATTTCACAACTAAATTAATCGGCATTTCAAACGAACTCCGAAATCATGCAGCCTCATCTGAAAATAGAGACCACCGAGTGATTGCAACACACCTAGTAACCCTTTCCCAAAACATAAGTGATTCGGTTAAGGCGATCTCTCAAAATTCCGGCAATGCCTCGTCGGAAGAGAAGGTATGTAACACTATCCTTATTTCATATCTTTTACGATTTCGCATATTAATTTTAGGCGGTTCATTAGGATCTCCAACAAGTAGCCGATAAGTGCTGCGAGCTTGCGAATGATCTCCTAAAACGACTTGATGCGTGCGGTATCAAACCTGGTCAGAATGCTAGTCGACTTCAACGTGCCAAAGGGACCCTCAAGACCATTTGGAATAAACGAGAGATTGGTGAAATTTCAAGCAGGCTGGAAAACTTCAGAAGTGAATTGATTCTGTACTATGCGTTCCAAAATGGAAAAACGCAAGCAGATCAACAGCAAAGGCAGTCGAGTAAGGACGACATCCAAGCGATCTTGGACAGACTCGATGACCTAGGTCCTGTGATCGAGAGGGTAAAGCATGGTATCATCGACAAATCCAACGTTCAGCACTCTGAATTACTAAATTCCATTGCTGAGGCGCGGTCCGAGAATGCGCAATTTCATGCTCAGGCCTCAAAACAAGTCCTTGCGGATCAGTCTGCGGTTCTTGGTAAACTGGATGGACTCGAAGCTTCCATGACAACTCTAAATGTCGGCATCCAGGATATGCAGCGTCAACACTCGAGTACGATCGAACCCCTAGCGCAAGCCACGGTTGAGAACTCGACTTTCCTTGCCAGCATAGTCCAACATGTTTCTCTATCCAGCGGCTCCGGTAGCTCACTTCGACATGCGCTGCGGCCTCTTCTGGAAGAGTACAAGGAGACATTTATTGCGGAAGTGAAGAAGGAATTCCGAGTGGCGGCTCGGTCCGAGATGGAAAACATGCTCCAGAAAGCGTTCCCGGCACTTGATGAGATGCAATCTCGCGGCGAAGCAACTCAGCGAGAACATACCGCGGTAGTGGATGAAGTTAGTAGCGAAACAGGCCCGGGCGACTTCGATTCGCAAAGCTCTTTTGAACCACAGGATCCCGAGATTATCAGGAAACAAAACCCTGACCAATCCGATAAAAACAGGCTCACGATAATTTATCGTAAATCTTGGTTTCTTAAAACTAGCATAGGAATACTCTCGCTAAATATTCGAGATCGAATCTACTTCGATGCCTTTGGGAGTCCAACGGAGGTGTACGAGCTTGCAGCGCAATTTACCCCATCTCCACGTTGGTTCTCCACCGGTCGTTTGCTTATATACGAGAATAGATCCGATGCTAGAGGAAGCCCGGAATTCGGTCTCAGACTACGGTCACATCGTGTTCTCGATAAGAACCATGAAGTTTGGGGTGTCATACGTAGTGGCCACATCTCTCGCCTCTGCGATATGCTGTCGCAGAAAATCATTTCAACCTCAGATACAAATGCTTTCGGTAGGACACTGCTTTATGTAAGTAAAAAAATGATATGAAAGCGCGATAGTTAAGTAGAAGGTGCTAAGAAAATACAGGTTGCTGTGTTCGCCGGTCATCTAGACATCTGTAAGGTGCTGGTGCAGAGTGGTGCCGATATCAACGCGCACAATGGGTAACGCACTGTGATCGAGGATACCGTTGAGTTGCATACTAACGAGGTCGTTGTTAGTTTCGGGCAAAGTATTATAGAAAATGCAATGTCTCCTCTTGTATTATGGATAAATCGACAAGGCAGAGATATATTTCACTATCTTTTGAGTTTAGGAGCCAACCTAGAAGATTTATGGTTAAACGATTTAGCACTCCAGTACATGGCCACGTCAACATTATACATAGTCACTCAGGAATCACGACAAGACAACATTGATCAATTTCTTCGGGACTGGATACCATTATGTCGATTGGTAGACTTCGATTTTCACATTCCTGATGGATTCACTTTTTTAGAGGTTGTTATAAAGGACCAAACAATATACGAAACTTGGTTCTATAATGAACCCGCAATATCGTATATCCAGTTTGATGCAATAGCTCAGTTAAAGATCGAGGGTTCTTCTTTGGCGGATCCCTCGGGTAGACATATGGCGTTTGCTACTATGAGCTTATACTATGAGCTTAGATTAGCTAATGACCGATCAGGCATATCTAAAGAGGCCTCACCTACGCTATCAACCTCTTACCGCGACTATTACGTGAACACGCAAGTAGCTAACCGTTTATTATTTCTGGAATACGTCATATCGAAACAAATTAATGAACGCCCTGACAGCATTTTTTCTACCTATTATGGTGACTCGACATCGTATAAATTCTATCACTCTCGCTGGAGAAGCATATGGGAAGGGATATTAGAAGACCATGGGTTCGACGTTGGCTGGGTATATAGGGAAGATGATAGACGGCGCCGTGTAGGCGTAGGGGAAACCACAGCTCACGAAGTCGATGTCGTTGTCGATACCTCTCAAGCCTTGGAAGTGAAACGGCGACGAGGCTACGAGAATTCCGACGACTAAAAGGATTATAAGAGGAGTTATCTAGATATCAATTTTATCATGTTACTGTTCCAGATAATGCTAAGAGTTAATAATCTTCAAAGTAAACATAGACTTGAAAAAAACCAAACCCGTCGCGGTCGTACTGGTACAGATACGTTATGAATCCATACGTATCTGAGATAAGCTATTTGTTTCCTCTAAAAACGCCGTATAGCCAGTATTTTTCCAACCCACCTCCCAACTCTTTTTCGCAACACCACAACACCTTTTCTTACTCTATACTGATCCCGCAAAGTAAGAAGAATATAAAAAAGGACAACCTCCTAATACCGATCCAACGCCAACCATGCCCACAGACTTTCAACGACTCTCAACCGCCGCACCCTCCGTAACATGAGGTTCAATAACACCCGCCATCTCCGGCTCCCGCGCCTCAGCCGCCTGATCGCCCGTCTCCAGCACATCGTCCTTAGCACCAACACTCTCCACCGCGGCCTCCGCATCGCCCATACCCACGATATCGATCCAGCGCCACGCATCAACAACGCCATTCCCACCACGATCGAAAATCGCCCTATCATCACTCACCCCATCGTCAGAACCGCCATCGCCCCCCTCGACCACAACACCAACAACCCCACCCTTCCCATCAATCCCACTCTCCTCACCAACACCCATCTTCCCCTCCGCAACCCCATCCACCAAATCACCCGTCCAAGTCCTCGCAACCGGAACCCCATTAACACGGAGCACCTGCAGCAGGGCCCTGCGATTAAGCCTCAGCGCGCGATCGGGTTCCTCCGATTTATAGATCTTGAACATGAGCCAGGGGAACAGGACGCCGAAGTCAGATTGACTGAGGTGGGCGGAACGCTCGACGAAGAAGAAGTGCGGCTCGGCGAGCTTGACGCCGGAGCTGTAGAAGGCGGAGGCGAGGACGGAGGGCGCGGAGGGGGAGGGAGAAAGAGCGCGCGCGGTTACGTGGAGGTGTTCTTTCCAGTTGTGGAAGTCTTCGGAGGATACGGCGAGGAGGGCTGTGCCGCCTGGGGAGGGGGAGGGGGATGGTGACGATGGTGGGGATGTGGGGGAGGCGTAGGCGGGGAGGGGGAGGTCCCAGAGGGGTTTTGTGGTTTTGGAGAGGAGTGGGAAACACCACATATCCATGAGGATCGTCACGTTACGCGGTGTCACTTGCCGGTATATCGAGGAGTCGCGGGAAGGTACGTATAGCGGGTCCGTCATGGCCTCGAGCTCCGGGCGGCCGGCGTAGAAGACGGATTTGAGGAACTGGACCATGGTGGCGGAGCCGAAGCTGTGGCCGGCGAAGATAATACTACCGGGCTCTTGCACGTGCAGTTGTCCGACGAACTGCGCGAGGGAAGGCGTGCTCTTGTTTAGGTTCGTCAGGGCCGATCCCCGGTCGATTCCTAGTAGAGCCTCGTGCACTAACCCCATCTCCCATAGCCGGATGCGTAGCTGGTCGTTGCGCAAGGCATGAGTCTCGTCGTTGGGGTCGTGTGGGATGCGTCTGTACGGCACTTCGCGTCGCGTATTACGTACGAAGTATCGGTTTTGCTGTGATGGGATCCGGATGAACGATTTGACGGCGCTGCCGTCTCGGTGCTCGGGACATATGACCACGACGCCGTGAGAGGCGAGGGACCCGACGATCTGCGAGTATGCGTTCCTGCTGCCGCCGAGGCCGTGGGAGAAGATGACTGTCGGCCATCGGTTGTTCGGGGTGTTGGGCTCGAGTATCGGCGCGTTCTTAACGACCGGTATGTAGGTGTAGTGGAGATGTCTCGGTAAGAAGCTATACATAGAATTGCGATTAGATACTTTGCCTCGTGTAGATCTGACAACTGTAATGACGGTTTCCGACTTACGAGACTGCTTGTGCCACTAATTGCCCGACTCCTAGAAACTGTATGTAGGCAGATAGGTGATCACGCTGCGGAGCCGGGAGCCATGTGATACGCTTGCCTTGGGCATCCGGGTGCGCCGGGTAGAACATCCGGAACTGTACCGTCTCTATATCGGCTGCATTGTCTGGTGCTGGGGCTGGGGAATCAAGCTCTGAAACTGGTATCTCAACATCGGCGGTACCGACTTTGTAAGGACCGGTATACTCTGGGAAGCTGGGGATAGGATTTAGTCGTGACAGGAGAGAGCTCCACTTGTCGGAGCTCAAGGAATTTGCTGGTTGCGCCATGGATCGTCGCCGATGGCTTGATATTGTCCGAATCTATTAGAAGAAGTGTTCCGTAACGGTCGGCGTTGATCTTGTCGGATCGAATTATTCGGGTATCTTATTACAGCACAAACGAGTGATTCAGAACTTTAAAATGATAGGTAATCGGAAATTCGTAAGATCGGGTTTCTCGAAGTTCGTTCGTATTAATCGATAGAGAAGATAAAATTCAAGGGCTTGCCGGCGCTAACGATTAAAAAAAAGTGATTTCACGGAGCACAGCCTCGTCGCTTCCGGTTAAGTTTTACTCGGCAAGTGTACAGAAAAGGAAGGACGTCTATTAATAAATATAACAGGGATATCACAGAAGAATGAAGGTTTGTCTTTTTATTAGAATGATCTATGAAGTATAAAATGTTGAAGGCGTGAAGGTGCAAAGGGTATAAGGTTTGGTTATCTTAAATCTAGAGAAGGAAAGATGGATGGCCTGATTGTTGAAAGAAATTCCCTTTCCAACCTGGAACTTCCAAGGTTGAAAATAAACTAAGTTAGCCAATGAGAATTCACAATTCCTTGGCTTCTTCACCTTACCTTAGCTGGGTAACACGTCATCAACCCAGCTAATACGTGTGGCTGAGTCCTTGAACATATTCTTTTGTAGCACTGACACCTACTACTAATTAAATACTATGACAATTTAAGATTTGGGATAACTCTTATTTTCGTTTGAATTCATATTTGATCACACGATGGTCGCGTGCTCCAATGCGAAATTCAGAATAGTTCCCGGAAAAAAAAGTAGAATGCCCGGCGGACCCGACTAACTCAATGCCGGGACGTAGTGTGCCATCGAAAGTTTTATAGCTCCCCTAGCGGACCCTTGATTGCATCATCCTGCATTTGCACGTGAAGGGGTGCATTAGATGGCTTCTAGTTCCTACAGATTACCGCTCCTAGGTATCAAATGCTTACAGCACCATGAAGTATAAAATTTCTATGTATTACCGGATATCCTAGCATCCATGGAGAAACCCGTCTAGCTCTAAACAGTCAACTCTATATCTCTATATACCCAATCAATGTGCCCTTTAGAGACAACTGGACAGATATTAACATACATATTACATGTTCGTACACGTCGAAGATAATGACTCCAAGTTGAAAACTTGGTAAGTTCATTGCCACTCGGCATCAACCTTCTCCCACTTGTCCAGGAATCCCTTAAAGAACTTGACACCCAGACCAGGATCCAATGATCCACAGGTAGCACGGATAGAATGCATGCTAAGCTGAGCCATTCCCGCGTCGATGGACTTGACGCCCAAGGCACTACTTAGCATAGGACCGACTGTGCCACCGCTTCTCGAGTCGTTTCGAATCTGGAAAACTTGTGGTGTGCAGTCGCTCAACTCGCAAACTCTGGTGATTATAGCGGTCGAGACTGAATCCGTAGTCATGTGACCATTACTATCCGCAGCGATAGATATTCCAACGTTAAGTCGAGGTGTGTGATCCTCTAGATAACGGCCTAGGAAGTTGGGGTTCACGGCGTGGGTGACATCGGCCGATACGAGGAACGATTGTGCGTACGTCTGGCCTAGGATACCAGGACCGAACGTCTTGCTCTCCCCGCACAACGATTCCACCGTTCTCTCGATGACAGAAGGCAAGAAATTACCCCTAGCGCCCTGGCGCAGAAGAGAACCAATCTCTTCGTCGTCAAAAAGTGCAACTAGCTTTATGATTCCGTCGTCGTCGTTTGCTTCCGAGGCTAGTAATCCCTCAAATGCAGCCCAACTGCATAACTTATCATCGATCCTGCCCGCGAATATGAACTCCTTATCCAATCCACCCACTGTTGCGGGCTGGAGATCAAAGAGCTCTAGTTCCCAATTTACAATTTGCGAGTAGTCTTCTATACCAAGCTCCTTCGCAATTATTTTGACGAGTCTCGGCGGCTGGGTGGCGGCAAACGATCCAGCCGGACCGAGAGGTTGAGCCGTTGATGATGAAATGTCAGAATTGTCAAGTCCGATAATTGGCACAGCCTCAGTCTCCTTGTTTTGTTGGCCCATTATCCCAACGCCAAAATGCGGTGCGAGTGTGGGTATTTTAGCAACTATATCCAATTAGTATCAAAACGATTATTGTCTACGGATAAGCTTATGCTTACTGGGCCAGTCGAGTTTGACGAGCTTGCTTGAGGTCTTGCCGGACTCATCTCGTACAATAACTCTACCTCCGATGCTAAGATCCCGATCCCACCAAGTTTCGTTTAGACCACCAGCGTATGGGGCGACACCTAGCTGAACATAGCCAGCCTTAGTTGGTTTGTTGCTGACAGGCTTGAGCTTCGCGGTCAAAGCATCGATATGACCTGCAACCATAGCAACACCGTTACCAGGCTTAAATGCCTTTCCAACCGTAAATGCGATGACGGAGGTACCATTTCGCGTCACGAAATATTTGCCACCAGCCTCGAGTTTTCCGGACCAATCATCCCGTGCGGGAAGTTCCTTGTAACCAAGGGATGATGCCTTGTCCTTGAAATAACCAACAGCATGGAATATGGTAGGATTTTCCTGCATAAACTTAAGGAAGGGTTCGGTGAAAGCCTCAGGCTTCGTTGACATGACTTTACACAAGGAGCAGGAGTTTCGGTCGTCTCTGAGTCGGAGGGCGAGTGATTCGGTATGATGCTCTGGTAAGTCTCGGTAGCAAGAATCGCAAAGGCTCAACCAGCCACAGCCAGCCAAATTGCCTACAATGAATGCTTTTTCAGCATCGGACATCGTTTTCTTCTTCTCGAATTCGGAAGGGTTCGCGAAGCTGGATAATCGAGAGGTGTTTAAGGAATTGGCAGCAGCAACGCTTCGTAAAGACATGTTGGAGCTGCGTTGCCGTAGGAAGTCGGACGTGTGTCGAGTCATGATTGAATAAACGGCTTTCGATTTGCAGATAAACTAGGTACCTGGTCGCAAGAGATTTCAACAGAATGTAAAGTTCTTTTAGACGCCGTCTATGCAGAGAAATTAGGTAGTTAATGTTCTGGAGGATCAACAGGAGAGAGGTTGGGAAATGAGGTCAACAAGTTCAGAGCTCAGCCGGAACCGCTGTGGATAAGCTCCCAGTCCACGGTATCGCAATTGATAAGACATGTTATCAGCTGCCCTTTCCCAGATGACCTTCTCCTTGCAGGGGTTCTCCGTCAGGTACCCGCGGATCTCACCTCCCCACCTACGGCAGGTACACCTAGCAATCCAAGATCCATCAATTGTTTGAATTATCGGCAGGTAATAATGCTCGGAAATTGTTTTAGTGAAATGTACTAGATATGTATCTGTAGGGAAAAAAGAGACATATTCATACAAACGGCTTGGTAGGTACCTAAGTATCCTGCAAACGATGATGTGATTCATCAATCCTCCAAAATAGCGCGAGACAGCGGGGCTCTTTGGAAGACCAGACAAGAGATTTATCTACCTGGCATAGATCTGTAGAACATGACTCTGCTATTCCATTCAAGCGCATGCACAGTTCATATAAACCCCGTAATTATTGCAGTTGCACCGTCATAGAAAAAGATATAAAGTAGGATCTGTACAGTAGATGGTAGTAAATCTATTATAGAATTAAGGACAAAAAAAGATGATGAGAGTGGGATTCGAACCCACGAGGGTTTCCCCACGAGGAAATCGCGTTAAGATTGAGACCTTAACCTCGCGCCATGGACCAACTCGGCCATCTCACCAATGAATTGTTGAAAGTCAAACTTGTAATAGACTAGATATAGGATGGGTTGACAAGAGGCAGAAGGGCGGACGGACGCACCAATGAACGTCTAGTTTCCCCTTTAGGCAATGCGGGGCTTGGCAAACTTTTACTTGGACGGACTTCAACTAATTCCGGAGTTCAAACGATTTTCACCCTTTTCCAACGTAGAATTCCTACGACAACTATTCGATCAGCTTGGTTGCTAGTTGATGAGCCTTCCAAAATAAGGTCAGAGTTTATTAACACGCTATTTCCAACGACTGACGATGTCTGAGTCTTAGCTGACGCCATCCCAAGTCAGAATCTGTAAGATTTTGGGTAAAAGTAATAGAACTTGTGATGCCGGACCTCGCTAGTGTCGGACATGTAGGTGCTCCATTTCCTCTCCGTCTTGCAGAATATCTACCTTGTACCTATCATAAAATTTACATATAATCGCCTGTTAACCGGCTTGTACGGTCCCCACCAGCCGCTTCCCGGACTGGGCAATCCCACCAACAAGCATGGCTGTAGCAAATTACAAGAAGAGAAAAAGCGCTTACCAACACCGGTGGATATCAACTATTACCGTGTGGTTAACTTTCTTTAAATAGGTTGAATCATAACCCTCGCTTTCTTTTGCCATACCCATGAAACCTATCTTAATCAAGGTGGTTACACCACGGTAGCGATGATGCACAATCCTATAAGATGTCTAGCCTCATCGGAAAACCCGGTCGAAGACAGGCTGATTACTAAAGATCGGTACCTAATAGGAACTTGCGGGATGAATACCTACCTACATATGATCACCTGTCTACCTAGGTAGGTAGTACCTATATAAGTGATATTCTCCTTTTCCTAGGTAAATAGTATCTCTAGTCATTCTCTACGTTGAATTTACATGTCTAGATGTCCAATATGAATTTCCGCAAATCGGCTGTATTCGCATTCCTACTCGTATATGTGATTATACTCATCCCATGGGGAATTATTGATAATAAACCACTATTTGTCAAAACGTTCGGGATCAGAGTTCTCATTAATGTTGCTGTACTAAGAGTTTTACGGTTCTTCTATTTTATCTTATTATACCCTAGTTATTTCTCGCCTTTGAGACATCTACCAGGACCAAATGTACGGCATGAACCAGTTAGTATCTCGTATAGTATCTAACCGTAATTCTAGGACCATAATCTACTTCTCGGCCAAGAAGTAAAGAAATTTCAAGCCGAAAGTCCCGTCGACATCCAACTAAAATGGATGCGTCAGTGGCCAGACGCGCCCTTCATCAGGTATCGCTCGTTCGCGGGCAACGAAGTTCTACTAGTAAACAGCCTAGCCGCATATAAAGCCGTCCTCCAGACCCATGTGTACGACTTCATCAAACCACCGTTCTTCGCACGATTAGTCGGCGAAATCACCGGCGTGGGTCTGTTATTCGCGGAAGGAGAGTCTCATAAACACGAACGAAGATTATTGGCCGGACCGTTCTCCGTCCCGAGCATGAGGAAACTACTCCCCGTGTTTCGAGAAAAAGCGAAGGATCTTTCTGAGGAGTTTGAGAAGTTGCTCGGGAATAAACCTTATGCTGCCGTAGAAAGTAAGACACCAATCAATATATCTCGCTGCTTCCCCCGTTGCCATAAGACTAACATTCGATACTGTAGCAATCGAGACTTTATCAAAGTCAACTATGGACACCATAGGTGTGACCGTGTTGGGGATTGACCTAGATACCCTATCATCGATGTATCCGCAAAGTTTCCAGGAACTTTACGGACGGGTACTTCACCAGGGTCCTATAGGTCAACTGATTTCAGTCGTCAACGCTTTCATACCGATCCGGAAATTTCTCCCCTTCGGAGCGAACCGGAGATTCACTCAGGCAACGACTGATCTCAGAGAAATGCTGCGAGATATCATCCAAAAACGCACTGCGGAGTTGGCCGACGGGACATTTAAGGAGAAGAAAGGAGAATCTAGAGATCTCTTAACCTATATGTTAGAAGAAGCTCAATTGCGTCAACAGGAAACGCATAAGCAAGTCTGGTCTGTAGACGACATTATTGGTCATGTAAGAAAATTTCCCTTTCAGGGTTCTCAGTACACTGATACTAACAAAACCATGTATTTAGCTTCTGAATTTCACATCCGCAGGTTCGACTGACATTCTCCTCATCACCCTAAAAATGCCTACCTCCCAAAACTAACCCACCTCCCCCCAGGCCACGAGAGCACAGCAACAACCATATCCTGGTCCCTCTACGTCCTCGCAACCAACCACGAGATCCAAAACCGCCTACGATCCGAAATCGCCTCCCTGCTAGCCACAAACCCAAACCCCGACTACGACGCCATATCCAGCCTCCCGTTCCTGCACAACTTCGTCCGCGAAGTACTCCGAGTCTTCCCACCATGTGCGCTCCCCCCTTTACCCCCACCGCACCCCCAACTTCATAAACCCCCAAACTAACCCCCACCCAGCATACATGGCCCAACGTAAAACCACCCGCGCCCTAACCATCGAAAACGTGCTCATCCCACAAGGCACCCAAATCGACATAATAATCCCACTCGCGCACCGCGCCCCCTCAATCTGGGGTCCGGACGCCGAAACCTTCAACCCCGACCGCTGGACCGCGCTATCGGGCAACGCAGCCAGCCCGTTCGCCTTCGAAGCCTTCCTGCAGGGCCCGCGGATATGTCCGGGGCGCAACTTCGCGCTGATCGAGGTGAAGGCCGTGCTCGTGGAGCTGGTGTCGAAGTGGCGGTTTTTAGGGGTTGAGGGGAGTGGAGGGGAGTTGTTGATGGGGGGAGAGGAGAGGGTGGGGAAGGGGGTGAAGATTGCGAATCCGAGCTTGACGTATAGGCCTGCGGATGGGCTTTTTGTGAGGTTTGAGAGGTTTGGTGAGTGATGCATCTAACTCCCTCCAGGTCTATTTGGTTGTAGGTATTTAAATTGTGGTTTTTAATGATTCATGATTGTGATGAGAAGGAAAATAGGATATCATATTATGTTTAAACATCACCTATCAAAACGCAACCCCAGCTAAAATCTATCTATCTGTCTATCCTACGCTATCTAACCATACTCCAACCCAAACTTCAAATCTATTAGAACCCCCCAAAATTATTCGAGCTATGTACAAAGTCTATTCCTATTCCTATGCTACACATTAGTCCCACTCCCCTCCGCCTTAACCAATCCTTCCGCCCTCCTCGCTTCCAGACGCTCATCAATCATGCTTCCCGTACTCTCGTCATCGTCATCTTCCCCTTCGCTCTCCTCAATCGGCGCCTCCGCTAAATCCGCATCGTTGTCTGAGGTAGGTGCCTGGGTCGGCCGTCTCCGCTTTTCGAAGTCCTGCTTGTGAGCGTCGGCTATAATACCGCGGATCGATCTCGCGCGCAGGACTTCCGGCTTCCTACGCCAGCGCATCGTGCTTCCTTCCGCGAGTCCCTGGGTCTGAGCTTCCGAGCTTGCGCGTGTGTTGGATTGTTCGCGACCGAGGGCTGAAGCACCGGCCGTGCTGATATCGACGGCGCTTGCGCTTGCACCTTCGACAGGAACAATAGGCATCGTGGAAGTGCGGCGTTGTTCCTCTTCTTCGCTGCTGACGCGCTCGACAAGAGGCTCGTGGGGGTGGAGGTGGTAGGGTAACGGCACGTCCCGGCTGGCCTTGTACTGAGCCACATTGGCGCAGTGTTCGTTTTCAACACGAAATAAGGCCCACATCCCGCGACGGGTAACTTCCGCTAGTGCAACAAAAAAGGATACGAGGGTGCTGTGCTGCTTGTCGTGGGTGAAGATGGCATAAAATATCCAACCGAAACGCAATATTGGGTCAAGAATCATGATTGCGTAGTACAACCAACGGCGCTTGAGCCCAAGTATGTCGCGCAGAAATCGGTGTCGTGTGTCGGGTTGGAAAAAGGAAAAATCCATGAATAAGTCCCATATCGCTAAACTTTATGTCAGGATATTATCTACCTAGGTAATTATTATTGAGGAACTTACATGTGTAGATGCCGTTCATGGTGGAGAATGTAACAAAGAGGCCGAGATTCGAATCCGTAGCTCTCATACGGTATATCGAAAGTGTCACGGCCGCCATAATGGTCATGCCGTACTTGCCGCCGTTGACAAGATGAGGGAAGACATTTCTAGTATCGCGGTATCGGCGAATACATTGCAGCGCGCGCCATATTGGAGGAAGCGCCGAAAAAAATCCCAATAAGCGGGAATTGTTGGAGTTGCATTGAACTGGGTTGTTCCAATGGCGCGAATAGAGGCAGAAGAAGAGTTCAACGTTCTTTTCCACGGTTAATCAAAGGGAAAGGGTTGATACCTATTAAGATATGAATTCTGCTTACCGAAGTGGCATATGTAAGGGAACAATACATATCGCCGAGAAAGAAGTCCCGAAATTCAACGGGATATAGTCCAGCGAAGAATAATCGATACTAGAAATTATTAGATTAAAGTCATGGCCAGTCAACGGGGGTACTTACGTGGGAATACATAAGCCATTGGCGACTTCTATGCCATAATATCGGCGCTGGCAGAAGAAGGATAACCAACGTAATGACGATTAGGATCACTGGATAGTACAGATATAGCTCAGAAGACCCGTATCTAGTAAAATTTATCCAGAAGAATATGCCAAAGAGCAATAGGAAGAAGCTCGGAAAGCTTGAAAGTTGTCTCCAGTCCAAGTTATTTCTTGTGTCAAATTCGAATATGAAAGGGTAGTTGATCTTATTGCGTGTCCACATATAGCAGTCAAGGCAGAATGCGAACATAAGAAATAGCATTAGAAAATAGCCAGCATATAGTTGCATGAGGTAGCTGGTCTGTTGCTGCACTTCCGGGTCTGGATCGAACAAGAGTTCAGATCCATATACGAGGCCCTGAAGGGCGAACACAGCTCCTGTGCCGATGAAGAGTCCGTTCTGAAATGCATTGGCTGATTCATCTCCTGGTCTTCGGTTTAGGCGATGCAATTTCCCCGAAGCGATTTTATGATTCCCTTTCTCGAAGTATCGCGCATAAAGGTCCTCAACAGAATGAATGTATCCTTCAACAGTGGTGCTATTTACGAACCACGATTTGTTGACTTTCTCATTCATGTACCGATAAGGTGGTCGAGCATTAACTGCTTTGTCGTATTTCTTATTCAGCTTTCGGAATGCGGTCCGGTTGAGTTGCGCATATGATTGAAGGAGTTCTAGTCCTCTGTAGAATTCCTGCAACGCCAATTTTAATTTTCGCTTCGCTGTCCTGTAGGATACTTCATGGCTTGTAGACCGCTTGATGTAATCCCTTCTTGCTTCAGTTCCCATTGCACTGAGTACAGGAGTGAAATGCAGCTTGGAGAAGGCTTTTGAATTAGCGCCGGGCTTGAATATCCTGGACTTGATCGGCTCAACCCAACCATTAGCACTAGATGAGACCCCCTTGGTATCATGACTGCTGCTGTCTTCACCTCTCTCCTTACGTTGTCTAATTTCGGCCAATTCTCGATTTCGCCGATTTCGCATCTCGTGCAATTGCTCCCGCAAAGCTGCTAGGCGTTGTCCAGCTTGTTCTTCTTTTTGGCGATAGAATGTCTCGACTTTGTCTAGCTCGCTATCTAGGAAATCGAAGAATTCCTTTTCACGATCCCTAACAGTATCAATGGTCTGCAATCCATATCCGAACTTCATACTTTCATTTCTCGTGAGCTGCTGGCTTAGGTGATGACCTGCCGAGAAAATTCGCCGTAGTCTGCCCGGCGACGGGTTTTCTTCAAACGTAGCCCGAGAGCGGGTAGGGGTCGCTGGTGGAGGAAGGATTCCAGATGGAACCGCAGCACCCATGGACATACTACGCCGTGCAGATTGCCGGCTCATAGACTTTCGAAGCGTCTCAGAAGGCCGAGGTGGGGGTGGAAATGGATCGCTTGACATTGCGGGCTCGCCCAATGCAGGACCAGGCAATTCAAAGACATTCCAACTATCAGCAACTGAAGGCGGCGTAGGCACGAAACTACCATATTGTCCTTCGTTGCCCGGCGACCGCGTCAGCGATTGACGCTCCGTCCTAGCGGGAATTGGTGTCGGTTGAGGCTTTGGTGTATTATGGGCTCCCCTATTCGTTTGCCCCATGGGTGCGGGGCTTTCTCGCAGGGACTCAATCTCATCTGCAGTAGGTACTTCAGGGGCGCCATTTTGCTGACGGGCAAATTGGCCTGAACGAGGAGTCGCCTCGTGCTGTGGGAGCTCACTTCTTCTTCTGACAAAGGCTCGCGGTGTTCCGTTTGCTTTATTGATTGACCTCGAGACAGCTTTGATGTATTTCTTGCCAGCTTTGTAATTTAGATACTTGACCCGCCATTCTAGATACGAGATCAGTCTTTCTGTCTATCCACAGTCTCACCGCCAAGAAAAACCATCTATCTCGAAGGTCTGGCTGGGCTTTCATAGGTGGTACATTATGTCTTAGTACTCACCTGGGACAAGATCTTGGTCGAGTTCTTTAGCAAACTTCATGACGTCAAGGAGATGTATGAAGGATTTAACCTTCTGAACCTTAGATCTATGTTGCTATGCATAGGAAGTGAATTGAATTGGGAATTGGAGATTGGAGAATGGAGAGGTTGAACATTCGAAGAGGTATCAATAATGAGCATTGAGGGATCATGTCATAGATTAAAACGCTGGAACTATCGCGCGCCAATAGACGAAGAGTTGATTAACAAACGAAGAATTGAGTTCCTCTTAGTTCATTCTGTTTGATAAAAATCTAAAAAATCTCATCTTACCTATTTGGTACTACAGCAGATTACTGGAAGGCGCCGCGACCAGAACTTTTTTTATTCGGTGGGTCGTCCCCATGCAAGTGAGCAATGATCCAGACCCATCTCTACCAAGGTTGTGACCCATAGTGGACACAATTATAACTTTCCGATGGATAATCGGCACTAATCTATTAGTTGATAAGTGTACATATATAGATATGTACATCAATACCGCATCTCATATCTTTTCTTGAAGGATTGTTCATCCAATATGTGGCTTTTTACAGAATACAACCGCACACATTGGCCTATGATGCATATAATGTGCCGATGACGTTGTTCTTCGCTCAGATTGGAGACCGAAGCTGACCTCCGGCTTCGGATATTTCCGTTGCATAGGTACCAGGTACTTGGGTAGGTTCCGGGCTGAGCTGAACCAGAATATCGATATCGTGCTTCATCCAGTAGATTAACATGGGAATAGGTACTTAACTCAACTCCATTTGTGAAATCGGGCTTTGCAGGCACCGATAAGTTAGTGAATACGCCATCTCAAGCCACGATTATATGAGACATTCGAGGTACCCAGCATATGCCTGTAGCCTAGCGTTGTGCTCCTTACCCCTTTTACCTATTGCCTATTGCCTATTATACTATGATATGGTGGACGTTGGTTAACTTACTAAGCTATATTGGTGCAGACACCCGACCAGTGTAAATCAATTATACGAAAACTAAATTCTGACACTGCAACTTCGAATCAATTGAGGATGTAATTCCTTGGCACGGAACAGCATGTTGCGTCTTTGTAATAATAGGATGCCATAGCCACCCGTGAAGAGGTTGGTTAAAAAATACGACCATTTTGCTTTTACGGTATGGATCTCATGCGGTGCAGCCCAAGTCCGAAACAAGGCGATTATCATGATTAAGAAAAAGGTCGCTCGCTCGCCTCATTCGCCTATGTTAAAACTGACAGCCAAACACCACCAATCTATTACTACAACACATGTATAGCATAAGCACTTACACGGGCCAGTCTTTATAAGCTTTGCAGTCTCTGGCAAGTTTCGAAATTTCGATGCATTCCTTTTTCATAGTAACTGACTGAGTTTAGTGAATATCTAACGTAACCAACGTACCAACTTGAACTCCCTGATATGCAAGGCCAATGAAAAGGAAAATAACAAAGCAATTGTACAGCTTACCTAGAAACATGGGTTCCTAGTAAGTACTAGGTGATTGACAAAAGTTGCATTCGCATACAAACGCCGAAATGGTTCAAAAATAGGCTCAAAATATTATTATTGTAAGTTTCGCTCAATTACTAGATGTAGGTAGGCACGAAGTACGTGACTGTGAAATGGTGTTTTATAGGGGGTACAGCGACAGTCAGCAGCTAACCACAATCCTTCGAGCTTATTTCAACGGTCGCTCCAAATTTATCCACTTAGAAGGCGCTCGATCTCTCAACATCAACTCACAACCTCATTGGCCTCGTCAATGAGGATGAAAACACCAAGTCCGGTGTTTCAATAAGCACTCATAGATAGACAATACAATTGCTTTCCATCTCAAAAACCTTCATATCTACTTTTCCATCCCCTCATATTTCTCTCCCTAAAGCCTCACACACACTCACCATGGCCTCCCAATCTTCCCCAACGAGGCCAACCCCTCGCATCATCATGTACTACCAAACCACCCACGACCCGGACGGCAACCTAATCTCCACCCTACCGCTAATCACGCAACCCGGCATCTCCCTAACACACCTAATCGTAGCCGCAATCCACATCAACGAGGACCCAGACGGCCTAACCCTCAACGACCACTCGCCCTCCGACCCGCGGTACACGACAATGTGGGCTGAACTACGCATCGCACAAGCCAGCGACATCAAAGTCCTCGGGATGCTCGGCGGCGCCGCCAAAGGGTCCTTCACACGTCTAGACCAAGACCAGCGCACCTTCGAGAAGTACTACGCAGCTCTCTCCTCCCTAATCCAAGAGCGGGACCTCGACGGCCTCGACCTCGACGTCGAAGAGGACATGTCGCTCGCGGGAATAGTCCGGCTCATCGACCGGCTCCGCGCAGACTTCGGGTCTTCCTTCCTGATCACCCTCGCGCCCGTCGCCGCGGCGCTGCTGGATCCGAGAAGAAACCTCAGCGGCTTCGACTACGAGGCCCTGGAGGTCATGCGCGGGCCGCAGATCGCGTGGTATAATGCGCAGTTCTACTGCGGCTGGGGCGACGCGGGCGATCCCGCTATGTACCAGCTGTGCGTGGCCCGCGGGTGGCCCGCGGAGAAGGTGGTCGTTGGCCTTGTCACGACGCCTGAGAACGGGCCCGGCTGGGTCCCGCTCGATGTCCTGGCTGAGACTTTGCGACGCCTGCGCGCGCTGTTCCCTGCGTTTGGAGGCGTGATGGGCTGGGAGTATTTTAATGGGTTGCCCGGTGGGAAGGCGAGGCCTTGGGAGTGGGCGCGGGATATGACGGGGCTTTTGAGGGGTGAGGCGGTTGAGGGCGTGGAAGGGGTTGGTGGAAAGGGTGCGAAGAGTGCGGAGATAGATCCTGATGTTGAGACGGGCCCGAGTCTTCTGGTTCCGCAGAGTTTTGAGTATTACTCTGATGGTTTGGGCGAGGGCGATGATTAAGCTGGGGATAGGTCTGCGAGTAGACTGTATTCAAGCTTTTTGGGGCGTGGGGATGTCTTTTGCTAGAGCGCAGAAGAAAATATTGGCTATGTGCTCACCTAATTGACACTATTCCCACACTGTAAGTCGGGACTGAAGAGTATAACATGCCCAGTGCCCAGTGGCGTTGAAATTTTAACCAGTAGATATAAGATGAAAATTAACAGTCAAACTTAAATATTATCTGAATCACGTAGCCAGTCATAGTTGAACATGAGATGGCAAGGGCGTGTTATGGCCTGTGATGGGTTTAAAGGGGGTTCACAAGCTAGTGAAATATTTTAGCTGCGGTCCTGATTGGATGCGTTACACAAACTGGCACAACTTGAGGCTACTCACGTCGATACGTGACACGTCTATCTATGTGGTCCTGACGGAGGTTCAAGCAAACACCTCTTCGACGAACAGTACATATTTTACTTTGATCTTCAGTAAGATTTAAGTATTTGGAAATGCATACCCTTGAACAACCCATCAGCCTTATACTCGTGCCAAGCTATCGACCTCCTGGTCTTTATTACGCAGAGAAGAACGGATATAGCTTCTTTAGATGAGGAAATCTCACTTAGTAAGTACCTAGTATCGCTCCTTGATACGTCGTCCCATTGCGCAGAAACTAAAAAGTATCAAAGAGTAAGATACCCGTCGCTATGGGACAAGAATCCGTGGGGAAAGATGGAAGCCGTTCCCCCGAGAAACATGAAGATGTTAAAGAATCCCAATCCGCCAGGATTTCCAGGAAGTTGACCGAGAGTCAACAGTTCATGGGTCGAGTCAAAGACAAACTTCCAGGGATTGAAGCCGCCAAGTCCATTAAAGGGGTAAGCCGTACTCATGATGTTTTCATAGTTTCTTGCTAAATATCGAGAAGGATATCAAGTCGATTATCAACGAAAGCAGGGGTAGAAGACTAAGCATGCCACAAAGATTATCCGATACCAGTAGTAGCAGTCGAAGATCAAGCCTCTCGGGAAGAGGTAAGGAGCTACTGAAGAAGCACGTGAGCATCCACAGAGCCAAGCAAGATGTGAAACCAAAGCAGAAAGATCCTCTTCACCAGTGGATGGTTGAACACTCTGGAGGCTCCCTGAGGGAGAAGGGGTGATTATTTGAGGAGCCAGTTTTGGGGGAGGAACTTTGCCGAAGACATCGGCGACCGGAATTTGGCTCCGTTCTCACCGAGCGCCACGAGGCGTTATGGCGTAGGCGGCACTGGGTGATTCTGCTTTGATGGGGCATAGCGACTGGTTAATGGAGTATGCAGGTTGTTATCACTTTTTTTTAAGAAAATAAAATAATTATAGTACATAAGTACCTAGGTACCTAGTTAGGTACCTACCTACTAGGTACATAATTAACCTCTCTCAAGGAAGTCTGCTAGGTCTGGGTACTGGTGTCTTTCTCAATACCTACCTAGTACCTACCTACCTACACAGGTGATTAATACTCCATATGGTAAAGAGGAAGATCAAGATAATTACGTTTCCAATTACTAGGTACCTAGATGTGTAGGTACTAGGTATGCCGTTCTTCACGTAACTAAACAATCCATGGATGGCTCGTGCACAATCGTGCTTATGCTTACTTCCTTCACGCATCTTCCTCTCCTAAGAAAAATGTTGTCTTCGTTATTATGATATTTCTACTTAATCAGACTTGATCGACCACGACTAGCGAACCTGGCCTCTCGACGAAAGCCATGGATATTATGAATAGAGAGTTGGCTGATGCAAAGCGTGACTTATTGACATGCCTCGATGGGATTCAGACTACTGGAAATATCGCTATTTCCCAGCACTACGATTCATTCGTTCACCCTGGCTTGATGGTTGCTAATACTTTGATACAATTACCGTTGGCGACTCGAGATGCTCAGATGATCAAGAATGCATCTAGGCAAGCTCCGTTCGGTAGGGGTGAGGAGGTGTGTACATCTACCTAGTAGTCTACTTTTTTGGTGCTCATCCTGATGGGAAAGAAAAGTACTTCCATAAGTAATTTCCCGTTCTAGAAGACGAGGTTACTAACTCTATATTCCCAGACCGTGTTGGACACATCCGCACGCAATACCTGGGAGCTAGATCATACCGAGTTCAAATTCACAAACCCTGGCTGGGATGCTTATGTCACCACGTTGGTGGCTGATGTTGCGGAAGGCCTAGGTATACCGATAACGAAAGTAGAGCCGTATAAGCTCCTATTACACGAAGAGGGCTCATTTTTGAAACCTCACGAGGATTCCGAAAAGTTTCCTGGGGTGATAGCAACAATGGTCATATGTCTCCCCTCGAAGCATGCCGGTGGTAGCGTCCATATATCCAATCGTAACAATAAGAACATCTTCGAGACCGATAAAACATCTGACTTCGGCCTAACAATGCTCTCTTGGTTCTCGGATGCTACGCACGAGGTCAAGCCGCTGGAGTCTGGATATCGCCTAGAATTGACGTACAACATCATCCACTCGGATGGCCCTCGTATGTCTGCTGGCCTAGTTGGAACAGAGTTGGACCAGGTCCGCCTCGTGCTTACCAGATGTATGCCAAGGTTAGCCAAAGGAATTCATAGGCTAATATACAAGTTGGAGCACAGATATAAGCGATCAAGTCTTTCGTTGAGCAACCTTAAGGGTCGAGATAAAGGCATGTGCCAGAGTCTATATCGGTTCAGCTCAGAATATAGAGTCACAATTCTTCTTGCCAGACTGAATCGAATATATATCGAGAGTTCTGATTATGAAGACGATGAAGAAGACAAAGAACAAGAAGAAATGGAGCTCGAGGATGTTAAAACGTGCGATGGGAACATTGCCTTCAAACAGTTGAGTGTTAGTGAGAATCATATCCTTGGGAATATGTGGAATCGAAGAATAGATTGCTGTAAAGAAGGCTACTTTATCGAAAACGAGAGTATGACATCGATGTATCCCCATAACCATACAGTGAGTACTTTCATGGTGATGTTCCATCGAGTGAGCCCCGTTGACACAATAACTTCCAGGACGTCGTTGAGGCCGTCGAGGTCGTCGTGATATTCCCCGGACGGACACTATCTGACTTAAATCCCAGACAACCTCATGCCCTTACGAGCTTAGCTAGCGAGACTCTGTGTGACTATCACTTTATTCCCCAACTATCCCAACTATCGAAAATCTCGGGGTGGTCATCTTGGTGCGTATGGCTGATACGGGGTTATGAGGATATTCTGATCGGGGCTAATTTTCTATATAAATTAGTTTTGTGCGGACTCTGAAACAGGGCGCTCCTAGGCAACTCATCTGCGGGATACTGCGAGCTATCTATAAAAAGCGCGATGCTAAGGTGCTCGCGGATGCCAAGGGTATGTTTCTGTCTATCCTAGACGCATGTACAAAGAGATTGGTTTTGCAACCCCAACACTTCCCAGCATCCAAATACGTCACCGCACTTAATAAACCCGGTGGTCCTCTTAACAACTCAGCTCGAACTATTAAAGGCGTCCTTGGTGTCATTGAACAATGTTTTGACATGAAATTAACCAACCAAGCGACCGAACTTCTCGACATGAGCTGTACCAACATCTATAAAGCCTGTTCGAAACCAGAAGATAATCCGCTTCCTGGCCCTATTGTGGCTCGAGATTTCCTGCTTTCCCTGGTATTGATGCTGCAGAAACACGGGGTCACACCTTTTGAATCGTTCGAGAACATGTTTATGCTCTTCCTGCGTGAGATACTCGCTTCCCACCCACCGACATGTCCAAGGCCTCCTCATGGCTGGGCACACAAACCTAGACCGAAATGCTCTCAGGACGGTTCTTGTGAAGACTGCAAAGATCTCAACGACTTTCTCGAGAACCCAGAGATGGAAGTGGGCGAATTTTGCGGAGATCCAGATAAGCGACAGCACCTAGAAAGGCAACTTCCAATGCGATTGTTCCGCTGCCAGAGTGCAAAAGAACCGGAGAAATTGATTGTGAGAAAGTTGGGGAACGAGTTCAAGGAGGATATGAAGGACTACAAGACCAAACTCTCGCTCTTCGAAAATCGTGTTCGAGTACTACGATGCGAGTACGTAGAATCGTTGCTAGGAGAAGAGCTTTATGGCGAGCTCGTCCTTTTGAAATGCATACCGGACTCAGATGGAGCTAAAGGGTCTAAACACGCGGAGAAGAGGAAGGCTGAAGACGAACTGGAAGGTCCAGCTTCATCGAGGCCCATGCTTATAGAATGATCGAAGCATGCTGTTGGGATTGAACAAAAGAAGATATTGTAGATTATGTCATCTGATGGGTACCTGAAGAATAGGTACTTAAGATGGAAAATGCCTTGAGGTTTTATGTGAGTCTGTACACTGATTGCGTAAGGAACGAAAATTAGAATATAAGGAGAAGAAAAAACATATTCCAGGCCTAGTCCAAGATCTATGAATCGCTATTATGCATTTCTCTAAATGCATCACATCATGACATTTTATATATCCATTCATGCCACACCTTCCAAAGCATACACAATTATTCTACAGGACAGAGGTATCTACGAAAGAAGCCTCGATTCAACCTATCCCTTAATAACACCATGAATCCCCAACCGCCCTCCCAAACGCCCCAACCATAAACCCAATTCTAACACAAACAAATGCCTGTAAAACCCTCATATCATACCAATCTACCCTCTCCCTCTCCCTCACCTAAACCGATCAAACGCACGATCCAACTCCTCCCCCTGCGCCGCCATCTCACTAATCCCCGCGCCCGCCCCGTCATTCATACTCATCTCAGCAACCAACCCCGCAACCTCCGCCTCCCCTTCTCCCATCTCCCCACGTCCATCTCCCCCCAACCCCGGACTCCGCTCCGGCTGCAACAGTCTCGCCTCACTATCCAACCACCCCGGCGCGACCCTCCTCTTCTCCGCAAGTTCCCTCGCGCGGATCCGCTCTTCCAGCTCGCGGAGCACGCGCTCGGATTCCGTCTGCGTGGTCGCGATGTGTGCGCGCAGGGCCTCGCACGAGGCGACGATGTCGGTGGGGTGCGCGGCGTGCCCTGAGGGCGCGACGACGTACCGCGGTTTCTGCGCGCTGTTGTTGGCGCCGGTTACGCCGGAGATCGGCGGCGGGAGGGTCGAGGGCATGGTTTTGTAGGTGTAGGGCAGGGTGGCGGCGGTAGGGAGGGAGACGAAGGGGGAGACGGTTAGGGGCACTTGGGCTAGGAGGGGGTGTGTGCCTGGGAGGACGGGTTAGCGAGGTGGGATTAGGTTGGTAGGTTTGGGGTGGGGAGGGTGCTTACGGTCGTCGCGCATTGTGAGGGATTGTGTTGACAATGGCTTTTTGTAGTTGTATATTAGGTACCTAATTAAAGAAGAGAGCTGTTGGCTACTAGGCAAGTTGATTTGATGATTGGTGTTGAATGTGGAAGAGGTTACGGTACTGGCAGTTCTTGGCAGCTGTCACTACCTTGTATGCAGCGTTTCGTATCGATAAGAGCTAGCTACTGGGTAGTTAGGTATCGATAAGCCCCTCCAGTCCACTATTTTTTCAATTAATGGACTCTAGGCGCGCTCGTACTAGAGCTCTCACACCTAAACTCACCTTAAACGAAGACTCGGGAGGTTCCTTTAATCTCAGCCTTGATTAGGTATTCTCCTTCAGAATATCTCTCGAAAATTTACGCCTAGATAGGAGCTCTGGTTAATCCTTACCTAGTGCCTATTGAATTTGGTAAAGTGACCATGATACCTCCGACCGTTATTCGATCCTGTCCTTCGGCAGACAACGACTTTCAGCCCTTAACTGAATACCAAGCTCAAACCCCAGAGACATTCTTCGACGGCAAGCCAGTTCTGTACTTTCATGATGAAAATGTGAAAGCCTGGGTCTCAAAAGAGCAAGATACACTCCTGTACATCTTCTCCAAGCCATCAGATGACGCCAATCCGCCACTCAGCCCTTCCCCACCGGAGTCCTATGCGCTCGAAAACAACGGCGGACAGCACATGCGTGAGGAGAAGGTTGAGGTGTTCGTTGCATCAAAGTGAGTATCATCCATAATTATGTATTTTTACATACAAACTAATATAATATCTATAGCAAATTAACACTTTTTTCTCATCGGACTGGGACTGGTATCGAGATACCATATCCTGCCATCACACTTCACGCGGTCAAGAACTTCCGCCACGTGGAGAAACCCGATGATGCCTCATTCAAGTTCACCGGAGTTTACATGCAAATTGATTTTCCAGGTTCCGATGAGCAGGATGAGGAAGGCAGTGATCCGATCGAACTCACCCTTATTCCTTTCAAGGCCTTACCCGAAGGACAATCCTCCACGGAGACTCCAGTTATCGACCCTGTAAATAATGAAAGGGCCACCGCTTTGTTCAATCAATTATCCGCATGCTCGAATCTGCACCCAGACCCTCAAGACGAAGAGGACGACGCGATGGAAGGTGATGGAGGTGACTTTGATTCCATTATTTTCGAAGGGAATGTGGAAAATGAAGCTATCGAGGGACTACCCGGCGCTTTTCGAGGAAACGTCAACGGCGGTCTCCCACCTCCGATGCCGGGGAGCTCTGGTTGGATCACTGCTGACAATGTTAGCCAATATTTCGACGAAGACGGCAACTGGATCGGAGGAGAGGGTGTAAGTGGTGAACTTGGAGATGGGGCAGGCCGTGTCCGAGGACGTGACGAAGTGGAGGAAGACGGTGATGATGGTCAAGTCAATGGCGATGATGCTGACTCGAAACGTCCACGAACCGAATAAACGAGCCGTATGTAGGAGGATGTGCCTTCATTCCCTAAGAGAGATCCGCGGCTTGTCTACCTTAGAGACGTTCAAACACGAGTATATCAATTGAATGCATTCGCTCAATAAACCAAGTGAACGAAGCTTCTCAACATAGTAAGTCTGACAGCTTGTTTTTCAACTAGAAATTATGTTTTTATTAACTTATTATCAGCCGATGTTAAATACCCGAGGAAGCTGGATTAATAAATTTGACCAACACCCCAAATAACCAAGTAATTCGATCTCCCAATGTTGTACACGAGACCCTAAGGCAATAAACTCCTCCGTACGCCTGAAAAATTATATCAGAATGCCCAAGACAGGCGAAGTTAATAACAAATATGTACCGAAGGTCAAAGGTATCAGCAAGCTGTTTACATAACAAAAGAAAGAAAAAATACATCCCTCCTTCTCTTAAAAGTGCCAAGTGGTGACGATACTGAGAGTCGTGTCCTGACTAATCCTTCAGGAAACCCTCTCTATCGTACAGGCTTTCAACGCTCTCTCGCTTAATCGTCGTCTCTTGGCGCCTTAACTTGGTGGCGTGAGTTCGGAGCCGTTCAGCGTATTTTGTAGGGCTCCCTCCATTCACACTACCACGCTTCATAGCGTCAATCCCCTGCAACACCACCGTTCCTCTCCGCGCTCTGGAGACACTTCCCCTACGCAACGAACCATCCCGTGCACCTATCTCATGAATGCTCGCTCTCACATTCCCACTTATACTTCCACTCCCGCTCACACTCCTACTCACACCCCCGTTCGACGAATCACCACTCAACGCACCCCCAAGCGCGAGATAATTCTTCCCCCCACCGCTCTGGCGCCCGGGACTAAACCCACCGCCCCGCATAAGCGGCACCGTAGCACTAGCCGTGCTCTGGTCACTCATAATGCTAACCTGGCTATTCATCCGCCTCAACTCCGTAATCGTCGTCGACATCCTCACGCTCTTCCCCCGCCGCACAGTCAGCGACCGCATCGGCGGCACCCGGTCCTCGTCCTGCGAATACACCGACCCATCCGACGGCATGCTGCGCCGCGGCTTCAGCGGCGACCCCGGAGGTGGCACGACAATCACGGGCGTTTGCTTCGCTTTCGGACTCGGGTGTGGCCGGATCTGCGAAATTGCGCTTTCTTCGTAGCTCGGCATCCGGAAGGTGACGCGCGATTCGCGCCCGGATGTCGAGCCCCGCTGGCTTGCGAATTGTGGGGACCCGGAGATTCGCGGCGTTCGCTCGTCGGTTCCGTCGAGTTGCGAGTCCCCGTGTGTGTACGTGTAGCTGTCGTACACGGACGATAGACCGGCTTCGGATATGGCCGGGCTGGGCGCGCGCTTGGGGTTGCTGGGGGAGTTGAGGATGGATCGCGGTGATGGCATCGCGGTTCTGCGCACTGGTGATGGGGTGGGGGTTTTGTCGAACTGGCTTTCTTGCGACGAGGTCCGCGTCCCGGGGGAGTGCTTCGAGTCGGACTTTCTCCGCGGGAAGTCTACGGGGAGGGGAGAGAATACTTTTGATAGGCGGGCGGGGTTCCGCGGCGTTGCCTCTGCCGTGAATGGGTCTTCTTTTTCGTTTGATGTCTGTACCATGAACGATGATCTGCTCTTGGATAGATCGACGGAGCGCCCGTTTTGCCGCGAGGAGGGCCGGGATGCGGGCGTGTTGTTCGGGACGACTGTCCCGCCGAGGGTTCCTCGGCGGATGCGTAGTGGCGGTGGGATGTCGTCGTCGTCAAACTTGCGTGTTGGGCTCTTTGCTGCCTCTGTTACTCCTGAATTGCGGTTCGTCTTCAACATGCCGAATGCGGAGAGCACTTTATCTGGCGTCCGTCGAGGCGTGTGTGCTGGACTGCTTCCGAAAACTAGGTCTGCTGCAGGCGGGCTGCGGATCGATGCCTCTTCCATGCTGTACAGCGTTGATAGGGCGGACGACATGGAACTTCCGTTGGAAAATGGTCGGGGTTGTTGCTTCTGTCCTTGAGGGCTGGGGGATGGTTCGTTTGACCTAGTCAAGCGGCTCGGGCTGGACAGCGCGGTCCGTACTTCGCTGAGCGATTCCCGTCGAGGAGCGACAAGGCTGTCTGGCTCGGATATCATCGATTGTTGCGACATCCGCGGGTTGTGGGATGGCTGTCGCGAGTGTTTTGGCGTCTGTACTTGCCGCTGAGGGGATTGGCTTGTGGGGGTGCAGCCTTCTAATTCTGCGTACGACATCGTTGCCGGCGCGCTCTTGTGGCTTTTCACCGGACTTACGTCCCCGCTGTTTATGGGGTCGTGGTTATAGTCTATCGGTTTTCCATCGTAATAATATTGACCGTTCATGGGTCGTCCGGTGGAATATGGTGTGTATGGCATGTATGGTGTCATCAGCGTTTTCCGTCTCTCACTCCTGTGTCCGTCCTGGAGCCTTTCGGCGGTCATACGCAGTATCTCCGTCAATCCCGTGTCTGTGGCGCTGTGGTTTAATATCGGCCGCCCTCGCATCTGCCCCTGCCCTTGCTGGGCATTAATCGGGGCGGGCAGACGTGATGTGCCAGCTAACTGCTGTGCAGCTTGGAACGAGACTCTGTTTCTGTAACGTGGGTTATGGGTAATATCCGGTGGGGATTGAGCCGGGTTGCTAGACCCGGATCCAGGACTGACCAGGTTGACGGGGCCGTATGATCTTTGGGGGCTGGGATACATCTGTTGCTGTTGCTGCTGCTGACGATTTGGACTCGGGGTCGTCGTGTAAGAATAACGAGCTCCCTGCTGGGTTTCCCTAATGCCCTGCTCGGCAGGACTCTCAACAGGCGTCTCGTACTGCTGTCCTACACTCGGCGCCCCCGGAGGCGTCTCAGTGCTAGGAAGCGTGGGGCTAATATCGCCCATCCCGCTTCTCATCGAGAGCCGACTCAGGGAACGGCTAAGACCGCCGTCGAACCAGCTCGCCATTCGCCTGTGCCTCTGCTTCGTCCGCTTAGGCGACGTGATTGTCGGCCCGTGGAGCGCGTCCTCGTCGATCCACGACGTCTTGCGCCGGTGCGTGTACACCCCATACCCGCGCTGCTTCTCCGGGTCCCGCGACTTGCTCACCGTGATCTGGCTCGGGTTCTGGCTCTTCGACGTATCCACGCTGCCACGTCTGCTCCCGTTCCTGCTCTCGTCCCCGATCAAGCTCAGGCTGCCCTGACGGGTCCTCGTTGGCGAAACCATGGTGAAGCTGGACCGGCTGCTCTCCTCGGGTAGGATGTCATCCTCGTTGGTGTCGTCTTTGTCGTACTTGGTGACCTGGCCGATAATGCTCCTCTTACGCAGACGGTTGGGGCCAGGCACGTCTATGATACCGGATTCGACCGTGTTGCCGAAGGCGGAGTTCGATGTGCGACGTCGTGTTGTTCGTCGCGCCAGCTTGACGAGGATGCCTGCGACGACGAAGAAAAGGAGTGCGGCGCCGCCGATGGCGATTCCGGCTATTGCTCCCGTAGAGAGTGCGGTGTCGGAGGGGACTGCTTGTCTCCTAGTGTTGTTGGACATTTTGTATTGTGTATGTTCTGCAATTGTATAATTCTAGGTTATGGTTCACTATTCCAGCTGTACTCGCGCTAAGGATAAAGCGTATTCAGAGATATCTCGGTGTCGACGGGTTAGCTATCATGCTATTTGGCGAGTCGTATAATAATCCCGAAGGAGCAAGGACGTCGTTGAATTTTCACATCAGTCTTTCTTAGATACGATAACATGTGTAGGTTGGTAGGAGACAGGATGAAAGGAGCACGATGCCGATAGATGAGGATACTCGCCAAACAAAACACAATCCGACGGTAAACACAATCTACACCCTCGGAATGCGTCATCAGAGGCCTCAAATCTCTCGTTGGAATGCGTTGCTATCTCGCCGTGCGTGATGAGTGTGCTTGGGGCGCTACTAGCATTCCAGCCAGCATCATTACCATCCCAGACTTCCGAGACAAAAAATGTGCGAACACACATGGTATCCTACATTTTCCGCACTTACCTCAGCTAGGTAAGCAAGACGATTAAGATTACGATGGTTTACGATATACTCTGCAAGATGCGTCAGCTGCTAAACTTATTAAGTAGTACGGCATTTAAGTGGCATCAAACTATCGCGCTACAAAGTAAGAAGAAAAGTAGCCTCGATAACTAAAGCGAACTATCACTAATACCTAACTAACGTAAGATGGTGGAGGAAATAGAAGTCATCCGTAGATAACAAACCTGTACGTAAAGGCGAAGCAATAAAGGAAAACAATGGCGATGTCACTAGGCGCAAAAACGAATCTCAGACTGATCACGGGAGACGAATGACGGTTTAGTTCATGAATGTCATTGAATTTTGTGAGATTGCTTTTTGATGCTTGTAACCTCGAGACCCAGGCAAATTCGAAAGATCTCTTGCCGGAAGAGATACACGCCCAAAATCGAATCATCACCTAGGCCATGCATGTTTGTACGCTTCAACTCTGCAATCAACTCGCCACCCTATTGTTTCGTTAAACGCCCAGATATGAATCGCTTATGCAATATCTTGCCAGCCGAAACCGGCTTTGCATTGCGTAAAGAGATGTATGCAATCATTTCTGCATCGATGACTTGTAATCCATCGCGTATGTCCTTGCCCCTCCGAAGAGGGACTCCCCAATGTACTGAAAAAGTTCCCGGCCGAAACGGAATCAGACCCTGAAACATGATGCAAAATTTATCGTCAATTGCCATTAACGAGAAAATATTTCCACCGAAACGAATAGAAATGAATGAATTGGTTGATCACTTATGATCGTCGAGCATGATGCTGGTGTCGATATAAGTGTCTTTCGCGCACCTTTCGTGCGGAGATTACCGACTCGGACGCCACCGTCACAGTGGTAACAGAGTCTTCGGTTACGTACACCACAGGCTCCATCCATACTATCTCTTCGACTAGGCCAGCATTTGTTACCGTCTGGGTGCTAACAATCTCGTAGGATACACCAGGCTGGGAAGTAACTACCGGAGCCGAAGTTGGTGCAGGGGGTGCCGAGCTCGAAACAACGCTTGAAGATGTTTCGGCAGCCGGCACACCAAGGGCATTGAAAACTGCAGACGATGAAGTCGCCGCTGACTCGATGAAGGCTCCGCCAGTGGGGAGACTAAGTGAGCTCGTGCTAGATGTGGTGGCGATAGAAGAGGTAATAGGTGCAACACTTGATGTTGTCGTCGAGCTACCACCAAAGACACCGCCGAGCCAACTGGTAGCAGCAGAAATGGCAGACTCGATGGGGTTGGCAGCTCCAGGGGTAGCAGACTGGGGACCAGATTGAATCGCGACGTTACCAGGGAGATTCTTCAGGTCGAGTGCAGAGCCGTCCTCAGAGAGCAACGAGAGCGGCATGTCGAACTCACAAGTATTCTGCTGTGCCTCGCTCTGGATAGGGGTTGGGTTAACAAAGAGAGGGCAATCTCGAATATCGCCAGAGTCATTCGTGCAGGTGTTAATAGCTTCCTGCAAGAAGTTGGGGTTCCAACCGGTCATGAAGTCACCGTGGTAGCCGAATCCTTATGTCTCCGTTAGCTGCATGAAGAAAATTTATGGAATGATCCAGCTTACCTGTTGGGTCGCCGTTAGAGACGACAAACTGTCCTTGTCGACCCTGGAACTGCTTCGCGTTGGTATCCCAGATAGTTTCATAGAACAACGTGACCAGGCGTTGTGGGTGAGTATCCGGGCAGTCTCCATTACCGACCAAGCTAGGATACGCCACATGGCTCTTGTGATCCGTCGCAGTTGCCTGACCATTCCAGCATGAAGGGAACATCAGTTCAAGACGAAGACCATCAGGGCAGTTGCCGTCAAGATAAGTCTTCTCTGGCAGGTAATGACGGTACAATGAGGCCTCAGGTGTCTTGCTGTAGTCAAGACAGTTAAATCCGAGAGCTCGTTGCTCCAGGTCATCCTGGCTAGTTTGCTTGAGAGCAGCCCAGTTGGATTGAGGGGGGTCAGGGGATTTAGGATCGCCGACAGTGTATGATCGGCGATAATTGCTGCCAGCAACCATCTTGAATCCAGCCGGAAAGGCGGTCACATTGTCTCCACGCAAGAGATAGTAACTGTAATTGATATCAGTCTCTGTCTAGAGGTAGGGGTGGGAATGATGAGAGATTGGATGGGGTTTAAACTTTATAGAAGCTTTTATAGGAATTGGCAAAAAAAAATCAAACCGAACATTAGACTTACGCTAACATGCCACCGACCTGTGGGACAATCTCAAACTCGTTCGTCGAAGTGTCCTGGAAGTAAAGGGCAGGAGTCCAATAAGCGGACTTGTCTTGCGATACAGCACAAGAAGTGCAGTTGCCACCGGTCAGGTCATCGTAGGTTGCGGCAAGATTGAAACCTGTAGATCGCGTTAGTATATTGTATAAGCTATGCATAAGCTATGCATATTACTTTCGACGCGAATGCATATAGAATAATTTGCGAGGAAATGATGGGAGCGCTTACCAGACGAGCCATGAACAGTGTGAATATGAGGTGATAGCTTGCCCAGATCCATGATAGGGTCAATACGAGCTAGACCCGTGCGGCCTCGACATTCCATGCGCCAGAAAGCCGACACATCGGTGACGGCGCTCAGGAAAGCGAGGGTAGAGAAAGTTTTGGACACCATTTTGAAGTATCTAGCGCTGGAAATCGAGTTACCTGGTTAAGGGAGTAAGTGTCGGCGATATTGTAAAAGTGCAGCGCAAACGCGGTTCACAGATTCGGTGAGCTGTAGTTGTTTGGATGAATCTTTGAGAAGGCGCCGCCTTGACGAATATTCGTTGGGATAGTGCGGCTCGAAAATAGGGCGTATCCAGTTCACTTTCCTTAGTGCCCTTAGTTGGTCGTTGACAAACACCAAGTGTCAATGATCAGGCGGAGTACAACTTCGGCAGTACGATGTGAGTGATTGGTTCCAAAGTTCACCGGTTCCTTTGTCGATATCGGCAAGCTACTGTTAACCTTCGTCGCCCTTTGCACTTAATTCCTTCAAGTCGCACCCAACGTAACCAAGGCTGTCGCCAATCCCTTCCACCTCGACTCCCAAATCTGTTTTTTTGTCCTTCAAAATCTACCCTTGTTATCCAGAGTAGTCACTACACTTCAATATCTGTAGTCGACTTTGCGCGATGATGGAGAGATGAATTAAGTGCTGTGTGAAATATTGATGGATTCCACGATTCGATACGAAGCGGTCTTGAATGAATAAGATTTTGCGATTTTTGGAAAGAGCAGTACCCACGAGCTTTCGAGGTTTGTCGTAAATTTCTTGCCTATCACTAACCTCACTAAGACGGTTGTCAAAGATTTTTTGTTTGCTTGCTCGTTCGGAATCGTAACGAATGCGATCAACACAGGAAAAAAGAATGTGATACTGCCAATAATCTAGATGGAAGTCTAGACTATTAGTCAATATGAGTAAAGGAGCGTGGGTTGACGATAAATCGTCGGTTGGTATGAATGAGCGGAATGCTTCGGTGGTGATGTGTAAGGGTGCAGACCCGAAGGGAACGAAAGAAAGTCGAAGAGAAGATATGATGAAGGGGGATGGTGAGAAGTAGTAGCGCGTAGAAAGGGCAAAGATCGCGGGAGGTAGGTGGGGACTTAGTCGCATAAGGAGGTTGAGTATCGTGAGACAGTACGGGGTAGGGTAGGTACTATCCGGTACATGGGTACGTTGCTACCCTAACAGGCCTAGCTAACTGTCAGGAGGTCAACTTTGTCCTACGAGTACCCCACGATTACCTACCTAGGTACCTAACTCCACTAAAAAGGGTTCACTGAATACATCTTCTGAGTACCTACCTAGTAGGCAGCTAAGTACATGTGTAAGTATTTGGTACCGATCTGATTTTGATCGTGTAATACTATTTGTATAATTGCTAACACGTGCAGTTAGGGATATAAGTTGATCTACCTCTTATCTATCGATACATGATATTCATCAATGTCCTCGAGCCGCCCAAGGCCTTTCTGATAACGGCTCTAAGGTTACGCAATGAAGGGGCTTACTACGAAGCTTGGCGAGGTAGCAGTTCGGCTTTGAGAGAAACCCCTGCTAGATCGTCATTCCTACCGACGAAGATTAGGCAGTTTACTGGATTAAGTCAGATCGTCTAGCCTATCAAAATTATATAATCGGGGTCTTCTTTCCTTATTGGCTACAAAATTTCAGGAACGGTGAAGAACGACAAGGGGGGTAGACCCCGCAGGTGCGACGCCCAATTCTCTAATCTCTCATCTACGGGCAAGAACACTCTAAATGCCGCCGCAGACGCAGGTACAATATCCACCTTACCATTCAATTAAGTCAAATTAACTTTAGCCATCAATCGGAAAACGGCGTAGCTGATGATTCGCATCCTGTAGATAACATAGCCAATACTAGGTATCCTTAGATCACGACACGCAGTGCCATCTTCTCCATGTAGGTCCGTTCAAAGGTTTGCTTTACTACAATGATAGTCGGACGGACATAGTGTACCATAGCACATCCGTGGATATGTACCCAAGTAAGCTGCCAAACGAATAGATTCTCCAGTCCGTGATCGTTATATTACATATATCCCCTTATTCTTGTTTGCAATGGATTTGCAATTTGTGAGTGGGTGGATAGCCACTCAGGCAGTAAGCTCAGTGCAAGTGCCAAGTGGTAGGATTCGGTTACTTCTCCGATATCCAAAAGTACCTAATACGGTCTATTGCAAGCGCCCAGGCGCCCTATGCCATAAGAACCTTGAACAAATTTCATCTTGTACTAGTTACTTCGTACTCACAAGTACTTATTAAACACTGCGCAGCTAAACGAGAAGAGGGGCAGAAGTTGGGATGGAAAAATTCCAGGTCGATGAAACAGTTTCAGGGATTAAAATACAAGATCAACCAATTAAAACACGTCGCTTTGCCTGACAATTACTTTCCTGGGAATGTAAACGTGGTCTACACATAAAATTCGCTACGCCAGAGCCAAGACCCAAGACGACTTTCAGACCGAAGAAATATCCTTAAATCTTAGATAGTATTAGAGCCTCTTCTATACGTGTTCCATGGCCCATAATCAATGGTCTTTGCAAATGCGACATACACTACATACTCGTATCATGTATGCTTCGGTCAGGTCCGTATTATCCCCCACACCGTTCAGTATTGTATTTCTTTCGGTGAGCTTGTGACAGTGTCTCTTTGTCTTTATCTAGTAGTTCAAACAAATCAATGAATTGTGTACCGAAACCAAAGCACAAGACCTCCTGTCATATCGGTCAATTGGACCGTGAAAATACACCCGTCCGAGCGGACCACATCACACATGTACCTTGTGTACCAAAGATTCGGGTGGCAGGACGGGAAGAAAAGATGACGAAATGATCTACCGATGGGAAATTTTCATATACGTAAGGCACATGGTATGATTGGTCGTTTTTTAGCAAATGCTGCTCAGCTCATCACAATTAAACTAAAACGATACAGGGCACACCCTTGATAATTACTAACCTTGGAAGTTTACCTAACGAGCTAGGCGGCCAGGACCTAGCTTAGCCTAAACCCTAACACCCATCATGATGGTAATTTGTTACAAAGACTTTGGACGTCCCGATGTCCTATGTAAGTTCTATGCAGCAGCCATTTATATACTATGTATGATATATGTATGATATCGTTACATAGTAATTATAATAGATGCTGCGTGTGTAGCGGATATCATATCTACTCCCCATTATATCTATCTCCAAGCTATTCCCGCAATCAAATGTATCTCTCTTCTAAAATTTACACATAGTCTTCAGCGTCATTAATAGCCTTCGATTTTCCGTTGTCAAAATAATAGTTATTAGTAATAACGTTAAATATCTGATCTAGCAATAGCTTCCTAGCTACCTAACCTACCTAGCAACTGCCCAGAAACTAGACGTACTCTTGTGGCGATCACTGCATTATAAAAGGAGGATCATCATCACAAAGGTCCTAAATGTGTATATCGCGCAGGCATGGATCAGCATAGCTGCATGGAGCAAGAGAATAATCTCGAGAAACCGGTATTTAACATTAAAAGAATAATAGCCTTGCAGAGTTACAGGGCCTCTTCAAATGAACATTAAAAATGTTAAAGCTTAAAAAAAAAATAGAGTATAGACGTGATGTGTACCTTCCAGTATTTTGCGTGGAGCAGAATGAGGGTACAAAATGTGTAGGTGGGAGCTCGAGGGAAAGTGGAAGTTTAGCGCATGTGAAGCATGTAGGGGCTGGCTGGCAGGTGGTTGACAGTTAAATCGGGAGCGGGAACTAAAGTGTATTACATAATGAACGACTCAAGCCACGCGCTGCCCAAGCCACATTCCGACCCATAGTATCTAAGTGGATCAACTGATGCTAGTTAAACGAATACCTGGATCTGTTCAGATGCGACAGCGCATGGAAAACAGTTCCTGGATGAACATCACGGCCGGTGTAGGCACAGAACTAATAATGCGGCATCCTTGATATGACGATATTCCCAATTCCTTTCGCTCAACGATGGATGATCTTTCTGGTCTTGATTGGTCTTCAGCCAACTCTGGCAAAGGCAACAATAAACCTTCTATGAACCCGAAGCCAAACCCTATGAACCCACCTTCTTTCTACCCGAGCCTTCGTCCGACCCCATCTCCTCAGCCTTCCGGCCGATCTACGCCCCTCTCCGCTCAAGCCTCCGGCCTTACTACATCTAAGCCGACTACCTCTAAACCAGCCGCCGACAGCTTCAGTAACCTCGTAAGCTTTAGTGGCGCCAAAGGCAATACCAATTTAAGCCTCCGAGAACGGCAAGAACAACTCGAGAATCAGAAGCGTCAAAAGGAAGAAGAAGAAAGACGAAAGCTACAATCACAATATGGAGCTGGTCAATTCTGGGATAATATAGGACAGGGCTCTACGCCTGCATCTCGAACTATCTCTCCGGCCGCCCATTCGATTGGTAGTGGGATAGGTTCCCAGAATGGACATAAGAAGAACGATGATGATGACCTCTTTGCTGCGTTCAACAGAGATACCCAAGTTGACAATGCCAGTCACTTTCCCCCGCCGGCCCAAGAGCAGTCTAGGAAAAATACTCCAGCGAATGGACCTCAACTTGATCTAACTTCTGCAAGTGCATGGAATAAATCTACTGCTTCAAATGGTAATGAGTTCGGGGATGACGACGATCCGTTCGGTTTGAATAGAATGAAGGGTCAATCGCAGAAGCAGCCATCTAATGATACGGAAGATGACGACTTTCTAGGGGACCTCGGGAAACCAGTCGACGAAGTACGACGGAAAACTCAAGCAGCTCAGGCGGCTCAGGCAAAACCGGAACCGGGAAGACCCATTGAGGATTCCGACTCGGAATCGGAACCCGAAGCTCCCCCAAGAGGGGATAGCTCGGATCCATTTGACCAAGCCGTAGCTGAACTAGTTGACATGGGATTCACGGCTGAGAATGCCAGGCGGGGTCTAACAGAAAGCGGCGGAGGCTTGAACATTCAAGCGGCGGTCGGTTGGCTCTTAGATGATGCGCATAGACAGGCTCGTAATAAGCAAACTCCCTCAGACTCGACCACTGAACGACCGAGGAGGGATGATAACCGTTCTAGGAACCGTGGCAACCCTGCATGGATGAGTGAGGACCAGCAAGATGATATTCCTTCGCGAAAAGAAAACCGGTCACCGGTTTCCGGAGACGACTTTTCAAAAAAGGCAGCAGCGATGAGCTCGAGCTTCTTCAAGACGGCTAATTCTCTTTGGAAGAGTGGACAGAAACAGGTCCAAAAAGCAGTCGCTGATTTCCAAGAAACCGGTGATCCTAGCCAACCAAAATGGATGCGATCCGCTCAACTAGAGAGGTCACATTCAGGAGGGAATATGTCTCAGGCCGCCACCGACGAGGCTATGATGTTAGAGTCTGGTGGATCGCCAGATAAACAGCCATCTCGGCCTGCCCAAAGGCGAACTAACGAAGTTCGAGATCGATCTCCGGCCATACCAAGCCGACCATCCCCTCATTCCTCAGGAGCACCCAAATGGCAGCAAGCAGCACAACCAAACACGCGGGATCCCCGAGCGCGGTTAAACAAGCAAGCTATCGAAGACCAGAGTGCACAGGCTTACGTTAGTCCCGCGAGGAGGAAAAAGACAACACCTCAACCAGTATCTCGACCGGAACCCGAACAGAACCTCCTTTTCGACCAGTCTACTTCATCCGGACCTCAACGTCCTACCCGGTCACCAGCCCCCGTGACCAAGCCACCTACGCAAGCACCTTCAAAACCGATTACACCTCGACCATCCGCACCTACCAGAAAGGTACCTACTATCCCTTCATCGGTATTAGATGCCTCTACACGATATCGCCTTGAAGGAACTGCACATTTCAAACGAGGAGATTATGATGCCGCGCACACTAGTTACACTAACTCTCTAGCTGGCATACCACAATCGCATCCTATTTGCATTATTCTTCTCACTAACCGCGCGCTTACTGCACTAAAGACCGGCAGCCCCAAGCAGGCCGTCGGCGACGCAGATGCCGCCATTGGTATCATAGGACCTTCCCACGGTGAAGGCGAGAAAGTCGCGTTGCCCGACGGCGAGTCCCGCGATATGAAGGATCTATATGGTAAGGCGCTCAGTCGGAAAGCGGAGGCGCTTGAACAGATGGAGAAATGGGCGGACGCCGGAAACGTTTGGCAGCAATGTGTGGAAGCGAGTGTTGGTGGTGCCAATGCTATCGCCGGCCGGCAGCGGTGTCAAAAAGCACTTGCTCCTAAACCTAAACCTGTCCCGAAGCCAGCACAGGTCGTCAAACCTCGCCCAAAGCCATCTGCTATATCAGATCTCACTCCACAGAAAAGCTCGGAGGCAGTACAACGCCTTCGAGAAGCCAACAAGGCGGCCGAAGCAGCCGATGACGAGAAGTTTGCTCTCAGCGAGAAGGTTGACGCAAGAATCGCGGCTTGGCGAGACGGCAAGAGGGACAATCTACGGGCTCTTCTTGGGAGTCTCGATACGGTGCTATGGGAAGGCAGCGGATGGAAGAAAATTGGCTTGCACGAATTGGTAATTGCAAACAAGGTCAAGATACACTACATGAAAGCCATTGCAAAGTGTCATCCTGACAAGGTAAACTCCTCCCATCTCTAAAACTTTTTGTTCACTATCCTGTCATCACAACATCATTACTAACAAGAGTACCTGTATAGATACCGCAAGACGCGAGCACGGAGGTAAGACTTATTGCCGGCACAGTCTTTGCCACTCTCAACGAGAGTTGGGATAAGTTCAAAGCCGAGAACGGGTTGTAAATACAGACAATGCCTTGAATGCCATAGATCAAGGTGATATATCAAATTTCAAAAGAGCGGTTATAGAAATAAGAAGACGAATTTAGGGTGCGGCGCAGCATCGACCAATACTAATTCGGAATTCCGTGAATATTGAAGCCATGGCGCGGCGAGTATAAGGATTCCCAGGGATTAGACACGGTCAAACCAACAGTGGCGATTCGCCTTGGTTTTGAATAGCATCAGTCCATCCTATTGTTACCCCGGATTCCCTAATTCTGGGGTTCGTCGCATGGTGCCGTTCCTAGTCAGGCAAGTCAGGATACCGAGCACGCGTGCATGTGTTAGACACCACGGACCTCCCGTACTACCCCGGATGCCCGGACCAGATTGATGGATGTTGTTGAAGAATTCGGACGTTGTGTAAGTACACTATATCACACAAGTTTCAAAGATCGGGAGAAGTTCCGATCTCGTTACCCCTTTGAAGATATGATTTGTAATAATGAACGCGACGACGAGATAACTTCGAGTTTTTAAGCAGTTGTCTATTACCTAAGGCAAGATCCGTTATTTAGTCCATAAAAAGTGACATCGCCGATATAAGACCGCTAGCGAGAAAAATACCCTGGTCGAGCCGACGTCATATCCTGACCATTTCTTCTCCAACGCTCCAAGTTAATTCCTTTTAGTTACGTCAAAACCTTTCCTTTTCTGCCAGATACCCTTGATTATACCGGTAAGGCTTCTTAGTGTACTTGAGAGAAGTCGGCTTGCCGAATTAGGAAATCCGGTGATGAGCCGTTCCTTTAGCGTCGCCTTCGAAGTTTCTTTCGCATCCATCTCATCCATCTAATTAGCGTCCAAGTTTTAGTTGACTCTAGTTGATTTGCGGGGACCCTGGGGAATTTTGGAATGGGGAATGGGGGGATCCTACTGCCTTTCCGGGGGAGGACCCTTCTAACCTTAGAAAGCTCCATACCACTGGCTAGGTACCAAAGCGCCTAGGAAAGTTTGCTTTTGCAGTTGCGGATGATTTCCAAGATCAAATGATACGATCTTACCCGCATTGACCCAATTGAACTGATTGATTCTTTCCTTCCTACCTAAGGTAAATCATCCAACCCGCAATCTTCCTATCAGTATCTCGGGTTTTAAAACTGTCAAAGCGGCGGGAAGGATTTTATCTTCAACAACTTACATAGTATTTTCAAGGCACAGAATTTTTCAAGGATCTCCACATTCCACGACAACCGTTCCAACGCCGGGTTCAGGTACTCGACTTCAGGTACACGCTATGCTGTGTTCGTAGACCCGACCGGGTTCGTGACCCCACCAGTGAGAAGACCGGGTTCCAGTTTTATTGTACTTACTGGCTGGTAACCCCGGCTTCTATACTCTAATCGATTCCAAGGTTACCTCTTTGACCTCGGGTTTGTTGCTTATATTACCTTTATAAAATGTTACATACGAAGTAGTAGACATATATAGACTTGAATCACCCCTCTTTAGTGTCTCTTAGAAGTGAAACTTTCTTCCTCTACTCTCTACTTCTTCCCTCCTTTCTCTCTCTATTCGGAGTTAAGTTGAGTTGTACCAGTAGACAAGAATCAATACTACCTTGCAGGTAACACTGACGGTACCAACCAGCATATGTACGGCCCACATTCTGATCGGCATAGGAAAATATAAAAGTCGATTGATGTGCTGATCCTCGTCTAGATTGATCTTACAGCCTGTCTCTCCCATCGGCCTCCAAATCAGCAGCTTTCTTATAAAGATAGTTGGATCACCCAAGCGTTTGCCCAGCTTCCCAGCTTTGAACAAACACTAGCAAGACAACACCCATCCTATTTTGTTCGCCATGGGGAAGTTTTTTGGCCTCCGTGGCGACTGGCTCAATTATGCCATAGGTATCATCGCAGGATGCGATTTCCTGCTTTTTGGATACGGTACTTCATCTCCGTCGCATATAAAACGACATTCAAGAAACCTAACATGTCCTAGATCAGGGTGTAATGGGTGGAATTCTCACCATGCATCAGTTTCTTGAAGATTTTCCAGAAATAAACCCAAACGGCGCTCCGAAATTTTCCGCTGAGGCAGCGAGGCGATCCACTAACCAGGGAATCTCCGTTGCTGCGTATAATTTGGGATGCTTTCTCGGTGCTGTCACCACCATTTTCGTATCCAATCCTCTCGGTCGAAAGAAAATGATCATGTTAGGTACATCCATCATGGTTGTCGGTGCTATCTTGCAGGCCAGTGCTACAACCCTCCCTCACTTCATCGTCGGCCGTATTATCACCGGTTTCGGAAACGGAGGCAACACTTCAACTATTCCTACCTGGCAGTCTGAGACCTCGCGTTCCCATAAACGAGGCAAGCTAGTCATGATAGAAGGCGCTCTAATCACTTGCGGTATCATGATCAGTTATTGGATAGACCTGGGCTTTAGTTTCATCGAAGGCAGCATCGCCTGGAGATTCCCGCTAGCCTTCCAGATTGTATTTTGCTTGTTCATTCTATCTTTCATTTGGAACATGCCAGAATCCCCAAGATGGCTGATTCTGAAGAACCGCGAAGAAGAGGCCTTAGAAATTCTGGCTGCATTAGCCGATGCCTCTCCCGACGACAAGGAAGTGAAAAACGAGTTCACGGCCATTAAAGAAACCGTCCTCGAAATGTCCAAGGGCACTTTCCACGACCTATTCACCATGGATAAGGACAGGTATGTCAAAACATTACACCTGTTTACAAATTAGTTACGAGCTGATACTTATGCTGCGAAATAGGAACTTCCACCGGACCTTACTTGCTTTTGTCAATCAAATGTATCAACAAATTAGTGGAATAAACCTGATCTCATACTTCGCACCAGTAATTTTCAGTAATCTCGGTATGAGCGACTTCATGGCTCGGCTCCTCGCTGCCATCAACGGAACGGAATATTTCCTCGCTTCGTGGCCAGCTGTGTTCCTGGTTGAGCGCGTCGGCCGCCGAAAGCTTATGCTCTTCGGGGCTGCTGGCCAGTCCATGAGTATGGCCATTCTAGCGGGCGTGAACTCCAGACCGGACAGTACGAGTGCGCAAGCCGCTGCTGTTGCCTTCTTATTTGTTTTTAACACATTTTTCGCCATTGGTTGGCTAGGAATGAGTATGTACAACCCAGCTCCTCCAGATTTTTAGTCCTAAAATCCTTCATAAAAAGGGGTTATTTTCTAAATTGATAAAACCGACTAACTTCTTCCCCCTAGCTTGGCTATACCCCGCCGAAATCACGACTCTCCGGACCCGCGCGCCGGCGAACGCGCTGTCGACGTCGTCGAACTGGATATTTAACTTCTTGGTGGTGATGATTACGCCGATAGCGTTCAACAACATCGGGTACCAGACGTACATCATCTTCGCGGTGACCAACGCGTTCATCGTACCGACGGTGTACTTCTTCTTCCCGGAGACGGCGTACCGGTCCCTCGAGGAGATGGACGCCATCTTCCACAAGGTGCACGGCGGCAAGGGCTACTTCACTGTCGTCAAGGTCGCCGAACAAGAGCCCCGCCGCTACGGCAAGAACGGTGAGCTGCTCATCGCTTACGAGGAGACCGAGGAGCACAAGGCTCATGCTCCACACCCCGAGAACGGCAGCGGGGTTGCGTCTATCAACGACACGGAAAAGGCCCAGGGAGGCACTTTTATTGAGAATAGCTCTGGTCAATAGGAGTTGTTTACACGCTCATGAGTTTTAGGTCGAGAAAAGGATTGGATTGGATTGATGGGATGGGAAACTCGTATATAAGCCATATAAAGATACGTGTAAAGCGGATTATCATAAATGGATTTTTTTATAGATATTCGATGTTTAAAATCTATTCAAATTATACCATGTTCAGTACTTCTATTCGCATACAAATCGCGGTACGAATACATGGATGCTATTCTCTCTCGTGAGGATTAATGGGAGTCATATGTAGGCTCTCGACCAATATAATTTATATCGCATATCTCATGATAGGAGTACCTGTACGAGTTCTACATATGATATGTTCTAGTACATACCTAGTACATACCTAGTACTAGGCATATTCTTGTCATAAACTGTACATAGGTACATAGGAGCTTCCCCCCTTTCCTTTTCTTCACTACAGTTCTTTTACTATTGATGGTGTTTGTAAAATTATGTAAGTACTAGGTACATAGCTGGTTGATGGATGTAGCAAACCAATTCAGACTTCATTCAATCCATTTAGAAAAACAGGCAAACCTCAAAATCTGCGGTACTGGGAATATTGCCTTCTAACTTTGAAGGCGTTAGCTATGTATCTACGAATTACATGGCTATTTCATGTTTTAAAGGGGGTGGGGAATAACCCCTATTTATGATCCCATATTTTGGAAGTTCCACAATTTGGAAAACTATTCGATACGCATGCTGTTTTCTATTAATATGCACAGTGAAAGTTAAGCAAACAAAATTATTTCTATTGGAATTTACATAATAAGGCTATGATCGCGACCTAAAGGTGTCCCTTACAGCTTGTTCAGATTCTTTTGTGGAGATATATAAGTATCTCCGATGAGCGGCTTGTTAAGAAATGTTTTTCGATGTCGGATCTTAAGGGGGTTACTCCTCCCAACAACCTAAGCTTTGGAAGGACTCAACGTAGATAGGTACCGAGGTAGGTACCTATATGTTTACTCTTCTTTGAACTAATACATTGTGCCTTTTCACCGTCGTTTAACACGAGGAAAGCCACGAGCTTCTTGGTTGAGGTTTTAATTACGATACTCTGTCACGACTCGGATCCCATGGAGGCCACACATATCACCATACTTCACTTGAAGATTTTCCAACATGACGACCCTCCACTATCGTCAGCAGAAATACAAATATCTAAAGGTATGGCCAACCTAACACCCAATGTCAGATTTGACTGCAATTGCACATGCTTGATTATACGCCCTTGTCGAGATGCTTTGGATTTACACAACTATGACTCCTTAGATTCTTACTTACATGTGTCACAGTGGTTGCATTTTATCGGAAATGATCCAGTCATCCTCTCAGTCGATATAGAACGTCATTGAAGCAGTTCCGCAACAGCGTGTTGGGTTTCTCTGTCACTAATAAGGCAGTAAATAATCGTCCTAGAGTTTGTTGATTTAGGGCCTAAACCTGTGCCCTATAGTAGCTAGGTTCTAGGTATCGACATTGTGCGCCCTAAAAGTTGACAACAATATTATTATCGTATCTTCCGGCCACAAACCATCAACATTCATCTTTTCTTTTTCAAACTTTTTTTTCAGACGGCACTCTAACACTACCCCCCTTGTTGGGGTACTCTAGACGTCCAATACGCGACTGTCGCACCTCATATATATTTTATAACATTTTATAATATTTACGTCTGAAATCTTCCAGACGTAAACACGCTCATCGGAGCGTCAACAAGGAGCATCGCCGAGCAGGTCTCGGCGAGCACCGTTGTCCCAAATGCCACAGCAATGCCGGAAGGACCCGTGGGGTGCGGGTCGCCGGCATTCGGGGTAGTCAGTCATGGCAACCACCATGGACATGACTGCCCCGAATTCATCGGCTTCGAGGGTAGCACCCGCTCCGAATGTTAGCATTCGCGACGGTAAGGCCCGTGAAGCCTACCGATCAAGAAAGAAGAGAGCATAAAAAGATACTGTCCTCATTTTTAATGTGTCTTCTCTTTTTCTTCCTTCACACATTCACAAATATTTCCGCAACCTAGACCACCAAAACCACCACACCAACATAACAACACATCCTACCCAAACGCACATTTCCCTAACTCCCAGTCTCCCACTAAAGGGAGACCTATTACTAGTAAGTATAACCTCATTTTATTTTTTTTTACACGTGATATACCCAGATATATTCTCGAAATCAGATCGGTCAGACTAACATGATGCCTTCTCTAGAGGACAATGTCCAGCTCCGAAAGCCCGGAGCCAACTACCAACGAGGCTCAAGTAGAAGAGCCGAAGACTCGAGAGCGCCCCCTAATCAGCATGGGGGATCCCCTCACCATCGCGGTGAACTGTGGGTTCTGCGTGCTCGTCGGTCTGTTCCTCGCCGCGTTTCTCTGGCTGGTCATTAACAGCCTCGACCAGCAGAGACCGTGTGCGTTTTCCGTCAGCGACCGATGCCACTACGCGGGATACGGCCGCGAGCTCTAAGCCTCCCCGTCGAACATAAGATCAAGGATTTTCGGGACGGATAACTGGCACGAGAGTCACTAAAGATGGATGGACGGATGGATGAGAGGCTTATTTACTATGATTCCGCCATGACTTTAAAGTCGGCGATGCAATGAAGGATTCTATTATCCGCAGTTATTTTTCTCAGTCCTCTACTATTACAGGCACGGGAACCGAGACCGGTTGATGAATGCAAACACTGATTGATCTCCATGAGTTGGGATCATAAATAAATAACCTCTTGCCTGTAGAATTCGTGATAAATGGTTTGCGACCGTAGATATCCGTTTCTATAATCCCATTCCACCACACCTTGAAGCGGCTCGACGCGTGGACTCAGGCTCTGGACAAAATTTTCGGAATTGAATACAGACGTTCCTTCGCAGTAGCAATTTGAAAAGAGACGCGATAAAGCTCCTGCTTCGTTGATTAATTGGTACCTAGTAGTTTATATGATTTTTCCACGCGCGATCGATTGCGGATTGGTAGCTCTGGGTCATCACTGGTATAATTGATATATTTTATGACGTATCAAAGGTCAGGTAGTCAGCATTAGCTTTAATAGTGATATATGATACTACCTAGCACTCGCCAGTATCATCTAGAGCCACATCCGACCGGTCCGAAGGCGTAAATACAGTACACCGCACGCGCCTACGTCGTCGGACTTAAGCTGTTTCGCGGGCGGATATTTAGATAGTAAATTTCGTGTATGAGGATCAGAGAGCACACAGATTATGATAATATTTTAATAGAGAGGGCTTGGATCGACTATCCTTCGAGGTTGATATCAAACCACCCACCCATGCGCTGGATACTCCACGAACCAACAGAGCGCACAGCATGACCATAAATCGAGCTTCGACATCTACCTCTCATAAAAAACGCGAGGTAGATTCATAAACTATGGATGTACGTTGGTCAGACAACAATGCGGCGAAACTCAACACCATCTGGTGACCGGATCCGTGCTGCGCCACCACGACGCATGGATTCATCCAGCTCAGGACTTCAGCCCTATCGGCTGACAACTTATCTGACACGTTGGGACTAATTATATAGGTTACGTTGCATCTCGTCCGTGTATATCCACATGCGGGTGAGTTGTGTCGAGACAGAGTAAAGGTCTCGATCACTAGCTGACCGTATCAAGCGACGATCTCGACCACCAAGTAAGCCGTAGGCTGAGACGATATATGCAATCGAGGAATTCCTATCACCAACATAATTGTGATAAATGGCGCTGAGGCAGAGCTTGAGCGGTGACGACGATGATATAGGCTATCTATCGGCACGTCGACTATGCCATGCTGGCGTCAAGAATAAAGCCAAGCCGGCAGAGAAAAATGGAAGCTAACCTGGAAGTTGGTTTCGGCCGGTAGTTGGGAAGGGGTCGCTAAAATATAGCGTCGAACCCGCCTTCGGGACGGGCTAATAAGGTGCCATCCGAGCTAAATCTAGCACTAGCGTCTATATTTACAGGGCGAGTAAGGGACCCGGTGTGGAGGCCCATTCGTACATCTTTGCAAAAAAAAGATTTTTTTTCGGAAATTCGAAACGCTATTCCAAATACAGTAATAAGACGTAAGAAAATTGTTAAGGAAGTACATAACAGTATATTGAAATGAATTATTTAGACGTAGGATACATATATTCGCATATAAATTTAGCTGTATATGTATGTATATAATGTCGCTTTATTTAGAATCAATTAAATCAATTAGTTTTCAAGGCTGTTGCAGTTGAAATAGCCTTCTGTAATAGCTGTAATAGCTGTAATAGCTGTAATAGCTGTAATAGCTGTAATAGCTGTAATAGCTGTAATAGCTGTAATAGCTGTAATAGTTACAGCAGTTCAAGGTTATAATCAGTACTAGAGCCCCCGCATCAACAGTACCTTGTTTCGCATACAAATGACAACGCAAATACATGTACTTTTAGTGCTGGCCCACTCAATTGAACTTTGACAATTTTATGTATTTACCTAATCGATAGCTTTACTAGATTTTGTTTGAATGAATGCTGTCTCTTTTCAATTATGAACCTGGATCGATGCAATTATTTCAATTGAAGGGGTGAACATTAAAAGTACATGAGTTTGTATGACAATTTGGATGCGAAAAGAGGTACTATCGATGCGAGGGCACCTTCCATAAATCTTTCAATTGAAGCAATTCCCAGCTCCCAGTGAAGATTACCTAATCAAAGCTAGAGATAGCTTCAATATTTTATAATATAATCAATTAATAATTTAATAATTAAGAAAATATCATCAAAGTTACAACATTTTGCACCTAATATTGTATGAATAGGCTTGTATCTTCGATGCTTGCTATATAATTTCGTACGAAGTACTGATTTATCACTTATTATTCCTGCACTTTACCCCTTTAGGAACTATCCAGGGAATTTTTTCTTTTTTGCAAAGTTGAACGAACGGGCCTCGATACCCGGACTGAATTGCGACAAGTCCACGCATGAATATATCCACTGCTTCGTCCGCCAATAACCCGTAACTTGGAAGAAGTTGGAGCCTCAGCATGAACCTCATTTGCTAAATCGCTTACCTGTTGGTAAGTATTTACATAAATATCATATTTAGTATTATTTACTATTTATTTCCCGTTCGTACGTCCGTACATACTGCATACATGATTCTAGCAACACATGACATGACGTAGGCGGTCGGTGATGGGCTTGAGAGGAAATGGAAATGTAACGTGTGTGATAACGTGGATACTACGAGTAGGAAATATACATCACCATCTCAATATTGAGAATAATTACCTATTATCCGTCTCCTAAAAATATCTCCTAACACGACGACCGTGGAGGAAACTACTGGGGCAGAAATACGACGGGCGAGTGATGCCGCGCCGCAGTCGTTTAGTCAATGGCTGCTAGCCATTCATGATTCCCCAGGTTCGTACTATTAGTTAATACAGTGGCGCATCTTGCATCCTACTACTCAGCTGAGCTTAGGCTCAGCACCTAAATTTGTAGGTACCTACAAAGCCGGAGAACCGAACGACCCGGCGGAGTGGCATACCTAAGAAGGCAGGGGTAGGGTCTGGTAAGCGAAGTGGCTTGAGACATCCATGAATCTGCTAGCCATTACATCAACTAAACGTCCCATAAAGGAATATTTTACGAGGTGGTAAAGCACCTAATAGCATGTAAGAGAAAGAGAGGTGCTGCGCGCGGGACAGCAGCTGAGCCTGGCCGTTGTCTGCCGGGATCAGCAAACCATGCCGATCACTTCGTATTGTCATCTTTGCCTAGGAAGAACTCCAGTGGCCGGAAATCCCTCGCAGGCAAACAACGTGCTGGGACTCGTGGTGAGTGATGCCACGACAATCTTTGGACCAGGCGGTCTTTGAATGGTCTAGGCATGACTGTACCTACATAGTGTAACATATCGCAACATACACATTCACGCACACCCATAAACACACGCACCTCACGGGATATAAAAGAGGACGGGTGCCCGGACGAACCTTCTTACAAACAAGGAACACCACCACCATCATCATCATCTCACAAAGACATCTCGCCTCTTTCCGCACTTACATAAACAACCCTTTCAACCCAAATCCAAATCCAACCCTAATCAAACCACCATCCCCAACCCGCCAAAATGGTTTCCGTCCGATCAATCCTCACCAGCGCCCTCAGCGCCGCCTCCCTCTCATCCGCGTACATCACGGGCGTAACGGCGCCGGACAGCGCGAAAGCCGGAACAACAGTAACAGCGACGTTAACAGCCTCGATCTACATCCAGAACTGGAGCGACTTCGGCATCGTCTGGGGCATCGCGCCGGCGCGCATCAACTGCGGGGACGTCGTGTGCGTGGGCCAGCAGATCGCCTACACGAACCTGTACCCGGACAACCAGCCGAAGCCGGGCAAGTTCAACATCGACGTCGCACTCCCCTCTACCCTGAGCGCCGGCGACTACCAGCTCGTCGCCGCCGTGCCGTATCTCGTTGGCGTGAGTAACCTTGTCCTTTCTCCCTTCGCCTCTCTATATGTATAGATATGCTAACTTCCAACCAGGCGTCCGGCCTAGTCAGCATCCAGAGCCACACGGCCAACATCACCATCACCGCATAAGCAATCAGCGGGCGGGCGATGTGTCGAGCTAGCTAGCTGACAGTTAGAAGTCGGTTAGAGATTTAATTTCTTAGCAATTTGCATGGGAGCTTCCTCGGACAGGGCTCAGCAAAACAAAATCACATACCCGGTTCCGCGAGGAACCGGAATTATAAATTGCATGGCATGCACACCTAGACATACACAGTGCGCGCATAGGCGTTATGAAGGGAGACGGATGGGTTCGGCGGGGCAAGCCACCTTGCGTTAGTGTCTTGTTCCCATCATGGCAGCGATAGCATTTAATGAGAATTTCCATGATCGGGAAAACACTGGAGAGCAGTTGTTCGTGATCGATCTTGTGATCTTGATGATGATAGTTTTGTTGTGAATTGAGTACATAGTGTAAGTGAACTACACTCCCCGAACACCTCGCTATGCATACTTGCGTGTAAAAAGGAAAGGAACATCGGCGGGCTCTTCAACCGTTCGTACATCGTAGCATCGACATAAGACGGCCTGCCAATCTGGCAATCTCCTTGCCTATAACCATTATGCCACAAGACGGAATACCTCGTCCAAGTGCTACGTCATTCGTAACTCATTCCTCGTCCCCCAGACCCTGTTGATAATTCCGGAGGATCGTTTCGTCGCACCCATGGTTATGGTTAGCCTTGCACTTGTCGTTATTAGCTGCATTTGCCAAAGAAAAACCCTCTTGCGCCGGCAATGCGTTCCCACGCCCTCCAGGGGAAGCATGGCCGTGTAGCGAAGGTCTATTCCCCTAATCATTAGACAATTCTTCATTCAACTCTTTGCGTAGTCTGTCAATCTTGGCCTGATGCGCGTGAATCCGCATTGCAGAAGTAACCTGACAGATGAAGGTGTGAGGATGCACGGTCTCGATAATCACGGCGATTGATGGGTTTTCTTCTTCTCTCCACTAGAGACCGAGCATTCGTCGGACTCCATCCCGAACCTTCTTCTCGTATTCCGAGCGTCGCTCTCGCCACATCTTGGCCGCCTCGACGTTTGCGGGACTTTCGTCGTTGGGCTCTGCCAGCATGCTCATGACGGAGATGAGGATCTTTTCGACGGACTGGATCGGACTCCATCGCTCTGATGCGTGCTCGTAGTGGTTCGGGTCGTCTCCGGGAGGGTGGAGGATAGAGATGCAGACTAAACCGCTTGGGTATACTACGAATTGGCCAATGTTAGATTATGGATTTCATAGTCTATGTCAAGTTATGTGAGAATATACCATTAGGGTGGAAGATCTCTCCCAAGAACGTCATCTTAGGTGGTGCTAGGGGATAATCCTTAGGGAATTTCAGCTCGGCGGGGAAGACGCCTCCCTCGAAAGGAGTGCCCTCTGGTCCTTGGATCAGAGCTTCCCAGACAAGCATATCATCTTCGTTGACTGGGCCAGCCGTGATACCATCAGGAGGATTGTTAGTCAGCATCTTGTACTCTTGAAGGAGTCGACGGTGGGCTGTCGATTGAGCCATCTTTATGGGATATCTACAAAGTTGATGTATAAAGAGTAATGAGTAAGGTAACAGGTCCAAGAAAAAGGAGTCTTATTCAATCATAACAGCCCGATTTGGCTGTCTTATGTAAATTATAGGTTTAGTTGACAGTTTTAGGCTTTGATATGGAAGGTTGGAGAAATGACCGAATGAAGATCATTGGTGGGGGTTTCCTTTCAGCTATCTATCTCCTGATCTAGCTGTCCAGGCTGCCAGGTGCGAAGGTTCGCTGTGGATCCCTTAATCGATAACTTAATCCTGGTCGTTCCTGACAATCAAGTAGCGACGCTAAGGTATCTGCTAGCCGAAGTTGACCCGGAAATTCGGATACGACGGTGCGGCTCTGTCGTACGAATCCACCCCAACAATCACCTTTATCACAACACATTTTAGACCACTCCTGACTTGTCCATAGCAACGGATGAATATGAAGTCATGTCTTCCCATATACTAAAGTGGATAGTAAATCCATTGGTATTGATATATGTCATGTTTAACTGATTATTACCCATATTTTTATTATGGCTTCATGCGGCACGGATCGAAACACCAACATCGAATAGAATGGAAAATCCTTCTTCGACTGTGCCGTTGCCGATCTCCATCCCACGGGCTAGGTATGCAATCGCATCAGCCTATGCATTAGGTAATACCTAAGATAGGACCTGAGACTGCGTGAGGCGTATAATTCTTTAACAGTGGCTGTTGATATATCTAAATGGGTCCCAAACGAACTTATTATTCTGCAGTTCGAAGTGCCTGTATACTCGGCACATAATGCAGCCATCCCACTCCAATGCATTGCTAGCGCCAACTTTTCACTGTTGGTGCTAATCATGTGTCTCGTTGACCAAGCTTTATGCCGCAAAACGACGATTATTCATTTGGATCTGTTGGCAACTTGGAAGTTTGATTACTGAGGATTCTCAACCTTGTGCGGGGTAGATCTCTTCTACATACGACTCAATATGGCAACAAGCCGTCTATCATATCTATAGACAATGGCAGTTATATTGGTCACTTCTCGCCCTCTTAGAACGGGCTTCCTCTGACTCTATCAGAACTAGACTACGAATGAAAGCTTAGGTTCGGCGTCATGGATCCCCTTATTAGAATTGCCATCATTGGTGGCGGCGTAGCAGGCGCTTCCCTAATCCATGCCCTCGTCAAGTTTTCCCACCTGGATGTACACATATTCGAGTCCGCCGCTGAATTCAAAGAAGCCGGCATGGCTTTCGGTATCGCCCGAAACGCGCAAGCTGCCCTCCAACTCATCGGCCCGGAAGCTGCGCAATGTCTCGAACGAGCCGGAGCCGTACCAATGAGGGGCGTTCGAATCATGTTAGCTCAAGGAGAATGGGCAGGGAGCATAGCTGATGAAATTGATGAGGCGGCTCAAGGAAAGCGTCTCACGAGCATCGTTCATCGTGCCAACTTTCTGCAAGAGCTACTCGCTGGTATCCCCCAGGATCAAATGCATGCCTCTAAGAAGCTCCAGAAAATCGATCAAAACGGTCCTATTACACTCTACTTCGTTGACGGGACCACGCACGAATGCGATATCTTGATCGGTGCTGATGGCATCCACAGCACTGTTCGAAAACTCGTCCTTGGCGAGAACGATCCGGCAGCCTATCCACAAAATAGTGGTGCTTGGTGTATTATGATGCTCGAACCATTCGACAAGGCCCAAGCTATCTTAGGCAAAGAGCTCGTGGATATCGAGAATGCTCGCGAATATGGATGGGTTGGCCCCAACGCCTTTTTAATGCATAACATATTAAGCGACGGTCAGATAGTGCAATTTGTTATAACTTCTAACGATAGAGAAGTCGAGCCTGGGTCATGGCAGCGCAAGGCGGGTGCCGACGAAATCAAGAAGATATATCAAGATTTTCCACCTCTGCTTAACAAGGCTGTAATCGAGGTAAGACGACTCTCGGGCTCATTGGTGTGTTGCGTATGCGATATGGCAGTACTAACAAAGGATATAGATACTTTGTAATCAACCCGAACACAACGCCTTCTATCTTTGGGATCACCCAAAAGCTCACACTTATGTTTCCGGACCCATCTGTGTCACTGGCGACGCGGCTCACTCGACAACGCCGTGGCAAGGCTCTGGTGGTGGCATGTCTATCGAAGACAGCATGATTCTATCCACCTTACTCGGACGCGCGAAATCACCGGTTGAAGCCCTCACAGCCCTGAAGGTATATGACCAAGTTCGCCGCCCTCGCACACAACAGGTTGTCGAGTCGAGTCGGGTCACGGGTACTATGTTGACAGGGGTCAATGAGGAGACCGGGCTTGACATCAAGAAATTCAAATCGTTTATGTCTAGGTGGGACTTCATTATTGATATTGATATGGAGAAACACCGTGATGAAGCCCTACAGATGATGGAAGCTGAGTTGAGGAAGAGTGTCGTGTAGTGGCATTATAGCCATCCTCTGCTGCTTTTGTCGTAGAACTCACCCATTATATACCTACTAGATATGGAGCTTAAGCTATTTTGGGAATTTTTATATAACATGACATATATATATTAGAAGTTTTGGTCCCTTTTCCCTACGTGTATGACTTCTTGACAAAGGGTTCGGCCAATCGAATGCGCGGATGAATTTGACCAATCATTAGAGATTTGCCAAGGCGCGCTAATTATGCGATAAGGTTATCAGATCGTTTGGCACTAGCCGAAGTTGGCCCGGAAATCCGCGCTTCGGAAGCTTCGAAAGTTAGAGCTCAAAAGTCGAAAGCTCCGAATAATTTGCGCCTAATGTCCTTACAAAGTATCGAGGGCGGAATATGCCTCCTCGAATAAGCCTGCAGCCCATTGGGCGTCGCAGCTCAATTTATTTGAAAAGTCAAGCGACCGAGAGGAACTCAGTCTGTTTCTTTTGTTCGCTGTCTGGTCGATCCAGCGCAGAACCGAGTCGTCGCCCGAGACCGAGACGAAAGTCGCAAAACCCTCGCCGATTTGCTTCCACCACCACGAATAATACGACTAGCACAACTAGCACGGACCACAATGTGCTCGAACCTCGGAGGGAATTGGAAGAAACCCTTCTCGAACTCGAGAAACATGCACCTAATTATATAAACCTCTCCCGCCTACAATTAGCCCTCAATGGCTTGCGGCAACGACCAGGCGACGAATCTATAAGGGTTGCCGTATTGGGTCTCTCAAATGGCTCCGAGTCGAGCGAAGTTGCAAAACAAGTGCTAAGGCTTCTGCTCGCCGATCCTTTGAAAGCTGAAGAGGAATGGGAGAAAGAAGTCGCGAAGCATGATTTGACACAACCCATGATCATACGGGTTGGAGCGGAGCTACCCAAAGAGCTTGAATCCATATCAGTTGCTTCCAAGGAAAGTTCGCTACACGAGGTTAACGTCTCATCTGCAACGTTGAATGGCCACAATCTAGAATTGTTGCTCATGGAGACGAACCCTTTTTTGTCTGCACAAGAAATCGGGGCTTTAAAAGGGTCTGAGGAGTCGGTGCTCGTCCCCACAGTCGACATCCCCACATCTGATACGGGGAGACACACTCCTATCACAACGCCGGTACATAAAGCTTTGATCGTGGCGGAGGGCCTTCTAGGTGCTGCATCGGTAGTATCGATGTCTCCGCTAGAAAACCAAAGCGTAATCACCGCTGCCGTGAACCTACCAGAGTATAAATTATCGGCAGATACTTCTCCCTTGCCGTTTACTCCTATTGATATCGGAGTTGCGAGTATCGGGCTGGGTCTTGTTCGCAAAGATCTCAAGAATGCCATCGAGTTCGAACACTTATGGTTTCAAAGTAACATACCGAAATTAGTTGACTGGTTAAAGACCGATATAATGGCTTCAGATGAGGGCACGACTAAACCACCTGTGAAAGACCTCATCGACTCGTTGCTAAGGAATACATCTGCAGCTATAGAAAACGAAGAAGCACGCCAATTCGGCTCGTCATTATCTCCTACAACACCTACGTCACTCCAAAGTAGCCTTGACGATTGGGCAGAAAGCGCACATACCGAATTGCAGGAACAACTTGACATAGCATTCTCCAGTAAACGATGGCGTAAACTTGGATGGTGGAAATTATTTTGGCGGGCAGATGACGTGGGCATGCTTACAAATGATATTCTCAGTCAAAGGTTCCTTCTAGCGTCAGAGAGAAATGCCATATTCCTCGCCGGGAGGATGAAAGAATCTGGAATCGCCTTAGGTCCCTTTCCAAATCCCTACACTACTGACGAAAATGGCGCCGAGTCGAAACAATTAGAGACCCAGGCGCCTACTCCCGCGACGGCCCCTTGGCCAGTTAGCATTCCTACAACAAGGCGATATCTTCAAACGAAAACGATACCTGCTTTACAGGCGCTTTCGCAAAAGCTCATAGTGCAGACGCTAGGTACATCGGGACTTACTACGGCGCTAGGCGCGCTTATTTATCTGAGCACGTTGACTGCGACGCTATACGAAGCCGGTGCGGTTGCCGCCCTAGGTATCGTGTGGAGCATGAGACGCATGCAAAAGCAATGGGAGACTGCGCGGACGTTCTGGGAAGGTGAGGTGAGAGAAGAAGGCCGCAAAGCCGTCCGAGATGTCGAAGGCGTGGTCGGCGACGCTCTTAAACAGGGCCGTGCCCCTAAAGACGAAGCTGAGGGCCAAGATAGTTTAACTAGAGCTAAAGGACTGGTGAAGCGTGCTCAGGAGATCTTGAGCAAGCTGAAGTGAGATAGGTTATCCACTGTATGAATAATGATTGTACATTGATCATGATACCAATAGACGCAACACCACACACCGCACTGTGCTTCCGATTTGATTTACGGGATCAAGCGCCTATGAATCTGTTGGACTGGATGAGTATGTCGACGTTTGCAACTGATAAATAGATTTCGTCATACCCATTGAGTCACCTCACTTCTATAGATGTTCTTTGCTACGGGGATGGAAAATTATATAAAGTGCATGATGAACCTACTATGTAATGATAAGCCATCGGTATAAGGCTTGGAGGTTACATATATATATTCAGATTTACGAGTAAAAAGAGGGGGAAAGAAAGAACGAAACCAAGAATTCATTTCCAACCTTAGAGAATGTTGACCTAAACAGGTGATCTTACTGTCGACCCTGGTACATTTCCTGTTTTTCCTCTCGCTACCTAATGATCTAAGGTCTAGCTAGATGAAAGTCGGATATCAGCACACGTCATAGGCACTATATTTAGGTATATAAATCGATTACTCAAGAAAGCTTCTTTCCTTTATTTTTATTTTCATTATTTAAAAACCCGGATGCATTGTTAACAGGCCGTGAGACCGTGGGCTATTCTCATTATTGCGCCAACCATAATAATCTACCGCCGTAGATTTGGCCCGTACGCCTAAGATACTAGGTCACTCGAGCATCCAGGGGAATTGCATGCGGCATCTACAGCTATGGATTACGGCGTCAATGACTTCTTTCACATGAACATCATCTAAATGAAGTAAGGAAATAGACCACCCTCCAAGAGCCATGACACTATATTAATTAGGTCTTGGTAAAGACTGGTTCTAGATTCCTTCCCGATCCTTCCTTCTATTATGATAAATAATACAAAGCAAACTGCAGAATTGCATCCCGTGACAATTATCAGCACGAGACCTAAAATTCATGCTAGCTTCAGAAAAAAAGAATAGGTTTAGCATCAATGAATTCCTCTCAAGAAGTCATCGTATAATAAGAGGTCGGACTCCAAGATGGAATACCTCCATGTACCCTCCTTTGTCGAACAGCAGTTCAACAAGCTAAATCGGAAAGGCCCTAGGACAGATATAGTCACCTTCGAGATCACAATAACATCTGTTACCCAAAAGCAATCAATCTCTAGGAACTTTGTTGTTCTACGGGTTGATTATATTATTTTAATGTCGGCATAACGTAGAGCCTTCACACCACAGACCCTGAAGGGCTTGACCTATTTCTCTTCTTTTTCTCATGTTGAATATCGCGCGGTAATTCAACTGAGCGACGATCCATTTCTACTAGATGTTAAGGGACTTTATACTTTGGATACAGCTCCGCCTAATAAGCGCCCGAGAGGATACTCGTGGTGTGTCGGCAAGCTAGAATACCCTACCGAAATTAGGCGTAGACACGTACATACCTACGCTCATGTCAAGGCAGTCATCGCCTGCCTATGAGTACATCGACCAGCGACACACGTTGCGGAGGAGAATACAAGAACATCTATCCGGCTACGTTTAACTTGAACACGACAATGACCACAACGACCACAGCCAAATACAGTATTATAAAGCGAAGTTCATATCTGTTCAGCACGCAGTATTCCTCAACACACCTATGGACCATTTAGACACCCGGGTTTGAGAATACACCAAAGGCAACCTATCAACAAGTCCGCACATACGAACTTGATAACCGTCCTGGAGTACAAGGTAGAATCTATCGTACTGGTATAGCGCTTAATAAATACTATGAAAAACCCACAGAAACCGGAAAAATCACCCTATACCCCTATCACCACTCCCCGCCCCCGCCCCAATCGCCGCCCGAATAATCCATCGTGCTAACCTCCGTATAACTCGCGTCGAAACTCACACTCTCCTGCATCCCCATCATCGCCGTCTGGTCGCCCATATACATCGTATCGTTGACACTCGCGCTCATATCCACGTTGACGTTCATATCGACGTTAACATCGACCATGGTCGTGGTGTCGACGTATCCAGCATCAGTATACGACGCGCCGGCGTACGAAGCATCCATGTACGTTGCACCTGTGAACGAGGTCGTGTCGGTGGTCATATTAGTGGTATCGACATATGTCGTATCGGTATATGTCGAGTCCGTGAATGTGGTGGCCTGGGCGTTCGCGCTCGAAGTATCGAGCATGTACGAGGTATCCGTGTAATTATTAGTTTCCATAGTCATATTATTCGTATCCGTTATATTCGTGTTATCCGTGTAGCTTGTATTATTCATCTGCTGGGATTGCGCGATCGCGGTGTTGTCTACGTTATTAATCGTCGTGTTGTTAATTATGGTTGTGTCGGACTGGGGCGCGAAATATGTCTCTGAGGTCGAGTTGTCCGTCACCACCTGAGAATTAGTGGTTTGAGATTCTGAATATGTGGTGTTCTGTTGGTCGACGTAGGATTCTTGGTGTGTAGCGTGTTCCGTATGATGCTCTCCAGATTGACCTCCGTGTTGTGCCTCCGAATGAGTTTCGTGATGTGGCTCGGAATAAGACTCATGATGTTGCGAAGAGTGGGACTCGTGCTGAGGCTCATTGCTAGCCGTATGCTGCTGAGGACCGGCGGAACCCCCTGAATTAGGTTTCCCACTGGCAAAGGCACTCAATGCACCGCCGAGCGTGGCGCCTATAGCCGCGTAGGTATCAGTGCCCCCCTGTGCTTGTTGAGGTTGCTGGTCAGGGCGTGCTGGATATACTTGCTGAACCGGACGCATTTGGTAAAGGGGTTGGCCGGGAGGCGCTTGGGACATCGGCTGGCCAGGGGCTCCTTGGTAAAACGGTTGACTGAAAGTAGTAGGCTGTTGTGCCTGGGTGACAGGTGGTCTTCCAACCGGAGGTCGTGACATCTGGTAAGCGGGTTGTTGATTCATCATACCTGCTTGCGGTTGTTGGGGATTATTATTCGCCGCTGGTCCCATTACTCCTGGGTTTTGCGCCATAGGCGGCCGACCTGGTACTTGGAAGTTGGAAGGTTGCATGCCCTGTTGTAATGGAGGCCGGTTAACTACCTGGCCATATTGAGTCGTAGCATTCACTCCTGCTAAATTTTGTGCTTGCGGTGGAGCGGTATTCGCATGTTGCGGGCCCGGTGGACGTTGCGACTGGTTGCTCTGCGGTTTATTCTGGGAACTGGCATACATCTGGTTTGCTAAAGCAGCGCCTGCAACCCCGTTTCCACCTAATGATTCAGCAAAAACCGCACCACCAACAGCCACTGTCGCTTGCTTGAAGGCTGGATTCTGCCAGGTCTTCTTAGCCCATTTCTTCATTTTCTTGCTCGCGTCAGAAATGACTGCAGTTGCCTGAGCTGAGTTGAAAGGTTTGCCCTGTCCATATGTTTGAGGTGAGTTGGATTGATACCCTGTTGTTTGGACGGGTTGCTGCTGCTGCTGCTGCCCCTGAATCTGAGTTGTTGGTTGACCACTTTGGAACGACTGCGCGACTGGTATATTTGCCGCATTTGGATATTGAACTGCTTGAGAGACCTGCTGTTGAATATGGGTTCCTTGCGTGAAAGCGGTCGTTTGTTGTCCGGTCGGTGATTGAATAACTTGGCCTACCCCTTGATGTGTATATGACCCTTGATTTTGTGTGTTTTGTGGAGAATGAACGGGTATATATTGTGGTCCTGCGACTGATACATTATGTCCTTGTGTATGCTGTTGCTGTTGCTGCTGTTGCTGTTGCTGCTGTTGCTGTTGCTGCTGTTGCTGTTGCTGTTGTTGGGGCGGTCTATGTACTTGTGGCGCTTGTTGAATTACCTGTTGTTGGGTAGGTTTCATTGGAGCTACCTGACTCTGTGAGTGCTGGGCATGGACCGGAGCAGCCTGAACTTGTTGTGCAGCAGCAGCAATAGAAGGTGATCCGACTTGGGAAGGCATCGGCTTTACCTGCCCTGGAAGCATGGGAAAAGGTTTCGATGCCCCATTTCCAGGGGACTGGGGCGATTGGGCTCCTTGTAAATGTCCCTGGGAATGGAATACTTGTGGCCCTGTTGGCCTAGGAGCATGAGGTGAATTTTGGTAAGCAGCGTTAGTTGGTGGGCGGTTTTGAGTTATCACTCCATGCGTGGTCGATTGAGCCTGGGATGATGATGCCGAAGACGGCGGTCTATGAAGTGAGGCAATTGAAGGGCTCGGCGAAGACACCTGACTTTGAAGCGGAGATACAGGATGTACAGTAGGAGACCATGAATTATGAGGTTTATTTGTCCCTGTATTTATTCCTGTCGGTGTATTCTGGTTCGATACTTGGCTAGAGGCCTGCATTGTCGGCTGTGCGTTTGGAGTTATCCAGCCAGGACTCGACGATGGCCCTTGAACTGCGCTCTGCTGGTTAGCCACAGCGGCTTGTCCGGTCACAGAGTGATTTAAAATTGATAAATTAGCTTGGCCAGAGACCTGGATGGACATGGCCAACGGCGCTTGCGAATTAGATAACGGAGGCTGGTTTTGTGACTGAGGTGATACCTGGGTAACATGTTGTGATGGCGAACCCGATACTGACTGCGGCCGTTGATTATGGGTCAAAGTATGCTGCCCAACCGAGGGGGTAGTTTGAGATGGTGGTGAGTGAGGTTGCGCCTGGGATGGTAAGTTAGATGCAGTTGATACTATTGATGGAGTTCCTTGAATGGTAGCTGAACCAACAATCGGATTTACAAATGCAGTGCTGGTTGTGTTGGTCCTTTGTGGAAGCACAGGCTTCCGCAAAAGCTTCTGTTGAGGTCTTAAAGCACTAGGTGTTTGTCCTTGAGATGTAGCAGGATAATTTACCTGTGATGGATGGGCACCGGTTTCACTAGGAGATGCAGCAGCGGACGGAGATCCTTGAATCTGGGAATTACCCTGTGCCGATGGTCTGGGTGTGACATTGTTGATATCGGGAGGCCTCGAATCTTCAGAGATACTAGAAGTTGTCGAAACTTTGTTTGGACTCGTTGGCGTTTGTGGTTTAGACACTGACAGCGGCGCAATTACGGGCAGCGGCTCATTCAGGATAGAGTAAAATTGCTCTGTATTTTGGTGAAGATCCTGCGAGGATGCGACCTCGTTACTGGGATTATGTGGCTTGCCTTGGACTTGTCCAATTGTAGGTCCTGGTGCCGCTGAAATTTCCTGGAAAACGTATATTCCAGGTCCGTTAATTTTAGGAAGAGATGATGTACGAGAAGATATCCGATTCGGTAAGGTATTAACTCTGTGAAGGCCTACGTTGTTGTTATTCGCAGCAGTTCGTCCCGATGGTTGACCTCCCAAATCTAGAGCGCTTTGAGCAGGCCTGAGCACCGACGGTATCTGATATGAATTGGAGTCGACGATTGATAGTCCGGAGCCAAAAGAGATGCTCTCATGCCTTGCCCCCGACCCTGGTAAAGAAGGGGTATCGCTGTGTACATGGTGTTGTTGCGAATTATTTTGTGGCGAATCCACTTTTACAGGTGCTGTTGCAGGTTGTAGCACAGCTGGAATTTGTGAAGGCTTAGCTTGGGGTGGTGGCGTAGAGACAGTCATTGTTCCTCTGGGATCTAATGGCTTCCTCAAGATATGAGGAAGATCAACGGTTGTCTTGATAGGTCCTGACAAGGAATGACGCTTTTGTTCCATGGATCCAAGTTCGCTATTCTGAGACTGAAGGACTGATATACTAGACAGTGCCATTGACTGTCTATTTAGATTGCTCGACTCCCCGTTAACACGTCCTTGTGCGGGTTTCCACGTCTCGTATCTGTTCTGATCCGCCTGACTTCCCACAGGTCGTTGAGGAGTAAGTACTTTTTGCTCCGCGGAGGGGGAATTTGTTCCTTGCACAGTATTATTGACAGGTTTGGTAGCCGTTTTCAAAGGAGGATATGCAAATGAAGCTGAAACTAGCGGATATTCTTCGACCGGCTGCATGCTCTCTGGGCCAGAATTTTGTATTGGCTCTTTTCGTTTTATTGGACTCCTACTTGTGGGCAGCTCCGTCGGGCCATCTTGCTTAGTAGTAACTCTTAAAGCCGTAGGTGCCATCTGTGTTGCATCTAATTCGATTGGGGCCAACTCCTCCGCGCATTTCGCCGTTTCGCCGCTCGCCAACTCAGCAACGAAGCCAACGGGGGACTGTATTCGTTCCGATTCGGGGAGTTCAGCTAATACAGCCTCGTTGCTGATCGGCGTGTCATTCTCGTTACCGACAGGACTTATATCATTAAGGCCAAAATATAAAAATTGATCTGGATCAAAATACCCCGTGGCTCCCATAAGGTCTTTTTCGTTATTTGATGTCGCCTTCGCCGATTCATTTCCGCCCTGTTTTGTCGCGACATCGCCGTGATTAATTCCGTCGAGTGGCCCGAATCCAAGCCCTACTAATTCGGGGAACTCGTCGCCTGATCTTGGAAAATGGTATTGTGTCAAACCCGTCGCTTTGTACCGATAAAACCACCGAGTTCCATCATAGTCTGCCTCCCATCCTTCAGGGAGAAGCGCCATCTCGAGAGGAAGATATATATATAACGATCGAGAGCGTTTCGGTCGGGTAGATAAAGGATATAGGCATACACGACAATGGAAAAATTGTAGACTTGGACTGAGAAGATGGAAAAGGTGCGAAATACAACACGACGTAGATAAACCAGACAGATTAAACCAACGGAAATATGTTTGTGAGATACCTGCCGGCGTCTCAAAGAACCAGGCAAAGAATAGCAGAGGACAAATAACGAGTATGAGGAAGGGGAGCCATCCCCAGGCAAAGCTATGAAGGCCTGATGTGACCTGTTGCCCGAGCGGCTGAATCCAGGTCACACATTGATAAAACGTTTTACGACAAGGTCCCTCTTCTTGAAGTCCCCTTGGTTCCTTTGGCTAGACCGTTATTCAGCTAAATTCCAATCTTCGTGGTCCAGCAGGGCGCCTAGCCATTCTAGATGCCGGTCCATTGAATGGTGGCGTATAGCGTGCAGCAGCTGAACTCGAAGACCCCATTTCTGTGAAAGTAAGCCAGTTCTCGCTTATCAAGCAACAGGTCAACTCAAAAAAAGCTTCGCAAATATCAAATCCTATCAGAGCGGTCGCTGATGCATTGAATTTTCATCCAAATGGAGTCATCGCCATTCCAAGGCGACAAGTAAGAAAACAGTGTTAGTCGGAAGTTGGTGTTCATCTCTTGGTCCTCGGATGAGATCTAGATGTTTTCCCACCCGGTCACGCCACTATCCTTAGCCTATGCAGCGCAAGCAGGGGTCCCTAGCTACTCCATATTGAAGTCGACAAACGTATTCGTAGGGACGAGTAACGAATTGGGCAATACACCTACCTACAACCTACCTAGATATAGGTGTTGATATAGGGAAGGATGGATTGGTACCTAATAAGTTAGGAGGTGACAAGCTATAATATATGAAAGCCTCGTTTAGGGGAAGAGAAAATAGGTAACTAGGTGCATTACCGCGCCTACAGTGTAAAACATGCGTGAACTTGCTTTTTAGAGTGGTGGCCCTCTAAATATCCCACGATACATCAATCCCGATGATCTTTCAAATTCGTCCTTACTAATAAGGGTATCCCTTCTTTGGCCATGGCCACCAGCCTTCCATTGGCATATCGTCATAGATAGCATTAAATGTTTCCTTAGGGTCCTTTCTATTATAGCGATAGATGAACCTCTCCCCAAGATTACTACGAGCAACCGCGTGCTCGACGTGCTCGACAGAGATCTTATCGAGGCGAAAATCAGCTAAGACCTTAGTTGTCACGCCATGAATCAGAAAGTGGGCGACCCATCGTGGCGGCTCTTCCTGTATGTCGCGCAAAAAGTAATGGCGTGTTTGAGTATATCCATCCCCACCCAACAGATTGGTCATCCAAAAATCGACTTCGAATTCCCTGCCGGCCGAGCTGGTCGGACTGAAGAAACCGTCCTCCCATGAAACGTTGTCCAAATTCCAGTGAAGACCTTCGCGCATAAGTCGCGGGACATCCCTACATTTGAACTGGAGCTCGCCAAGCCACTTTCGGTGAGATTCTCTGTCGCTAATACCCAGTGAAATATTTAGCTTCGTTTGGTTCTCGAGGTAAAAACTACCCTGTGGTACTGCTGGCTGCAGGGTGTCTGGGCAGGCTTTCGATATGATTATACGACTGTTTCCTTGTGCGGGAGGTGTCGAGTTTGTCTTGTCTGTCTTTTCTGGCTCATCTAGCTCATGCGAAGCCATCTTTGCATGAACCATATTATTCAAGGCCGTAGCGTCCGGAGATGCTAAAAGAATAGTATTATTGTCCGCTTTACCTATAGAAGTTAGGATAAAATTTGTAGTTGAAGGTTGGGCTTCTACAATAGTAGGTACCTGGGTGATACCTACAGGGCAGGAAGTGCGGGGATGTCAGGTGACCAAGGGGATTAGGACGGAACTCCGTTTGAGGTTGAATTTTGGAAAATACAACCTCAAAGGCAGACGATTAACATCCTCCTATTATCCCATTCATTGGGAATTATGGCTACATCGTTTTGTACCAACCGACGCATGCTATTATGCAAGAACCCAATGGGTAAATAGCTTCATTTTCGCCATACTCTGTAGTAATTTTCATCGACCTTCACTAGACAGACTAGATCAGTTGAACTTCTACATAACTGACTACTAACTTTTCGAGCTTACGTGCGGATCGAAAGGCTGCTGAGCTTGATGTAAAGGGGTGGAATTCCGATCGGTAGATTCTGGCTGACATCTTACCTTAGCTTCTTGGCAGGTCAGTCGGAAGATTTCTTTCCTCTTTCTGGACAGGATCAATGAGTAATGGCCCTAATGATTGGCCTAGAAGGAATCCCTGGGTGAGTATAGATAGGTACCTTGTTCAAATATAGATCTTGAAGATCGCCACAGCTATCGTACGAGGCTACTCGGTCCATCTCCTCGTACTTCGCTCCTGGCCAGTGTACGTCAATAGTAGAAACCGAGATTCTAGATATCATGACCAAATGTCATGGCTAAAGCCACGTATGCTTACCTCTATACCTACCAGATACGTCTTCAATGTTAGAATATGGGTATTATTGAGGTAAGAAGTCCGCGACAGTTTTATACGAAATAGAGAACCTTTGATTTCTTAAAAGTTATCTTACCTACCTACGTACCAGCAAGGATATCTATAGAACCCCGGCATAATGTGCGTATGACCCCTAGACATAGTCACATTTTGCATGGAAGTAGTAAGCCAATCAAAGAATCGCTCACTTCCCAATTCGGTACCTAATCCATCACGAATTACCATCCGTAGCTATAGATTCTGCGATTATTGTCATGTTTTATGAATATAAATATTGACGGTATTTGCATTGGAAATAACATAAATACTAGGTATATACCTCTCCTGGAAGCTATGGTACTTGGCAATCTGGTTGACAGTTAATCACCTCCCTATAAACCAATACGGGGCTTTGGTGATCGGCGTCATCTGAATAGCGATAACTATTACTGGCTGGCCTGATAATGCGGGTTATCTGGTCTTCGTTACGTCTCACAAGCTATAGTATGAAGAAGATCGTCGAAAAGGTAATCGCCCTGAAAGGCTCGCCCTAATTGAATCTTCTTACCCACGTTTAGGAACGATTTCTTAATTGGAATAGATAAGTCCTTTATTCGATATCTGATATTAAGCGAAGCTGTGTCGTACGTAGATTGGTGAGGTGACTATTATCGTTGATGTCATATGGTCGGAGATTTGTCTTATTTCCGCGTGTTTCGATATGACAAAGCCAGTACCTACTACCTAGTAGGTACTCTATTAGTTACTCGAGTCTTAGGTAGACAATGTCTTGTAGTAAAGAACTTAAAGAGAAACTCGTGTTGGGTCTAAGGGGTTTATCTATGCCAAGTGTTGTTGGTTGAGACAATGTTCGGAAGACACGAGATATAGGATTCTAGAACAATACCGTACGCGTACAACATCGTATATTCAGCTACACCTGCTACAGGTGGATATTAAATCGAAGACGGAATTCCGAGTCAGAACCTTGAACTCCTTGAACTGCTATAGTTCCGCACGTGATGTGATTGGATGCGGGAATGATTGACCCGCAAGCCAAGTATGTAAGTATCCATGCTCAATTTAAAAGCCATACCAATCGTAGTGTTCATCACGGATGCTGCGGATGAGGCTTTATTTCCACGGTTCGTGAGAAGGTACGTGTCAGACTCTTGTCTCCAGATGTTCAGCTTAGCTACTTAGTTACTTGAGATGCAGGTGACGACAAGAAGCTCCATTTAATTTATGCGGCGTGCCACCAAATAAGGAAGCGTCCCATCGTTTGGGAAGATCTCTGCCGCATCTTTCGTAATAGGTGATCTGGGGACTCTACCAAGATCGCGGGGTCGGTGTGGTTGGCCGATGGACATAAGCAGAGGGTAGGAAGGTAGACAGATTTAAGTTGTTATTGCTACCGCACCAAACGTGAGTCTTTATTAGTGTCGCCATAGCACGAGCTGAGAGTCGATGGAGCTGCACAAATCCTAATAGGTAAGACATTGACGTCAGACATCTGACAATTTAAAAAATAGGGGGGTTTAATAGGAGTCGGTATTATGTGTCCTGCATGCTCAATCATGTCTAATGGCGTAGATGGCGTTAGTATTGATATTTTAGTGGCAAGATATAAAATCCCGCGCTGCTCTAAGAGACGACAAGAATTGTATGGTCGAAACTTCCAGCGAGATTTGAGCATCTTGCAGATGCATCCCGTCGATCTTGGCTCGTCAGGAGTTCAGGCTCACTGCGGAAAATGAGATGTTTGTTACTGCATACGCCATTGCCGTCAGTGCGTTCTTTTCCGTACCTAGAGCCTCGGGTTGCTAGTTGAGGCTCTATCATCACCAATGATACCAATAATACCAATGACTTCTGTTTCTCACTAGTAGCTTGGCTTAATTAACCAATCGTATTAAAGATGAAGGCGGGATAATATCCATGTACCGCGAATTAAAAATAGGCTATGTCTCCCTGCCTTCCCTTCAACACCTAGGCGTTCTTGCTTCCCGTCGGACGATAACATTGAGGTCTAACCTTCCAAGGCTAGAATAAAAGAGCCCCACATGCCCCTGCATTGATAGGGAACACAAGGACACCCATTCGTCAGCAGACAGTACCAGCCTCTACAATGCTAACTGTGTGAATCAAAACGAAACATCCTTAGCTTCCAGTACTGACTGACATGTGATATTAAGGGGGATTTCATAATGCTGTAATCTCTAGAATTATCTTCTCACAAGACCTTCAAATCCGTACTGAATTACCTAGTTACCTTACATACGCGTATGTATATATTGGGTCACAGTAAAGTCATAGCTTCAGCTCGATGTGATCTAACGGTTGGAGCTCAATCGCAAAGTTAATTGATGACGACATTGTAGCGGAGTGAATGGAGTTTTGGCTTTGCAAGCTCCGTTTCTCCAACTGCCGGCTAAATATTTAGGTGAATTAGTAGTGTGGGGGGCAGTGCGTGTACAATCCACAGCTCTACATGCGAGTGCTGTATTTGTACATATATTTGTCTGTACCTACAACCTATGTTGTTATAGATATATTCAGATCTTTGTTTCGGTCTCGACGAACTATTTCGGTGGTTATACTCAATCGAGATCTATTAATACTCAACAGGCTATCTCGCTAATAAAGAGGCAGTGAATCAGAAAACTTGTCTTTTTATGGAGTATATTAATACTTCTTCGTAGACAGTATATGGTGTTAGTGCAGCGACTGTGAATTCCGGTGAATTCTTTTATCAGTGGACCACTTCCTGGTGTTACCCCCACTCATTTATAGTGAGTATGGGCAGTATGGGCCAACTAGCATAGAGCCTTGCGGCTTCCCTTGTGGCCAAGACAGGCACTAATGTCACCTAGGGTCGCCCCTATCAAAATTTGGACAAAGCTGAGGCTTTCCATGTGGGTTTCTATGTGGGTCGAGACTTTCGCGTCATGTCGAAATCTTGAACGCATCGAAGATCTTCTCCTGAAAATATTCCAACTATCCTTAAGTCATGGTGGTACGGTACATACATAGCAGTATTCACTCATTTTCCGACCCATTTCCATTCTTTTTCAAATCCAAACTTTCTGTCACAGATCTCCAATGTCCCCCGACCTCGATCCATTTTAGATCTACACATCTAGACCACTTCGTTGTGTGTTCTAATACTCTATAACTTCGATAGTCTATATGATCTACCATAGCAACCCTACTCAGCGACTTTGACATTCGTTACTTTTTATCTCTCGTATCTCTCGTCTCTACTTAACCACTTCGACCTTCTAATCATATCCCCTTACTTATCTTGGATTATTGTTCGATGTTGGTGGTTCATTGCATTGGTTAATGGTTGATCGCTGGCGGCTTATTGGAAAGCTGATATTGATACTACTTCTACATCAGCAAATTAATCATAGACACCATATGCACCATGGCTTCCGGAGAATATGACGAGAAAACCTCTCCTACGCTAACCCACGCCCCGACCGTCTCAGATACCGCCATCGGCGATTCGGAAAAGTACCCTGAAGAAAACGAGAAGTTCCCTGAGGAGCCGTCACATCATCTTCAGGTCCCTTCCGAATCCGGCCGAATGCCCCTGGATCAAGGAACCCTCGGAAGTCTTTCTAAGACGGAATCCAGGGAACAGAACACTCGATTTATGGACGATCTTACGGTTGTCCAGGCAGAACGGAATATTAGCCAACAAGAATCGGCCGAACTTCGTCGTGCTCACTCTAAAGCTAGGAGCCATGAGCCTCCGGTGAAGGAAGATGTGTTTAACCAACCCGCCCAGGCCCCAACTCTTGTCGGCCTGGCCCCCGAACCCCCAACCCAAGTGAATAAGGCGATCCGGCGAATTAAGAAATTGCCTCGGATAGTTCGATATTTCTTATACAGCTTACCCGTAACGATAATACTGTTAGTCCCGGTACTACTTGGTGGACTCCTACCCCAAGAGAGTCAGGCTGTTATTGGCGGCCCCGGTGGTGTCCAGTTGATGTGGTTCGGTATCTGGCTCGAAGTCATATGGTTATCACTATGGGCTGCCAGAATTATGACTGCCATTATGCCGATCCTGATGACTACGTGTGCCAAGATACTATCAGGAAATCCTAAGAAGTGGAATGGAATCGGCCGTCAACTGGAGTTGCATACAGCCCTGTTTCTCTGGATGCTAGCCGTACTAATTTCATATTATCCTATCTTGAATAACCACAAGATACCGGCTCGAGTGCCAGAAGACGGCGATAGTCAATATCCCGACATCGAATGGATCGATGTTTGCAACAAAATCATAACTGCGGTATTTGTTTTGGCCATCTTGAATTTCGTCGAAAAGATATTCGTACAATGGGTTGCTTCGACTTTTCACAAGAGAACATATGCGTCACGTATCGAGACAAATAAGACGGCTATATCGTAAGTTTCACTTATTTTTTGTTTTTTCAAAAAAATATCAAAGTCATTGGGATACCACTGACCAATGCGAATAGATACCTAGTTCACCTCTACGAGCATTCTAAAGATAGATTGGTTCCAGAAGCATCAGTCATGAATGACCACGGTCCAGGATCTGGCAGCAAGACACCCATGGCGTTCATATCAGATAACGCTCGCGATACTATGGCGAAAGTTGGCGATACATTGAACCGTGTGGCCGGTGATTTCACCGGGCGTGAAGTCCGGCTCAGGAATCATCCACGGAAAGTTGTGTCCGAGTTGCTCCGAAATACCAATTCTGCGCAAGTGCTAGCTCGACGTCTTTTTCGGACCTACGCCAAACCCGGCACTGAAGTTTTGCTGCCACTGGATTTGAGCCCAGCTTTCACTAACGCAGACGAAGCCGACGCTGCATTTAACGTATTTGACCGCGATTTTAACGGCGATGTCTCAATGGAAGAGCTGGAGGCGTTCTGTGATGAAGTTCACCGCGAAAAGAAGGCCATAGCAGCTTCTCTTAAGGACTTAGACTCTGTCATTAAGAAATTGGACAGGGTCTTCTTTTTCGTTTGTGTGATCGTTGCGATCCTCGTCTTCATCTCGATCATATCGACTAGTACTGCAGCCGCACTGGCATCATTGGGTACTGCCGTTTTGGGTCTCGCGTGGGTGCTACAGGCAACGGCTCAGGAATTCCTGCAATCTATCATATTCGTTTTCGTGAAGCATCCGTTCGACGTTGGCGACCGAGTCACTGTGTACGGCAACACTGGATCCTTGATGAGAGGCGACGACTATTACGTCACGGAGATCTCTCTGCTATACACCGAATTCAAAAAGATGGAGGGTCACATAGTTCAGGCCCCCAACTCGATTCTCAATACCCTGTTCATTCTCAACCATCGTCGCAGTGGCCAATTAGCCGACGTGTTTGAACTGCGGATGAGGTACGGTACTCCGGGAACCGTGATCAAGGAGCTTGAGAATCGCATGACGGAATATGTCTTAGCCAACAAGCGCGACTTCACGGGTAAAATCCTGACGGAACTTAAGGGCTTCGAGGATGCGTACTGTATGACGGTCAATCTCATCTGCTTCCACAAGACAAGCTTTCAAAACGAGCTACTCCGTCTTATTCGACACAACAAGTTTGCTCTTGAATTGATGGCTCAGATGGTTGCTCTCGGGATCGAGCAACCTCGCCGACAATACCAAATCTCCGGAAAGGACTGGCCCGTTTTCCAGTCCAACATACAACCACCTTCATACGAGGAACGAAATCCGACTGTGGACCCTTCTATATTGACTGCTACTCGTCGGCGAGCCAACTCGCACGTCACCGACACTACGGGGGACGTCTTCCAAGACGTTTTTGTTATGCGGAAGAACAGCAATCCAAGCTTCAGCCATCCCCCGCGTATACCCGAGGAGCCTGCCGAGGCGAGCGGTGCTCTTGGAAGCAGTACTCAGCTGGAAAAGTACCCCTCCAACGGCAGCGGCGGTCGTAGCAGCCGCAAAAACCTATTTGCCCGCACCATGACTCTTAGAAAGAGCACCGAACGCTCCGAGCGAGATAGGGATATCGTTTAAGGAGCCCACAGCGTCTCGATGACGAGAGAAAATTGGCCCAGCGTACATTAATGATTAATGGAACATATTCGGTTTTCTTTTTATTCAGTAACGCATAGACTAGCATGACATTACTCGGTATAGACTGGTCATATACCCATCTAGGCTGGACGTGGTAGATAGTGGAGTGGCGTACAAACAGCAATGGATTGTTTATTATTTTTTACGCATCTATTCATTCATCCTTCTTTCCGGGCTCACGGTGAATGTGACTAGGTAGTGATCTGCTGAAACTATCGATGTGTAAAACTTGATTTCCTCGCAGCTGTTCAGGGTTTTGTTTTGGATGAGGCGGAGGGGATAACCACGGTACTTCTTACCTTGGTTCGTTACGGGGCTGGGTGGATTGTGGAGGGAGATTAGAACGTGTGGTTGGCGAGAGGGTCGTCGAGCTATGAACGTACGATGGCATTGGGTCAGATACGATAAACGAAGTAATTGATCACCTGGACACGGTCAAACATGAAACACATATCTTTAAAAGAAAATACCCGCCTTCAAGTAGGACGGGACTGAATTTGTACGGTTGAAGCAAGAAAGCTATAGTCACAAGAGCCAGATCATATATAGGCACCTATCCTATCCACATCGGAATCTTTTTTCGTTTCTCATGTTTGTTTGTTTGTCTGTCTGTTTGATCGTTGCATTGGAAAAAATCGTTTCATTTCATTTCATTCCTGTTTGAACTCCCACCCAGCCAAAAACTCAGATGGCGGTGACCGTTTCTATGCAAATGTACCTTAAGGGTATCTTCAAAGGTTTGCGCAATTGGTATAAAAAGAACACGGGAGAATGTGTGCCGCCGCCGACGCCATAGATTTACCGTCGGTAATGGGAAGAAAGTAGTAGTAGTAGTAGTGGTTGTTGTGAATGCCATCAGTTGATTTTTGATGGCCCCGTAAACGCCGATCCATGCGTGGGGTTCGGTTTGGTCCCGTTATTCCCCTTTAACTCAGAAATATCCTTGAAATCTCGTACACAATCCTATCCTCCTTCGATATCCACCATCAAGGGTCCTCATTAGGACGAATCGTATGCCAACGTCGTTCCAAAGAATTTTACACCTTTTCCTTCCCCATTCCATTCCTACTCTGTCGGTAGTCTCCTTATATAAGGTATTGAATATAAGAGCTTAAGCTCTCTTCGATGTCGACCTCTTGAGACTAGTTACTCTCTTCATAAGGCTCTCGATGTCGGCAAGATGATTTTTGGCGTCTGTGACGGAAGGGCTATCTCTCTCTTCACTCCTAACTCGTTTCGTACCAGTGGGTGTCCCGAAGTCGATCGAAGCCAACTCTTCCTCATCAGCAGTACGCTTTCGTTTCTGACTTCCGCCACTTGAAGGCGTGTCTTTAGATTGTATTAAACCGTCGGCCTGGATAGGTGACGAAAAGAAGCCATCCGGTAGAGGTGGTGGTGAATGAGCAGGAGTTTCGGGTTCAACAGGTCGTACTCCATAGCTTCCCAGTCTAGAGACTCGTGAGTCTCCTTGTAATATAGGCAATGCTATTGATTCGTGCAGGTACTCGCCATTAGGCATCCGTACAAGTCCGTTGGCTTTAAGGCGCCAATACGGATCCGTAACTCTCGATCGAGATTTTGATACTCGGCTGTTGTTATAACCCAGACTAGAACGATAACTCGAACTAAAAGGCGAGGAGCGGAAACTCCCTGTCGACTTATATAAAGAGTTACCTCTTTCAGCAAGGCGGCATTGGGCCCTAAGCATGGCTGTCTTCGATCCTTCTTTATGGACTTTCGGTTCCGGTAACGCTTTGAGAGGACGAAGTCCGCGGTTGAGACGATCATGGTTCTCTGCTCGTAGTCGTATCTTTGTCTCTAGACGTTTTTCTTTCTCAGCTTCAGGGTCGCAAGCCATTGCGGCATACCTAGCGGCGGCTCTCTCGTCCCTCACCCCCTCGAAGACCCCTGTTGCGAGTAGTTGATCTTCGATGTATTCGACCCTCGATTGAAGGCTCGAAGTCTCGAGTTGCGACCCATTTAGGTCATCTTCGAGGCCCTGAACTCCCGATCCCATGGTTGGTCCGGCTGAATGTCTTAATTTGGCGGTTTCTTTAACGTTATGACGACTCCTCTTCAGCATCGAATCCTTTGCCTCCTGTACGGCCCTTTCTTGTTTTTCCTTTTCAATACGTTCGCGTTTCGCTACATTCTCGGGTAATCTCCACTGTCTGCCTTTCTCCATTTCCATCTTCATACGCTTGATACGTTGCCGCTTACGGAAGCCGTCCTTCCAGCGATAGAAAAACTTAACTTGAAGACTTTTCACTCTGAACTCGAGTGCTTCGGCCAACAAACTTTCTTCTTCTTCTTTTCGTATGCGTTCCTCTTCAAAAGTTTGGAAGGCAATCCAGGTGTCTTTGAGTATATACTCAACCGCAAGTTCTTCAAGCTGCGATTCCATTAGGCCTCTGTCTCCGCATACGAACCAATTGGTAAAATCGCCCATTAAATCACGTTGTGCCGTTTTCTCGGACGTTGTCTTCGATAAAATATCGGGGGCCGGTGTCGCGGATGCTTCCTTGAACGAGCTACTAGATGGTGCTATGTTAGATACATCATTTAATGATGTTATGGGGGATGGTGCAAGTTGTCGTTCAAGTGTCGATGATTGGCTTGTCGTTGGTTGTGTTGTTGTAAATGCGGGGAATGTGGGAAGAGGACTAGTGATAGGAGGCTGAACTGTGTTGCCAACGGGCGCTAGTGTCGTAGATGTAAGAGAAGCAGACTGCAATTTGGGTACTTCCTTGTTCGGAAGAAGTCCCGGGAACAGACTGGCACTGGGCAAAGCTGTCGAAGTTGCGACACCTTTGTCCCCGTCATTATTAGCAAGGAAGCCGAACACGCTCGGCGCAGCATTCGTGTTGTCTGTTGGAGGAGTCTGCCCAGGTGGAATTCCATCTGCAAATCTTACTGTCTTAGGCAAGGATGGTGCATTAGGAGTTCCTGTACGCTGCTGGCTCATTGCTCCGCCGTTGATAGCATCTGTTTGTGACTTCTGAGCCCATGAATTGGATGCGCTGGTTAAATTTCCGAGTGACGTAGTCCCTAGAGCACTTCCTGGAGAAGAAACCGCCGAACTAAGAAGGCCGTCTTTGCTAGGCTGTGCGAAGATCGACGTTCCAGATTGCCCCAAAGGTGCAGAAGTAGGGATAGAAGGCTGCCCTGTAAATAGAGGCGGGCTGAGTGAAACCGTCTCACCCGGAGTGGGAGACCGAGACTGCTCAACAGGGGCGCCAATGCTCTGTTTGGTGACAACGTGATTTCCAAGCATTGCAGGGAGAGGGCGGGAGCTTGCTGTCGACTCGCCAGACTCGCTGTCCTGAGCTTCACTGTCCTCCTCTTCCTGGTCGTTGCTGTCCGATGAGCCGCTCTGTGAATCAGTGACAAACAAATTCTCATTCTCATCTTCTTCTTCATTTACCTGCCCCGCCATTTGCGAATCTGTTGCAAAATCCGATTCCGAGACAGTCGAATGAACAACTACTGCAAAGGGTTGTCCGCAACGCTTGCGTTCCACAATATCTCCAGAAAAGGGGTGTGGTACTCGAGTATCAACATACTCGGGGTTCGGGCAGAGAACGAGGTAATTGCCGTCATCGTCAAACTGAAAGCCGTGTTTGGTGAAGAAATCGACAGCCTCTTCTTCAGTATCAGTGTATAGGTGTTGCTTCAAGGCGGCAGGGGTAAGATCTTTTGGTCCGAACCGGGGCCTGGAATATGACTTCTTCACGAGCTTAACGACTGCTTTGCGGATAGTGTTGAAGTGGATCTCGGCGAAGCAAGCCATGGTATACGACACGTCTGGATTCTTAATGAATTCGAAGAATGCCGAGGCAAAATCTATGGTCATCTGGGTGTTCGACTCCGGGTGTAATGGGCCTTGTAGTCTTTGTACATTCTTGATGCATTCAGTGATGAATATTGCGGATTTGATTCCTTGGGCATTTCCAAATCGGCGATCCCAGTCCTCGATCCTTTCTGTAAGCGACGGATTGAAGGCATTGAATACTATAAAATACCCTCGAAATTCGGACTCGTTCTTGCACTTAATCCCTTGCTGCGCGCAATCATCGTAAACTTCCATCAGTGAAATTAGGGTCTTGCTTAGTTGCTCGACCTCCTGTTGCTCCGAAAAGTCAACAGGGGTGGATCCATTTCGGGAGAGTAGGTGAAGTGATGTAACGTGGAAACGAGCGATTGTCTCGAGGCAGTAGATTTGATCTTCGATTTCTGCGGGTGTCATGGCGTACTTCTGGAAAGAAAAATCGATTCGGATAGCGCGAGTACGGTCCCAGAGGAAACTATGTCGTTGAGGTAGCAGGTCATCTGATTCGATAAGATCGGTCAAATAACTCAATGTTCTGCGAAGTGTCCTAACTGATCGAACATCCATCGGGAGCGGCGCATCCTGTCCAGCGGCTGATCGAGCAAGTCGCTTAACCATGAGCTCGGGCATTGGGACAAGATCGCCTTGGTTGTTTGTGCCCTTCTCAGGACCTTTGATATCATGCTCAACAATGCGAGTAATTTGCTCCCATTCGGGACACATGTCTTCACAAATGCCTTTAAAGACCAGCGCTTCGTCAAGTCTTCGCTTCTTATCCGGATCGTCAATCAAACCGGCTCGCATTAGCGACTTCCTTGCTCTTTCACGGTAAGCTTTGTGGGATTCGCGCAGGCGCTCTACGGCCTGGCGGCTCTCGAAATTTCCTGGGTTCTCCGGCCATCGCGGTGGCTTAATGTTATCCTTCTGTAACTGGTCTAAGATCTTCTTAGCGAAGACCTCCGGTTCTTCTCTTCTCGAATTTGTTGGTTTGTCGATTCCAAGCGAGGTATCTTTCCTAGTATCCCGGGTAGACCGAATAGAGGCGACCTCATCGTCTGGCGACTTTCGCGAAAACTTGGATCTTCGCTGGAGATCATTCTCATTCTTCCGCTTCCCGTTCATATGATTATTAGGTGCTAAGTCTGGAGTCTTCTGACTCTGAGTTGGCCATGCTGGCTTGACATATTCAGAAACCTTTCTCGTCCCATTCGTATTTGGGATAGGTTTAGCTCCGCTGCCACTGGTAAACGTAGGTGGCTTTGCGAAGGGGTTTGGAGTTGAGGAAATCTTATTGGTGGTGGCTGTCGGCTTAGAAGCCTGTCCAAAGCCAGGTTTGCTGAACGACTTTGGTTCTCTAGGCGTCGAGTTCTGCTGTGGTGCAAAAGGAGAGAATGGTTTGGTTTGGGCTGCAGGTTTAGAATTCGTAAAAGGGTTCGCGCGATTAACTAGGAAAGGGTTTGGCGCAGGTACCGCTCCGTTCGGTTGCTTCTGCAAAAACGGATTGGGTGCGTTGGATGAGTTGGTTTGAATCTGTGCGAATGGGTTCGCCGGCTGCAAAGGTGCCGGACTCGGTTTGGCGAAGGCTATAATGGAAGAAACAGAGTCAGTGGTCTTGATGTATCCTCCTACATACTCTTCATTCCGTTCTCCCATCGCGTTCTAACATCTCGACATGCTTCATCGCCTATCCATCCGTTCCCTCGTGTCGATTATCGATAGAATCAATGGTGTTGAGATTTGGTAAATCATTCGCCGGAGTCATTGCTATAGTTATCGGGGAAGACGACAGGGAAGGCAAAGCGATTTTACTTACGGTTGGTAGGCGGGTTCGGCATCTGGCCGACTCCCCAACCACCCTGCCTCTCAGGAAAAGGCATTGCGGTCCGTCGCAGTCTCAAGCGTATCGGTTGTCATCGATGATGCAGGGTAGTCAGGATTAGACGGGAGGATGTAGAGTAAGCTGAAAGGTGTGGAGGAACTGGTGGGAAAGTGTCTAATAGTACACAAAGAACAGTCGCCTCGAGATCCGTAAAGGAATATCTTAATTAGACTAGTCGACTAAGAGGCGTGGACGTAGAAGCGCGTATGGATTGATAAGAACACGTAAGAGGGGAATTTTAACGAATAGCGGTGTTCGGGTCAATGATGCGCAGGAAAAGATTTAAGAAAAAAGTTGTTTTTGTCAGTGTTAAAATTTGGTGATTAACGAATTGATGGTGTTGATCGACCTAAGAATCGCATGCGGAAGAATACAGACCAAGAGCTAGGAAGCTACCAGGCATTCCTGCCTGACTTGACCGCCTGAGTTTTGTCCGAAAATGGTTTAGATCCTTTGACCGTTAGCCTCTTCTAAGGGTTCACTTGAAAAGGTACAGCGCATCGAGACACAAGAGTTGGTCCAAGCTTCACGTTATACAGGGTACAACTGCAGAGCTACCAAGTACCTATTATTTGCCTTCTATAAATTGAAATTATAGCACTACAGCGTATCAAACCGCTATTTCCTCCCCGCAGAAATCCTCCAGCTTGTTAGATTTAGTGGTGAAGTACCTAAATTCTGGGGATGAGGTCATCGCAACTCGTCGCAGCCATTTACCGTGTTTACAGTTCTACATAGTATGTGCCGTACCAACACGTTACGGCTGTACTTTTAATTGCTTGATCGGCATTGGATTTGTGTCCACTGTCCACTCTATGAGGTAAAATAGAGCAAAATTAAATAAAAATAAGAATAGAAATAAAATAAGGAATGAGCCAGCCGAACCTTAAGTTATTTATTAGTCGGGACAGGTTGGGGTCAACACAACCTTATTCGATACCTAGTACCCATGTGGAATGCGGTCAATTCTTTAACTTAGCACCATTTCCACCATTCCCATTCTCTCATGAACATTTGAAGTCATTCTTTTTTAAGGGTCTTTTGTACGTAGCATGGAAACTTCAATCTCGCCTGCATTACTGCATCAATCAACCATATCGCGTTCTCCTTTTCATTCATGTCTATCTATCCCTTGGTGTTTCGAGAGTTTCGAGTTCCTTTCTACTATCAGCGAATGAGCTGCAATTGCCTCCCATGATCTCTAGCAATTAAACAACAACGAAGCAACCTAATATCAAATCGGAGGTCCGACACTTCGAGTCTGATTATCCATCAACATATCTAGCTGACCAAGTAGTTCGCTTGGAACACTAATATTCGCCGAGCGAATGAACGCCCAGAAAAGTCTCCTTCGAATTCCTGTAGCTTCCATCCTGGGCCGACTACATATACGAGTAAAACCTGCGGGCACCCGCCATTAACAATGGCATTCCTAGAGGACCCTCGTCTGCGGCAGCGATGGAACCAGATCTCGCACACCACCGAAACAGTCACCGAAAATGCCGCCGCCGGCATCTGGAGCTTCGGGCATACTTACGTCACACCGTGCCTGTCCTCCATCACCTCGGCGTTCGAAGGCTGTTCGACAGTTTGCCTCGGCGACCGCGAAGAACGGGCGCGACGATCAAGAGAGCGACAGCGGGCGCAAGGGAGGGCTGAATATAGTTTCGATTTCTATGATGATTGGGACGAAGAATTAGGCGAAGGGGATGACGGCGGCGGATTACTCGGCGGTTGGCATAGCGAAGACTGGGATCGCCTACTCGCTGGCACTGGAAAAAGACGGACTGGAGGCGACATTCAAGAGCAACCCAGGAGAAAGCGCGGGATGAGTTACGGGACGAGAGGCCCGCGTAAGAGGGCCAATACTCAGGAAGATCCCACTATCATTCCAAGCACCGCGCCCTTAGGCTTTTTGGGTCGACTACCATTCAAGATTGGGGGAACCTTGAGGTACAAACCTAGTGCGGCGAACCTACAGGAGCACCCCGGAACATCAAGGACGACATTAGAAACTGAACGCGAACCATTGTTAGGCAACGACGAGGGCACAGCACATCTCGACGAGTCACGAACGCACAGTAGGAAACGGAGCGGGACGGTAGGCAGTGGAGATACTAGTGACTCGTATAGGTCGAGAGGCGATCTCTTCCCAAGTGATGATGAAGGAGAAGAAGACGCAATTCCATTAGACGACGAATTTACTATTGCGCTAGATCACGTAGACGATCGCTCGAGCAACAAAACTAGAAGTAGCAAAGGGAAGCGAATTGCAGGTCGCGCAATACCAAGAAGCGTCTCGAGGACGACGATAAATTCGACAAGACCATCCCTACGCCCCAGTTTAGGCTCAGGATCTATACCTCCAGACAGTCCAGCGTTACTCTCGACACCATCCCTAGAGGATTTACGGTTGGAAGAAGAACGAATAGAAAGAGAAGAGGACCAAGTGGTGGAGAAAAAGAGACACGCAGCCGCAGAATTAGCTCTTCGACGTGGGCTAAGCCGAGAAAACCTCCATATAGAATCTGTCCGCGAGGCGAAGTCGGAAGTGGTCAAGGTAGAAAAAGTGCGAGAGCCTGAGGAAGTCGTCTTAGATGAAGACACGGATGACGAACAAGTCGAGGTTGGAATTAGGCCAGTGATAGAGGAACATCGCCAGCCACAGACGTCGACACCGACGCCAATACCAGCCAACCCGAAGCAGACGGACTCGTCACAAGGAGATTTTATACCTGCACGATTACCATATTTCCGATAATCATGACCGGTATGTATAGTTGAGCCACGACTTCGATTCGAATTGTTATTTATATTTGTGGTCCGCCTACGGCACCTGGTGCATTTTATACCAATTCTAGAACTGGATCAGGAATAGACCCAACCCCAACAGGTCTCAACGCCATTCACGATGAACTACGATATTTTTATCTTGAGCATATGATCCGATGACATATGAGCGAATGACGTCGATGATATAAGTAACTGCTGGTAATTTTCTAGCAGGCAGACTATCCTATTGGATAATCGATAATGCGTGTACTTTTAGATAGACCAAAAATATCATTAAGGATGATAGGTCTGGAAGACAAGGTAGAGAGAGATCTTATAGATCAAGCAAAGATTCGGTGGCTCGCTGTTTTCAAGTAAGCGAGTTACATGATGTATTATATTATAGGAGTTCGGGCTCTATAGTGGTCAATATCCAGAATTTGGACATGCCTTCGACTATACTTGTTGTTTCATATCCGTGATAGAAGCTTGTCAATCATTGTTCGATGATTCGACCAGTCAATAGTCTCTTAGATGAGATGATGGCCATGCTACGTATGTGCCTAAATCCTCTTCTTGATCCTTCATTGCCCAAAGTAGATATACCTCGGCACCTCTGCTGCACCCCAGAACCCCACTTTGCAAGCGGTCGAGCTTAGCTCCCGAGAACTATTAAACCTTGAAGTTTATCAATAGGACCACAATATCGGGACAATTCAAAGTCTTAAAACCCCGGGGATGTCGGCATGTCGCTGAATATCAATTACGATCGAATATTTACTTGTTCCAACAAACATTTATATCGGACTTAAGAGTCTCACCGACGCTGCCTATACAAAAGGGAGTTTACTTGTGGGACATACAATACAATACAAATCTCACATCTTTAACTCTTTGTCAATCAACGCGGTTGTTCATCCGGATTACCCAAATTAAATATTAACCCCTTAATTCAAACCCGCAATATTCGTCTTCAGACATAACGTCGCTAGTTTAGGTAAACTAGAGCCTAGGAACAACAAACTAGCTTAACTCTAACTTACCTATCCACTGGCATTTGTTTACATCTCAAACTCAAACACCCACCCATCTAACCCAAACCCACAATGGCGCCTCCCAAAGGACCAATCTCAACCCCCCTAACCACCCTCCTCGGGATCCAGCACCCCATCCTCCTCGCCGGCATGGCCCGCGTATCCGGGGGCGCCCTCGCCGCCGCCGTCTCCAACGCCGGCGGACTCGGGGTGATCGGGGGGTTCCAATACACGCCCGCACAGCTGCTCTCCATAATCGCGGAGCTAAAAGCCAACCTCGCATCCCCAGACCTTCCCTTCGGCATCGACCTCGCGCTCCCGCAAATCGGCGGCAGCGCGCGGAAGACGAACCACGATTACACCGGCGGCAAGCTGGACGAGCTGATCGACATCACCATATCGAGCGGAGCCAAGCTCTTCGTCAGCGCCGTGGGTGTGCCCCCGAAACAAGTCATAGACCGCCTGCACGCCGCGGGCATCCTGGTCATGAATATGGTCGGCCACCCGCGCCACGCGCAGAAGGCGCTGGATCTCGGCGTCGATATGGTGTGTGCGCAGGGCGGCGAGGGCGGCGGACATACAGGTGCCATCGCGTCCTCGGTGCTGATTCCCGCTGTCGCGGATGTGGCCAGGCGGTATACCCCACCGATGCTTAACGGTAGCCCCGCGCTCGTCGTTGCCGCAGGCGGGATTAATGACGGGCGCAGTCTTGCCGCGAGTCTGATGCAGGGCGCTTCTGGGGTGTGGGTTGGGACGCGGTTCGTAGCGAGCGCAGAGGCGAATAGTAGCGAGGAGCACAAGCAGGCCGTTGTGTCGTGCGGGTGGGAAGATACGCAGCGCACGCTGGTGTTAACGGGACGGCCGCTGCGCATGCGCACGAATGCGTATATTGAGCGCTGGCACGCGCAGCCGTTGCGGATCAAGGAGTTGTGCGATAGGGGCGTGGTTCCGATCGAGCATGACTTCGAGGAGGGCGGGGAGGCGGCGGAGGAGATTGATCCGCCGCATTTGATGGGCCAGGTTGCTGGTGCGATTACGCGGGTGCAGCCTGCGGGCGAGATTGTGAGGGAGATGGTGGAGCAGGCCGTGCAGATGTTGAGGTTGGGCGGGTCGTATATCGGAGACGCGGGTGCGAGGGGGAGTAGTAAGCTGTGAGGCGAGGGTGACGCCCGGGGCGGAGAGGGAGTTCGGGTTCGGATGCGGGTGCAGCAGGGACGGGACCCGATCTGTTGAGCTGGTGACGAAAATAGACCGTACGGGGGTTAAGGCTGGACGCTGAGTATCTCCGGGTGCTACGAGTGTACGTACACACCGCATACATGATGTGTGTAGGTATATTTGTACATGCCGGCACCGAGTATGAGTCGGTGACAGAGCGCCAAGGTGATTGGCGGCCGGAAGAGGAACCGACCTGCCGGTAGTTGACTTCAGCGGCGCTGGAGAGAATTCCAAGGTCATTGCATACAGTACGTACATGGCATCATGCAGTGTCACGGCTGGGAATAGCCTATCTTTGTATCTACCTACCTAATAAGACGTCTTTGATTTTTCCGGCTCCTTATCCCACCCCTTCCGTCCTTCTCGACACGGACATAAGCCACGAAGAGCCGCGGTAGGATCGGATTTCGAAGGAGCGGGCCGACTTATCGATCATATCATGATACGAACTCTGTTTAACGATCAGGATAGGATTTCAGGGGTCGTGTTCTGAAATCTGCTTGATCGAAGCATAATTACGCGAACAAAAAGGGGGGGGCTATGTGGGATCAACAGCGCCTACATACATATACACATACCTACATGCAAGCCTCTTGTTTCATTGGGCATGGGTACCTAGGGACGAGGAAAAGAAGCGAAGAGAGCCCGTGGGGTCGCGGGGCCGCGTGTAAGATTTGCGCGGAAGAATCAATTTTTGAGTCGAAAAAAACCACAGCTCTAGTATAAGCAATTGATAGTCTCCAGGGCAGCGATCTACAACAGACTTTTGGGCTGCAGAACGTAGCGTGTCTCGGGAACAGATTTGCATTTTGTTGTGTGTTGCAGAAGACAGGAGAAGAGGGAAAAAGGGGGCGTGGGCGCGGGAGACTACGTGTTAGATTTGTTGGAGTTGTCATATTTCGTATGTCGTATTAAGCTGTCGTAAGATCGTATCACAAATTCTTTTATTTCCCTAGATGTTCCTCGAGTTGATTGAATGATCGATGGAGGCGTTTTTCGTGCCGTGTTAAAACTGCCAATCGATAAACATTGTATACGTAAGCTAGATATCAGCATAGCTTCAGGTTGTGTGCCAGGCAACTTGCAGGTGAGACAAGCTTAGCAAGCAGAATCATGTTGTCTCAGAGTAAGCCAAAGCTTAGAATTGATTGAATTATCTTCGATGGGGTGAGTCGTGACACTACGATACTGGATGTCAAACTCTCGCAAATCACCTAATTCACAAATCACAATTCATATCATCATAAGCCAATGAATTGTTACTTAATGTTGATCATATTTGGGAGTTAGATCCTTCCTCAGTTAAGAGATGTGAGAGTTCCTGATGTGGTTGGTCGAATCTTGAAGCGTACAGCATGATGTACAGCGTAAGATAAGACACGCTGTAGCTTATAAATTTGTCACCACGTAGTAATAGCCAATCAACATAGCCATTTATCCCCGCAAATTTTCTTAAACACGCCAGTCGACACCGTAGGCTCCCTCTCCCATTGTGTTGGTAGGACCGTCATCAGCGTATCTAGCTCCTCACGAGCTGCCTGCATCCTCTTCTTCATTGGATCCGCATTACTGTTTTCTTCCAAATCCTCCTCCAACTGTAAATCCTCTACACGTCGTACGTCTTCTTCGAGTAGCGCTGACTCAATGACTTGTGGTTCGTCTTCAACTAGCTGCGGAAGAGGACCTAACTCGAAATTTTCTGTGTCGTGCACGAAGATCATCCTCTCTAGTGAATTTAAGTCGACCTTCTTCCACCGCAGTACTCTCCAAGCACCCTCGGGAACGACGGCGAGTCGTTGTACCCGATCTAGGTCTCTTGTGGAAGCCCATAACTCTGAGCATTCGGGTTTGAGCTCTGAGTTTCCGAAAAATACTGTATCTCGGCTGAAGTCGACGTATATTCTCGGTTGCGCATTTCCTACGCCGAGCGATAGTTTATAGTGTTTGAGTGCTTCGTACCGAGCCTCGGCGTTAACATGTAAGAGGGCAGGGATCTGTGCGGTTGAATACCACGTTCCCTCGTGGTTGTGTTGTCCCGACATTGCTTCCTCTAGTGACCTAGGTGTCTGTGCTTGTCTTGAGTGAGGCGACTTGACGACTACCGTCCTCGGGTCTGGCATGGCATATTGAAATATCTTGATACGTAGTTCAGGGGGGAGTTCATTAAACTTGGGAAATGTAGTAGGGCCTCGGCCTCGGCTCCCACTAGATAGACGTGAGATAGTGTGCTCCATTGTGTAGTCGATAAGGTTAAGGAGTTGGTAATACTGAGACTGTTGCCAACGGTAGAGTCTTATGAGTAAAAGTATGGAACTGATCAGAGGTATAATGGCGATGGGTACGTCGTAATATAGACTTGGACTATTACGGCTCGTCCTTCGAGGCATGGTCATGTGTCGCCCCCTGTGAGCCGTTTGGAGTTTTTAATGTAGGGTAGCAGTGAGACTTGTGGAGGTATTCCTACCCCCACAAAGATATATGTAGGTAGGTAACTATGTAGGCGATGACGGCAAGATGACACTGGATTGGCTAGAAACCCTGTATAGGTACGGATTATATGTGATATAGGTCGCGATATGCGTAGTACAGATGAATTGGATTGCAGAAAATCAGAAAGGATTCGTGTGTAGGTAGGTAGATATCATATGGATACGTAGATACACACGGGGTCCTGCCGCATGCGGTTCGAGGGTTGTCAGGTATATATGCGAGCAATGAGGGGTCTCATCCTACCGTCGCTGTGAGTTGCCCCACACCAACGTTTGACAGGTGGGAGATAGAAACGGGCAACTCGTGGTCCAGACTTCTTTAGAGCGAGTCCCGTTGATCAACGCGAGGCAAGTATCTAAGTAACTAATAAGGCGGGACGGTACCTACGTGCATATGCTGGGCGTCGAGTAAAGGTCTCATGAGACGGGACTGGAACGTGGTTTGATGAGGCGGCTCAAAGCCACAGCAGACTAACAAGGCAATTCCCCTATTAAACGCCAAGAATAGCGGTCATAGTCACCGACTCTCCGTGCTAGACCAAGCCGTGGGCGCCATAAGGGAAAGGCCAGAAAGGCCACAGAGGCAAAAGGCAGGAGGGCAATGCAGCTGCGGCTACGCGTAGCTGAACACAATGTTGTAATGCGTTAATGCGTTCAACCAAGGATGACGCTTGACACGCAAATATGGTTTGTTCCGTCTGAACTATGGCAAACCTCTGCGGTAAGCCGGCAGCAAGCAGAAGCAGGTGACCAAACAACCAAATTACCGCTCGGTATTTTACGGCCTCGGGTTTATAGAAGCTTCGTGCCCTTTGTGCCCTTCGTGCTTTAAGAAACTCATTCGGTTCCGATGCCGAAATAAGTAGGCTTAGCCTGGGAACGAATTATGTAGATCGACCCTATTTCTACCAATTCCAGTTCGCAACGCTACTAGGTACCTAGAATCCCAGATACATAATGTATCATGTCCTCCTTGCGTAGGTACCTAGGTATAATTTGGCGTGGGGTATGTTCTCGCGAGCCAATACATGAGACTCTGATGCAATATTTGGAGGGCTGTAAGCACCAATTGTCAATTGGTGCCTCCTGCATCCTTGCCGCAGTTGGTGATTACTGTTGCTCCATTACCCCAGAAAATCATCGTGAGATGATTTAGAGGCTGCATCTTCAAACGAAACTAGGTAAGACAAAATATGATTGATAGACTTGATTGGGCAAGCAAGAAAAGGGATATAAATTCCGACCAACCATAAAACGTCTACCCAAACTAGGAAGTTACCCGATATAATAGATGGCTGAAAAGGAGAAGCAGCTGACATCCATGGATGACCTAGAAGACGCCCAATTATGCTAAGAGGATAGCGATGAGAGCTAACAAAGCTAACAAAGCTAACAGAACTAACGTCACAGCTTCCGCGTTTTGCCGTGTTTAGCGCCTATAGTTGGAGAGTTATAATCGGTACCACTGTTCAGCTATCAGGATTCGGCCGATTGAAAAGCATTAAGAAGCAAATTTTGCTGTTTGTGATGAATAGGAAAGAATGAGATCCAAGTCGTGCTCGAAAGAATTATGGTTAGGTGATTGCCTAATTCGGTCTCAAACTCAATTAAGATATTGGTGGATATTTCGATTTTCGATATTGCACGGGAGGGGCGGTTCGCGTCGGTAGTCGGGGGTCTCGACTTCCCGTCTAGGGATATTGGTTTCGATGAGGCTTACATTATCATGACATCACAGACACATTAGTGGATGAATTAACATACATGTAGGTATAATTTCTACGATACATCAATTATCTGCCTACTCTCCATAACCACGGATATTAGTTGTCTTAATTGATCCCGATAACTTGGCACTCTGGAAATAAACGACAAGATACCAGCACCCAAATATCTATGAATATCTCAACAAGTTTAGTGTGGTAGCACAAGTTGTCATGTCCCAATTCGAATGCCGCCATCGATGAAAACGATCAACTCTCACAGCCTACATAAAAAGGAAGTTTTCCTATTAGAGGACCAAGTAAACATTTACCGGTTCAATAATAAAACTTAAACTGGGCTGACTGGTTAGTCTGGGTTTGACGCAACAGGCCTCGCGGCATTACATGTCCATGGATGTCTTTTTCGCAACACAAATTTGATCGACCTCCTTGGTTGCTGGGCAAATTCGTCGCCTCAAGTCAAAGGCCGACCACCGACTGAGTCTCCCTCTCCCTCTCTCCACCCAGTCGGCTCAGACCAGTCCACGCAATCTGTGCTCAAAATTCTTTAATTATTAAAATTGGCGTCAAAAGCACTGCTATGTGACATCATGACACCAATTTTTCCAATTCACCGACCTTATTCGTTACCACGAAAATATTAGGGACGCGAATGCGGTGAGCCACAATGCTTGCGACCTACCGTCTTCTCCATATCATCATTACGAACCACAATCATGAGACTGAGAGCCCCGAGATTTATAATTTCAGGTTATCGAAAGTTCATGATTCTATTCGCAGCCATATGACGCAATCCCGAATCTCAATCGCTGCAGTCATTATCTATCTATCATTCTGTGGCTCCAGTGTTACACAGCATCCGTTTATCCCATTCCGTTCCTAACATTTCGGCGGTCTGGTGAAATGCGACTTTGATAGAGGAGTTCATGTTCAGTTTCAAGCATGACTACCTACATTTACCATGGCATGGGAGCAATTCTCGAATGCTCACCGACTTAGGTATCTCTGGAATAAATTGGCTACAGCAAGCATGCAGTGGTCGCCGAATATTGCATTTTGTTAACACGTCGAGACTCACTAGGGCTCGGAATATACTGTTTATGAGAAGATATACATTCTCAACCCTCAATCTGGCATATTCCGGACTTGCCAATAACGACTCTCCTGTTTGTATAGGTGCCGTGTGTCCTGGACGAACCTGGAGCCTCAAATTTGCTTCAATACATAGGCGCGTATATGGCATCCTGACAATTAGAAGCCGTGGTTAGGTCTACTTTCAACACGAATTCTGGCTAGACGTCTATTTCCTTATTCACCGGAAATGGAAATAAAAAGGAGTAGAAGTTCCTTAGGACCATAAAAGGTGCAGCCGATGCATTCTTGGTTTCTTTCACACCGCCTGCATATTATTACTGGCTCTATCATGCATGCCTTGTTGACGAGAACTCGGGTTCCTATCGGGACTTCAGCCCGTAAAACTACGGAGCCTTTCAGACTTAACTACGATTTAACCCGACGACGAGGGATGTTGGATAGGTAGGGTAATTGCCTTGCCCTTTCAAGTATAGCGTTGACGTTGGGTTGGTATATCAAAAATTTGGCGTGGATACCACTTACTCCGTGCTTCTGTTCATGAGGTCAAGTTTGTGGCCCCGGTGGACGTGGCATATACTAACTAGGACGATCCAGTCCGGAAAGGTCGTGTGGTATGAATCTTAAGGTACTTTAGAACCCAGTAGGTAGGGACACCATTTTAAGCCAATTTTATTACGTCGCAATATTGAGCTCCGGAAAATGGCGAGCTATTGTGATGGTCAGGAAATCCTACAATATGGATAACGGTGACCGATACTAGCGACCTCCGATCGTGGTACTCCGCGGCGTACACGGGGTCGTATCGCGGGTAGCGGCCGAAAGTCTTAGTAGTCCTAGAACAACACTCAGTACGCTCGAAACCGATACGAATTATGTCGTAGCTCGAGTCTTGTCACTGGCAAAGGCGGAACTCCATTAAGGTAGTCATCCAAGTCGATGCAAGATACTGCGCGATAGCAATGGCAACTATTAGACGCTACTAGTATATATAGTTTTGCCCCGTTCTAAGGAATTATCTAGGTGCTAAATATTATTAGACGATATCGCTTTGTATCCCAGCGAGAAACCCAACGGTGAGGGAGTGTTTTGGATCCTCATTTCACTCATGTTGACCACAACCAGTCACACTTTATGACTACCGAGGAAGAACCTCGCCTTGTCTTCTAGAAACTTACATCATAACACTTCACCGTTGGAAGCACATCATGAATTATGTTTGTATTGCTATTGGCCGTTTATATGGCTACAAGCAGTTTTGAAAGCTGATGACGATCACCTTTGGAATGTATAGATATATAATGGGCTCGGAACAATGTTTCCACATAACCTTACTGGAAAATTGTTCACTCAAACTCTGATGAAACAAGATCTACCTAGGTAGATAGGTTTAGAGCTTGTCGTCCGGTTCGAATTTTTGCCCCGAGAGTATTACACTATCCTTACTAGTACTTCTTGCCGGAAGCGACGGCAGAAAACCTCGATCTCTGCTGTAGGTATACAAATGGTAACCACGGCTACATACTCTCGTATTATTTCGCAGATAACGCGTTATTCGAAGCTCTCACATGAGTCAGCGTGTTTCGTGTTTCCTGTCGTACGTGTGTATATGAAGAATTGAAGATACGACGATTTGCCTTGCACCTCCGATCTTGGCGATCTTGGTCAAAATTCCCGTTTTAGCCACAATACTAATGAATCCATATAATGCTATCTTTGCCTAGACGAGAAAAATAGTACTGCTCTCTTTGATTCTTGTTGGCATTGTCTTTATAGTGTCGATCTATATAGACTATAAGTACCCTAAATTTCCAAGAACTTGCTTTCATCTTTCAACTTAAATAATCTCAATAGTATTATTTTAAACAACTATGACAAGGAATCAATTACTCATATGCATTCGCTAGATTGATTGAACCCGATTGTACCCTTCTGCGACGTTGATAAGATGATTCTTCTATTGAACTAGGTGTAGAAGGTAGCCCTCAAGCAGGGATTCAAGAGATATCGATGAAGTTATTTTTGGTTGGAAGATGCTAAGGGAACTAGTGTACTGCGGGGTGGAAATTCTTCAACCTTATTGGCTAATTTCGAAGAGAGCCAGGGTAGATCACGTGGGGTAGTTCCGCTAGTAAAATAAAGATTGCTTGGATAACAACGCTCTAAATAGCTAGCAATAAAAATGAACTTGTCCACGAATCCAAATATCAAAGGTACCTCAACAGGAGTGAGAGGGGTTAATGGCTTGCGTACGAGGTACCTAGGTAATAATGTACCTACTTAGATTGTGGGGCCGATCTAACTACCAGAGAATATGCGCCAAGAAATCGTCAACCGATAAGATAATAGTACCTGGAACTTTCTTTCCCTTTAATCGCAGCTTCCAGTTTGCGATTGGTTTTATTCAGTCGAACAACTTTGTAACCAAATCGCCTCAATTCGCTCCACCTCCCTTCCATCCTTTCGAAGAGAACCTTCAATTTCATTACAACGAAAGTGCTTCCAACTGGCCCCAAATGGCCAAGGAGCGCGCGGACAAGCCCCGCAAGAAGAAGAAGAAGGCTGAAAGAGCAGGAAAATCTGAGAAGATCTCGAGAGACAAAGTGAAGAAGCATAAGAAGAAAAGAAAGCCTAGACAGGATGATGATATTGAGATGATCGACGGTTGGGACGAGCCTAGCAAGTTAGACGATTCTCTCGTGAGTGCTTTTATATATTTATCTTAAATTCCCTAGACGGACAACTACAATGCGAACAGGTTGCTTACATACAAAATCTAGTCGGCCGAGACAACTTTTCACCCCGCGGCCAAGTCTAAACGGCCGAAGAAGTTCGTAAGGGGGGAAAGGGAGAAGGGGCCAGAGAGATCTCCTACCGAGCAGGAAAAGAATGCGATATTGGCTAATACGATAAGTTTGCCTTTGCGACTAGCTATGAGAAAACCAGATGACGATGGTGGAGCTCCTCTCCCCTTCGCGATCGACACCAATCCTACCCCTGTCAACGTCGACTCTCTCACAACGGTCGGGATCACAAACGACGAGGAAAACCTTGAGCGCAACGCTCACCAAGCCGGTCCCAAGGCACCCAACAGAAAAGTCCGTCGACAGGCGCGCTTGTTGGAGGAGAAACGCGAGAGGATCCGACGCGAGCTCGGCATACCGGAAGGCTCCTCCGAGAAACAGGACCTAGTAGAAGCAAAGATAGCTGCGTGGGTCACCCATCTCGAAGTTAGGGCGTCAGTTCGCTTGAGAAAGAAAGGCCAACGCAATGAGAAGGGAAAGAAAAAGCACAAAAGAGCTAGAACGAGCAAGTATAAGGGGGGAACGATGAAAGTCAAGGTGGGCGGTGTTTCCGCTGCTAGCCAGGAATGATTACCCGGATCCCTTCTTCACCTTACTCATTGCATGGCCTTTTCCCGGGACGGTTCTCACGGCGTTGGTGGTGTGGTCATGGAAAAAGTTTCCCTCTTTGGCATGGTGTACTGGTTTCTCCTAGATATCCTGTACTAGGTAGACAGAGAGGGTGTTTGCTAAGGCTATGATGTACACTAGAGCATTCACGAAATGTAAAATTTCCGGCTTTATCGTGAAAAAAGTTTATTTCCCGAAGAGGGCCGAGTATACCTTTTTTGTAGAGATGGGTACTGAGTGGCTGTAGACCACACCGCACGACACATATGCCTAAACCGATGAACTCCATTCCGCCCAATATGCTCCAATGTATACGCAAGTCGCGCTATCGTAATATACAGCCCATATATCATACCCGCTTCCTCAGCTCCACAGTCGGCTATGTCAAGATTTCTTCGACTTGTCCTCCGCACTCCCCTTTTCCGTCGTTTTCTCCTCCTCATCCTTCTTCTTCCCCCCACTCCACACTTCAGAAATCTGATCTACGATAAGTCCCCAATACCCGCCTCCGCCCTCCCTCAGCGCCTCCTTCTCCTTGCGATCGCGCTTCTCCTTCCAATCGTCCGGACTATCCCCCATCCACACACGCTTCAACAACCCCCTCTCCTCCTCCTCCTTCCTCTGCCGCTGCTGCTCCACCAACCTCCTCTGTTCCGCCGGAACCTCCGCCTCCCGTATTTCCCGCAGTTTCCTCTGCGCACGCTCGAGTCGCAAGCGCATTTGTGTCTCTTTCGCTTTCTCGGACAGCTCGGTTCCGGTGAGTACCGCGATGCGCTGCGTGAACCGGTGTAGTGTCGATGTCCCTGTGTAGTCGTGCACGAGCTGGTTCGTGCCCCATAGCGTCACGCCCCCGAGGATCACGAAGCGCAGGTCCATTCGCCGCGGCGGGAGGAAGAGCGCGAAGAGCGCGATCGGGGTTACGCCGAGCGCGATGTTGTGGATGTACGGGTTGCTGTTGTTGTATTGGTCTGCTTGCGGCGATTGCGGTTGCGGTTGTGGTGGCGCGGCGGGTTGTGGAGGGGGTTGTGGAGACGCCATGGCTGCTGATGGGAGGACGGGGCGCTCGGAGGGGCGGGTTGCGGAGGATTGGTTCCTGGTTTGAGGCTGCTGTTTGAGATTGAGACGTATAGATCTTGCTCTTCTTCGATCTGTGTCTTGTCGCGGATTCGAGATGGGGTGGTAAAAATTAACTTTCGAAGAGCTTAACTTTTTTCTTGCAGGGTTGATCTTAGGCTCGTTTAAGCTAGTGGGGGAAGGTCCGTCCCTTGAGATTTCTAGAGTGGATGTAATTGGTTGGATTGGATTTATCTAAACTGGGACCCTTGATTGAGATCGATTACCATTTGATCTCTTCACGGGAAGACGCCCGAAGACTTAAGACGATACATGGGTTAATTGCCCGAGACAGCTATACAACCGGGATAGAATTAGATGCTGAAACACGGAGCCGCATCCAAATTGTCATGTGGAATGCATTGATGATTGATTACTACTCAAATGCTCGCGATGTCTTGACTTGAATTAACTTGGCTACCTGCTAGGCTGCTAGGTAGATAGGTACCTACATAAGCCATAGGGTTTGGTTGGCGTCTGACTGGTGCACGGGATTATTGCTTTTTAATTATTGCCCTTTCGCCATGTTTCAATATTCTACATACTTCTTCCGTCAAAATGATGTCAAGATCAAAGAATACTTTCCGTCTGTTATAGTCATAGGGCTGCATTCAACACAGCCGCAATACTTAACACACTCTGTATACTGAGATGTCTCGATCGTAAGAAGAGCGGAAGGAATTCATGTTTGTCGCCTTGGCGGTTGAAAAATTAATATTTATCACAAGGCAGATTCTCAAAGTTACGGGCTTCAATGACGCGCATTCGCACTTGTAACCATTCGTTAATGATCGTGGTGCAACTTGTGTTTGATGCCCCCAAAAAGGCCGCATGCTATTACCTAGTACATATGCAAATATATAAGGACCCTCATTTTTATGGCAATTACCAATGGAATGTCGATTCCTCTCGGTCATGTCCGGAGCTGCTGCGCCTTGCTTTGGAAGGTTTGCTTGGCTAAGTAGCCTGCCGGTTCGGTGGACCTACCGACCGTTCTACCGTCGTCTTCCGTAGGCAAGGGCGCGAAAAGTCGGTCACGACTTCGTCAATTCGTAAGCTAAGAGCGGCAGAAAAGCGGGTATTTCCCCAAATGTCTAGGGCAAAACTGCACCCAGGCTTTTTAGCGCTACCGCAAAGAAGGCTGAGTCAACTAAGCAAGTCGGGGAAACATCCATCCAATGTAGGTACCTGCTATGTAATCTGAATTCTTCGGCTCCAAATGAATCACCTGCAAGATGTATCGAGATGATGTCTCCAAGTCTTCGGACGCCGTCATTGTTGCCATTGTTACCGCAGGTACTTATGCCTACGTTTCTTCACCAATACAATCTGGACCAGTACAGCCTACCGGTACCTAGAATCTTAGATTGTATATCGAGGTACCGACTCCGACTACGACCTCGAAATAATTCATTTGATAGAAATTGCTGCTGAGACAGCCAATGAGGCTCTATGTTGAATTTTAGATGCAACAGAGGCTGCCTCATCTCTTTAGAAAACATCACATAATTCATGTCAAATGCTGGGGTTGTATCCCGCAGTACCGGCCGAGTGGGAGAACTCGATTGCATCTCAACTGCGACCTCGATAGCCTATCTGACTCAGATTCAGAGCCCCTAAAGCCTAGCTATCGCGCCACCCGGTATCATCATTTAAGACAAGAAACACGATTGGGGTACATCGGAATCAATGCATGCGGGGTGTTGTATTATCACCTAAAGGCCCGATACATACACTTGCCAAACTTTTTCTTTCGTTTTCCCCTCGCACCAAAAGCAGGTGTTTGCACAACAGCTTGAAGGGAGGTTAACACATGGTGTTAGGAGGTCCGGGGGGGTATAGTCGTTTGAATGCCGTGTGCCTTCGGGGACGAGGAGCGACGTAATTATTGGACTACAGGAATCAAGAATATAATTGTCCGCTTGAGATCTGTAGGACTAATATGTTGGTTACCTAGTCGCGGATAACAGCGAGCGTCACTTCATGCCGTAAATGTAGGAATGTATGTGTTTCGCCGGTTGTCTTGGTACGTATTGTACCTAATCAAGGGAAACCATATAGAATACAGGTGCTAGGCAGCCAGGTAGTGATGAGGTATCGAAACGGCTCAACGGTGTGTTCACCTGATTAGAAATGTACATGATCTCGATATTACGGGGCGACGTTTCTGCAAATTGTTATGTAAGAGGGACAACGGTGCTATGATGCGACAAAATCGTATAGCGAGAAGAAGACCTCTGAGAGAAGACCTAGCGACCTAGGTCAAGTCGGGAAGTGCATCTAGCCGACGGCCTGTCCTAAAGCAGCAGTAAAGTACGAAGTTTGCCGAGGCATCTTCGGGTTGGAGAGAATGATGTCAAACGGCCGCACCTACCTAGGTATGTTACTTCTGTGGCTGAATTTCATTCAATGCCGACTGTTCAAAAGACCAAAGGTCGGGTATCTTGAATTGTCATGTTGTGTAACACGTAAGAATTAGTCTCACTAGCCTGTAGCGACGGATAGACACCTAGGGAAATTACCTGGGTCGGTAGAGTAGTAGTGAAGACTGTAAATCCATTAGTATGTGCATGGCGGCCTCCCGATTGCGTCTGGGAACTAATGCAGTCTTGCCTAAGGAGTTTTTAACGAATCAAGTAAGTGACGAGGTTGCACTATAGGGCTGATGGATCGTGAAGGAATAGAACGGATGTTTCTCTGAAGTCCCCGTATTGGCGCGTTTTGGTGTAGGAGATAAGACGATGTTTCTACCCTGCATACGTGACCCTTGACAGCGACATATACGGTGGAGAACGATTGGCCTCAGAGCTATGAATCTGCAGTTGGATGGACCATTGGGGAGATCAGAAGCTTGTCATAGGGCTGAATTGGTGGGTACGAGTATAGTACTTTGGGCACGCTGGCATTCATTTCTGACACTTGAGTCTAATGCCCAGGGTGAAATGGTGGTGTCAATACACTCTAAAAGGTCCAGATGACAACTAGGTACTAGGTAGGTATGTCCTAAATAGGGATGGTTGCGATGTAATATTCAAACGAAGGTAGCTTGTTAAGAGAGGCATGTTATTGTAGGTATATAATAGTAAATGGTTGATATACTTGATATGAAGGTTAAATGGGGATATATGTAATTGATATGAGATTAGAGTAACTAGAAAATATCTACTAGGTAGAAGTTGACTCTTTTTTTACTGCGTTGAAAGAAGGACCTCGGGTACGTCTCAAAAACTATAGACGAAGTGGGGGTTTAAGTTACAGTATGGACGGAAGGAGAAGCGGCATTCGATAGCTGGGTTCCAAGGTTGCCAATGCGCTGGAAGGTTTAGACCGCCCCGCAAATTCTTCCAAGGTTTTCGTCCAAAGTTGCTTGAGACAATTATAATTGGACGATGCATTCGTCCCTGAATTTATTTCCATACACCTCCACTACTGCAGGTGATCTTTAGCGACCATTTCCAGCTCCAGCTACTGTAAGATCATGATAATGATCCATTATTTACAGAGCGTGGAATACACCCATCGCTGACGGATAACAGAGACATCATGATTCAAGAGCCACTACGTTGGCTGGTTGGGTAGTCGACGGCGGCAACTTATTGTGTGTCCGATGTCTTTCAAGGCCCATCCCGGGGAACTTCATTCTCAGCCAGCCGTCTTTCGGCCAAGACACCCACACCAGGAGATACCACCCACTGTACCACCCACACATGAGCATTGTCATTGCTGTTCAACGGTTACAACATCGTACTTTTTTCCAACCCAAGACCGACGGTAATTTAGAAGACAGATGGTGTGTTCGATTCTTTCACTATGTCCCGTTCAAAAGAGAGCAGGCTCTCGGCATTCGATGTTCCCCCGACAGCACCGGCAGGATGCCTGACGAAGTATCGATGGATCTTACCGAGCACCAATATTGGTAATTCGAACGTGATATATGTGGATACCTGTAGTACCTAGTACTAGGTACCTTACGTATGTGCATCAATATGTGCATATGTGTGTCTGAGGTACCAAGGTTGACTCCAAGGTGCCCTGGGAATCCTTATATCTACCTGACACCTACGTACATGAACGGTATTTTTCATGTGTCAGTCAGTGTAGGTAAGTACTGAGTTGTATTAACCTTATTGGTATTTCTACGTTGACCTAAGACCTTGGATCGTCGTAGTAGGCTTGTGTACCTACATAAACTAGAGGTATCCTAGTTTAGATGTATACAGGGTATATGATTGGCCGCCTACCTCCCCTACGATACTTACCATTTCGGAGGTAGCAAAAATGTACCTACCTATATAGACGCTGTGCCGCAATCTAAGCCCCCAATTTCCATTCCAGATCAATAACTGACTTGATCTCCTCCATCAGGAACCCCTGCCCCTCCGACTTAAAACTAATAAAATACCGTCGAACGGCGCTCCAATCTAAAACTCATTCGATCCCGTCAAAAGGCGTTCAAGGCCGTTCAACTCAAAGAGGCTTACATTTATTTCTCTTGCTTTTTTATTCCTCTCATATTCTCCGCTTCTCCGCTTCTCCAATTCTGTTTTAGCTGGACACCCAAAAATAATTGCTTAATACCCCTTTCACAAGACGAGTCTGCTCGGACAACTCGATTTTGTACATATTGTTAATCTCGGCATATCCGCCACTCCGTTCCTTTCTAGCTACCTAGTGACGCACGGCCTTTCATACATATTGAACCGCTCAAGTTCAGCCCTTACTAGCTTAATCGCTACCGAATCTAAGCTTGTTCGAATACATCACATCACCGTTGACAAAGGAGTGTTTCTCATTTATCAAGGTCTGCTGTACTGGCTTTTAAGCCGCTCTCTTGGCACGAGCTCTGCCATGAGAAAAGGAGCACTTCAGTTTCGCTCCGGGTTGATTGAAAAACTAGAGATATGATGAGCGCAAACAATGCCACACGGGCTGGAGAGCCAGCCGTGTCATCATCCGATGTTTCTCAGCAACGGCAGAGGAGGTTTCGTACCAGCAAACCGAAGGTCAAGACGGGTTGTAATAATTGCAAGTACGTTCTTTAAACTCACTTCATTTATCTGCCTATATATCCTAAGTCAATTCATTGGTTGCGCTGAGCGCATAATACTAAATAATCGCTCTACAACTTTAGACAACGACGTATAAAATGCGACGAGCTGCGACCGGCATGTACTCACTGCGTTCGGTCCAAGAGGGTCTGCAACGGTTATCCACCTCCCCCGCGAGCCAAGGTCTTTGAAGAGATCCGGATCGCACCTAAGCCGGGTAGTGGTGGAAATTCAATCCCGATCTCGCCGGCGAATGATGCCATCCGGCCACTTCGGTCACAGCCTCCGGCACGCCGCCAGGTAGTTGCGCGGCCAATCTCTCAGAGAGAACCTATGAACCGCCTTACTCCCCCCCAAACACCGATAGAAAGCTCGTTGATGGTTTATCGGCCGTCTATGCTGCCGTTCGATCCGAGGGAAGGCCAATATTTTCAACTCTTCAGAGAACGCACAGCCAATGAGCTATCGGGGTTCTTTGACTCTTCCTTCTGGACTCGAAGTGTCTTACAGGAGTGCCATTCGGAGGAAGCGATTCGGCATTCGGTAGTCGCTTTAGGGGCGCTCTATAAGACCTTGGAGAAGATGTCAGAATCGCCACCGAGTTCACCAGCTGCTGTCACCGACGTAACAGATAATGCCGCCCGGCATGGAGAAGTTGCCTTTAAACATTATTCATTAGCGCTGAATTCTATCATAAACTCTACTTCGCCGGATCAGGCATCGCAGAGGATGAGTCTCATGGCAACAGTATTGCTGGCTTGTTTTGACTCCTTTATTGGCGACCATAAGCATGCGATTGTGCAAATCCAAAGCGGCCTCCGGCTTTTAGAGACGTTACGAGCTCATCGTAGGAATTCTTTCCTCCCTAAACCCGAAGAACCGGTTGAACAGGACCTTGTCCAAATGTTTACCCGCCTCGCTATTCAAGCAAAGTCATATGACATGGCTTTTCACTTCCCACAACCATTCGTCATACGTCTTACCCCTCAAAATAACGAAAACTCACCATCTCCCTCTTCCGATGGGGGGTCGCCAGCTTCAACGACCGAATCACAGATACCGGAGCAATTCCACACACTTATAGAAGCGAGACTCGCGTGGGATACTCTTTGCGACCGCATGATGCGATTTACAGAAAATATGTTTACATATACGACCGCGATGAGTCCAATGGGTGTACTTCCACATTCATTAAAGCAGTATGGTACAGGCTTCGCTGAGAAATTAGCCGCCTGGTCAAGAGCTTTCGAACCGATATTGGCATCTCGTTCAACCCCTGCGAAAAGCAGCCAGGAGAAAACCGCGATTGCGGTGCTTAAAATGAACCAGATCATGGGCGAGATCTTATTTTACATGACTTTTAGTGATACCGAGCTTCAATTCGACGCCCATCTGCCGCAATTCAAAAACATCGTTAACTTGGCCATGGAGGTCGTCGGAGACGAGGAACGTAGGGCCGCCGCGAAACGATGTCCGAACCCACTATTTTGCCACCACCAACCCACACACCCCGACATATTTGGCGGCCAGTATTCAGCCAAACATATAAAACCTAGCTTTAGCGCAGACCTAGGAATTGTCCCCCCGCTCTTTGTCGCCGCTACGAAATGTCGAGACCCTACAACTCGGCGCCAAGCCATCCAACTGTTGCGGAGTAGCTCACGAAGAGAGGGTATGTGGGACAGCGAGCTTGCAGCTCGCATAGGCATGTGGATTATGGACATAGAGGAGGAGGAAGATAGTACCGACGACTTCGGGCGTCCCACAACAAGCTCGACAGACATGGGTAGACTATCTGTGGATAGCCCCGGTAATCGATCTGCTAGTTCTCCTTTCAGTGACGATGTCCCACTTGGCCCTGGCGGAAATGCTCGCTGGGGCAGCCGAAGGGACAGCACCGCAACTTCGACATACGGAAAGAGAACTATACCGGAGGAGAAGCGGGTTATGGTACGGTCTGTCGAATTCGACCTCCGTGAACGTATCGCAACGCTTTCATGTGGCACGCGAGGGTTGATACCCGGCATGCTCGATCCACGAACGCGCAACACTACGATCCGATGGTGAAACCTCTCATAATCGCTTCTGTTCATAATGGTAATTAAAAGCTGGTCTACTTGATGTACTCTGCGTCATCCACCATACCCTTGAAGGGTTATTCTTCATCTCGACCCGAGTATTCTTTTATTTATAGGCAGGGCCCATTTCTTTCTTGGAAATTTGCGAGCGGAACTTGGCTACGAAGGAAAAGCGTGACGACATAATGTTGGAATGGTTTTGGTAGGCAACAAAAACATATGATAATGTCTCGAATATTTTACTTATATCGATGTTGTTACGATGGCGTGGACCCTAGCTTAGGTACCCACTAGGTAGGTAGGCAATGGAAGACTCTTCTGTTAGATCTTATTACCTACGGATATATGATACCATCCAGAAAAACAGAGCTGTGAGTATCTGGCAAGATACGGAAACTTCTGACCTGCTTGAAGTAATGAGAATTGGTGCACTCTTCGCTTATCTTTTCTTTCCTTGCCCCGCTCTCCTTGCCCCGGTAATCTCCCTGTCTATCCTTTTCCTAGCATATTTTGATGTTTAGGTAGATACGTTGTATCAGGGCTCGACGATATGGAATCAGAATTATGAAGTGATGCCAGATAGATTTGCTTATGCGCATGCAATTAGACTGAGCATTTTCAAGCTTACTAGGTACGTCGTATCATATATATGTACCCCTTCGTTTAGTAGGTTAGTCCATAGGCCAGGGGATCAAGGATACCTGATATCCAATAAAAAACAATTACCTACATATTAGGTACCTATGGATCGCTTTTACGATGGATATTATTTCGGTCGTGCAATGGAAACCCTTAACCACATCACCCCGCCTTTCCCTTGTAATAGTAATTAATAGGAGTGAAACTTTGTCTTGGGGACGTGTTTGTCCTGAAAAGATGTAGTTATAATATAACCATCTTAATGAATACTTCATTGAACCAATTATTTTGCAAAAGAATAACTATTCTTGAAATAAACCTAGTAGAGTGTTGAAAGTTCCACGTTACCTACTATTCAAGAAGCCAAAAATAACCGATTAGTCATCATATATCCTATATGATGTGAGGCGGGCGGCAACTGTTTTTAGAAACTACAACGTAATCATTAAAGGATGCCTAAGGTAGGTGCGAACAACAATCAGAGTTCGACTATTAAAATCAACTTAAACAAATTGGAACTTGAGAAGAAGGAAGGCAAAATTATCGGGATTCACTTTTAGTTTCTTGCCCACCTGACACAATAAACAATTGCGCCTTAGTAAGGCTGCGTGTACCTGCTAGGTATCTAGAAAGAGGGAAAAGCGCGAAAAAGAAAATGCAGAGCAACACCTTCAATGATGGACGCAGAGGTGTTCCCATAATTCCGACGGAGGCTTCAGGAATAAGTGGCAGCAGCCATTCGAAGCGGACTCGGGTCCTACTGAGCTGCGCGCCTTGCCGCAATTCGAAACTCAAGTGCGATCGGTCAACACCATGCGGTCAGTGTCTGAGGAAAGGCAAGCCGGACGGCTGCCTCTATGCTCCGCGGCCCGAGAAGCAGAAACCGGCAAAGAGCAGTATGTTACACTCAGAGTTATTTCCCCCTTTTCTAGTATCATATCTGCTCTACCTAGGTACTTAGTACCTAAGCAAACAATTACTGACTCCCGTTGTTATAGTGGCGGCTCGTTTGAAGAGGCTCGAAGGAAGTATGTGAACTTACTCTCAAGTCCTACCTGGGGGGGGGGGGGGGGGGGGGGGGGGGGGGGGGGGGGGGGGGGGGGGGGGGGGGGGGGGGGGGGGGGGGGGGGGGGGGGGGGGGCCT